GCTAGTTTTCATTTGGCTTATATAAAGTTTTTCAAAATTCATTGCCGTGTGGATGGTTGGAGTGTTTTTAAGACTTTAATATTTCTGTCAGACCTACAAAATTTGAAGAAATAAATTTAGTATTTAGATCATTTCAACCCAGATATGAGAAAGTCATAATAATAATTAATTCATATAGAAATATAATTACGAGCGTGGTTAAACTTTAAAATAAGAAACGGCATTTAATATAGTTAAGAGGATGCATTGTTAAAACTTATTTTTCAAAATGATTTTGTATTTGTTCTTAATTTTTTAGATCGTCGCCAACCAGATATATTTGCCAGAAGTGGTGGTGACCTATCAACAGGAAGCATTGTAGGATTAGTTATTGGTGTGATCGTTCTTCATCATTGGTGCTGTCATCTTAGTTTTATACAGAAAAGAAAAACAAAAACTATTGTTCTACAAGCATCAATATTTTCTACGAACAGGAAATTATTCAGTGAGTTGCTACTAGTTTTTATTTTAGCTATGTAGTCTTGTTACACGAAACTTTTAACTCTTGCAAAAAATCAACTGCAATACAATTACTTCAATAACATATGGTTTCCAATCGCTCAATAAAAATTCCTGAAGATTTAGCTTTCATCTTCTTTCATCAGTTTAGTCTAAACTGTGTCTAAAACTGCAACGTATTTTCTTTTCAGATCGACCCCATAACGCTTAATGAGCAAAGTATGAATTTACCGTACGACTCTGATTGGGAATTTCCTTTGAAAGACTGTTATGGGTGATCGTCTTGGTGCAGGAGCCTTGGAGAAGTTTACAAAGCTGAAGCAATGGGAATTTTAGCTTTAAATCCCGCGATAAGAGCAGTATTGCTAATAAGAGAAGATCGAGAATTGACGTTCTTTGAGAGCAAGTCAAAGACCTAAAAGAAAGCCTTAGAACCTAATTTGACCAATGCCGTTGTTGCTGTAAAACTGTTAAAGGTAAAACTTTCTTTTAAGGAAACTTACATATCATTTTACAAATCTTGAGTTTTGTTGTTCTTTTGAAAAACTTTGTTATTCCTGTAGCTCATGCAACAGAAAGCGAAATACGTGATTTAGCAGAGGAACTGAAACTAATGATTCACATTGGTGAAAATAAAAATATCGTTAATTTACTCGGCGCTTGTACCACAGGACGGCAACTTTATGTAATCTTAGAATTTTGTCCTCATGGAAATTTGCTGACATTTTAAGATCCAAAGATCTTTCTATGAAAGTACCTGGGAAAAGAAAATCTATGATCCAGAGAAAGAGTTTACTTTAATTGATATTGTTGGTGCTGCTTTTCAAATTGCCAAAGGAATGGAGTTTCTTGCTTCACGAAAGGTAAAATCGTAGCCTCTTCTCCTCTTATGGTGGGTTATGAGGCGGATGCAGGAAATGAGGTAGGGGGGAGGGGGCAAGGGTGGAAAACGCTTGTAGTAAAATGATTACGATTCGACGAAAGTTCACTAGCCTGTTCAAAATGTTTAAACTCCAATAAATGCATCATAATATTTGTGATTTGTGAAATGTGAAGCTAGTGTTTATTCCGATTTTTTATTCTTACGTTATTTTCAGTTAATACATCGTGATCTTGCTGCCCGTAATATTCTTGTTGCTGAAGAATACGTCATGAAAATATCAGATTTTGGTCTGGCACGAGATATATATAAAAGCGATGTTTATGTAAAGACATCCAGTGGTATGTTACCTGTAAAATGGATGGCTGTAGAATCTTTATTTGATCGCATATATACTCATCAAAGTGATGTGTAAGTTATAAATATGTTATTTTGACATGCAAGTTTTCTCAACTTTATTCATAGAATGTTTTTATTCCATTTATTCTTAACGTATGTTAATTGACACATTTGTTTACTAACTTTAGTTGGTCGTTTGGTGTTTTATTGTGGGAAATGATGACTCTTGGAGGTACGCCTTATCCTGATCTACCAGCTGAACAATTGCTGGAATTTTTAAACCAAGGAAAACGCATGCCACAGCCCACTAAATGTCCGTTGGAAATCTATACAATCATGAGATTGTTGGCAGGATGAACCTTTGGAGAGGCCGACATTTTCAAGGCTAGTTGAGCATTTTGGAAGAATACTTGAGCGACGTACAGAAAAGGTATGGGGTCAACGTTGACTTCTTGAGCATCATTTGGCGTTGTTATTTAACTGTTCGATTTCATTATTTTTGTTTGAGAGTAAAAATATTAATGCTTTAGAAACACATGAAATACGATTAGACTTTTTTAAACAGTGCTAGATTCTTAAACTTGTTACTCATTTTTTTGTGTACAAAGTTGCCTTTTACTGTTATTATGTGTAGAGCGATTATTATGAAAAGGAATTTGTCAGACTACAATAACTTTTTTGGGGTTGCTGGTATTAAGGTGATCTATTAATGACTTTAGTCCTCATTTAATGATGTAAACTTGGTTACTTCGATAAATGAATGTCCCCAGCAAACTAAGCTTGCGCATTTAATTTTTTTGATAATTTGTGACTAAGTGAGCTCGAAAGCAATCCAAGGAAATCTGGTTGATTCCTGTGAGCTCCATTAAGTTTTGTTTGTTTCAACAAATACATTTCCAAATTTTTCACCTCAATGACCGTTATTGAGGCCTGGCGTCACCTCCCACCCCCCCTCATGCGTAAAATTAAAGTAGCCATTACACAACCCTAGTTTATTAATTTATTTACATTTGTTGTTGCTACGTGTTGTGCAATGATAATATTAATGACAACTTCATCACTTTCTCTTTCTTACGTGCATTTCTTCATCATTTTTAGACGAATCCATATTTACACGTTGAAGCAAGTGCTGATGAGATTGATGCGGCAAGGGGAGAAAGATGAATTATTGAAAAAAAAATCTGATTATTACTTACAACCATTGCTCATTTCCAATAAATTACATGGGTTAGTACTCTCTTTATGTACAGTTCTCTTACTATTTACAACGTAAGCATGTTTTTTATTGAAGAATATTTACTCTATAGTTAACTTTAACAATATATTATGTTCATTTTTAGCTATGACTCCAATGCACCATTACCCACCCCTCCCACAGATGCATACACGGCATCTACAGTTCCTTTACCTGAAGTTGCTGTTGAACCATCAACACCGAAATTAAATGATGCTGGTTCTTACGAAAGGCTAGCAGACGATGCTTTTCCTCCAAATGAAGCACCTTACTTGAATAGCCCAGTAGTATTACAAAATATGAATACGACAAATCACAATGACACGCAAGGTGTTGAAGAGTCTAAAAAGTTAGAATCTATTGTTTGAATTATTGCTTTCTATAATCTGCTGCGTGCAAAGTTTGGCAAACTGCTGTTTATAATTCTTAAAGCATGAATTAACAAAACATGTTTACTCATTTTGTGTACAGAAATTGACACAGCTAAACATTCAAGTATTTTCTTTTTAACAGATTTTTTTTAACGTAGCGATTAGTAATGATATTTAAATGGATATTTAGTCGTAGATGTAGATCTGGTGATCAATGACTCAAAGTAGCATGTGTTTATTGAAACGGTGTGATGATTCTCTTATGACAAATGTTAGTCAATAATGACAGCTACTTGATGATGTAAGTGTTACCAGCAAATAGCAACAAGTCCGTAGACATTTGACGGAAACGATAATTTTTAGAAGCATATAAATACTCGCATAGATACATGTTTCGACAACTTTAAGATGCAATCAATTTCAACAGTCCGATGGGGAAACTCTTCTGTCATCTGTTTGTGCTGAATCGTTTTCTCTGTTTTCCGTTGTCGAATGTTATAACAATAACAAATACTGCATCCATAAGCAGGGGCGGATCTAGAGTATGTCAAATCCGTCGCGCGACTGATGTTTGAAATTCAAAAATTACCTATTCATATTAATTAAAAATTCATTAATTATTCTTACTTTATTATCGCATTTACTTCGTGATAAAAATCCAGCTTTATTTATTATTGAAAACTAATGACTAATGCAAGGGAATATCTCCTTGGTAACCAGATCAGTTGAATTTTAATTGACCTGGAATAACCGACTGATAAGCGGGGTGGCTTGACTGATTCGACTTATAAAGGAGTCTATGAACGCCAGAAACGCTATTTTATTGGTCAATGGCCAGATCAGTGGACAGTCTGAATAATCTCGACCGATAATAGGGTGGCCGGACCTTATAAGGGAGTCCAATTGCTATCTTACAATTGGTTCATTTGAATTTTGTCTTACTGTGATTGGTTTGACCGATTTCGACTGATAGCCAACTGAACTAACATAGTCAAGCTCACTGTCTGAATTGAATGTTTGATGGTTTCATAGCAATTTTTATAACTACTGTGAAGGTACCACAGGATTCATCCTGACATTCATCCTTACATTCACCACAGGATTCACCACAACATTCAAAATTAGCATAAAGTGTGAAGTTGACACCACATTCATTTTAATGTTATTAAATAACATCAGTTTCAGAAACAAAATAGAAAACCGTATTTTTGCTACAAAAAGCAAAGATGCACACGTGTTTGGTGCCGTTGTAAAGACCAAGTTATTTAGACAAGGATTATACTATTTTTATTTTGGTCGAAAGTCTTGGAGCAAATCTGCAGCCTTTAAAGACTACTTCCGCTTTTGTCTCTTTACTTTAAATAATTGCGCGATGTTTACAATGCATAAATGTTGACATCTAAAAAGGCCTAATTTTCAAGAAATAAACACGCTGGAAAATACTTGTGTTTGGTAACATCCGAAAGTACGTTTTCTGAGGATTACAAATATGGTTTTATTATCTTGGTCCAAATTCGTGGAGCGAATGTACAGCCGTGCAAAGTCGACTGTGAAGGTACCACAGGATTCAAGATAGTACGGTTTTATACGGTAAACACGCTACAATTTACTTGTGTTTAGTATCGTCTTAAAGAGCGTGTTCTGAGGATTACAAATATGGTTTTATTATCTTGGTCCAAATTCGTGAAGCGGTTCTACAGCTTTGGAAAGGTGGAGCATTTTTGCGTTAATTAATAGGCAAGTTGTCATGCATTATTTCACTAACGTCTAAATATGCGGGTGTTGACTAGTTAACACGCTGCAATATACTCGTATTTGGTATCAGATTAAAGATCTTGCTATGAGGATTACAAATATGTCTTTATTATTGTGGCCGACATTCCAGGAGCGAATCTACAGCTTTGGAAAGGTAGAGCATTTTAGCGTTAATTAATATTCGCGGTACTTAACTGACATGTTTATATATATCTAATTTTGATGAAGTTAACACGCTACAATTTACTTGTGTTTAGTATCGTCTTAAAGATCTTGTTCTGAGGATTACAAATATGGTTTTATTATCTTGGTCCAAATTCGTGAAGCGGTTCTACAGCTTTGGAAAGGTAGAGCATTTTTGCGTTAATTAATAGGCAAGTTGTCATGTTGCATTATTTCACTAACGTCTAAATATGCCGGGTGTTGAACTAGTTAACACGCTGCAATATACTGTATTTGGTATCAGATTAAAGATCTTGCTATACAAATATGTCTTTATTATTGTGGCCGACATTCCAGGAGCGAATCTACAGCTTGAGAAATGTGGAGACGTTTTGCGTTAATTTATATTCGCGGTACTTAACTGACATGTTTATATATATCTAATTTTGAAGTTAACACGCTACAATTTACTTGTGTTTAGTATCGTCTTAAAGATCTTGTTCTGAGGATTACAAATATGGTTTTATTATCTTGGTCCAAATTCGTGAAGCGGTTCTACAGCTTTGGATAGGTAGAGCATTTTTGCGTTAATTAATATTCGCGGTACTTAACTGACATGTTTATATATATCTAATTTTCATGAAGTTAACACGCTACAATTTACTTGTGTTTAGTATCGTCTTAAAGATCTTGTTCTGAGGATTACAAATATGGTTTTATTATCTTGGTCCAAATTCGTGAAGCGGTTCTACAGCTTTGGAAAGGTAGAGCATTTTTGCGTTAATTAATAGGCAAGTTGTCATGTTGCATTATTTCACTAACGTCTAAATATGCCGGGTGTTGAACTAGTTAACACGCTGCAATATACTCGTATTTGGTATCAGATTAAAGATCTTGCTATGAGGATTACAAATATGTCTTTATTATTGTACGACATTCCAGGAGCGAATCTACAGCTTGAGAAATGTGGAGACGTTTTGCGTTAATTAATATTCGCGGTACTTAACTGACATGTTTATATATATCTAATTTTCATGAAGTTAACACGCTACAATTTACTTGTGTTTAGTATCGTCTTAAAGATCTTGTTCTTAGGATTACAAATATGGTTTTATTATCTTGGTCCAAATTCGTGAAGCGGTTCTACAGCTTGGAAAGGTGGAGCATTTTGCGTTAATTAATAGGCAAGTTGTCATGTTGCATTATTTCACTAACGTCTAAATATGCCGGGTGTTGGACTAGTTAACACGCTGCAATATACTCGTATTTGGTATCAGATTAAAGATCTTGCTATGAGGATTACAAATATGGTTTTATTATTGTGGTCCAAATTCGTGAAGCGGTTCTACAGCTTTGGAAAGGTAGAGCATTTTGCGTTAATTAATATTCGCGGTACTTAACTGACATGTTTATATATATCTAATTTTGATGAAGTTAACACGCTACAATTTACTTGTGTTTAGTATCGTCTTAAAGATCTTGTTCTGAGGATTACAAATATGGTTTTATTATCTTGGTCCAAATTCGTGAAGCGGTTCTACAGCTTTGAAAGGTGGAGCATTTTGCGTTAATTAATAGGCAAGTTGTCATGTTGCATTATTTCACTAACGTCTAAATATGCCGGGTGTTGGACTAGTTAACACGCTGCAATATACTCGTATTTGGTATCAGATTAAAGATCTTGCTATGAGGATTACAAATATGGTTTTATTATTGTGGTCCAAATTCGTGAAGCGAATCTACAGCTTTGAAAGGTAGAGCATTTTGCGTTAATTAATATTCGCGGTACTTAACTGACATGTTTATATATATCTAATTTTGATGAAGTTAACACGCTACAATTTACTTGTGTTTAGTATCGTCTTAAAGATCTTGTTCTGAGGATTACAAATATGGTTTTATTATCTTGGTCCAAATTCGTGAAGCGGTTCTACAGCTTTGGAAAGGTAGAGCATTTTTGCGTTAATTAATAGGCAAGTTGTCATGTTGCATTATTTCACTAACGTCTAAATATGCCGGGTGTTGGACTAGTTAACACGCTGCAATATACTCGTATTTGGTATCAGATTAAAGATCTTGCTATGAGGATTACAAATATGTCTTTATTATTGTGGCCGACATTCCAGGAGCGAATCTACAGCTTGAGAAATGTGGAGACGTTTTGCGTTAATTAATATTCGCGGTACTTAACTGACATGTTTATATATATCTAATTTTGATGAAGTTAACACGCTACAATTTACTTGTGTTTAGTATCGTCTTAAAGATCTTGTTCTGAGGATTACAAATATGGTTTTATTATCTTGGTCCAAATTCGTGAAGCGGTTCTACAGCTTTGGAAAGGTAGAGCATTTTGCGTTAATTAATAGGCAAGTTGTCATGTTGCATTATTTCACTAACGTCTAAATATGCCGGGTGTTGAACTAGTTAACACGCTGCAATATACTCGTATTTGGTATCAGATTAAAGATCTTGCTATGAGGATTACAAATATGTCTTTATTATTGTGGCCGACATTCCAGGAGCGAATCTACAGCTTGAGAAATGTGGAGACGTTTTGCGTTAATTAATATTCGCGGTACTTAACTGACATGTTTATATATATCTAATTTTCATGAAGTTAACACGCTACAATTTACTTGTGTTTAGTATCGTCTTAAAGATCTTGTTCTGAGGATTACAAATATGGTTTTATTATCTTGGTCCAAATTCGTGAAGCGGTTCTACAGCTTTGGAAAGGTAGAGCATTTTAGCGTTAATTAATAGGCAAGTTGTCATGTTGCATTATTTCACTAACGTCTAAATATGCCGGGTGTTGAACTAGTTAACACGCTGCAATATACTCGTATTTGGTATCAGATTAAAGATCTTGCTATGAGGATTACAAATATGTCTTTATTATTGTGGCCGACATTCCAGGAGCGAATCTACAGCTTTGGAAAGGTAGAGCATTTTAGCGTTAATTAATATTCGCGGTACTTAACTGACATGTTTATATATATCTAATTTTGATGAAGTTAACACGCTACAATTTACTTGTGTTTAGTATCGTCTTAAAGATCTTGTTCTGAGGATTACAAATATGGTTTTATTATCTTGGTCCAAATTCGTGAAGCGGTTCTACAGCTTTGGAAAGGTAGAGCATTTTTGCGTTAATTAATAGGCAAGTTGTCATGTTGCATTATTTCAATAACGTCTAAATATGCCGGGTGTTGGACTAGTTAACACGCTGCGATATACTCGTATTTGGTATCAGATTAAAGATCTTGCTATGAGGATTACAAATATGGTTTTATTATTGTGGTCCAAATTCGTGAAGCGGTTCTACAGCTTTGGAAAGGTAGAGCATTTTTGCGTTAATTAATATTCGCGGTACTTAACTGACATGTTTATATATATCTAATTTTGATGAAGTTAACACGCTACAATTTACTTGTGTTTAGTATCGTCTTAAAGATCTTGTTCTGAGGATTACAAATATGGTTTTATTATCTTGTCCAAATTCGTGAAGCGGTTCTACAGCTTTGGATAGGTAGAGCATTTTTGCGTTAATTAATATTCGCGGTACTTAACTGACATGTTTATATATATCTAATTTTCATGAAGTTAACACGCTACAATTTACTTGTGTTTAGTATCGTCTTAAAGATCTTGTTCTGAGGATTACAAATATGGTTTTATTATCTTGGTCCAAATTCGTGAAGCGGTTCTACAGCTTATGAAATAGTTTTCTTTTTTGGTTTAATTAATTTGTGCGTTATTTAAATGAGATGTACTTATGTCTGATTTTGAAGTAGTGGTAAACACGCTGCAATCATTTTTCATTGGGTACCATTTTAAAGATGTGATTCTGAAGATTGGAAAGATGTTCTGATTATCGTGGCACAAGTTCGAGGAGAGAATCTACGGCTTATGAAAAGAACAACACTTTTGTGCTATGTAATTTGTTGCAATATAGAACATATGTGTCTTATTTATTTCGTCGAATTGTTGAGTTTATGCTAATTTATGCAAACGTCATTTTAAGAATTTCACGGTTTAAAACCTTTGTCGTATCCTGTGTTTGCGTCTTTCTTGACTGACCGTTGAATCGTTGATGTCAACGGTTTTCCTGTATTATCGAAGCAATCATTACTTTTGCGAGAAAAGTTAATTCAGGATTATATTTAAATCTTTTGTGCTCTTCTCGTTTTCGTGTAACGCTAAATGATGAAGGTACGTTATCGCTTCTTCTTGTCTTACGGTCGTTTATGTCCTTTATCATTCCCTGCATTTGTTTGTGCTTTTCAGCGCACTGTTGGTCGTCCATCGAAATACACGTTTGACGTGAATGCAATTGTTGCAGCTATGTCACATGTGTCTGGCGACCAAAACGATTCTTACAGAAAGTCAAATAGCTTCTGGGGAAAAATTTTAGTTGAACTTGGGATTAGAAACAAATTGCTTGCACGGAGAAACCTATATCTTCGCTGGCACGATAACCGGAATGGCATGCGATCTGCAATCGAGCATGGGCGATTAGAGGTACGCAAAGGATATTTAATTTCATGTATTGATCATTCGTTTGACAGTAAACGGTTTATGAATTTTGGGCGGTTTGAAAATTATCTTAAACTTTCTGATTGGTTGTTTGTGTAAAGATTACGAATTAATTATTTTTCAAAACGTAATGACCGTTTGAATATTTGTGATATCTTCTGCGCATGCGCTGATTGATAACCGATGTTTGTGCTTGAGAATTATTCAAAGCGAAAGCAAGCCCAAAAATTTTCTGCGAACTTAAATTAAAATGCAATTTGTCATTTGAGTTATTAAGATTGTTGTATTTTTGCTGTATTTGATACGTCGCTCGCTCAGTGCATTGCGATGGAAAATTTATAGCATTTTGTACTTCGTGATGTTATCCGTACAACAAAGACCTTGTATAATTCATCGATATATAGTTGCATTATATGAAGCGTTAATCCTCACTTAAAGACGAAATAAAAGTTACATCGTCGAAAATATCGCTAACCTATTTATGTAAAACGCAAAAGTTACAAGCGTTTTGAATTATCGGTTGGGTGGAATATGTACAGTTCAGAAAATTGTTTTAAAAGAGTTTTTGAGGATAAAGTATTCACAGCAAAAATGGTTTTCGATGCACGATCTTTTGGACTTCACTTTTCTCAATAAGCACAGTCACGTGACATGCAATGTAATGAAGGGCGTCTTGTAAATGCAGAATAGTTTAGATAGTTATCGGACCCACATGTGTGCATCGCTTAACTTTGTTTTTAAGGCTATTGCACTATTTTTTAAGGGATTAGCTCCATAAAAATTTGCGTGTATCCATACCATAGGCAACATATGCCTCACTTGCACTAAATTATGTAATAATTCAATTTTTAATTAAGGTATTTAAGTGGCTATATGCAAATAAATACATTGATAATGTACACTCTATCGGGAATGATTTATGCAAAAAGTTTTGATTTGGGTAATGCATTTCCATAAATCTGGGACTGACGGCAATCGTATTTTTCAACTTCATTTTTAATCTGAAATGTCTAAATGTCCAAGAAACGTTGTTTTTTGGCATATTATTTACATATTTGGCTATTTATGTCCAATCAATTTTAGTCAATTCATCTTTTGAGCGTAACGTCAGTGAACATTGATTATGGAGACATTGTATTGTAGCACATTTATCAACTGCGTTAACTATTTCTTTTCTTTGTTCTTCTTGGCGGCGCTTCCAGCATTCCTGTTGGGGGTATGGTGGGGGGAGGAGGGGAAGGTCATTAGGAACCTCACACCTTTTTTGTAGCATGTGACAGGGATTTGAAAACGCGTAATCTTGGAAGTCTCACATTCTGTATAGATAGGACGCATGCTTATGGCCTTTAAAATAAAAGAGAATATTTACGTCGAATAGATGTCGCATATCCTTGCTGTAATGTGAGGAGGGCGGTGGCAGGTGAAACTTGAGTCTACAAATATAAGGTTCATGCAAGTTAAAATCGGTTGCTCATGTGTTCAGAGAATATTCTAACCATTTTAGGTGCCCAAATATAAATCTTTATATAAATTTTTTGATTTTTTAGATCTTTAGACATAACGTAATGGTTGAATTGTAAATATTTCAATATTGTTGTAATCATTAATATCGCCTTTTTTTATTTTAAGCATATTTAATTATTAATATCTTGAAATAGTTTATTACAGTATTAATAATGATGGTACTATTTGCTTTGTTCTAATCCAGACCATACTTCAAATTAAATCAGTGTTTCCTCTGATGCACTCAATTTAATATAATACACTTGTTTGCATTTTTTAGTTATCAAATGCTGAAGATCTGTTAGCTAGCCATGACAATAAATATAATGATAATGCGCATCACCCGTCGTCGGGTCGCGAGTTTTTGCCATTTTTAGAGTCCCGACCATTTAACACTCATAGTGGTGAATGCGCAGGAAACGACCATTATGATTTTGGCCAATCAGCGACTGACAGTGATGAGGCTAGCGAGGAATTCGACATGGTCACTACCCAGAAGCATTTAACTGGAGATATTCATTACACTAAAGAAAGTGAACATGGAGATGCATCTTCCATTAAACAAGATTCAAAAAAAGAAGTTTCAAGCAGACACACCAACAATGTGGTCAAAACCTTAGCACAATCCAATAAAGAAAACAAATGCATAAAACGTAGAAGATGCATACCGAAAGCCCATACTCCAGAAAGGAACAACCAAAACTATGGTGTCTCTGTCAAAAAGAAGATGTTGGAATCTATATTTTGTGCGATGAAAAGAAAGAAGGTTGTCTGGAGTTTTATCATCCAGAATGCGTTGGTTTACCTCATCTTAAAACAAAGAAACAACTCGAAAAATACAGTAATTGTATAGACGGCAAATCTTATATCTGTCCTAGTTGTGCTAGCAAAAAATCCCGCAATAAATACCGTCCACAAGAACTGCTGTCACTTTCAGACAAAGAAACTGATGACAATGATCCAATGCACGTTTTTGGCACAAATGATATTCACGAGGAGGGTGTCCTGGAGTCACATGGAGAAATGGAAGACGTGGTCGATAACAGAGAATGTAATGTACTTTTACATCCTTCTTCACCGTGCATTGATGAAAAAGATGAAAACATATGTATTTCAGATCGTGTATCTTACAGCATGGAAAGTAGTCCGTCGATTGAGAAAGTCATTTATCACTCTGACGAATTTCAAAAATGTCATTCCTATGATTATAAGGAAGAGGAAAAAGTACAACTGACTGACTTCTCAAGCAAGTGGCGCGATGATTGTAATGATAAAAAAGTATCATCTCCCTCAGCATTTTTTGCAAAACTTTGACCGTTAAGCGAAACTCCAGAAATCAATAAATGTACACAGAGTAGACGTCCACCGTCATCATTCTTAAATTTTTTTCATAAAGGTAGTAAGAAAAAGAGAGCTTCTAAAAATCGCCCTAACGCGTTTTTAACGAAAGAGGCAGCTAAATTATGGCTAGATATGTCGGCAGAGGACAAGTTCCGCTTCAAGGATACAAGTATGTTGACGAAAAACAAACAAAGTAAAGACAGCGAGCGTACGAAATCCAGCAAATCCATTGGTACGTCGCACAAGATGCACGTGTCTTTGCTAAGAAAAAATTAACAAGAGGTTTAATCAATAAGGGTAACGATTGCTGGTTGAACAGTCTTCTGCAATGTTTGCATGCATTAAAAGTTGAATACCCCGAAACAACGACAAAATGTAATCCAACTGTAGTGAAAGTACTGAATAAAACCTTGCGAATATTAAAAAACACGAATGACAAACCTTTGTATCCACAACAGCTGCACGACATTTTTAATAAGTATTTTGGTTATGCGAGTGGCCAACAACACGATATTCACGAGAGTTTTATAGTTTTGCATGAACATTGTGACGCAGGCTCCTTTAGAGGAACGTACAACATAGAAAATTTGTGATGTATGTGGAAAAACTCGGTTGCATGATGAGGAAACCTTCATGACGCTTTTTGCTTCCGTTGACAATGGCAACAAAACCTTAACAGAAAAAATCGAAGAGAGTTTAATCGATTCTGTATTTACACACTGTAGCACATGCAGTGTGAGGACGAATCACGTTCGCATAGGTGAACTCAAAACACTGCCTAAAATTTTATGCCTTGGTTTCAAAAGATTTGTTTCAAATGGATCAGAAGTTACGAAGAGTTGTCAGAGAGTTCCACTGCCATTAAAATTAACATTGCAGAATGATGGTGCATCGGCCACTTATCAATTATCCTCATGTGCATTGCATTACGGCTCAGGTATTGACGTTGGCCATTACACAGCTGTAATATTCAAAGATGGAAGAGTTTATGAGGTCGACGATACATTCGTCTCTGATATATCACAAAAGTGGAAGCAAACGTCGAAAACAAGCCAGAGGAAATAAGTGAGTTTAAACTAATGACACACTTGTTCGCACAAATTATATGTTGATTTTATTACTTTATTATTTCAGAATGTAACACATGCAATGACGTGGGGCACGCCCCCGAAGATTGCCCTAGCAAACCGCGTCGAGGGACGCGGGTGCCAGGAGAGGCGGACGGCGGCGTCCCCAATGGCGAGGTCGCGGAATTTCGCGTGGAAGGGCGTGGAAGAGGGCGTGGCCAAGTTGTTATCAATATATTTACAAGGTAGAACGATTTTCATTAAACATATATCAAACAAAAAGATTAAAAGTTACTTCATCAATTAAGTAGTGAAGCTTTTAAACTGTATTAGCACAGAATAAAAAGAAAACATTCTGATTCTGACTCTATTCGATCAATCAAAACAAAACTTATTTCAAAACAATGCAAAAATAAATATGATTTTCTTTTGTTATCTCACATTGTTCTTACCATCTTTGCAGGGACTAAGGAGGTTAGAAAGTCTTAACCAAGAGGAAAAAAAAGTTCAAAAATAAAAATTGAAAAGTATCTTTCCTGTGTCCAATCATTATTTACTTTCATTATCATTAAATTCGCCCGGATGGAGAGCAAATTCAGGTCCCCGTTGTATTGCGACCTTGTTTCGTGAAGCACTAAAAAAGTATACACGAAGAAGCCCAAACCATTGTGCCATCTGACATCCAGTTTTTGTTTGGCTCGTTAAGGAAATTAAGTTCTTAAGGAAATTTATTAACTAAAACGTTGAAAAATGTTTTTTACGAGCTGTTATTGTAATTACATGTTGTTTATAAGCTATATGATATGTCCATTCAAAGAAACAACAAACAAAACATTTTTCTTCCTATTGTAATCCTCGGAACAAGATCTCTAAGCTGATACCAAACACGAGTTTATCACAGCGTGTTAACTAGTTCAAAATCCTGCATGCCTATTAATTAACGCAAAAATGCTCCACCTTTCCAAAGCTGTAGAACCGCTTCACGAATTTGGACCAAGATAATAAAACCATATTTGTAATCCTCAGAACAAGATCTTTAAGACGATACTAAACACAAGTAAATTGTAGCGTGTTAACATCAAAATTAGATATATATAAACATGTCAGTTAAGTACCGCGAATATTTAACGCAAAACGTCTCCACATTTCTCAAGCTGTAGATTCGCTCCTGGAATGTTCACAATAATAAAGACATATTTGTAATCCTCATAGCAAGATCTTTAATCTGATACCAAATACGAGTATATTGCAGCGTGTTAACTAGTTCAACACCCGGCATATTTAGACGTTAGTGAAATAATGCAACATGACAACTTGCCTATTAATTAACGCAAAATGCTCCACCTTCCAAAGCTGTAGAACCGCTTCACGAATTTGGACCAAGATAATAAAACCATATTTGTAATCCTCAGAACAAGATCTTTAAGACGATACTAAACACAAGTAAATTGTAGCGTGTTAACTTCATGAAAATTAGATATATATAAACATGTCAGTTAAGTACCGCGAATATAAATTAACGCAAAACGTCTCCACATTTCTCAAGCTGTAGATTCGCTCCTGGAATGTCGGCCACAATAATAAAGACATATTTGTAATCCTCATAGCAAGATCTTTAATCTGATACCAAATACGAGTATATTGCAGCGTGTTAACTAGTTCAACACCCGGCATATTTAGACGTTAGTGAAATAATGCAACATGACAACTTGCCTATTAATTAACGCAAAAATGCTCCACCTTTCCAAAGCTGTAGAACCGCTTCACGAATTTGGACCAAGATAATAAAACCATATTTGTAATCCTCAGAACAAGATCTTTAAGACGATACTAAACACAAGTAAATTGTAGCGTGTTAACTTCATGAAAATTAGATATATATAAACATGTCAGTTAAGTACCGCGAATATTAAGTAACGCAAAACGTCTCCACATTTCTCAAGCTGTAGATTCGCTCCTGGAATGTCGGCCACAATAATAAAGACATATTTGTAATCCTCATAGCAAGATCTTTAATCTGATACCAAATACGAGTATATTGCAGCGTGTTAACTAGTTCAACACCCGGCATATTTAGACGTTAGTGAAATAATGCAACATGACAACTTGCCTATTAATTAACGCAAAAATGCTCCACCTTTCCAAAGCTGTAGAACCGCTTCACGAATTTGGACCAAGATAATAAAACCATATTTGTAATCCTCAGAACAAGATCTTTAAGACGATACTAAACACAAGTAAATTGTAGCGTGTTAACTTCATGAAAATTAGATATATATAAACATGTCAGTTAAGTACCGCGAATATTAATTAACGCAAAACGTCTCCACATTTCTCAAGCTGTAGATTCGCTCCTGGAATGTTGGCCACAATAATAAAGACATATTTGTAATCCTCATAGCAAGATCTTTAATCTGATACCAAATACGAGTATATTGCAGCGTGTTAACTAGTCCAACACCCGGCATATTTAGACGTTAGTGAAATAATGCAACATGACAACTTGCCTATTAATTAACGCAAAATGCTCTACCTTTCCAAAGCTGTAGAACCGCTTCACGAATTTGGACCAAGATAATAAAACCATATTTGTAATCCTCAGCACGCTCTTTAAGACGATACTAAACACAAGTAAATTGTAGCGTGTTAACTTCATGAAAATTAGATATATATAAACATGTCAGTTAAGTACCGCGAATATTAATTAACGCAAAACGTCTCCACATTTCTCAAGCTGTAGATTCGCTCCTGGAATGTCGGCCACAATAATAAAGACATATTTGTAATCCTCATAGCAAGATCTTTAATCTGATACCAAATACGAGTATATTGCAGCGTGTTAACTAGTTCAACACCCGGCATATTTAGACGTTAGTGAAATAATGCAACATGACAACTTGCCTATTAATTAACGCAAAAATGCTCTACCTTTCCAAAGCTGTAGAACCGCTTCACGAATTTGGACCAAGATAATAAAACCATATTTGTAATCCTCAGAACACGATCTTTAAGACGATACTAAACACAAGTAAATTGTAGCGTGTTTACCGTATAAAAACCGTACTATCTTGAATCCTGTGGTACCTTCACAGTCGACTTTGCACGGCTGTAGATTCGCTCCACGAATTTGGACCAAGATAATAAAACCATATTTGTAATCCTCAGAAAACGTACTTTCGGATGTTACCAAACACAAGTATTTTCCAGCGTGTTTATTTCTTGAAAATTAGGCCTTTTTAGATGTCAACATTTATGCATTGTAAACATCGCGCAATTATTTAACGTAAAGAGACAAAAGCGGAAGTAGTCTTTAAAAGGCTGTAGATTTGCTCCAAGACTTTCGACCAAAATAAAAATAGTATAATCCTTGTCCAAATAACTTGGTCTTTACAACGGCACCAAACACGTGTGCATGTTTTGCTTTTTTGTAGCAAAAAATACGGTTTTTTTCTATTTTGTTTCTGAAACTGATGTTATTTAATAACATTAAAATGAATGTGGTGTCAACTTCACACTTTATGCTAATTTTGAATGTTGTGGTGAATCCTGTGGTGAATGTAAGGATGAATGTCAGGATGAATCCTGTGGTACCTTCACAGTAGTATTTTTATAAGCATGATAGAAACTAAACTACAATCAGATGGAATTTATGGAAATCTTTTACAAATTCATATGTTGACATGAATGCTGCTTTCCAAACTTGGAGTTTTTTCAAGAGGGTGAAAAATTTATGGATGAATTGTAAATGCTTGGCAAAGACGATCTCGCGAGCGACATTTCAGTCATTGATGTTCAAAAGCAAGCCAACATTGTTTTGAGTTTTATCAGCAGAAATTTACATCGAAAATCGTAAGTAAAGGACAAGTGAAGTGTATGCATGAATGCAATATATCAAAGTCAATTTATGCGAGTGTGTGATGCGATTTATGTTAATATGGCGTATGGTAAGCAGATTGATGCTTCTAAAATTGTTGTTGCCGAAGGACTTTTAGCTATGATTTCTTTAATGCTTGGGGAATCGTGGCCGTTATATGGCAGCGAAATCCTACATTTCTGCAAATATATTTCAATGGACAAAAAATCTGTAGCCATAAGGTGCCATACTATTATTTACTTTATCATAAACAAATGTTTGGGGCTTTTCAGTTTATGATCATTGATCATTCAATCATTGGACAGTTATACTACATATTGTTTAAGATTTGAGAAAACTAACATTGATTACATGAGAAGCTGTTTACTATAACCTGTGATTTTGAGTCTTATGATCCATGAAGCTTTTTTATTTTGACAATTTGACTGGAATGGTATTAAACCTGAGTATTTCACATACATGAAATGTTGTCCCATGTCACATATTGTCCCCTTTTCTAACTGAAAACCTCATGTAGAGATGTAAAGATGTGTTAATCTACAGCTCATACCAGATTGTTTGCCATAAATTCCAAAGGGCTATTGATGTATGAATAGCATTTTCTATAAAGTAAAAAATGTCTTCCAATGTATGCAGATAAACCTTGAAATTTGGCAAAACAGCAAAGTATTTTTCATGATCACTAGGTAATTTTTCTGATGATCAGTATAATTTCTAAACTAAATTATTTCAGATTTACATTTAAACGAGCTTTGATCATATGAAAAGATATTTATCATAACCAGTAAGCATGACACATGAACCAATTTTAACATTCATGTAATTATATAATTAAAGACATGTTGGTTACATTCTGTTTGTATTTGCAAATACAATGCTACTAGTGATTGCTATATAGCACACCTTGCATATACTTACAGAAGATAATAGTCTAGTGAAATGCCTAAGAAACATTCATGGCATTAAGCTGTCCTTAACTGCAATTTTCACTTTGATAATTTTCTTAATCTTTGACAGAAAAAATTTTGAGTTTTTCTCAAAAGTGAATTTGCTGGCTCTGATGTGGAGATGGGTAAAGGGTTACAATAAACTTGCATGGTTTGAAGTCTGAGCTTTTCTATATTTATGAGCTGTCACTTGTAGTACCAAATTTCTAACTTAACTTATTACATAGAGGTTTGAATGGGGGTCTCTAGGGGGGTCTATGCCTGACAACTTGGTAGAAATTTTTAAAGACTATATCTGTTTTTGAATAGCATTATTGTAAAATAAATTTTACGTTCCTAGACATGCTAATGAGCCATATATTTGGCATGATAATGAGCCTAAATATTTGGCAAAACATTCAAGTATTGTTCACTTCATTTTTTTGAAAAACGTAAGCAAAATGTGTTGTTTTACCGAAAACGATGCCCACAAAATACATCTTGTATTGCTCTAAAACGCTGAAAATGGCATTTTAGAGGTTCTGAAATTCAAAATTTCTCAGGGGAGAATGCCTCAGACCCCCCGCGGCGCGGAGTGCCTCCGACGTTTTATGACTGATGTTTGAAAAATCCTAGATCCGCCCCTGTCCATAAGCATCTTCTACGTTGTGCTGGCATAAAATTTTATAAATTGCCTTGAAAACTTTCATTCGGCAATTTGTATGTCATTTACTCATCATTTTATCCTATCATATTTGCTCACGTTTTCATTCGTCACTGAAAATGACTTCTTCATTTCAATACGAACACATGTATGCTTTTAAAAAAGTCTCGTTTTCTTCAAATGTTTTGTAAACGTTGTTTGTATCCATTTCAAAATGAACAGTTGCAACATTAATTATAATATGTTGCTTCCAAATTGAATATATAATTTTTGTATGCATGGTTTGTGTAAGCTAAATAATACGAAATTACGAAAAAACTTTTCATGATAATTGTATATTTATACGATAACCGATAATGTTTTGTTTTCTTTATAACACAGAACAGAATATATTATGTGTTCTGTGCTGTTTCTTGTGAGGACATTTATAAACACATGACAGTAAATAAATTTTTATTGCAAACTGTGCCCCGAGCAGTGTATTTGGTGTATTAAACAGCCGAAGTTTTTTTCTTCCTAAAATGTTTTGACCATCCTATAACGAAAGTCTCGTGCGGGTTTTTGCGTAAAAAGTTTACAATCAGCCATGATTTAGAGATTTTCAAGAGTTATGTAATTGTTTATAGTGATATAGAAACTTTATTGCGTGAAACATGCATGTAAAATTTGGTATTGATGAAAATGTGTTCAAAAATCAGCAAAGTTAGCGTTGCCCCCAGCTCTCCCCCCCGACCCTCCCAGATCATCGTGCAGTTACTGTATTTATAAGTATTCAAATATTTTTTTAATGAGAAACATTGTAATAAATCTCTATTAATCATTACATCACTTGTGAATATTGTTATCCACTGCATTCGCGACAATCGTCGTATTTTTACTTTCTCGTTGCATTTTAATTACGTTTGGTTGTAAAGTAGTGTTGAACTGTGTACCTGTACACTGTACGCTGTCTTGTTCCTGACAAATGTGCATAATTCAACGTAGAACAAAAGGTACAAAACGGGAAATTACGCACATAACAACAGCGTGGCTTTGTGTGATTAGAAGACGAGATATGTGTACAAATATCAGTAGCATTTGAACTAGAGTTAATACAGCTCAAGAACTTGGCAAAACTATAGCTCGGTCACCAGACTGCGTACGGTTAAAACTTGTCTAATCTTTGTTTCCTTGATCATTATGGAAGTATGTAATGTGTTGTTTAAATATTAGCTACAAGGAGTCCTCCATTATTGCTTTTCGTTCTAGTATTCAAATTAATAACGCGCATACATATTCAATCACTGAAGAAAACATTTGATTATTTCGTATAGATTTAAAGTAAATGGATGTTAGCACGAGCTTATACTGCTTTTGTCTCAATACTTTAAGACGTGAATAAGATAATTTGGATGTTTAAAATGTCTTTGAATATTCGAGCTTGATGCAAATGATTAAAGTCCTAGTGCTACAAAATATGGTAATCTTTGGAAATTTATATATTCGGATTTGGTAGTATAATCGTGTTAGCGTTGAAATTTTTGATAGAAAATATGTAGTGGGTGCGTGGAAATGACTTCTACACGCTTTCTTTCATTGTGAACTCGTTGCCAAAAATGAATGTATAAAAGTATTCACTAAATCCTTATTTTATATTATTTTAGAACAAGTCTAGATAAGACGTGAATGTTATAAGTGACATAGCCTACACTTAAACTGGAGATTTGTGAATACCTTATGCAAAAGCAAAATGAATCAAAAGACATGGGAAGAGAGAGCCAAAAAACTTGAGCAAAAATATGTTCACAGTGTTTATTCAAGACAGGCACTAAGTTACGATAACTTGTGTGATAGTCCATGGCCGCAAATTGTAAATTTCTTGTTTAGTTTACAATCAGGAAGTTTTGTTGCTGATATAGGTATGAAAAAGCTATAGCAATATATGTGTTTTTGCTTTTAGATAGCCTATTAATTGCCATTATCTGTTTTGTTCCTGATAGGCCTCAATCGATCTTTGTACTTTTTTCCTTGTTTTATTGATGATAAGCCGATTGTTTTCACGTTTTCTCCCTTTAGTGGTTGAAGCTTTGTGATTGAATTTAGGTTGTGGTAACGGCAAATACCTTACATTACGTAATGATGTCATCATTCATGGGGCAGATATATGTTTTGAGTTATCTCAGCTGGCTTATAAACGTCATAGAAATATAGTAGTTGCTAATAATTTAAAACTACCATTCATTACTTCATCAATGGATGCCGTTATATCGGTAGCTGTACTTCATCATTTTGCTTCTATACAAAGAAGGCGTTGTGCTCTGAGAGAGCTCGTTCGCTTACTTAAGCCTGGTGGTCAAATTCTATTATACGTAATTGCTTGGGAACAAAAACATCGAAAGGTTAGTATGTGTGGATTTGCTGTATCTAAATAACAGGATTCAGTTTCAGAAAAAATTTCTATGAATGAAAGTTAAAAGATTTTTCTTGCAAAGCTACTTCATAGTTGTATTAAATGTGCATAAAAACAGATGGTGGATTAATCCTTCAGTCTTTAACATAACCATGTATATAAACACTTATAAGGAATATACAGTAGCTCCACTTCTTGTGCAATTGGCTGCTGTATACTAGATTACTAGTACTGGCTGCCGTTAGCCATTCATTATTCCTATTGGTCAAAAAAAGCAATTGACTGGCTACCACTATGTTAATCACGTGCGCAAGAAGTTATGTGCGACACAACAAAAATTTAATGGAGTGGCTCTACTGTATATTCAATATGCTGTAGTATAACTAAAACAAGGCAATAACATGTATTTCGTGTATTTCTTGTAGTTTGACTCCCAAGATGTTCTTATTCCTTGGACACTTGAAGCTGGCAAGAATCATAGCATCATTAATGTCAGTGAGAACTGCAAAACTAAAGAAACTAATATTATTCAGTCCCATAATTTACTTACAAGCAAATTTAACGGGACAGCTGCTGGTCACACGAGAAAGAAACTAAGAATGAAAGAAGACGAAACCTCAGAGTTTAAAGAAAAACATCTTTGTACATCTCTTTTTGATGCTTTTGAATTGTTTACGAGCGAAACAAAAATAAAACTTCAAAGTTTTGCAAACAGCCGGAAGAATGTCCGCGATGTTGTACGAACAAATAGTGAGTTCAATTTGAACTACAATGATAACGTTCCTGGTACATCTGCACAAGCTAACGAAGTCTTGCTTGCTACACCAAATATGAAGCAAAACTTTCAGAAAAAAGAAATTCCAAATTTTTTTTCTAAAGATGGTAAGAATGTATTGGATCTAAAAAGTCAGAATTCTTCTCTCCATACTGACCGCTTTCAAAGATTTTACCACGTTTTTGTAAAACATGAACTAGCAGAGCTTGTGAGAGAGGTTTCTGGATTGAAAATAATAGAGCAGTTTTACGACCATGGAAATTGGGTTGTCAAAGCAGCAAAGATGCCAGATGTGGCTGACAGTAAAGACATTGGTTAGTGTTTATTTGAAAGTTCATTGGCTAGTGTTCATTTGAAAGTCATTGGCTAGTGTTTATTTGAAAGTTCATTGGCTAGTGTTCGTTTGTAGGTTCATTGGCTAGTGTTCATTTGAAAGTTCTTATACTGCTCAAAGTGGATGGTTCATAATAATTGTGTGCTTGACAACTCCTTCAGACATGATTACAGCGGGTGATAAAACAACCTCTCAGTACCAAAGCCAGAACGTTTTTTACACATGGAATCAATGCAAATATTTGACTTCATTCACTAGAAATCAATTTTCTGCAGAAATGCATACAAAACATGAAATGCTGTAATGTTGAACATGAAGTCAAACACCGGAGAATGCCATAGTTACGGCTCAGATATTTCTGACGTATGATATTTCACAGATGACTTTGAACAACACTGTTCTTGTAACTCAGAAGTAACAATAATAAATCATTCAACAACAATAAACGCTAAACCTTCGCCTTCTCAAACAAGTTCTTTGACGCATCAATTGGCGAACATCCTTTTCTTTACGTCATGACCATTTGTACTCTTCTTTGGGAAGTGTGTATATTCAATCAATGATACTCTTCTGCCTTCAGTAAAATCTCATGTCTACAGTAACCATAGACTTCGTTGATAAATAAGTAGTATTCTGATTTTCCATGTCTACAGTAATGATAGACTTCGTTGATATATAAGTAGTATTTGTTTGCTGTTTGAACGTGAAGTGAAGAGAAAACATTTTTTAGTGAACTTTGCAATGCTACTGCTTTGTCACTTCTAATATTACAAAAAATTGGAATATTATATTCTTTTGAGCTACATCATTATTTCCACTGTAATGAACCGAATCATTTTATTATGCGCTCACCATTCTGGAGTAGCCAATCCTGCAAATTTTTGTAGGCTTTAGTATTGTTTTATAATCTATAGCAAATTGCTTTAGTTAACTTTAGTCCATGTATTTTTAATGTTTTCTGATCGAGGTGGACTCGGTGGGTGGACTGCATCACTTCAAGATTCATTTTAAAGTTTTAGGAGTTCTTGGCATTAATAAGACATTGTTTTCTATACATTGTGTTACTGGACTAGCATGCTAAAAGTGTTTCCCCTGAAGTGTTGTACTAGTTTCTCTCTTAGTTCACCATTAACCTGCAATGTGAGGAAAAAAACACTGAAAAACTACGAGAAAAAACCCGGAAAAATGCTTTAAATCTCATCCACCCCTCCCCTCCCCCCCGCCAAAACTTTTCGTAACATGCGCAGTTATTGTGTTGTTTTGAATGCGCTCTGACGTTCTCATACTTATATCAAAATGGAAGGAAAACTTTGCCAAGAAAAGTACGAATTTATCTCATTAAATGAGTGCGTTGACGCTTTTGAGAAGATGAAAGAAGGTTTTAATTCGGGAGAATTATGTGACATAACTCTTATTGTTGGTGATAAAAAGATCCATGCTCACAAAGTAGTTTTGAGTTCAGTAAGTCCCTATTTTAAAGCAATGTTTACCTGTGGTATGTCTGAGGCTAATAAAGATGTAGTCACGATTAAAGATGTCGATGAAGAAATATTTCACCTACTTATTGAATACATATACACCCATCGAGTGCTAATTCAACTTGATAACGTTCAAAGTTTGTTGCAGTGCGCAAATATTTTGCAACTTGATAGTGTTGTCACTGCATGTTGTAATTTCATCTATAGTCATCTTAATATTTCCAACTGTTTAAGTGTTCGCAATTTTTTGGAGGCCAACGGTTGTTCTAAAGTAGTTTGCAAAGTCGATGCATTTATAGAGCTTCATTATGTTGAGATAATAAAATCGCCTGAATTTCTTGACATAAGTTTCAGTCATTTTAAGCAATTACTTTCCGGCAGTAATTTGAATGTACCAAATGAGGAGGTTGTTTTCAAAAGTGTCATCAAATGGATCCATCACTCTAGTACTGAGCGGCACAATCATATTGGTTCATTGATGACATATGTTCGTCTGCCAATGCTTCCAGTTTTATCATTAATTTCCATGGTTGAAAAGGAAGCATTGATTTCAAAAGTTATTGCATGCCGGGATCTTATTGATGAAGCAAAGAATTTTCATTTATGTCCGGACAAAGTTCCATCATCTGCTAGAATATTTCCTCGAAAGTCTTATTCAGGCATGTTGTTTTCTATTGGTGGTCGAGGTAAGGGAGGTGATCCATTTAGCAAAATGGAGATTTTCAATTGGTTGGAGAACCATTGGATATCCGGCCCCAGAATGCTGATGCCTCGACGACATGTTGCTGCTGCTGAAATTAATGGAGTCATATATGCTATTGGCGGGCACAATGGAAGCGAGCATTTAAATACTGTGGAAAGTTTCGATCCCAAAGTAGGCTCATGGGTGCTACGTAAGTCTATGTCTATTTGTCGTCGTGGAATGTCTGTTGGAATTTTGAATAACATGTTGTATGCTATTGGTGGTCTTGATGAATCAACATGTTACAATCGTGTTGAAAGGTTTGTGAAATTGGTTTTGATAATATCTTAATGTGTGGAGTTACATTAGCATGGTTTTCTGATTCCAAAGATATGACCCTGTGCTTGATGAATGGTTAGAAATGGCCCCGATGAAACTCCAACGAGGTGGTGTAGGTGCTATTGCTTTTGATGGATTTCTTTATGCTGTTGGTGGTAATAATGGTAGTTGTTCCCTGTCTTCAGTGGAGAAGTATGACCCACATCGTAATTTATGGTGTGATGTACCTTCCATGAAACAAGAAAGGGCTGGTAGAGTTATATTTTTTCTCATTTTGATATTTCTTGTTTATTGAATTTCTGTCTATATTGTAAGATGGTTTTTAGACCAAATAATATGTTTATGGCAAATTTCTCTTTTGTTTAACCATTTATAAAGGTCTTGGAGTGGCTGTCCTAAGTAATTATTTGTATGCTGTTGGCGGCTTTGATGATTCACTTCCTTTGCAATCTGTGGAAAGGTATGATATTCAAACAGACACATGGAGTATCATATCCACTATGAACTCTTGTCGAGGTGGTGTTGGAGTTTGTACTATGGGAAAAATGATTTGGGCTGTTGGTGGTCATGATGGGATGAACTATTTAAATTCTGTTGAATACTATGACATTTCAACTGGAACATGGAGTTTAGTTAGTTCCATGGAGGTTGGTCGTGCTGGTGCTGGTGTAGTGACATGTCATTGCGACATTGACAAGTTTGGTAAAACACATGTTATGGCTGAAACTGCAGTCGTATGATTATAAATTTACTCGCAAACCATTTGAGTGATAACTTGATCATGGCATTATAAGAGGAAATCTACTTTAAACATTATTTAAGATGCTTCATTGTAAATGATAATGACGTTGATATCAATTCGAAATATTACTTGTAAATTTTATCTTGTCTTATTAATGTAACTTGTATCTTGAGTTGACGAGATGATGTTTTTGGAAATATGTTTTATCTTATATTTCTGTAAATTCTCGGCTGGAAAAGATCCTAGCATTATTTGCTAGACTTTCGCGGAAACAATCTTTTGAGAAAAGATAAATGTTCCTAAAATTCCCAAAAACTTTTAAAAAGTGGTTATAATTTTTGTTCAATGTTCTTCGCGTTTGTGTTATCGTTTCATTTAAGTTAATTTACTTTATTATTTTTTCAATTTGCGTAGTCTAAAATGTAAGATATAGTGTTTAGTAACCAGCCAGGTTTATCGTCAGCTTATTGTGTTATAGCCAACATGTGAATTTTTTGTAGTTGTTATTTACAAAAATTGGCGGACGATAAAGAGAGTGCAAAGCTCGACAAAAAAGTGTTGGCTGGTTACGTTACTGCGGCTGTAAATATTGTCTAGTCTAATATATAAAATTAATAAAAATTCTTTATCTGTGTGATTCTATTCTTGATGTGATTTTGTAGCTACTTGCGCAATTACTCATTTAAAAATCCAAAACACTTGAGCAAGTCATTACATAAAGAAAAGCGAATACACAAGATGAAAAGTTCTTTCCAGTAATCGATAAACTCCATAGCGTGGGGTTGAACATCGAAGAGGGTTGTTTTGATCAGTTCTATTATGGCTGACCTTTCTGACGACATTGTAATGAATATATTACCAATGAAACCGTCTGCAAACGGACGGAGAAATGGAATAAAATTTCCCAGAACTCTGCATGGGTTTACTTGAAACTGTTCAAGCAACTGTGATGAATTCTGCGGGAAAAAAATTGATATGATTGGTGCACCTAATTGCAACACTTGATTCGTTAGATCTCGTTCTGTTGTGTATAAAATATACTGCAATTCTCTGGTCAGCGAATCACACCAAATTTGAAGAAGTGGAGCCATAGTGAACGTATCAATAAAACGTGGAGCTGCATGCGGTCGATTATCCATCGAGCGCCAGACTAGATGATCTTGTCTTCCACGAAGATGAAACCGGTCGAGTGAAAAACTTTCTGCCAAAACATCTTTTTGCTCGATTTGATCAAAGAAACCACGAAAGTCGGCAAAAGTAGCAAGACCTTCTGAAATGCAAGACCACATTTCGTCTTTGCTGTTTCTTGCATGTAAGCACTCAGCCTCGGCAAATTTAAAAACTCCTCGAAACGCTTGAATATACGATCTTGCTTTTTCTGCATTTATTTTTCCCACATGATGCTTGTCGCTACAATGTTCTATCGCTTTTGGTATCAAACGGGAAGAAGCCAAGCGAAAGATTCATATTGCATCATTTATTTGTTCCTTGTTACGGTATAAAATACCCAAAGTGATTGCAGCAACAATAATGCTTTGCGAAAGAATTGATGCCCAGATCTCATTTCCTTTAGGACAACGAAATCGCAAAAAGAGTTCAATGATTTTTTCAAATTGTTGTATGACCCTTTCCTCGTTCTGCATGCCATTTATCAGTAAGATGTAGGCGTGATAGAGTATGCGCATAAAGTCACCATTTCCCGTGTAATGTCTTGCATTTAACATTGCCTTCTCAAGACAGGGATCATCATAGCTGCCAAGCATAACACGACAACTGCCGATCATGAATAAAGCTGAATTCTCAAAAAGACTGTTTACGACGCCACCTTTAGACTGCATGACTGACTCATAAAGCACTTGGGCTGCGAGAAATTTGACCAAAGCCTCGTTGTATGATCTTTGACGGTAATCCAATAAACCCGCGATAAACATCTGATATGAGCATGTAGTCACCTGCGTGACGGAATCTAGATCATGAACTGTGGATTCACTTGCTTCTTTGGCAGTGTTCAAAAATGTTCTTACTTGCTCAACGTCGTCTTGATGGAAAGATGCCATGGCCGCTATCAAGCAAGATAAAATCTTCCATTGTGAGTTATTGCCGTCGTTTATAGAGTTAAGGATGATTCTTGTGTACCGAGAAGAGTAATCAGGATTGAGACAGGATAAATAAGCCAAACATACCCTCTGCAACTCTTCACTTTGCGAATCATTGTATGCTTGAACAAACCTATCACTCATTACGTTAAAGTAGCGATATGAAGTGAAGGCAAGAGCAATGGCAGAGTTAAAATGTGAATATTCATAAAATTTTACATTAAAACTTGATTTTAACGGTTGTTGTACTGTTTGGTCGCGAAGGTTGAGCATAAACATTTTTACCGCTTTCTGAAATGGGAGAACTGTATAGAAAAAACGAATGCACAAGTCTCGAACTACGTCCAGATTGATGTCGACAGACTGATCAAAGAAGGAAAAGATTTCGTCTTGTCGTCCACATCGTAAGTAAGCCATTAAACGCAACTCGTTAACAATGCTTACCACAACGAAGAGATTATGATGAACATCATTTGAAATGATATCGTCATCTCTTAGTCGATCCAAAATGCTCCATGGTGTCTTGTTAACAACGCTTTTGTGCTGAAACTTACCAATGTTGCTGATAAGCATTCCAACCGATCGGTAAAGTTTCTTTTTAATTGAGGAAATCATACCAAAATCCCTGGATGTCAGTGAATAATGAAACTGCTCAAATGCATTCTTAAGACATTTAAAGGCGGAGGATTTTCTTGGATTCAGAGTCTCATTGTCAACAGAGATATCAGATTTGGATTGAACACTGTCACTGAACATGTCGACAAGCTCTTTTTTGCCGTAGAGAAAATAAATGTTGCTTAACACAGAAGATAGGTGATAGTTGTTTTCCAAGTTTGCACCTTGATCATGTTTCAGTGAGTTAATATATAGATCAGCGAGTTCTTTTGGCGTCTTGATGAGATCTTTATTTTTCCCCCTACCCTGAACAATTGAACCAAGAGGAGTCTTACAAGCTTGACTCATGCGACCATCCAAGGAAAATCCTCTCATTTCATCATCGTAAAACCCTTTGCCTTTTGGAAATGGCCATTCAACTGCATCGACCTTTTCTAGGTGGTTATCACAGGATTGTGATGAACATTTGAATTTAGACAAGGTACTTGTCAAGGCATTGTTTTCATCATTCAAGGATGGAATGCACATTGTCGGCAAAATTGTTTCTTGTAGATTGATCACTTTATAGGTAAAATATTCTAATAATTTGACAAAATATTGTTTAACTGGAGCATTGCTCGTGCCCTCATCTACCAATAAAGCAAACTCCAAATCACTATATGGCGTCACTTCACATCTAGCAAACGATCCAAATGCAATAAAGGCAAAGCCTATTTCACCAGGGGGCTCTCCAATGACTTTCACACATTCGTCTATCAACGAATTGAAACAATCTCGCACAAACTCACGAATCTCGGCAAAAAGCTCTCTTATTTCTTCAGCTCGCTTAACCTCCATTTGAGTATCTCTGTCGTGAAGAGGTGATGTAAATATAGCATAGGTTTTTTGAATAGTGTTCAATTTCTCTCGACAGTCATTGCGGAAGTCGTATAGAAGCTTCTTATGGTCTTCGACTCTGTCAACATCGTATTTAAAATCATTGCCTTTCTCGTCTGCCCGGTCACAAAGTGAAATAATGTCATCTTCAATTTGAAGAAGTTTTTTTTTCACTTCTTTCCTTTTGTTTTCATCATTGTTTCGAAGGAGACTTGCGTTATAAAGTGCTGTCGCTACAACATACTGATCTAAACGAGAGAACAACGATATTGAATCGTCGACGACACATCCTCGATTGTAGTAAACATCGCCGAGTTTTTTCAATGCTATTGCCTCTTTGTCTCTGTTTTGATCGTCGTAAGCTATTTTCAAAGCTTTTACAATTTCTAACTCACGATGCCAACTTGAACAGGAATGTCGTTCACACTTATTTAGTGCATTTTCAAACGAGAGAGCAACAGACAACGCCATGCTGTAGCGTAAATGAAAACAAACAACTCGGACAAATTTTCTCCGCCTTATACAGAAGAAATCAATGTTTGAGAATAGTAACTAAAGCATAATTTCCTGCAATTCCGATCCCGAGAACACATGCTGTCTCATTTTTACAATGTTTATGCTTGTGTTGGGATTTTTCCAAGTAAAATATGCTTACAAAGCTTTTATTGTGATAAGTAGTACTATTCTTGGCTAGATTCTTGGAATCTTTATTGGTGTCAGCGATAGTCAAAAATACGTTTTTACATACTAAATATTTTGTCCCCTTCACTGTTCTTTTTTCTTGTCTTTCTCCAATATTGAGTTCAAGAATCAGTATGGTCTTTCATTTCAATATTAAATAATGTAGATTATATGTTAATTTTGACACATATTTATTCCCCGCAACGTATGTATTAGCCTTTTGCAATACTTGGAATTACATGTCTTTAAAAGAGCACTTGCTGACATTGAGATATTTATTTCGTACACATTTGCTATTCACCATTTATGCTGCAATATCCGACTAAGTACATTTTAAACAATACTTAATGTTGTGTGACATTATCCGAGTTATTTTTCCCGTACTTGTGTTAATTAAAGTAAACTTGTATCTACGACTTCTAGTCCTCGGACAATGATTACAAGTGCACCAAGGAACAATCATAATTTCTTGTTCTTCTCTGACTTTTTCATGTTCACGAACATCTCTAGTTTTACGTAATACTTCGGTAATGTTTTTTTCGATCCAAATTCGTTTTCTACAGGAGTACAAACATGGCTGTGGGTTCTTGCTAGCCTTCCATAAACCTGTTATAAATTGAGCAGTTAGAAAATGCGGATTTTTGTCTATTCAAAACATGCATCACACACGTATTTTGCAAAGAAGTGTCATATGCTCAAATCTCCCGGCAATTAAAATACATACACAAAGAGACTAAAGAAGCTTAACAACAATTAAAATTGTTCAATTCTATTTCCAGCTTAGTTGCCTGTACACTGTTCTGTGAAATACATGTTGTGAATGTTGTGAAAGTCATTGTGTTATCATGATTTTAAAAACAAATGCATTCTTAAGACATTTAAAGGCGGAGGATTTTCTTGGGTTCAGAGTCTCATTGTCATCAGAGATATCAGATTTGGATTGAACACTGTCACTGAACATGTCGACAAGTTCTTTTTTGCCATAGAGAAAATAAATGTTGCTTAACACAGAAGATAGGTGATAGTTGTTTTCCAATATTACTTGTAAATTTTATCTTGTCTTATTAATGTAACTTGTATCTTGAGTTGACGAGATGATGTTTTTGGAAATATGTTTTATCTTATATTTCTGTAAATTCTCGGCTGGAAAAGATCCTAGCATTATTTGCTACACTTTCGCGGAAACAATCTTTTGAGAAAATATAAATGTCCCTAAAATTCCCAAAAACTTTTAAAAAGTGGTTATAAGTTTTGTTCAATGTTCTTCGCATTTGTGTTATCGTTTCATTTAAGTTAATTTACTTTATTATTTTTTTCAATTTGTGTAGTCTAAAATGTAAGACATACTGTTTAGTAACCAGCCAGCTTTATCTCTAGCTTATTATGGTATAGTCATTATGTGAATTTTTCTGTAGTTGTTATTTACAAAAATTGGCGGACGATAAAGAGAGTGCAAAGCACGACAAAAACGTGTTGGCTGGTTACGTTACTGCGGCTGTAAATATTGTCTAGTCTAATATATAAAATTAATAAAAATTCTTTATCTGTGTGATTCTATTCTTGATGTGATTTTGTAGCTACTTGCGCAATTACTCATTTAAAAATCCAAAACACTTGAGCAAGTCATTACATAAAGAAAAGCGAATACACAAGATGAAAAGTTCTTTCCAGTAATCGATAAACTCCGTAGCGTGAGGTTGAACATCGAAGAGGGTTGTTTTGATCAGTTCTATTATGGCTGACCTTTCTGACGACATTGTAATGAATATATTACCAATGAAACCGTCTGCAAACGGACGGAGAAATGGAATAAAATTTCCCAGAACTCTGCATGGGTTTACTTGAAACTGTTCAAGCAACTGTGATGAATTCTGTGAGGAAAAAATTGATATGATTGGTGCACCTAATTGCAACACTTGATTCGTTAGATCTCGTTCTGTTGTGTATAAAATATACTGCAATTCTCTGGTCAGCGAATCACACCAAATTTGAAGAAGTGGAGCCATAGTCAACGTATCAGTAAAACGTGGAGCTGCATGCGGTCGATTATCCATTGAGCGCCAGACTAGATGATCTTGTCTTCCACGAAGATGAAACCGGTCGAGTGAAAAACTTTCTGCCAAAACATCTTTTTGCTCGATTTCATCAAAGAAACCACGAAAGTCGGCAAAAGTAGCAAGACCTTCTGAAATGCAAGACCACATTTCGTCTTTGCTGTTTCTTGCATGTAAGCACTCAGCCTCGGCAAATTTAAAAACTCCTCGAAACGCTTGAATATACGATCTTGTTTTTTCTGCATTTATTTTTCCAACATGATGCTTGTCGCTACAATGTTCTATCGCTTTTGGTATCAAACGGGAAGAAGCCAAGCGAAATATTCGTATTGCATCATTTATTTGTTCCTTGTTACGGTATAAAATACCCAAAGCGATTGCAGCAACAATAATGCTTTGCGAAAGAATTGATGCCCATATCTCATTTCCTTTAGGGCAACGAAATCGCAAAAAGAGTTCAATGATTTTTTCAAATTGTTGTATGACCCTTTCCTCGTTCTGCATGCCATTTATCAGTAAGATGTAGGCGTGATAGAGTATGCGCATAAAGTCACCATTTCCCGTGTAATGTCTTGCATTTAACATTGCCTTCTCAAGACAGGGATCATCATAGCTGCCAAGCATCACAAAGCAACTGCCGATCATGAATAAAGCTGAATTCTCAAAAAGACTGTTTACGACGTCACCTTTAGACGGCATGACTAACTTATAAAGCACTTGGGCTGCGAGAAATTTGACCAAAGCCTCGTTGTATGATCTTTGACGGTAATCCAATAAACCCGCGATAAACATCTGATATGAGCATGTAGTCTTCTGCGTGACGGAATCTGGATCATGAACAGTGGATTCACTTGCTTCTTTGGCAGTGTTCAAAAATATTCTTACTTGCTCAACGTCGTCTTGATGGAAAGATGCCATGGCCGCTATCAAGCAAGATAAAATCTTCCATTGTGAGTTATTGCCGTCGTTTATAGAGTTAAGGATGATTCTTGTGTACCGAGAAGAGTAATCAGGATTGAGACAGGATAAATAAGCCAAACATACCCTCTGCAACTCTTCACTTTGCGAATCATTGTATGCTTAAACAAACCTATCACTCATTTCATCAAAGTAGTGATGTGAAGTGAAAGCAAGAGCAATGGCAGAGTTAAAATGTGAATATTCATAAAATTTTACATTAAAACTTGATTTTAACGGTTGTTGTACTGTTTGGTCGCGAAGGTTGAGCATAAACATTTTTACCGCCTTCTGAAATGGGAGAACTGTATAGAAAAAACGAATGCACAAGTCTCGAACTACGTCCAGATTGATGTCGACAGACTGATCAAAGAAGGAAAAGATTTCGTCTTGTCGTCCACATCGTAAGTAAGCCATTAAACGCAACTCGTTAACAATGCTTACCACAACGAAGAGATTATGATGAACATCATTTGAAATGATATCGTCATCTCTTAGTCGATCCAAAATGCTCCATGGTGTCTTGTTAACAACGCTTTTGTGCTGAAACTTACCAATGTTGCTGATAAGCATTCCAACCGATCGGTAAAGTTTCTTTTTAATTGAGAGAATCATACCAAAATCCCTGGATGTCAGTGAATAATGAAACTGTTCAAATGCATTCTTAAGACATTCAGAGGCGGAGGATTTTCTTGGGTTCAGAGTCTTATTGTCAACAGAGATATCAGATTTGGATTGAACACTGTCACTGAACATGTCGACAAGTTCTTTTTTGCCATAGAGAAAATAAGTGTTGCTTAACACAGAAGATAGGTGATAGTTGTTTTCCAAGTTTGCACCTTGATCATCTTTCAGTGATTTAATATATAGATCAGCGAGTTCTTTTGGCGTCTTGATGAGATCTTTATTTTTCCCCCTACCCTGAACAATTGAACCAAGAGGAGTCTTACAAGCTTGACTCATGCGACCATCCAAGGAAAATCCTCTCATTTCATCATCGTAAAACCCTTTGCCTTTTGGAAATGGCCATTCAACTGCATCGACCTTTTCTAGGTGGTTATCACAGGATTGTGATGAACATTTGAATTTAGACAAGGTACTTGTCAAAGCATTGTTTTAATCATTCAAGGATGGAATGCACATTGTCGGCAAAATTGTTTGTTGTAGATTGATCACTTTATAGGTAAAATATTCTAATAATTTGACAAAATATTGTTTAACTGGAGCATTGTTCGTGCCCTCATCAACCAATAAAGCAAACTCCAAATCACTATATGGCGTCACTTCACATCTAGCAAACGATCCAAATGCAATAAAGGCAAAGCCTATTTCACCAGGGGGCTCTCCAATGACTTTCACACATTCTTCTATCAACGAATTGAAACAATCTCGCACAAACTCACGAATCTCAGCAAAAAGCTCTCTTATTTCTTCAGCTCGCTTAACCTCCATTTGAGTATCTCTGTCGTGAAGAGGTGATGTAAATATAGCATAGGTTTCTTGAATAGTGTTCAATTTCTCTCGACAGTCATTGCGGAAGTCGTTTAGAAGCTTCTTATGGTCTTCGACTCTGTCAACATCGTATTTAAAATCATTGCCTTTATCGTCTGCCCGGTCACAAAGTGAAATAATGTCATCTTCAATTTGAAGAAGTTTTTTTTTCACTTCTTTCTTTTTGTTTTCATCATTGTTTCGAAGGAGACTTGCGTTATAAAGTGCTGTTGCTACAACATACTGATCTAAACGAGAGAACAACGACATTGAATCGTCGACGACACATCCTCGATTGTAGTAAACATCGCTGAGTTTTTTCAATGCTATTGCCTCTTTGTCTCTGTTTTGATCGTCGTAAGCTATTTTCAAAGCTTTTACAATTTCTAACTCACGATGCCAACTTGAACAGGAATGTCGTTCACACTTATTTAGTGCATTTTCAAACGAGAGAGCAACAGACAACGCCATGCTGTAGCGTAAATGAAAACAAACAACTCGGACAAATTTTCTCCGCCTTATACAGAAGAAATCAATGTTTGAGTATAGTAACTAAAGCATAATTTCCTGCAATTCCGATTCCGAGAACACATGCTGTTTCATTTTTACAATGTTAATGCTTGTGTTGGGAATTTTTCCAAGTAAAATATGCTTACAAAGCTTTTATTGCGATAAGTAGTACTATTCTTGGCTAGATTCTTGGAATCTTTATTGGTGTCAGCGATAGTCAAAGATACGTTTTTACATACTAAATATTTTGTCCCCTTCACTATTCTTTTTTCTTGTCTTTCTCCAATATTGAGTTCAAGAATCAGTATGGTTAGTCATTTTAGTATTAAATAATGTAGATTATATGTTAATTTTGACACATATTTATCCCCCGCAATGTATGTATTAGCCTTTTGCAATACTTGGAATTACATGTCTTCAAAAGAGCACTTGCTGACATGAGATATTTATTTCGTTCACATTTGCTATTCACCATATATGCTGCAATATCCGACTAAGTACATTTTAAACAATACTTAATGTTGTGTGACATTATCCGAGTTATTTTTCCCGTACTTGTGTTAATTAAAGTAAACTTGTATCTACGACTTCTAGTCCTCGGACAATGATTACAAGTGCACCAAGGAACAATCATAATTTCTTGTTCTTCTCTGACTTTTTCATGTTCACGAACATCTCTAGTTTTACGTAATACTTCGGTAATGTTTTTTTCGATCCAAATTCGTTTTCTACAGGAGTACAAACATGGCTGTGGGTTGCTGCTAGCCTTCGATAAACCTGTTATAAATTTAGCAGTTAGAAAATGCGGATTTTTGTCTATTCAAAACATGCATCACACACGTATTTTGCAAAGAAGTGTTATATGCTCAAATCTCCCTGCAATTAAAATACATACACAAAGAATCTAAAAGAGACTAAAGAAGCTCAACAACAATTAAAATTGTTCAATTCTATTTCCAGCCTAGTTGCCTGTACACTGTTCTGTGAAATACATGTTGTGAATGTTGTGAAAGTCATTGTGTTATCATGATTTTAAAAACACCCTATGTTTTTACTCATGAGGTCAAAAAGCTAACAAAAGAACTTAGATGTTATAAAGAAGTTATAATACGGGCGTCATTTATCATTTCTCATATTTATAGAGTGATCCATATGTTCATTTGTTGTAAAGGAAACAGATTTGAAGATTATGAATAGGAAAACTAGGAAATTGACATTACAGAAGTGGACTAGGGAGATAGCTGAAAACTGCTTCGAACATTTTTTGTCACACTAGAAAAGCGAGAAAAACATTTTGTGACTGGGCTATTGTATATATTCCCAGGCTACTTAACTCATCCTGTATCCACAATGTTAAATAAAAATATCATGTATGTGGGTAATTTTTCTAACCATTTAAGCAGTCTTCGACTTGGCTAAATGACCTCTTGAAACGATCCCACTGAAACTGAGAAAAATAAAATGTTAGTATTTAGTAGAGGCAACATACCAGACACGCATATTAAATAAATCATTACTCGGCAATTAGATGAATTCATCTTAACTTTTCTTCCGACAATTATAGAAGTTAAAATATTCCTCTTTGCCTTATTAAAATGTTCTTATTCAGAGCAAATCGTATGAAAAATATACTTTTATAAACATACAAATGCTAGCATGCAAGCAATCATTGTATTCATCATTGTATACTTCATTACAAGTTGTGATGGGAGGTTACATACCTTATTGTTAATGTAGTCAAGAATTTGAAGTTCTAAAATATATAATATTAAAGTAAACATAATGGTGATTCGACAAAAAATAAGTATTAATTTTTATATCAAAGTATAACGCGCCTACACTGAAACGTATAATTACCATTTTGAGGCTCACTTTTCACCGCAAAAGTGCTCCTCGTTGAAATAACTTGCATTATAATCAAAACATAAAATAACCTAAAAAATCAAAATTTGATAATACTTGGTGAGATTATTGTCAGTGCAGACCAATGTTGCAGACAGTGGTTTCTTACAATATCCGTATATTTTGTTTTGCGAACATGAACAGAATTATTTTCATCAATGTCATTTGAATTAATGTAATTCTTACACGATAATCAAGTTTGATCTTTCTTTTGACATTCCTAATGTATTTTAACGATTAAACATCGCTCATTCCTCTATTTATTGACAAGCCATATCAAACTACAATTTTGGCAACGGGCCGACACCATAGTGCGCGATTCATGAAAGATTAGTAAAACGTGAATGACGAAAATATCTTCCCTGTGCAAGTGAATAAGAGTAATCCATGCAGCATGCAACATTAGTTAGAAAAACTTCTTATAAATAGTACGACATGCCGAACAAAGTACTAAAAGTTATTAAACACTTTACAGTTTAGTCCTTCGATCTTACCTTTTCATGTTAAACGAATCAGAAATATACGTAAACATTGTGCGTATTTCGACAAGAGAAAACATGTACTATGACATATATATACATATATATAGCTCACCCGTAGGCACTAAAAAGAACTTCAAAACGCGACAGTAGTTTGATAAAAAAATCATTAATCATAAGCATATAACAAGGCAATGTTGTTTCGCAAGTTTGTTAAAATGAATGTTTAATAAACCACACCACATGCGCATTGAATATGGGGTAATTCCAAAATTATACCTTATTTTCTTTCATATTTTGTATTTAACAGAATTTCTTTTAAAAATATATATCTCAACGTTTCGCAATTCTTTTTCAGATCAGAAACATTATATGTAGCTCAGAGAACAAAAATATGCAAAGAAGCAGTTATAATGTCACATTAAAGAAGGTTGATATACATGAGAAAGCTTTTAGATTCAATCTTATAACATAGGAAAAGTAAACTTGAGATTTGAGAAATACTTTAGAAGCACTGCCATTTTACACACAGGTGCTTGTTGACATTAGCTATGAATACGATTACAGCAGAAAATGTAGCCCCACATTATGATTCTTTAATTACCCTTTAATTACCCTTAATATCTTACCAAATGAGATTTTTGTTTCTTTTTTTGTGCATAAGGTAGATAAATGTCAAACAGCAAGTCCACAAATACATACTAAAAAACAAATATGTTGTTAATTGCCGGTGTTACTTAATACTTTAATGGGAAAATGCTGACACACAGCGCAAGAAGTAAAATACTCGACAAGGCATCTGCACCTTCCTTCTCCTTAAAAAAAATCGGGCTAAAATAGCATTTCATTGTTATTTGGAGAAAATATTTCTTGTCTCCTTCGCAAAAATGGCTTTCATGCATCTAGACTTCAATAATGAATAATTTTGCTAGTCAGACACGGGCGTGACACAATCATTATAAACCAATTTAGTTGAATTTTTAGAGGATTTTCTTTTGAAACATTTGCACTTCCATTTATGAAGGTTAAATTAACTTGTGTGTAAAAGTTGCGCAGTACATTTCTGAAAAATGTTATAATCTCGACATAACACAAGTTATAGCATATTCTTTTAATCCAAATGTTAATTTACAAACTTTATTAACCAAAACAGTAAATTTAACGTAAATTAAAAGAAAAAACTGATAAATTCATACTAGTCCAAAATAAAATTATAATTAGTATAAGGAAAAATCTATGATTTCATTCAGATAGAGGTCCATCATTTGGAAATGTCGTTATAAAACAACTTTTTTATCATCTGGCTATTAAATCATCCTAGCTCAGGAGAAGGTCCCACCCCAGCGCCACCTTTCATGTATCTACAACTGCCATCATTACGCTAAGAAACTCTGGATGGCTTTACATTCTTTTAAATTTCAAAATTTCATCAATAGGTGCACACGTTGAGTCTATCATGCAAATACACGAGTATCAATTTGATATGACGCGTGATTACGTAAGTAATAGTTAGTCAATAATTTTCCAAACAACAGATATAATATCATGAAAATTTCTTTGACATATACATATAAAAATACGCTTGTTACGCACATATACAGAAGTACAACAAATACCAACTCAGCAAAACATCACATCATCACAAAAGTGAAGTTGAATTTTTTTGTAGTTGGTAAAAAAATACATATAGTTTAGTTTCATGTCATCTTATAGTCGTCGGCAAAAATGTACAAACCTAATTCACAAATCATAAATATACATTGATTATACATACTGTACATGTGGCTCACTTCTCTTTAAGCTTCACAGATCTCAAATACTGATTGGAGAGTTTTAAAATGAGAGGCTTAGCACTGCATGCGTATAATGCATTTGAACATTGATGAATTCATATGCTAGTGCAACCTCTCTCCTTCAATATTTAACCTCTGTGTGAAGTGCAGGAGTCACCCTAAATATGGTGACGATCTGAGGCAACACTGTTTAGAAAAATTGCATACATATATAATTTTCTTTACCTTTTGTGAGTTAAAAAAGTTCTTTTGCAACATCGATCCTTCTTATAATTGATAAACACAAACTATCTGTGACCTCTGTCTACACTTGTCTATCGATACCATGATCAATAGTCGTTATCTTATCACGGAAACCATAATTATTCTTAGTTAGTTTTCATTTTACTTGAATAGTATAGTTATCTGTATGGTTGGCGCTGCACGGATATTTATTCGCTTGAATAGAAATTAACTTGTGCCATAATAAAGAAAAACAATTCTGAAATATTATAGTTCGTCATATAACTTTAAATTTGGCACCTCCCTCGGTTTGTTAAATATGGTAATAATTTTGAACTATTCTGATAAGTCAGAGCTTTGTTGCTTTGTCGGCACATGCATTCATGAAACATTTAAAAGAATGTGATTAAACCACAAACTAATGTTAATTTTGATTTTCAACAATTCTTTTTAGTATGATCTAGTAGTCATTTACAATAGTAAATACGCTATTCCAAGTAGCGTTTAACTTATAAAGTGTTATGACGTCCATTTAATCTTGTTACACTGATAAATTTTTTTACAATTTTTTCAACGACATCTTTCAACAAAATAAGAACAACATGTTTGAGTGTGAATCATTCATCGCACTTCGAAGAATCCAAGTTATAATTACACAAAAAATGCATGTCCTATAATTTCGCTCAATGACTTGAACTAAAAACTTCTCGAATATTCTTTAAAGCTTCTAGAACTTTCATCTTTCCCAATAAACAGACGTCGGAATGTAAATATTTTAAGGTAAATATACATCGGTAAGACAGGATTTTTCCAACGCACATCAATGGGAAAAAATTTTTGTATATAGCTACAATTACAGCAATTATCAAATGGAATAAACACAGTTGATAATATTAATTTTCACAGTTACACAAAGCAAAATGCCATTTAAATGGAAAATAAATGTGAGATTTCTACAAGTTTCTAAATTGCCTCATCCGTTATTCAAGATCTCTTGAAATAGTCTTAATCACAATAAAATTTCTACAAATTTCTAAATTACCTTTATTACTTCTTTTAATGAGGTCTACCGTCTACTAATCGGTAAAAACTACTAGTAAAATGCACTCGGTGTAGTGTTGTAACAATTACTCATTACGTCTAAACCAGTTATTTCCTATATTCATAAATTCAAGTTTCATGTTCATATGTTCAGCTGTCTGTAAACGATTGTTGATATTGCTTTTCCAGACGTCCAATGAAGAATTATCCAAGGGCAATAAATCATTTTTGACAACCACTCTTGATCCATTAAACTTCATTGAGTCTTCTCTTCTTCGTTAAATGTGCAATACTTCCACTTTTTTCAATTTCATTTAAAAAATGAAGAATACTTTGTTTATTTTTGTGAAGATCACCGATTTCATCAATAAGATTCCATACAAAGTAAGGATAAATGATGAAAACTTGTAGATCGGTGACAACGACACTGAAAAAGGTTAATTAACATCTCATTGGTCCAAATGCGCTGTGCCATTGAATTCCCAATGTCACTATTCTAACTACACGTAAAACTGGCTCAATGTTTCAACAAGTATGAACAAGTTTCGCTATTCATTTTTCTAGGACTAAATAAAATTGGTTCGGTTATTTTTAACTATTCATAATCTTCAAGCATTATTACTCACGAAAAAATATTCTTATACATCTTAAAATGACACAGCAAAGCGTACATTATTCCATGAGTCTCGGTAAACAATTAAGCTCCAATTCTAGCATTTTGATGGGACGTTTTACGATACAAAATATCATTTCAGAGAGTTGGAGTTTAGATTAAGCAGCGATACACAATGAATTGACAACATTCACATCAATCTGCGTTATCTTTAACCAAGTACTTGTTCAACGCCATAATAAATTTGTCAGCTTTGTCAATGTTGGACTAAAATCAAAAATATATAAACATGATTTTACTGCCATAACACAAAAGGGAGTAAACATTACGAGATATTCCCATGTATAGATAGAAGTCCATGCTACTTTTAACAACGTCTTATGTTAGAGCTGTTCGCCAGAGGCGACAAGTTGCTTGTAAAAACTACTTCAGATGTACAACGATGGCTGATAAAACATTTTGTGGCGTGATATGATCATATAAAGTTGAAGAGATTTGATCAGTGAGCCCACTGGGAGAGGCCTGCGCCACAGCTGGTTAAATGGTTATAGAGTTATCAATCACAATATATAAATGATTAAAAATGATCGCATGGGGAGAAAAATAAGTAAATAAGAAATCAACATGGCTACAGTAAAAGTATGTCAATTGTTCTAAGTATGTAAACGCACGATATGAGTAATGTATGTATGTTACCTGTATTTTAATAACTAGATTTTTCCTTTTCATTTTAAGAAGTTGATCAACTTTCTATGAAAAAAGTATAGTCGCGTAAAAATAACCAAATATTGAGTTCAAGAATAAGTTGCACCCCGTCCCACAAACTCAAAGAACTCTGGATAACACTACCCCATCCCAAGAACTCTGGAGAACACCCCCTCCCCTTCCCAAAGAACTCTGCACCAGAATAAAAAGTTTCATTCTCACTCGCTCGAAAATATGAGATTTCATGTAAATAATGAATAGGAAATTTCATACGTACAAGCGTATCAACATATTCTATTTTCTTCATATTTTCTTCAATAATTCCAGTAACTTTCTTGATTAGTTTTTTAACACTTTGCTCAGCAAGTTTTTCTTCCAAATATCCCTAAAATAAAACAAAATCTTGATTTGTAGCTTGAAATCAACACGTTAGGTAATTTTTGTCGTCGATAAAAAAAGCCTTGAGCAGATGAACTTTAAAAAAAAACACATAAATATATGATGTGGCGTAACCTGACTGCAAATTCTGTGCCGCTATGGAAATTTTAAATCATTACTGTATTACATATTTCGAAAGAAATACCAATGTATACAAGCGCAAGTCAAAGTCAGATTACCGGGCACGTTTACACCTCTCATTGGCATTTTCTTTGCTCAAGACCCCAAATTTTTGCCTTTTCTCTATGAACGTAAACACAAAGCGTTCCTAAAAACGCATTTGGAAGCGAATCAATTGTGTATATGTTCATAATGTTATATATTATTCGCATGATATGATGCTGGCGCTTGGAATCATTGAGACGACGCTTTATGCTAATTTTATACATATAGCAAATTTAAGTGTGAGACTGGATCAAAGAGAAGAGTTTAATATGTTAACTTCTTTGGTATTTGAATCTTTTATATGTATCTATGTAAACCTCATTTAGAGTATGATATATATAACACAGGAAAAAACCCGCTGTTTCATTTGCTTTTTATTTCGAAATGTCAGTGAAATGCCATTCCATTACCAGTAGGGGAAAAAATGCAATTTCGACATGCAATTTTTATTTGAAGAGTACTCGATCAATTCAGATTATTATGAAACGAAAAAAAATCTTTGGAAAGCTAAAGACCTCTTTTGCTACTTTAAAAATATAAGCGTGAAAAACAATTTTATTTCGCCTGTATTTAAAAAGCTCACTCACACTCACACCACGAAGTGCGACAGAAAATTTACGCTCTTTCTAATGAATGTCAAAATCATAATGGATATCAATGGAGTGAAAATGCCATCTTCAATTAATTATGGGGTAATTTTAAAGCATCACTCAGTGAATATGATTCGTGAGTGTGAGTGAGCTTTTATAATACGGGCGTAAGCTTTATTTTAACTCTCAGTCTGCGAAATTAACGACACCATTGGTTGCAACACTTTCACGACCATATGTTAAAGAGGCTTTACTTTTACACTAAATTACAGGACCCTGAAAGGTGCGGAGCCGTGGTATTTGTCGTATTTCCCCCTGTGTAAAACCAGCACTGTCAGACTGGCTACGCTAATGGTGAGTGGTGACATTCACCATTGCCGCATCAAATTTACATCAGCTGTGTTTAGTTTTGGCATTTTAGAATGACATTGCTTATTTCCCCATAAATTTACTTTCTTGATTCCATCAAATTCTTGGAGAAGAAGGCCAAGCTGTCTGTGCAGCTCAGAAACTGTGTCGTCAATTTTGGAAAGATGCTTGTAGTTTGGGTCATCTTCATGAGTGTACTGGGAAAAATGTATGAAAATTGTTTATTTTTTCATTTACAATAAGCGTCTTACAAAGTCATAAAACTGTTATAACATCATTTGTATTACCTTACTTCCAATAAGCATAATTTTGCTTCCAGACTTTATTCCATACGATATTAACGTCGCAGAACAGTCAAGTGATTTACCTTTGATCATCAAATGGATTTAAAAAACAATATCATTCCATTTACTTCTTTGATAAGATTTTGCAAATTCAGGAGATACCTTTGTGAATCAATTTCTGTGATTTAATTGGTACACCAAGTTGCTTTTGCACACATTCTGCAAGTGACTGCACGGTAGGTTCATCGCTTGCATTTAACATTTTCAAAGTTAAAGCATGCTTTTGAGCACCTAATATATAAGAAAGTTTGTACTAATGGTTGGTGAGAACAAATCTATTTCTATAATGTTTGAACAATAGAAGAAAAATGTTAGGCTTGTATATCTTAGACTACCTATACTTATTTGTGCATACATTTCCATTTGCAATAAGAAATAATGCTTACCCCAGCACAGGGGGTGTGCATTCACCCTAAGCAATGTAAGTCCATAAACTGATACAGGCCAAAGAATGTTGGTCCGGCTAAAATTTTGGGCTTGCCAATGAAATCCATCTTAGAATTTTAGAAAGTACAGACACCCCCCCAGTTTTTTAGTGGAATTTACAGTGATTTCATATTTTTTCTAGTTTTATGTGATAGCCTCACAAAATATTACAATTAACAGTAACCACACTAAGTATACAAAGATGTGAGGTCAGAGGTCTAGATTTAATATATATCTCAGGTTATATCTTTCTTCATAACTAGCAAATTTTTTGACATTTAATTGATGTACGTATACTAAACAGGTTGTGAAATCAATAGGAACTAGAAAATATTTCCATAGAAACAATGCAGGAAGTTGGATCTTCTCAGTAGACTGCACTTACCATGAACGATTACTAAATCCATATTATCCATACTATCCTGTTTATCCACAGATGGTGAAGCCATAGTACAATCACTTCTTCTTGACAGGCTCCCACTTCAGGTTCCCAAACAGGATTCAAAACATTCTCCTCTCTATCCTTAAGTATGCAGCATTGGTATCCAGTTATCCATAATTATCAACATTCAAATCAAGATGGCGTTTTCAGGATTACGAAGTTGTGTGTACATTTCCAAAAACAAGGTTAGTAATGATGTATTTTTTCAATGATGTTGTTAATATTATTGGAAATATGTGTTCGATGGTAAACCTTGTATTGAGATTTCTAAAGTTATCGTTTTTCGAAACAAATTCATAAAATCTTGCAAATTTAAAATTTGTGAAATTACATTTGATAGTTGAATAGATAAGTCGACAGGTGAAATCAGTTTAATTTTATCTAGTGAACCTTACTCTAATCTTCTTGCGAAAACATTTTACTCTTGTTTAAAAACTCACTCTTGTTTAATCTTCTTGAAGAGGTTTCTACCCATCGACAAGATCATGCATTCGAAACTGCTGAAATCATTCTGGCGCACAATTTTATAAATTATTCCTACTAAGCAACTTTCCCATATTAAAATTTTATTTGCGCACTGTAATGTGGGTCGTGGGAGATAGCTAAGGGCAAAATTATCTTTGGACACTCCTCAGTTCAGCATCAACAATATGTTTAATGTATGTGATGTCTTGCTTGGTGTCTTCATAAAATGTGCTTAAATACGTGGCTAACGATAGAGCTAGACTGGAAGTATGCCATGCACAACCTACATCAAGGTTGCACACTTTACGATAAAATTTGCATTATAACAAGCAAATTTTGAAACTTTTGGGGCGAAATATAAATATATAACCAAAAATTTCGGAATTTACCAAACAACGTCGAAAATTCACTGTGTAAAAAACCTCTATATAGCTTGCACAATATGTAGTCTGGCGATCAAGTGTGTAGACACAATTTCTTGTGTGCTTTTATAACAATAAAATAAGAACAGACAAAACAATAAATGGAAATAAAAGATAACATTTTATATTTACCAGTTTTAATGCCTTAAATGACCTTTGATTTTTTCTAGTTCCCCAGACAGAATGTTGACTTCACACGTGGCTTTGCATCTTTATCAAAAAAGCAGAAGGAAAATTTATCTACAGGGCCTGGTTTAACAGACTTTTTATCAGAAAGTGTTAATGATAAGAATGCTTCCTATAAAAGGATTAAAGGAAAAAGGTTTATTTTGGATGTAGTGTCAGAATGATAAACTTTAGAATAACTGTATTCACAGTTTTGAAAGTAGCCCCCCCTGAATATATCCCCTTGCAAGTAGTGACCTTTTGAATGTACCCCCCCCCCCTGAAAGTAGCTGCCTTTTGAATGTACCCCACTCCTTGAAGCCACTAAATTTAAAAGTAGTCCTGGTGGCTACTGTCAAGAGTCTGTAGTATTTTTTATGGTGTTTGATGTTTACATTGGATAAGAAATATGTGCAATTTTGTTTGACTATTAAAGTCAATGATTCTTCCAGATTAAGATTACCACCATGGCTTAAGACAGAAATACCCATTGGAAAGAACTATTACAAACTAAAGGAATCATTGAGAGAACTCAATCTATCTACAGTTAGTATCCATTAAGGTTTTTGTAAAGTAGTTGAAAATAATGAAAAAATTATCATAAGAAAAATTCTAGTTTGTTATCCAAATGTTCGTATTTTCTCAGTCAGAGAAAACTTATTTCATTGGTTCATTAATACATTTTGTAAATCATTCAAAAATTGCAACCGAAATTACTTGCTTTAAAATTTTGATAATACTTCATGTTAGTGTCAGGCATCCTATTTTATCATTGAAGTCAACATGTGACTAACATGAAGTATTGTCCATAACCACCTAATGTTTCTACTTTGGTTTGTTGTTTGTCTAACACTGATTGATCTGTTATATGTGATCCTGCAAATCAAGGTTTCACATTTTAATTTTGTTGTCAATTAACAATTCTTTTCCTTGTTTTTTTTTGTGTTCAGTTCATTCAAATGTTCACTGTCAAGTTCATATAGTACAACTGCCAAAGAATATCACTCAACATTTTAAGAGAGTGTTGTTTTTTTCTTTTATCAAAGTTTATACATAATCCAATGATTTCCAATCAAATTGCTCAAGTCAGAATCACATTATTTGATGAAACAAAATACTGACTTTCTTGTGATTGGTAAATATGAAAAACCAGAAAATATAAATTACCAATTCTAATGATGAAATCATAAAAGTTTTGCCAGCTACCTGATTGCTTTAGAAATTCAGATGTTACAATACTCCAGTTTAAAATGTTTAGCTACATTACTGTCTGTAATGATTGTGTTGTAAATGAACTTTTCTAAGAATATTTGACTTTTGAATGAACTTTGAAACGAAAATTTGACTTTTGTTTCTGTTTGTGTCTATCAATGCAAGATGATTCCTTCCCTTGATGAAATAATCATCATTTTTTAATTTTAGTACACAGGTAATTAATTTTGTTTTAAATTTATTTCTTCTTTTCTTTCCTATGAGGTTTGTGAAGAAGCAAAATGTCCAAACATTGGTGAATGTTGGGGTGGATCTGATAGTCAAACAGCAACAGCAACAATTATGGTAAAAAAAAAATTGTAATTGGACGAATTATGTGTTGGTCAATTTATGAAACTAAAATAATTTGTATGAATTTTTCCATAGTGAAATTATCAACCATTAAAATATGTATAATGATAAAATTATTGAATTTACAGCTTCTTGGTGATCAATGTACTCGAGGTTGTCGTTTCTGTTCAGTGAAAACTAACAGAAAACCACCAGCTCCTGATCCTATGGAACCTAAAAATACAGCAGTTGCAATTTCCAGATGGGGGCTTGGTTACGTAGTTCTGACGTCTGTTGACAGAGATGGTGAGCTGTTGAAACCTGTTGAAACACAACATGGTTGCCTGACACTGAGGATTAATGAAGTATCTCTTTCAGAATGAATGCTTTTTACTAAATTTAGTGTTTGGAATTTAGATTTATCAGATGGTGGTGCTTCGCATTTTGCTGAGACAGTCATCAAAATAAAAGAAAAGTAGGTTTTTTATGACAGGCATTTTTCTTACTTCAAATTTTAGTATGGATTGATTCTTTTCTGTTTTTTCTGATACTTCCATGTAATAAAAACATGCTCAGCATAAATTCTATCATACAGCCTTCTTTGAGGCAATGTCAAGTTTCCACTTTTTTGACATCAGATGATGATAGTCAAATCTCTGATATTTCTACTTCATGTTGCTATTGATAAACCAGTTCTGCACATGGTTCATGGTTGCAACGGATTTTATATGAAATCATTTCTTGTAATTTATATTTTATCATAGAAATCCGTCACTTTTGGTTGAATGTTTGACACCAGATTTTCGGGGAAATACGGAACATGTTGGAATAATTGCTCAGTCTGGATTGGATGTTTATGCACATAATGTAGAGACAGTTAACAGACTTCAATTGTAAGTATTGTTAATATTGTGTTATAAGTTGCAATGTAATTATGTTTATTTTCTTTACCAGACTTGTACGTGATCCACGAGCTGGTTATGAACAGTCTTTGAATGTATTACGTCATGCTAAAACAGTAAGACCTCACTTAGTAACAAAGAGTTCGATTATGTTGGGGATTGGGGAGACCGAAGATGAAGTATTTCAAACTCTTAAAGGTAGAGGAAAGTTTGCAGCTTTATGTCATACCTTAATTCTTATTTGAGGGTTTTTAAGGCTTGAATTTAAAATATTGTTTTTATTTTTTTACTTTGATTCGTATGTTTATTTGAAGTTAAGTAGTGTAAAAGTTGATTGTTTCGTAGATCTTAAAGAAGCTAAAGTCGACTGTGTTACTCTTGGACAGTATATGCAGCCAACCAGATTACATTTAAAGGTAAACAATAACTTACTTGACTTAAATTTTTGTTAGAGAATGTTTACAGATTTCAAGGAAAATTTGACGAATTTAAGCTTAATATTAAAGAAGTTTGACTGAAGATTTTTACTTGTAGACATGCTAATGTACTTATATTAATCTTACCCTTGTTGTTATCTTGTGTATATCATTAAGGTTGCTGAATATATAACACCAGAGAGGTTTGCCCATTGGGAAAAAGTGGGCAAGGCGTTAGGCTTTGCTTACACAGCTAGTGGTCCTTTGGTAAGGTCTTCGTATAAAGCTGGTGAGTTTTTATATATTTTTGATACATTACCACATGTAAGTAACATAAAAGTTGTCAAAACAGTAGAAAAATTTTTTCCTGTTTTACTTAAATGTTGTGTATATTTAACTGACAATTGACGAAATAAAGTTGCGACTAATCCATGACGTCACACCACGTGTGAAGTGTAAGCTATACACAATAGACAATAAGTATGTATCACTTACACGCTAAGGTTAAAGTTAACAGTTTGTGCGCATGCACTGCTAACAACTATGTTATACTTGGTTATACTTCAAAAACGTAGACGGCTAGCTTCCATATTATTGATCTTTACGTATGTGTTAAATGTGTATTTCATATACAGTGTAATTTTCAAGAAACGACAAAATCGTTGTATTATTCAACCCAACAAGATGTACGTAATTTATGGTTTTAATCACTAGCGATGCATGGTTATACCAGAATAATAACTTGTTTATTTCATATTTATACACAATGTTTATCTCATATTCTAGTCAAAGTGCTTTGGTGAGAAAATTCCAAAGCAGAGAGAATTTTATTTTCCTTTCGAGTTTTAGTGCAAAGTTTTCATAATAACTTTGCAGTGTATTGTGGGTAGGGGCAATATTCAAGGCATGAAAAACAGTGTAAACTTTACGGTGGGTGGTGTTCCAAAATGAAAGCTGCTGTTACATTGTATCAAACCGACTTTGCACATGGAAAAGTGTTAGAATTTATGCTTTACTAAAGCAGCAACGACTCTGATGTCGTGCCGGCTTTTTATTAACACCTGGACAACAGCGTTTTATATATAATATCCATAGCTAAGTCTTTTAACACTGCTACAGTCGATGCGAAAATAACCTATTCAACTTGTTGTTTTGTCGTAGTTCTTTTAGCGTTTGTTTCTTAATCTCTGAAAGAAACTTGGCACTTTCTATGAATCACTAGTGATTATAAAATGTCTTCTTTGTAAAAAAAATTGCCTTGGGTTCAATTCCAAGATCAAATGATACAAGAGAAGCAGATAATTTTTGTTCGCTGTGAAACCCATAAATGATTTGTTTTTGAAACGGTGAATGAGGTAGTTACATTGTGAAAGATATGAACCAATCAAAAATGTATAAACCATGTTTAAGGTTGGCTTAAATTATTAGTCAGAAAAAGGCAGAAGTTGTTCGAATCATTGCAGTATCTTTGGATGTTATAATCTATTTCACGAGAAGAACTCTTGTAAACAAAAAGACAAATTTTAAATACAAAAAATCCCGTTTTCGAACCGTATTTGAATATTGTTTTTCATTCGAAGTTATTTTCGTTGTTACGAGGAAGTTTAAATTTTTTCGTACTGAAAATCTCGTATATTTTTATCTACCTTAAATATATATTATTTGAACTGTGTCCGTGTGAGGGTATCAAATATGTATCCACTGCGTACGGTAACGTACCTATTTTTTGATCTCGTTTAAACTGTTTTAGTTGCTAAGAACAGTGTTTATTACCTGGAAAGAAACATTACAACAACTTTCCAAAGAGGCTTGCGCTTAGTCGCCACATATTTCTACAGCGAATGAAATGTGCAAACTCATATTTTACAAAATCGTTTTGAGAATTTGCTTTTGATGGTTTTTTCATGGTAAAGCTCGTTGTCATAGTAACTAAATTTCCTTTTAAAACGTGTTATCGTGTTTTTTAGGTGAATTATTTTTATCAAATTTGGTGAAAACACGAAAAAGAATTTGAAATGGGGCTATGAACGCACGTTTCCTACACGACGGTCCGATTTTGCGTTTTGCTAAAATCATATACTTGATTTATGTCGTATATTTACCAGAACTAGAGAAGGTTTACTTTGACTGTATGGTATAATCAAGTTTTTGTATAAAAAATATTGAGTACTTATGATCTTGTCTGAAGGAACTACCCAATGGCTATTCATATATTTGTATTATGTAACAAAATGTTTATCATTGATAAATAATGGATTTACGAAAATAAAGATAAGATTTTTAACTGCCGTGCAAAGTTCATTTGTTTTGTATACTTTGTTTCATCAAATAATTCGCGATCGAGGATTGATTGATTGATCGAAGCTCAACCCATCCCAACCCATCCCAGCCCTAACCCTAACCCCACCTCTTTAAGCTTCTAGAAAATTCGCGCAGTTAAATCCCGGGACTTCTACTCTAATTCTACTCTTAGTTCAATGTTACACAAAACACGTTCAAAGTTGATGAATTTAAAATTAAAATCTATTCAAGATTTTTACAATCACTTAATTTATAAAACTTCTATACAATAGTCAGTAAAAAAAGGCGAAGTAAAAGTTTAAGATCTATGGCAAAAAGCGAAGTAATATATCGTTCACTACAAATGTATTATAATAGAATTGTCCAACAAATTGTCGTTATGTAGATCGTGAAAGTTAGGCTGTTGTTGAACACTTGCAGTCATATTCACTCAATGTTGATCCAGGAGGACACTGTATCTTGGGTGAACATTGACATTTACAAGTTTCTGGATTTATTTCTTTGTTTGATTTCAAACATTTGTTTTCTTCCCTCTTATCACATTCACATTGACATGTGTTCTCACTCCAAACCTTTGCTCCACATGATTTTGCTGTTTTACATTTACATTTACATTCATCTTGGTTCCATTCCTACATGAAATATAAAATGTATTAACAAGAACTTTGCAAATTGCCTTCCAAAAGAAACCTAGTACTCCTTCATTTTTTTGTATCCCATGAAATGTGACAAAAAAGGGATTTGCAAAATCGCAATGGGAATTTGTGAGAATGTTTTTTTGTGCTTGAAGGTTTAATAGTCTTTCGTGATAAAGTCCCTTTTCTACCTGTTTATCTGTACAATTAAGTTCTTTGCAAACACATTTGCATTCATTTTCATCGTATCTTTCTTTCTCTTTATTACAATGATGCTCCTGGATTCTACACTGACATACACAATCTGTATGATTTTGCAACGTTTCCACTTGATTTGGATTAATTCCACCACTATTTTCAAGTCTGAATTCAGTGTATTTTACTTGAACAGAGGTTTGCTGTCTCACTGCACAATGTATTAAAGAAGGTGCCTGGAATTGACATCCTCCCAAACATTGATGGAGTTTGACAAATGATGGAAAGTTCATATGATATTCGTCCTTGGGTTTAATCTCGACAGGAATTAGCCACGGCTGACATTCTACATGATGAAATGATCTCTTGACAACTTCATCTAAAATGAATAAAATAATTCCATCTTAAACAGAATTTTTACAACTTTTTGACCCAATATTTTTTAAACACCATCAATATCGGCATTTTGTCAATTTTCTGTTTTTATTTGGAAATGGTATTGTGTCAAAGAGAACAACAATGTTCAACAACTTGTCGCCTACTGCGGGCATGGTACTGCATTAGGAGTTTAGAAAGCTTTTGAAAGATTTCAATGTTTCGTGTCCACTATCTATGTTGATGACTCACGACAGTAATGAAACTCCTTGATATCAATTATTTTCAAACGTTTTTCTTTTTTTAATCGTATCATGCTTGTGAGAGCAAAGGGAATTACTCATTATTTTTAAAACTTTGGCACGCCAGCAAAAACCTATCAGTCAATTAAACAAAAGCATGGAGCTAAATTGTTTCGTATCTAATTTCATGTAAGGGACACCGCACTCTCCAAAAATTGTTGTTGTCTGGGCATCGAATCACCTGTTAATAACTTACAAACCCATGTAACACATTAAACTGTAGATATTTTCCAAGAAAACGACAAGTTATTTCATTGAATGCCCATTTACTTATCTGTTCAAACCATTTACTTCATTTACTTATCTGTTGTTAAATTTTAAAATAATAAAACTCATTCTGCAGGATATTTTTGTCGTTAAAGTTGTTTGAGAATCCAATGTAAACTGCTCATTTACCATAATATCGTTTTCTTTGAAGATAATCTTGTTTCAAAGATCTCAAAACTTCAATTTTCATCCTTTTGTTTACGGTCGACGGCAGTGACTAAACAAGTTTATCATGGTTAACATCTCCTAAGTATTTTTAATGAGTTGTGGACTTAACCAAATAGAAACCAGGCAACTTCCCTAAGTAGCCAAGAGTTGTGTGATGGCTTATCAACGCCATCAATAAATACCTTTCCGTTAGCCTGTAAAGACCTCTTCAAATTCAACAAGTGAGCTGCTTTTTTGTTGTCATGTTGAGCGTTTTTGAGTAACTTTATAAACTAAATACAGATATATTGAAATTTCGAACATTTTTTTTCACATTAAACAGCGTGTTAAAAAACTTTATCGACTTTATTGCAGTTTCAATGTTGAAAATGCAATGTGTAAATTAAGCTCAAAATTCACAATAACAATATGCAGAACATGTTTGGAAAGAGAAAGATCAAGCCCTTCCCTTGCATCAAAAATTGACATACGAACATTTCTTTCCTCGTTTGTAGATTCTTCGATGAACCAGTCGTCGTCGGCATTCTATATCAAACAAACCTCGTGAGTGCATTAATTGAAAGACTTGAGATTGGCGACACCACACATCAAAATATCTGAGATTACAAGAACCGCCGAAGCATTTAGTAAACTGTTATCAGATATCGCATATCACTGGTTGCGAATGGTTAGGGTGTGTGTATTACAAAGGTAACAAAGTCTCATGTGGCTACACGTGTAAGATAGTAAATAAGATGTAAACTTATGTTATCGAGTATCGATGATTGACATAAAATGCAGTAATTGAGGACCTCCTAGTTTACGAACTGCCCCGTATTGGATGAAGAATGACATGAATTGTTCATTGAGTAATTCACAAAAAAACGCAAATAATCTTCAAATACATTAATTACCATATGGTTATATGATTTTGTTGCATATTTTATGTAAAATATATCAATGTCTCTTACAATATACATGATTCGAATGTCTTTTAGTCACCATCTCACCCTACCTTTTCCGTGATCAACAGCACGTGTCTATGCTAAAATTAACATTATCTCACTATTTTGTCGCAAAATTAATCAAATTTTCGTTGTCAAAGACCAAGACTCATTTGTTGAAATATATTGAGTTTATGGCATAGCTATTGATGCATGACAGCAAAGTTTTTTAACTATCGTAATCACAAATAAATATAATACTTTCTGAGAACATATATTCGTACAAAAGATTTAACATACCATACAGTACACATGGTAGATGACTTGAAAGAAAATAATGAACAAAAGACTATTCTTCCAACTCATCGTTATCAGAGCCATCTTCTCTTGAACAACAAGTAACCTCAAATGGTTATGATGTAGACGATTCAAGTTCCTTCGCCTTTTTCAGGACCTTTTGTTATTAAAATTAATCGACACTTGTAGCTATTGGACCGGGTGATAATTATTCAGTTTTTTGCTGTGATAATTAACCTCGAAAAAAACCTATCGACAAAAGAGTACAAAGACTTTTTATAACTGTTGCCGCCATTGCGGTCAAGTATTATCATAAAATGTTTTTTTGTAGAATGCTGAGTTTGCTTGTACAAATGTTTTTCGATAATCCCCAAAAATTGCATGCAAGACGCTAATATTTTTTACGTTTCGGTTCAGCAAGAAACGTAACCTACACATCAATCACTTTGAATCAGGATGTTTGAGTGACGCATGACTCACACAATGAGCAAGCAACACCCGTTCCTGTAACACAATAAAAACATGTTTTTATTTGTATGGAAAGAGAAAAATACTTTGGATGCTTTTTTCAATTCTCAAACTCTCAAGAAAACCGTATTTGGTAACATATCACTAAAAATTACATTTTCATTAAATTAAGCCTGAGTTTTTGTAAAAGACAATGAGCGACATGTATTGGACCTAAGCATACAATTATTTCAACGTGTCAAAGAGGAAATTAAGCTGGGAGTTGCTCAGTGTGTAATTTTGCAAAATATATTCATCAAGTTGTGTGGGATTTGAAGTGGAGGAAACTTGCGGGGATGAATTCTCGAGGTCAAAATGGAATATAATATAGCTATTAATAGCATTACTATCAATGGTAAATTTCACTCTTGTTCTCTATATAAAGAATGAACCCCCCTGTAAGTAGCGGCTTCTTGAAGGTACCCCCCTGAAAGTAGCGGCTTCTTGAATGTACTCCCCTGAAAGTAGTGGCTTCTTGAATGTCCCCTGAAAGTAGCCACCTTTTGAATGTCCCCCCCTGAAAGTAGCCGCCTTTTGAATGTACCCCACTCCTTGAAGCCACTAAATTTAAAAGTAGTCCTGGTGGCTACTGTCAAGAGTCTGTTGTATTTTTTATGGTGTTTGATGTTTACATTGGATAAGAAATATGTGCAATTTTGTTTGACTATTAAAGTCAATGATTCTTCCAGATTAAGATTACCACCATGGCTTAAGACAGAAATACCCATTGGAAAGAACTATTACAAACTAAAGGAATCATTGAGAGAACTCAATCTATCTACAGTTAGTATCCATTAAGGTTTTTGTAAAGTAGTTGATAATAATGAAAAAATTATCATATAAGAAAAATTCTAGTTTGTTACCCGAATGTTTGTATTTTCTCAGTCAGAGAAAACTTATTTCATTGGTTCATTAATACATTTTGTAAATCATTCAAAAATTGCGACCGAAACTACTTGCTTTAAAATTTTGATAATACTTCATGTTAGTGTCAGGCATCCTATTTTACCATTGAAGTCAACATATGATTAACATGAAGTATTGTCCGTGCCCACCTAATGTTCCTACTTTGGTTTGTTGTTTGTCTAACACTGATTGATCTGATATATGTGATCCTGCAAATCAAGGTTTCACATTTTAATTTTGTTGTCAATTAACAATTCTTTTCCTTTTTTTTTTTGTGTTCAGTTAATTCAAATGTTCACTGTCAAGTTCATATAGTACAACCACAGAATAGATACTACCAAAGAATATCACTCAACATTTTAAGAGTGTTGTTTTTTCTTTTATCAAAGTTTATACATAATCCGATGATCTCCAATCAAATTGTTCAAGTCAGAATCACATTGATTTGGTGAAACAAAATATTGACTTTCTTGTGATTGGTAAATATGAAAAACCAGAAAATATAAATTACCAATTCTAATGAGAAATCATGAAAGTTTTGCCAGCTGTCTGATTGCTTTAGAAATTCAGATCTTACAATACTCCAGTTTAAAATGTCTAGCTACATTACTGTCTGTAATGATTGTGTTGTAAATGAACTTTTCTAAGAATATTTGACTTTTGAATGAACTTTGAAACGAAAATTTGGACTTTTGTTTCTATTTGTGTCTATCAATGCAAGACATTTTCTTCATTCAATGAAATAATCATCATTTTTTATTTTAGTACAAGGGTAATTAATTTTGTTTTAAATTTATTTCTTTTCTTCCCTACGAGGTTTGTGAAGAAGCAAAATGTCCAAACATTGGTGAATGTTGGGGTGGATCCGATAGTCAAACAGCAACAGCAACGATGATGGTAAAAAAAAATTGTAATTGGATGAATTATGTGTTGGTCAATTTATGAAACTAAAATAATTTGTATGAATTTTTCCATAGTGAAATTATCAACCATTAAAATATGTGTAATGATAAAATTATTGAATTTACAGCTTCTTGGTGATCAATGTACGCGAGGTTGTTGTTTCTGTTCAGTGAAAACTAACAAAAAGCCACCAGCTCCTGATCCTATGGAACCTGAAAATACAGCAATTGCAATTTCCAGATGGGGGCTTGGTTACGTAGTTCTGACGTCTGTTGACAGAGATGGTGAGCTGTTAAAACCTGTTGAAACACAACATGGTTGCCTGACACTGAGGATTAATGAAGTATCTCTTTCAGAATGAATGCTTTTTACTAAATTTAGTGTCTGGAATTTAGATTTATCAGATGGTGGTGCTTCGCATTTCGCTGAGACAGTCATCAAAATAAAAGAAAAGTAGGTTTTTTATGACAGGCATGTTTCTTACTTCAAATTTTAGTATGGATTGATTCTTTTCTGTTTTTTTCTGATACTTCCATATATTAAAAACATGCTCAGCATAAATTCTACCATACAGCCTTCTTTGAGGCAATGTCAAGTTTCCACTTTTTTACTCCATGTTGCTATTGATAACTCAGTTCTGGACATTTCTACTCCATGTTGCTATTGATAACCCAGTTCTGCATATTTTCTACTCCATGTTGCTATTGATAAACCAGTTCTGCACATTTTCTACCCCATGTTGTTATTGATAAACCAGTTCTGCACATTTTCTACTCCATGTTGTTATTGATAAACCAGTTCTGCGCATTTTCTACTCCATGTTGTTATTGATAAACCAGTTCTGCACATTTTCTACTCCATGTTGCTTTTGATAACCCAGTTCTTCAAGATGAAGTATTTCAAACTCTTAAAGGTAGAGGAAAGTTAGCAGATTTATGTAATACCTTAATTCTTATTTGAGGGTTTTTAAGGCTTGAATTCAAAATATTGTTTTTATTTTTCTACTTTGATTCGTATGTTTATTTGAAATTAAGTAGTGTAAAAGTTGATTGTTTCGTAGATCTTAGAGAAGCTAAAGTCGACTGTGTTACTCTTGGACAGTATATGCAGCCAACCAGATTACATTTGAAGGTAAACAATAACTTACTTGACTTAAATTTTTGTTAGAGAATGTTTACAGAGTTCAAGGAAAATTTGAAAAATTTAAGCTTAATATTAAAGAAGTTTGACTGAAGATTTTTACTTGTAGACATGCTAATGTACTTATATTAATCTTACCCTTGTTGTTATCTTGTGTATATCATTAAGGTTGCTGAATATATAGCACCAGAGAGGTTTGCGCATTGGGAAAAAGTGGGCAAGGCGTTAGGCTTTGCTTACACAGCTAGTGGTCCTTTGGTAAGGTCTTCGTATAAAGCTGGTGAGTTTTTATATATTTTTGATACATTACCACATGTAAGTAACATTAAAGTTGTCGGAACAGTAGAAAAAATTTTTCCTGTTTTACTTAAATGTTGTGTATATTTAACTGACAATTGACGAAATAAAGTTGCGACTAATCCATGACGTCACACCACGTGTGAAGTGTAAGCTATACACAATAGACAATAAGTATTTATCACTTACATTGTTATTAGAAAGTCATAGTGTAATTTCAAAAATTACATACTGGCGTCGTTTTGCGTAATCATCCAGCCAGGTCATAATAGACCAAAACTCCCAGTTTGGTGTTGAGGAACCAGGAGCACCAGATTTGATAGCTGCATCATGCTTCTTTTTGCATCGCCTATAAGTGTCTCGCAAATTCTTCATTTTACCTTTTAGTTCGTTTGCTTAATAAGAGAAAAATAAATATTTATTTGACTGGGTCAGACGATAGTGACAAAAAATATTGTGAGATAAGAAAACATGTTTTGCGAAATGAGTATTTACCTGAGAAATCAAAACCGATTGCACGCATTTCTTCGGCTATCTTTTGCCAGATATTTCCCTTCAATTTTTCATCTTTATAGTCTTTTAAAGACATGTCGTAAAGAGCAGGATACGCGCGAAAAGAATTTATAAGTGCTTCTTCTAGTGACGCCATTTTGAAAATTTTGTCCTAGCGACACAGCGATTTCATGTGCTCCAGCGAATTCGCTGGCTGTGTTGAAACGACACAGCGACACGGCTTTGTAACCGCGCAATCCCGTCGCTGCGCGGTAACGACATAGCGACAGCGACAGTGTGTCTCAGCCTTAAAGTTAACAGTTTGTGCGCATGCATTGCTAACAACTATGTTATACTTGGTTATACTTCAAACCGTAGACGACTAGCTTCCATATTATTGATCTTTACGTATGTGGTAAATGCGTATACAGTGTAATTTTCAAGAAACGTGAAAATCGTCGTATTATTCAACCAAACAAGATGTACGTAATTTATGGTTTTAATCACTAGCGATGCATGGCTATACCAGAATAATAACTTGTTTATTTCATATTAATACACAATGTTTATCTCATATTCTAGTCAAAGTGCTTTGGTGAGAAAATTCCAAAGCAGAGAGAATTTTATTTTCCTTTCGAGTTTTAGTGCAAAGTTCTCATAATAACTTTGCAGTGTATTGTGGGTAGGGGCAATATTCAAGGCATGACAAACAGTGTAAACTTTACGGTGGGTGGTGTTCCAAAATGAAAGCTGTTGTTACATTGTATCAAACCGACTTTGCACATGGAAAAGTGTTAGAATTTATGCTTTACTAAAGCAGCAACGACTCTGATGTCGTGCCGGCTTTGTATTAACACCTGGACAACAGCGTTTTATATATAATATCCATAGCTAAGTCTTTTAACACTGCTACAGTCGATGCGAAAATAGCCTATTCAACTTGTTGTTTTGTCGTAGTTCTTTTAGCATTTGTTTCTTAATCTCTGAAAGAAACTTGGCACTTTCCTTGAATCACTTGTGATTATGAAATGTCTTCTTTGTAAAAAGAAATTGCCTTGGGTTCAATTCCAAGATCAAATGATACAAGAGAAGCAGATAATTTTTGTTCGCTGTGAAACCAATGAATGATTTGCTTTTGAAACGGTGAATGAGAGAGTTACATTGTGAGAGATATGAACCAACCAAAAATGTATAAAACATGTTTAAGGTTGGCTTAAATTATTACTCAGAAAAAGGCAGAAGTTGTTCGAATCATTGTAGTATCTTTGGATATTATAATTTATTTCACGAGAAGAACTCTTGTAAACAAAAGGACAAATTTAAATACAAAAAATCCCGTTTTTGAACCGTATTTGAATATTATCGTTTTTCATTCGAAGTTATTTTCGTTGTTACGAAGAAGTTTAAATTTTTTCGTACTAAAAATCTCTTATATTTTTATCTATCTTAAATATATATTATTTGAACGGTGTTCGTGCGAGGGTATCCAATATGTATCCACTACGTACGGTAACGTACCTATTTTTTGATCTCGTTTAAACTGATTTAGTTGCTAAGAACAGTGTTTATTACCTGGAAAGAAGCATTACAACAACTTTCCAAAGAGGCTTGCGCTTAGTCGCTCCGTATTTCTATAGCGAATGAAATGTGCAAACTCATATTTTACAAAATCGTTTTGAGAATTTGCCTTTGATGGTTTTTTCATGGTAAAGCTCGTTGTCATAGTAACTAAATTTCCTTTTAAAACGTGTTGTCGTGTTTTTTAGGTGAATTATTTTTATCAAATTTGATGAAAACACGAAAAAGAATTTGAAAGGGGCTATGAACGCACGTTTCCTACACGACGGTCCGATTTTGCGTTTTGCCAAAATCATATACTTGATTTATGTCGTATATTTACCAGAACTAGAGAAGGTTTACTTTGACTGTATGGTATAATCAAGTTTTTGTATAAAAAGTATTGAGTACTTATGATCTTGTCTGAAGAAACTACCCAATGGCTATTCATATATTTGTATTATTTAACAAAATCTTCATCTTTGATAAATAATGGATTTACGAAAATAAAGATAAGATTTTTAGCTGCCGTGCAAAGTTCATTTGTTTTGTATACTTTGTTTCATCAAATAATTCGCGATAAAGGATTGATTGATCGATCGAAGCTTACCCAGTCCCAACCCATCCCAGCCCTAACCCTAACCCATCCCAATCCTAACCCTGACCCAGCCTCTTAGAGCTAGAAAATTCACGCAGTTAAATCCCGGGCCTTAGCGGCGGCCGCTTTCTATTCTTAGTTCAATGTTACACAAAACACGCTCAAAGTTGATGAATTCAAAATTAAAATCTATTCACTTAATTTATAAAACTTCTATACAATATTCAGTAAAAAAAAGGCGAAGTAAAAGTTTAAGATCTATTGCAAAAAGCGAAGTAATATATCGTTCACTACAACTGTATTATAATAGAATTGTCCAACAAATTGTAGTTATGTAGATCGTGAAAGTTAGGCTGTTGTTGAACACTTGCAGTCATATTCACTCAATGTTGATCCAGGAGGACACTGTATCTTGGGTGAACATTGACATTTACAAGTTTCTGGATTGATTTCTTTGTTTGATTTCAAACATTTGTTTTCTTCCCTCTTATCACATTCACATTGACATGTGTTCTCACTCCAAACCTTTGCTCCACATGATTTTGCTTTTTTACATTTACATTTACATTCATCTTGGTTCCATTCCTACATGAAATATAAAATGTATTAACAAGAACTTTGCAAATTGCCTTTCAAATGAAACCTAGTACTCCTTCATTTTTTTGTATCCCATGAAATGTGACAAAAAAGCGATTTGGAAAATTGCAATGGGAATTTGTGAGAATAATTTTTTGTGCTGGAAGGTTTAATAGTCTTTCGTGATAAAGTCCCTTTTTTACCTGTTTATGTGTACAATTAAGTTCTTTGCAAACACATTTGCATTCATTTTCATCGTATCTTTCTTTCTCTTTATGACAATGATGCTCCTGAATTCTACACTCACATACACAATCTGTATGATTTTGCAACGTTTTCACTTGATTTTTATTAACATCACCACCATTTTCAATTCTGAATTCAGTGTATCCTACTTGAACAGAGGTTTGCTGACTCACTGCACAATGTATTAAAGAAGGTGCCTTGTAGCGACATCCTCCCAAACATCGATGAAGTTCGATAAATGATGGATGGTTCATATGATATTCGTCCTTGGGTTTGATCTCGACAGGAATTAGCCACGGCTGACATTCTACATGATGAAATGATCTCTTGACAACTTCATCTAAAATGAATAAAATAATTCTATCTTAAACAGAATTTTTACAACTTTCTGACCCAATATTTTTTAAACATGTCCCACCATCAATATCGTCATCTTGTCAATATTCAGTTTTTATTTGGAAATGATATTGTGTCAAAGAGAACAATGTTCAACAATTTGTCGCCTACTATGGGCATGGTACTGCATCAGGAGTTTTAAAAGCTTTTGAAAGATTTAAATGTTTCATGTCCAGTATCTATGTTGATGACTCACGACAGTGATGAAACTCTTTGATATTAATTATTTTCATACGTTTTTCTTCTTTTAATTGTATCATGCTTGCCAGAGCAAAGGGAATTACTCATTATTTTTAAAACTTTGGCACGCCAGCAAAAACCCATCAGTTAATTAAACAAAAGCATGGAGCTAAATTGTTTCGTGTCTAATTTCATGTAAGGGACGCCCCACTCTCCAAAAATCGTTGTTGTACGGGGATCGAATCACCTGTTAATAACTTACAAACCATGTAATACATTAAACTGTAGATATTTTCCAAGAAAACGACAAGTTATTTCATTGAATACCCATTTACTTATCTGTTGTTAAATTTTAAAATAATAAAACTCATTCTGCAGGATATTTTTGTCGTTAAAACTGTTTGAGAATCCAATGTAAACTGCTCATTTACCATAATATCGTTTTTTTTGAAGATAATCTTGTTTCAAAGATCTCAAAACTTCAATTTTCATCCTTTTGTATACGGTCGACGGCAGTGACTAAACAAGTTTATCATGGTTAACATATTTTATGTATTTTTAATGAGTTGTGGACTTAACCAAATAGAAACCAGGCAACTTCCCTAAGTAGCCAAGAGTTGTGTGATGGCTTATCAACGCCATCAATAAATACCTTTCCGTTAGCCTGTAAAGACCTCTTCAAATTCAACAAGTGAGCTGCTTTTTTGTTGTCATGTTGAGCGTTTTTGAGTAACTTTATAAACTAAATACAGATATATTGAAAATTCAAACATTTTTTTTCACATTAAACAGCGTGTTAAAAAACTTTATCGACTTTATTGCAGTTTCAATGTTGAAAATGCAATGTGCAAATAAGGTCAAAATTCACAATAACAATATGCAGAACATGTTTGGAAAAAGAAAAATTAAGCCCGTCCCTTGCATCAAAAATTGACATACGAACATTTCTTTCCTCAGTTGTAGATTCTTCGATGAACCAGTCGTTGTCAGCATTCTATAACAAACAATCCTCATGAGTGCATTTATCGCAAGACTTGAGATTGGCGACACCACACATCAAAATATCTGAGATTACAAGAACCGCCGAAGCATTTAGTAAACTGTTATCAGATATCGCATATCACTGGTTGCGAATGGTTAGGGTGTGTGTATTACAAAGGTAACAAAGTCTCATGAGGCTGCACGTGTAAGATAGTAAATAAGATGTAAACTTATGTTATCGAGTATCGATGATTAGACATAAAATGCACTAATTGAGGACCTCCTAGTTTACGAGCTGCCCGTATTGGATGAAGAACATTAGTTGTTCATTGTGTAATTCACAAAAAAACGCAAATAATCTGCAAATACATTAATTACTATATGGTGATATGATTTTGTTGCATATTTTATGTAAAATATATCAATGTCTCGTACAATATACATGATTCGAATGTCTTTTAGTCACCATCTCACCCTACCTTTTCCGCGATCAACAGCACGTGCGTATGCTAAAATTAACATTATCTAACTATTTTGTCGCAAAATTAATCAAATTTTCGTTGTCAAAGACCAAGACTCATTTGTTGAAATATATTGAGTTTATGGCATAGCAATTGATGCATGACAGCAAAGTTTTTTAACTATCGTAATCACAAATAAATTTAATATTTTCTGAGAACATATATTCGTACAAAAGATATAACATACCATACAGTACACATGATAGATGACTTGAAATAAAATAGTGAACAAAAGACTATTCTTCCAACTCATCATTATCAGAACCATCTTCTCTTGAACAACAAGTAACCTCAAATGGTTATGATGTAGACGTTCAAGTTCCTTCACCTTTTTCAGGACCTTTTGTTATTAAAATTCATCGACACTTGTAGCTATTGGACCGTGTGGTAATTATTCAGTTTTTTGCTGTGATAATTAACAGGGAAAAAACCTATCGACAAAAGAGTACAAAGACTTTTTATAACTGTTGCCGCCATTGTGGTCAAGTATTATCATAAACTGGTTTTTTGTAGAATGCTGAGTTTGCTTGTACAAATGTTTTTTGATAATCCCCAAAAATTGCATGCAAGACGCTAATATTTTTTACGTTTCGGTTCAGCAAGAAACGTCACCTTCACATCAATCACTTTGAATCAGGATGTTTGAGTGACGCATGACTCACACAATGAGCAAGCAACACCCGTTCCTGTAACACAGGGGTCTCAGTTTTCTGTTCAGTTTTCTCAATGTGAGTGGTGAAATTGGCTTTCTTAAGTGTATCTGCGGGCCGGATTGAGAGGCCCAACGGGCCGCATCTGGCCTGCTGGCCGAAGTTTGGAGACCCATGCTGTAACACAATAAAAGGATGTTTTTATTTGCATGGGAATAGAGAAATACTTTGGATGCTTTTTTCAATTCTCAAACTCTCAAGAAAACCGTATTTGGTAACATACCACTAAAAATTAGATTTTCATTAAATTAAGCCTGAGTTTTTGTAAAAGACAATGAGCGACATGTATTGGACCTAAGCATACAATTATTTGAACGTGGTCAAAGAGGAAATTAAGGTTCAAAGAGGTCAAAATGGAACATAATATAGCTCATTACCATCAATGGTAAATTTCACTCCTGTTCTCTATATAAAGAATACAATGAAATGAATTAGATTCTTTAATTGCTCATTAGTATTGTCTAAATTGAGAATATTTATGAACTTACAGAATTCCAATGATTACAGAAATTTTACAGACCAAACTTATACAAAGGAGACAAATATTAACACATATTTCTAAAACATTGTATTACACTATATTGACTTTATTGTATTTATTTTGCGTGACTTGCCTTCAAACTATGTTGACATATCAATAATTATCTACAAAGTTAACAGAAGTTACAGAACCAAGTGTTATATACGAAACCGAACATAGATAGACAGACTATTAAACCACTAAAAATGTCTCTTTTGACCCGAGTGATTTTCTTTACTGGTATGCTTGGGATTTGACGGAGTTTAACTTTTTTACTATCTTGGTTTTGGTAACTGTCAGATGTTTGTCTAACAACACACGAAAGCTTTTATTTCATGTTGACTCATGGTCTAACTCCGTTCACTCGATGTCTAGTCCAGTCTACCTTCGTTACCTCCACGTTTCCCGATCGACAAACCGTTTTCGTTAACGTGTCCTGTTATGACGTCATAAGTACATATCAAAATGGAGGTCTTGGAGGATTCTAACAAACAAGATGATAATAGTGATCCGAGTGAATTGAAATGGTGGGTTTATCTTTGGATCGTTTAATGTTTTATCCTTTATTCATTTCAACACGAAAAACGTTTACTTTATGACATATTTCGTTTGGTTCCTAGGCGTTCAGATTTGGTAGATGCTCTTTCAAAACAGACAGATATCATACGATTAAGAGAAATTTGTCAAGGTCATGAAATTCCTAGCGAATGCAGAGCACGTGTTTGGCAGGTTTGATTATGTGCGATTTATATTCTGAAGAATTTTTTAGTTTTATGACTATTTTACACAAAAACACGTATGGTTATCCATCACGTATTTATCATTTAAATTAGACTATGTTGTGTTGAAGACTATATCACTTTATATGTACGTATGTACAAAGTTTGGGAATTATGCTAGTTGTCATGATCATACAAGTTATGAAATTATGCAAGTTGTCATGATTATAACTACCCTAAACATTGCTGCTTTTGTATTACATACAAATTTAGTGTCGTTGGTTTAAGTACATGATTAAATATCTTATGACTTGTGAGTAATAGTGATGGAATTTTTATTTCATCTCAAGATTTGCTTCTTTAAATTTCAACTTCTCTAATTTTGCATGATACTCAAAATAGAGTTTAACACCCTTTGGTACCTATGCCCCTGTCTATTCATAAAAAATAATCCATCATTATTGCTGCTGTATATATACCATATTCTAACATGATAATTGATGGTTGTGCTATAAACAATGTCACCATTTTGTCATAACTAGATATGTTTGAATGTTTGCGATAAACCTGATCCACTTCAACTATGGGATGAAAAACTGAACACAGCTGAACAACCAAGTATAAAGAAAGATTGCCAAGCATTTGCAGGTTGTATTTGTTTAAAAACCTAGTTCATCTTAGGTTATGGCAATGAATTCAAAATTAAACTTTTTCTTTTGATTTAACACATGTATATGTCCATTCACCTTGCCTTTCCAGCTTGAAAGCTTGCTCTATATGTAATGAAAATAATTTTCATTTTCCCTTTTTTCCAGGGAGGGCATAAAATCTTGAGTTTGTGGATGTAGAATATCCAGGTTAGTGCAGTCATTGACTTACGTACGTCATGCAAACCCAACATTTACTTCAAACCTCTAAGGTTTGCATGATGTACTCCAGACTCTGAAGATGACTGCCGCTAAAGATGTTGAAAGTCAGACAACTCAAACCTAGACTACCCAAACCTGGGCCAATCTACATCTACCAATGTTGTTGGGCTTAAGTCTTTTCACTTTGATACAACGGTTTTTTGCAAAGTTGTTGTGATTTAAAATTTTATCCTACCAGGTTCCCTTGGTGAGGATATCTCAGAGCAAGCTGCGGATAACTTGGAGAGAATAATTACACTTTACTGTAAAACAAGAAATGAAAGATACAAGTCCCATAATGGATGGATAGAAATGCTTATTCCTTTTATGTCACTTAGTCTACCACCTCAAGATATTTATAATTTATTTTATGCAATGCATTCAAAATTCATTCCAAGGTAGTTTTTGAAAATAGTTTTTATTAAAGTTAAGAATTATGCTATATTGACTTTTTACCTTTCATTTGCAAGGGAATGTCACAGTGAAGGAAAGCCATTTCATCTTTTTCGTCTATTACTTCAATACCATGATCCAGAGTTGTGTTCAGTATTGGATTCTAAGAAATTGTTTCCTGATCAATATGCCCAAAAATGGGTAAGGAAGTTGTGCTCTTCTTGTTATGTTTATGAATTAGATTTGTATTAAAAGCCATTGTTGTGTAGCTTTGATAAAATTCTGTGAGTATCACTAGATTCAAACATACTAAATCATAATAATAATTTTTTTTATTTTATCATTAGAACATTATCTGTGAATTTAAAATGACAAACAAATCCATTAAGACAGAATAAATACTAACCATATCTTTTCTTGAAAGGACATTTTGTGTTTTCCTTTCTCTCCTCAGTTTGAGTCTCTTTGGCAACTTGTTCGGCTCCTGTTGTGAAGTCAATGTGGGATATTTATTTACTGGAAGATGATCCATTTATGGTTTTCTTTCTTGCTTTGGTCATCGTTATAAATTCAAGGTTATCTATCATCAATGGTTTTGCTCAAGGCAATGTGAATTGTATATTTTATGAGAGTATAATGCTGAATGCAAATTACTTGACCATTGAAATTTTATTTCATGCATTTGTTAGTTTAGCAATATATCTATATTTATGAAACATACTCCCGAATAAAAGGTCCATATTTAAGTCAATATTTTAGAAACAAACAAAAAGATTTTTGTCTTAACAGTAAAATTTCGAATTTATTACAAATTCAACATCGGACTATGTGTATATTTAAAGTTCAATTTATGTGTAGTTAATGTGTAACATGGCCATGTAATTTTCTCTTTAGAGAGGACATCATGAATACTGGAGTAAGCAGATCTGATGTTTTAGGTATATTGGCAGGGAAAAACCTAAAGTAATTGCAGTTTTGTGAAACTATTTAGTTTTGGATATTCTCTTTTCATTACAGATTCCATCTCTGAGTTTCCATCACAGATGGCTGCAGAAGATGTTGAAGATTTTTGTTTATTGGCTCGTTATTATGCTGCAAGAACACCACAATCATTTAGAAAAGTATGAAGTTTACATAATCTCATCCGTTGATTTATAGTCATTTTTTTTCTTGGCATGACAAAGCATCAAAGTTTCAAAACGTGACATTATATTGAAAGTAACTTATGTTCAACACATGTAAATTTTAATGCCATCTGACTTCTGTATAATGTTTGAAGCCAAATCATTATTCACTTTTGTTTTGACAGCAATATTATGGTCAATTGTTCGGGATTAAAACTGTCAATGCCCACAATGTCTGTCAAGCGTTATGTCTACCTGTGTCAATTGAAGAACTTCTACAATCGCATAAAAATCAGGTTTGTTGCATTTGTAACTTGTATGTATTTATTAAACTCTACTTTAAAGTTCACCAGCCATGTTTCATGACCATGGAGAGGATTGCATCCTTTAATCACCTTTTAGGTCCCGTCTACACTTCTACCAGATTGCTATCTAAGCGATCTCTAAGTATTTAAAGTTTAGTGATAACCGTTTAATGGTAGAAACACAATTTAAAAGAGAAAAGTGGCAGATTTGTTCTATTGTTTGACTAATTTTGGATAGTTTGACGGAATCATGTAATCAACCGTAGATAAGTGTCTCTAACGCGGGAATTATTGATTTACGGTGATGAAGCATGAAGAATTGTCAGCTTTCAAATTATTCATAGATAGCTTACAGTTGTATTTAGTTAATTATTATGTTTTTGTCGTTCCTTTTAATTTAGAGTGACGAAATTCGATATTTTGTGGTGGACTGTCGACCATCAGAACAGTACAACAACGGACATTTATCGACGGCTTTTCATCTTGATGTCGACTTAGTAAGAATCTTCTCTTTAAGTACATTTCTACGTACTTATCATTTTGTCGTACAAATTAATCGACACTGCGGTTTATCACCTGAATTGTCTTGTTTATTTTTCATGTCATGCAATATTATTGGACCTTGACCGTTTATTATCCAGACTTTCAAAGCAAAACTGATCAAACATCTCTTTTTATCATGCAAAAAGTAATCCATTTTTTGTATCAAAAATCTTTTTTGCTTGTTTTTGATATCAATAAGAAGCAGACCAAATTTTTTTTGAGATTTTTTAACAAGCTGAAGAGGAAGATCAACTATGTACTTCGCATTTCACTAAATCCCCCGTTTTCATGTTGTCAGATGCTTCAAGCACCATCTGACTTCGAGACGACTATTGTTGCATTGTTTGCAACCCAGAAACAGTCTGTCGCAGCGGGTTCTGTTGCAGGAGGTGAACATCTATGTTTTATTGGATCTGGAATAGAAGAGAAAGATCTATATGTCAATATGGTCGTAGCAAATTTTCTTCAGGTAAACCCGATGAAAGTTGCATCAAATTAGATTGTTGGAATCCATAACTTTAATGTATAAATTGGTAAAAATGTACATCATGAGATAACTATGTACTTCGAAAGATAAATATGTACATCATGTACTGTTGAGGTAAATAATGAATCTATTGATTCTTGAATAATCTTTATAAATTAATGGCAACGAAACAAACCGTAGAAAATACGTACATAATTCTTAAATATTTCAATAATTATCTTTAGAAAAAGACAAAGTACATTAGCCTTGCAAAAGGTGGATATAAAGGTATTGTTAAATTGTTGAAAATTGTTTAGTTATCCTGACAATCAAAGACAGTGTCTTTATGATGATTTTATTTAGCTCTTCATGATATGATTAATAATGGTTTGATTGATCACGTGTCTTCCTCGTGCATTGTTTCTTCACCAAACGCGTCAACAACCAATGAGGTCACTTTTATATCAAATTCATTACAAAGTTTGTTGAAGATTTTTTTCAATGTGTTTTGCATGAAAATCATCTTGGTTGTGTTTTCAGAGTGAAAAAAGTGTTAGCCGCAAAGGAGATCCTAGCCCAGGGGTAGGTCATACTTGATTATCCTTCTACATACCCATGTTCACCTATGATTTCAGGATTTTACAATCATTACTTACATATAGGCTAGTTTAGTGGGGATGTTATCCTCGGCAAAGACAAGTGTTAGTCAAAAGTTTTCAACTTGGCTGTCAGAACCTCACAGTGAAGTAAGGTTAGTAAATTAGAATTTGAAATATTTAACCAACAAAAAGACTCTCTAATTAACATTTTATGTTGAGCTTGGCACCAATAGAAAACTTTTTTCCGATGACGGTCGATTATATCAGAAATAGCCGATTAATTGACTTAGCCCATTATTTATTGAATTCTTTGAATTTCCTTTTTGGGGCGCTGTGAATCGCCATTTTGACACTATATCAGAAAATCAGGGATTAAGTCGTCCTGTCCTAAATTATATTCTGTTTTTCGATATTAAAGAAACTTTATTGTGTATTGTGTATTGCTGTCGGTTGATGGTATTTCATGTCGTTTTAGTTTTTATGGATTAATAAATTTTGTTGTGTTTAGACATGTGAGCAGTAATGATAGAACTGGAAAGCGTTACCGAAACACGAAACCTGTGTTTAGTATAGAAGATGATGACGATGACGATGATGATAAAGGTTTGCATTTTGGAAACAAAATGATGTTTGAAAATGAGTAGAAATTTAACTCCATCCATCAATAGTTTCACAAACTAGTGTTTACCATTGCCTTTCTCCCATCAGATGGCGTCAATACATCCAGTTCAGAAGATGATAAGAAATATGAATCTGTGAATCTAAAAACATGGCTAAAAAGGAAAGATGCTGTTCAAGTTATTCCTTGTAAAGAGATATCTAATGCTGGACGTCTTTATGAATGGTTTGTATTCAAGTTGCTGTATTGAACTTTAAGTTCTTCTGACACGAGACAAACACTAGAAATGTTCGTATTAAAACTGCTACGGATGAAAATAAGATATTTGTTTGTGTTAAAGAGAAAATGACAGTTGTGGCACAAAATTTTCCCATGTCGTTGTCTCCAAGATAAAAGCTTTAAGCGCACTCTAGGAAACTAATCATTAGGAAATGAATATGATTGAGAAATTTCGGTAATCTTTGTACTTAGTTATGTTGAAGACTGCATGTTATGAACTGGAGTTGTCAGTTGGGAACGTAGCGTCTCAGTCTTTTAGATGTTTATGTTGTTTCCAAGTTTTTTTATCTCAAACTTTGTTTTTCTTAGTCATATTTTAATTACGGAGTCGTTGATGTTTGTCCTGCGATCCACTACATCAAGACAAGGATGGGCTACAATAAGATCACGTGATTATCTTAAAGATATTTCCAAAATAACGTCGAAGAAGAAAAGACCTGAAATTATCACATTTACTATAGGCGAAAGTGAAGAAAGAAACCGAAAGGCAAAATTTATCATTCCTAATGCACAGAAACCGATTAAAAAACTTAAAGACCTTTTGATTAAATCATTTGGTGGGGAGTAGAATGTTTGTAAAAATAATTTAACTTAATTCAATATGTATTAATAATATTGTTACACGCATTAATCTATTAGATAAATTTCCATCTCTCATTCGTTGTGTCGATAAAAAAAGTACTTAAATATAAAACCAGTATCTCTATTCCACTCTAAGAACAGTGTGTGAACATTCCAGACACATAAAGGCGTCGTATTAAAAAAAAGCCTAAATGAAAAATTCGTATATGATAAAATTGTAAATATAATTTTCAATCATAATGGTAAACAAAGTATTTTGCGTCATTGTTTCCTCTATTTAATTCTTCGTTGGGCTATTTTTCAATGCCCTAGTTTTTTATTTTTTTCGTCTTAGCAATACCACCAATTATTAAATTTAGTAAATTCTAAAGTTGGTCCACTGAGCTGTATACGTAGTGGAGTATGATAATCGATAAATCGTAAAAACTCATTTCCATGGCAACATTCAAACTTTGAGACTTGAGTATTGTCAAAAATCACTAAATCGGTATGGCGGGGATGTGGGAAGATCGAAGATTTTGACATTTTCTAACTTTTTCTTTGCGTTTCAGTGTCTTATGACATATACAATGAAGGTAGGTAATGTTGAAGAAAATGTTTAATTTCATGTCTTAACGATATGGCGTTTGGGTAATTTGTTATGAAACTATGTACATTATACATACATCATTGTCAATACGCTCACTCCAATGGAGTCCTTGAACTTGTATTTATTAATTATTTATCGCGAATTGTATCTATGCAGCATAAATATGAAATATTTTGTTTTGCATTTTATCAGATGTGACAATTTCAGTTTTTCACTTTCACGAAGAAAAAATATGAGATTTTAAAAACTTTTAAAGTATTTACTATCTTGCTGACAACCAAGACGTCAATCGAACAAATTGATTTTATGATTTATAGAAAATTCGTATACATCCCATATATTTATGGAGGTAGTATCAATTCAAGTATTAAAATGGCATTTCATTTTGTTATACGTAATTAATTGACACAAAATGAGAAAGACAACAGTGAAAACATTTAACATTTTGAAATGGTTTTATTGGTAATTGACACTTCAACTTAAGTGAATTGTTACCTTTCAAAGTGACATGGTTTATACTGAATTAACACTTTCATTCCATGATACAAAGCCATACAAACTTGGGATTTTATGCAACTTACTTTGCAAAATAAATGTTCCTGTTGTTTTAGCGTGTGTTCAGTGTTCCAGAAAGAGTCCATGGTGGGAGTTTTGTAAAATATGAATGGCAAAATAAGCAAGGAAATTTTATTGCTACAGCTGGGTAAGAAGATCTCTCGCTGTTTAATATTTTTTGCTAACATGAGTGGTGAATAAGATTATTTGGAATCATGCAAATCTTCTCATGTACATGAACAATACAGATTTAAGTGGTAGATTTTGATAATGGTATGGTTATTTCCTGTATATGTATGTGTACAAGAATACCCTGATTTATTCATAGAATAATAAAATTTTTAAGTTTTTAAAGTTTGTTTTGGTTTGTACTTTATTAATTTGACAAATATGTCAATTTCAGAGTGAGCAGATCGGTAATTATCTTTGATCGTCATGGAGAGTTAGTGGATGAAATCAATTTACCAGGGTATTTTCCCAGTTCTTTATTAACTTCTAAAGTTCATAATTAGTATGAAAACTGATCTATTAGCTAAATATTTCATTTGCTATCGGATACCAAGAATTATTTTTGAAATGTTTCGTTGAAATGTACTCTGAGAAACGGCCAATAACTACATACATAACAGTGATTTTAACTTCTTCAGGTTTTGTACTGGCTTAGCTTGGGATAAAGATGGTGACACATTAGGAATTATTCATGATAATAAATCAGGTATAAAATCAAAATGGCTTGAATTCTATTTTTGTTTGTTTATTTATGCATCATGATAACAAGTCTATATTTATAGCTATTATTTATCTCTGGGATGCTAATGTAAGAAGAATTACTCAGCTTGAGAGTGGATTAAGGTACTTGCTAGTTGATATAATTATCACACAAATTGACTTGTGCCATTCTCTTGCAATGTTTATCCTCCCTATGGGCGTAGGAAGGTTAATAATTGAAGAGGGGGGGGGGTAGTATGCATATATGCTTGACATGCTTCCTTGAAATCTATTATTTTCAAAGAATTATAACATACATACATGAATATGAGTCCCCCCCCCCTCAATTCCTACATCCATGATCTCCCATGTCATGCATAGCATTAGGCTATCACAATCAGTGTTCTATATTTTTTTATGTGAGAATAAACTATTTTTAATCTTACAGTTTAAGCATAATATTATTTTAGAGATACTTTGACATTTCTTTCATGGTCTATGGTTGGAAATTATCTTGCCATTGGTAAGCATCCCTTGGGTTTATGTTTTAATGTCTGTATTAGGATTTTATATAAACCAAGGAGACCTTTGGAAGAACTTGAGAGCAGATCAATGTAAGGCTGAGGCTAAAGACTCGAGTCCTGCTCAAGACTCGAGTTGTCACAAATGTTTTATGATTGATTTGCAAACTCTCTTTGATTGATTTAATTGTCTGAGCTTAGATCGGTTTACACAGGCTAATGCAAACTCAGGTTTACTCAGTTATTGATCATTAGGCACACGTATTTTATTGTTGTTATTTTACAAATAGATATATTTCATATAGATTACGATTTTCAGTTTGTGCTCATGTTGTATTACCTTCATCAGGGTCAATGAAAGGAAATCTTCTCATCTATAATCATCAAACATCAAGGTTAGTTTTAAACAATATGAAATAAAATTTTTGACGTTTTTTAGTTGTTTTTTTAAATTTCGAAATTCAGAAAAGTTCCCATCCTTGGAAAACATACCAAAAAAATAATTTGTGGAGCTTGGAATTCTCAGGTCAGTCCCTTACAGCAAAGAAAGTTGCAAGAAAGTTTATTTTCCCTGTATCGTCTTTTAATTAACAATCGCAAAATCAATTGTACTCACAATCGCGAAATCAATTGTACATTTATGTTTATCTGACGGACAGAACTTCACATCGGTCACATATTATCAACTGATTTTAGTGTCACTGAATATTTTGTCACTAAAGTAGCAAGGCAAATTTTAACTAGAGGTTCTACTTAAGTCGTGTTACAATTTTTATAGAATTTACTTGCTTTGGGATCAGAAGATAAAATATTAACAATCTCTAATATTGATGGTGACACCATGCGACAGGTGGGTGTTGTAGTTATAAATGGTACCATGTAACAATGGTACCATGTGACAGGTGTAGTTATAAATGGTACCATGTGACAGGTGTAGTTATGAAAGGTGCCATGTGACAGGTGTAGTTATAAATGGTACCATGTGACAGGTGTAGTTATAAATGGTACCATGTGACAGGTGTAATGGATAAATGGACCATGGACAGGTGGAGTTATAAATGGTACCATGTGACAGGTGAAGGAATAAATGGACATGTGAGTGGAATGGAATGGAAGGAATGGAATGAAGGAATGGACATGAAGTTATAAATGGTACCATGTGACAGGGTAGAATGGTAATGGAATGATAAATGGTACCATGGATGAATGGTAATGGACAGATGTAGTTATGGGGTTATAAATGGTACCATGTGACAGATGTAGTTATAAATGGTACCATGTGACAGGAATTATAAATGGTACCATGACAGGTAGTTATAAATGGTACCATGTGACAGATGTAGTTATAAATGGTACCATGTGACAGATGTAGGAATAAATGAAAACATGACAGGTAAAGTTATAAATGGTACCATGTGACAGTGTAGTTATAAATGGTGGTACCATGTGGACAGTAAATGGAATGGAATGGATAAATGGTACCATGTGACAGGTGGAATGGTAAATGGTAATGGAAGGAATGCTATAAATGGAATGTATTTCTTCCGATTTATTTTACATTTGTTGATATTTAACGACAACTAAAAGAAAAATCAGTAAAAAAAATTATAAGTCTGCAATCATATTAAATTTTGCTATTACCAAAATCATTGGTTTATTGCAGACATCGTTGAGATCTGATCCATCAATGATATATTTCTCTGAAATGAAGACAGATGAAAGGATGACTAATGGAGATAACACAGTACGTCTTTAATTAATATTGCATAAATATAGTTTTTATTTTGGCTTCCTTCCTAGATATCCTTTCAAATAAGTCTGTTTTAGACAATTAATGTAAAAAATTATGTTCTGAACGTCTTGTGCCGTTAAACATTATAATGAGAACTGTTACCTTTTGAAACCAAGCTCCCATTTTCACTAGAACATTTGTCAAAAGAATATATATCTACTGGTCATAACATTCAAAAGATGGAAATGCAGAACTTAAATTTAAATTTCCTGCCGTCTTTATAAGGATTTTGGTGTACAGTTCTTGCTTAGAACGAATATCCAGTCTACTTACTTTATTTTAATTTATGTATACTGTATTGACTAGGTTAGCGTGGTTGTTGGCAAAAAAACTCTATTACTTTTTAATATTCATGATCCAGAAAATCCTATTGAACTTGCATTTCAGGTATTTTTCAAACATACAGTGTTTTTTCCTTTTCTTCGTACTTTCTATAAGGTGCTACATTTGTTTATTTTTCAATAACATTAATACTCTAGGCAAAGTACGGCAACATTGCGTCATACAGATGGTAAGTGATATGTCGGTATCGTCTTATGTATGCAATAATTGGTTCAGAAGATTGGTCAAATATTTTATTGTAGCTATGTAAAAATACATATAATCATTACATTGAACTATAACATATTTAAAAACTTTTTAAAAGGTTTGGCGATGGATACATCATGATAGGTTTTGGTAGCGGGTTTTTCGTTGTGATTTCCACTCATTTGAAAGAAATTGGCCAGGTATTTTGGACATTGTTGTTTTGAGCTTGCTTCCCAGAAAGTTTAAGAATTTCGTTATTTCCTTTGTAAAGCACATACTACAATTCAGAAAAACATCCTTTTCTTTCAAACATCGCTAATTATAATTCACTTCACCTTTCGTGTAATTTCTCATGTCCACAAAACTGTTTATCATTTAGCTACATATTAATGTATTTTTATGTTTTGATTTTCATTTGTACACAGGAATTATTTCAAACACGTGATCATAAAGATGTCTTGACAGATATTGATATTTCATTAGAACTCAATAAAGTTGCGTCATGTGGTGATAACAGGTATATTTTATATAGATGATTCAATCACGTCCGTTGATTTTGTTAAGTTTATTTGAACATGAATGATGTCATCGTTGTGAAATTTTATGTGGTGAAACGATCGTGACATTGTCATGTATTCATAAATTTTATTTTTTATTACACTCGATCGATGTACTGTTCTATCATAGTAGTCTTCACACACCTCTTTCTAAAATGTAAAGGTCCATCTCCATCCTTTGTTCGGACTATAGATACTTGTGTTGATAGACACTTGCTTTTCATTAAGTACAATGTAAGCTTACTTTTTTAGTGTTAAGATTCACGATCTTACTGAAATGAAGGACATTTACTCAATCATTACAATCGAAGATGCTGGTGGTTAGAGATTCTTCTGTATTACTTGCATTGTATTTTTTGCATTTAGTTAACTATTTTACTGTTCTTTTAGGGCCTCTTGATAAGATGAAGTGGACAGCGGATGGACAACTCCTTGCTGTTAGCACAGTGAAAGGTATTAAAATCTTCGTATGTCTTGCTAAAAATTCATCAAACTTTACTCGTGATGTTTTCATTAAGTTATTTTTAAAATATCTTTACTGTAATATTTTAGGTGCAATTCACGTATATTTAACACTGTTACCTATACTGGGTGATTCATATCTTACACGTCTTGCTTATTTAACTTCACTCCGAGAGGTACGTATGGTGATTAATTAACATAATTAGAACAATGTCGTTAACATAATTAAAGTATTCGGAACATTCGTATACATGAGATTATTCATCAAATTTATGAAATACTCATCAATAATTAATGCAATCAAACATGTACATACATTTAAAGCAAGGTTGTTTTATTTTGATTTAAGGTTACCATTATGGATGGTGTAAACCAGGTAATCTACATCATAAGAACAAAAATGTAAAATTAAATATTTTGAATAGTTTTAAGTGCATCTCGGTTGATCATTTCTATTTATTTATCAGGAAAGACCAGTTTTGGTGGATCTGTCAATTGAGCCAACATTTATAGCTCTTGGTCCCTACAATTTGGTCGTAGGAATGAATAATCGCGCTTGGTTTTATGTATTTAATCAAGCTGGTTTGTTTGCCTTACTATATATTACGAAACAATAACTGCAAATCAAATGAATAAATTTAATAAACTATCAAATAAATTATTTTGCATGCAGTTGAGATGCTAAAAGATAGAGAATATCTTGGTACCGTTTCAAAGATGTATTTGAATACAGATTACGCTGCTGTTATGTTTGACAATCGTGTTCAACTACATTTGGTAAGTTATACAACATATCTTGTATGCATGATAAATGATACCCCAGTTTTCAGACACTTTCCTCGACTGAAATATAAGTTATACACAAGCTGAACTATACAGACCTGAATATAACGTAATAAACACGCATGCGCCATGTTCAAAACTTCCTGTAGTGATTCTGTTCAAGTGATGTATTCTCACAACTTTTATTACATAGATTTTTCATACTTTAAAATATTTTTGTCTCACATACTTGCTACCCAATGTGAACACGCTTTCTCCAGAAACTTTCCTCACTTCATTTGGCACTTCAACACTGACTCTACGAATTCACTTGTCCTTTCTCAAGTTTCATATCCACTGTAACTTTATCATTTTAGATCGAGAATGAGAGCATGAATAGTAGTGATACTGTAACTTTATCATTTTAGATCGAGAATGAGAGCATGAATAGTAGTGATACTGTAACTTTATCATTTTAGATCGAGAATGAGAGCATGAATAGTAGTGATACTGTAACTTTATCATTTTAGATCGAGAATGAGAGCATGAATAGTAGTGATACTGTAACTTTATCATTTTAGATCGAGAATGAGAGCATGAATAGTAGTGATACTGTAACTTTATCATTTTAGATCGAGAATGAGCATGAATAGTAGTGATACTGTAACTTTATCATTTTAGATCGAGAATGAGAGCATGAATAGTAGTGATACTGTAACTTTATCATTTTAGATCGAGAATGAAAGCATGAATAGTAGTGATACTGTAACTTTATCATTTTAGATCGAGAATGAGAGCATGAATAGTAGTGATACTGTAACTTTATCATTTTAGATCGAGAATGAGAGCATGAATAGTAGTGATACTGTAACTTTATCATTTTAGATCGAGAATGAGAGCATGAATAGTAGTGATACTGTAACTTTATCATTTTAGATCGAGAATGAGAGCATGAATAGTAGTGATACTGTAACTTTATCATTTTAGATCGAGAATGAAAGCATGAATAGTAGTAATACTCGTGAGACAAAATTATTTCCTGAAAAGAAAACGGATGGAAACATTACATGTGCTGGTTTAACTGGAGACTTTTTAATTTATGCCACAGACGTAAGCCAATTTGTCGTCAATAATTTCATGCATTTGATTCATAGACGAAGGGACTTGACATGTCACATGACTTCTCATTTTGAAGAGTATTTATTATGATTTTTATTTTTATCTTTATGCTTATATACTTTACCAGGATCCCAGAGATCTGCTGTATACAACCAAACCCAAGCAGTTTATTGCTTTTTTTCTTATTTATTAAATATTTTGTGTTTAAGAATGGCTCCTTGCACTATTTTTACATCGAAGACTGGAAATTTGTCAACGAATTTCGTCATGTTGTTGGTATGTACGTAGTGTAAGCCTCTGGTATTTGTCCAACTTTAATGTAAATTTACTGTAGTTGATTGTAAACTTTTGACAAAACTGCTTTTTCCAATCGTTTTATTTTTGACACATGTCGCTACATTTCGGTCTGAGATAAATGATATAAAACAATAAAAGTGTAAGAAAAAGATATTTTAACATTTAAAGAATTTTAAACTGTTTTGTAAAAAATATGATCTGTGATAGTTTTATTCCATAGTTTTTTGCCAATAAGTTTTTTTTGAATCGTTTGACAATTATTTTTCACCGAATTTTTTCATTCTTGATTATTCATTATTGTGTATACATCATCCTGTCCTCTTCAATAATGCTTAAACGAATTCTAAGACCTAGCTTTAATTCCTTTTCCATTAGGTATTCGTAAGTTGTTTGCTGACCAAACAGGCACAAAAGTTGTATTCTTGGACGATAAAAGCGATGGCTTTGTCTATTGCCCGGTAGAATCCATGTGCTTGTGTTTAGATTTGATTGTATTTGTAAAGATTAAGGATGTGTAGATAAATCATCCTTTTAACCTTTGATATCATTTGTTTAAGGCAAATGATTCAATATATGAGATTCCTGAATTTTCTCACAGCGTCAATGGAGTTGTTTGGGAGAGCTACCCTTTTGACAAGGTGATTTGATACTTGAAAATAGTTATTCGTTATTCAAATAATCTATCTATAAACGACACTGCTTGTCTTGATATCAAAGCTCATCATGTCATGTATGGTGGGAAAATGTGACCTTATACGTGATTGTGTTTACCATTCATTTGTTATACTGTATTTTCATTGGTTTACAGGATATTTTTTGTGTTTTTGATGAAGAAAAAATTTACACATACGCTTTCTATCGTGAAACTCTTCAAGGTAGTGATATACTCCATATATGTTGAAATCCATGGCTCTGTTTTTGTCATTTTTGCCCACACACAGATGCATTGTTCTGTCATTAGGTCCAAGATGTAGGCTGGTTGATACAACTAAGCTGCCTTATGCTCACTATCCGCTCGTTCTTTACAATGGTGAACTCACTTGTCAGACACAAAGTGGCAAGGTTAACTTTCATATTTAACTTAAATCAAACAATTTATTAATCATATAATTTCTATCGTGAGAAAATTAAAGAAAGATGAATGTTGTTAACAACGTCAAAACTGAGCATTTTTTTTTGTTTCTATTTTCTTTGAAGACATTGAATATTAGATTGAGAAGTCACTCGTTTCTAGATAAACCTCAAGATGTTCCTGTTGAAGAGGTAAGAAAAAGCTTCCATGAAAGAGAACTAGCTCAACATACAGAACTTAGTGGAATGAACATTTCCCTTTTTTCCCGTTTTGTACGTAATCTTCAATTGTCTTCTGGTCAACAAATGTAGACAGTAATATTTCACATGTGCTTTCTTTACCACAGCTTTTGGCTTCGTGCAAACAATGTTTAGCTCTACTGAGGTACGGATTTTGTAATAAACACTGATCATAGAAATTTACTGTGGCGATGTCATACTAGATCTAATAGCATGACGTCATATTAAGTATTACCGGATGACGTCAACGAGTCAGAGTTATAAAATTTGTGTTGTGGCAGGTTTCATGAAGCTTGGGCAATCAGTCAAGTCATCGACAATCAAGATACGTGGTTGGAACTTGGAAGACGTGCACTTGAAAATCTCAATATTGAAGTTGGTATGATATTTTAACACCGCATAAATGCAATTTTTATTACACAATCCTGTTGATAACCCTGTTCGCCTCTTCAAAACCATATTTTTACTTCACTATCCGGTCAAGCCCTAACTAAAACACACGAAAATCCTGTTCATTACTTCAAAACCATATTCTTTTCATTGTTTGATTTGATCTTATGTAATGCTTTAAAATTATAAGAGTATAGTTTGTGTAATGTGTTTTTCAAGCCTCTGACTTACGTATTTTGCAAATTTGTTTTAAATGCACTCTTCAATGATCCATCGTATCACATTTTCATTTATAGCGATCAGAGTATTTCAAAAGTTGGAAAATGTTGGAATTGTTGTATCGCTCAATGAAATCAAGGTTCATTATATTTATAAAGTTTGAGTTGATTTTTTTTTTTTTAATGATGCATCAATTTAATTAAAGGAGATCGAAGACAAAAATCTTCTCTCTGGCTACGTTGCTATGCTTATGGAAAACTATGATCTTGCTCAGGTATGTACAATTGGGTACACTCAGGTACACTCAACTGCACTCAAATTCACTCAACCACTGTGAAACGACATGCTTGTCAACTATTACTCCAAGAATATACGGAATATTTTCATCATTCACGCCGCTCTGTTTTTCTAGGAACTCTTTATGGCTTCCACTAACCCTTTGGCTGCTTTGGAGGTGAGAAAATTATTATTTTAAGTTGGAGAATGTTTAAGTTTAAGTTTGCAATGATGAATAACTAAAGCCATATATGACTACAGTAAATCAAAAGATTTCGAAAACAACCTTAACGTGTTCTCACTAAATTGCATCTTTTTACCTTACTCAATGACTTTTTATTTTTATGTAGATGCGTAGAGATCTGTTGAATTGGGACCAAGCTCTGGAGCTTGCCAAGGGCCTTGCTCCCGATCAAATACCTTTCATTTCTCGTGAATACGCTCATCAATTAGAATTTACGTATGTTTTGCAATTATCTGTGTATTATACATCAAAGTATGTCCAATCAATATGTTTTGATCACTGAATGAAGAATATTGTATTACCCTATACATTTCTGGATTTAAATTAAAGTGCATGTTGTAATTGACTATTATATACAAAGTGTATATACAATGTGCCCTCCCGGCTATCACCATATTAAAATGGTGACTCCTGCACTTGGGACACAGGACGTACAGTTACACATTGTATGGATTGTATTGTAGAGTCACCACATACAGTCATATATATATGTTATGTATCAACATACTCTACGTATATAGACTTATCAATAAGGCAATTGAACTTTATTTAAATACGTACGCTGAACCCGACAACTGAGATCTCAGATTTCCAATGACTAATTTTCACTATATTTCCACTAACCTCACTCCAGTCACTCGTTTCTATTTTTAATGATTTCTTTTACGTATTCCCTTATTTGTATTCCATTCAACTGATTTTCGTCCTATCATTGCTTTAGTGGTGACTATGTTAATGCATTAATACACTACGAAAAAGGCATCACCAAACTTTCAAAGGTACAATTTTTCGCCACTACTGTTTCGTTATACTATTGTGTGAAAGTGATCTTAAATGTTTCTTTTGAATATAGGATGAAGAACACAATGAAATATGTTTAGGAGGTGTTGCAAGAATGGCCATAAGAATGGGTGATATACGTCGGTAAATATAAATTGTTTTATTTGATTTCATAGCATGTATGTTGTGATCGTGTATAGATCGAAGTCGCACAATGAATTTTTATGTATACATGTTATTTTAATGTGTAGTGGTGTAGGTCTTGCAACAAATAGTTCAAACCATCAATTGAAAAAAGAATGTGCGAGTATTCTAGAGAGCATTAAGGTAAAGGGTTTTCTGATTGTAGCTATATAGGAAAATACCGCGAAGTAAAAATTTGGAAAATCATTCTCAATAAATTAACTAAGCTTTTTGAAATATTTTAGCAATACGGAGAGTCTGCGATCATGTATGAAAAGGCTGAATACTGGGACAAAGCTGCGGCAGTTTATCTGAAGACTAAGAACTGGTGAGAATCTCGGATAGAATTTAAATGTAACTTCATTTGTCTGTCCAGTAATCTCAACATATGTATGGTTACAAAATATGGCTATATTTGTTTTTCTTATTTGTTTGGGAGAAATTTCATTTGTGCGTTTTGAATTGTATTGTCATGTAGGAACAAAGTTGGTTCAGTACTTTCAAAAGTTTCATCGCCTAAATTGCATATCCAATATGCTAAAGCCAAAGAATCTGATGGTTGCTATAAAGAAGCGGCTAAATCGTATGAAATTGCTAAAGATTACGATAATGTAATCAGGTAAAAAATGATCTTCATTTACTTGCGAATGATTCACGTTTTCCTCACACTAAGTTTTTCTCCCTTTGTACAAAACTTGACCAGCTTTTATTCACCAGATAGCGTCTTTTATCTACCTTTTTCATAGAATACAGCTGGATTTTCTTCGCAATCCCGAGGAAGCTGTGAGAATTGTGAGAGAAACGCAATCTGTTCAAGGAGCAAAAATGGTTGCTAAGTATGAGGACAGACTTGTGTTTTGACCTCATTTGTCATAATGTATATGTTTGACTTAACATTATCTTTTTAAAACAGGTTTTTTCAAAATCTTGGCGACTTTAACTCGGCTATTCAGTTTCTGGTACTATCAAAATGCAATAATGAAGCTTTCAAAACGGCTCAGGTAAAGGATATATAGCGTGTATTCATTCGTTCAGTAATTTCTAGCTCAATTTGATTACTCTCCGAGTTTGTTGTAGTTAACTTGTGTTTTCTATCCCAATTTTTACATGCCTCAGACAAGCAAGGTTTGAATCTATTAAAATATAATTACAGGTTCACAATAAAATGGAGGAATATGCTGAAATAATTGGTGAGTTAAATCTTTAAAAGAAATGAACGCCATGAATTTTCCCAGAATACTTTACACTAAGAAACTCTAAAAAATGAAATCTTATTGATGCATTATAGGTGACGATTGTACTCCTGATGATTACTCCAGTATTGCGCTGCATTTTGAACAAAAGAAGCAACATTTTCTCGCTGGAAAGTTCTTCTCTAAAGCTGGACAATATAGTAAGGTTGGTCAAAAAACTGTAGGACGCTCGAAATCATTATTTATTTGTCGTAAAATTAAAATGTATTTTATTAGTATTGTCAATCTATTGATGCTTTCCTAGGCTTTAAAACATCTATTGAAATGTCCTTCGAATGAGGAGAGTCAAGCAATCGAATTAGCCATTGAAACGGTTAGTTGACGGTTGAAATTTTCACTCTTTTCTTAATTAGCCATTTTATTCAATTTTATTGTTTCGTTTCTCAAGGTTGGTCTAGCAAAGGATGATGGTTTGATTCATCAACTTATTGATTACCTTATGGGTGAAGCAGATGGAATACCAAAGGTAAAATATGGCCATGAGCGTAGCTATACAAAAACAGAATAAAGAGCTATTTCAATGTACTATTCATGTTTCTCGTCAGGATGCAAAATATGTGTTTCGTATCTACATGGCTTTGGAACAATATCGTGAAGCGGCAAAAACAGCAATAATTATTGCACGAGAAGATCAATCGGCAGGAAACTATAGAAATGCTCATGATGTTTTATTTGCTATGTATCAGGGTAAGAATGTTTTGGAAAGACGAATCACTTACTTCACAGTTATTCAATAGCTTACAATAAAACTGTAACATATATTTTTTTTAATTGTTTGTAAGTATTTGCTGTAAATTGTTGATAATCACACACGTTTTCAGAACTTCTTCAACACAAGATCAACATACCAGCAGAAATGAAGCAAAATTTGATGATTCTTCACAGTTATATTTTAGTCAAGGTGCTTTATCTACAGTTATACTCTATTTTTCACGTGTTTGGAGAAATTAATGTAAAAGAACACACAATTTCGTGTATTGAATGCGTATGTATTCAACACAAGTAGTTTTACTTTCCATTTATCCTAATAAAGGAAAGTTGTTCCTAATCTTTTGGATTCAAAAAAGAGAAATTGACATCTCGAAACTCTTTGTTTTCTCCAAATTGTTCTCGAAACCACACAATGTCACAAAAAAAAACATTTCAGCTTTGACTTTTGTTTGTTTTCAGGTTCATGTGAAACGCGGTGATCATTTGAAAGGCGCTCGAATGTTGATTCGTGTTTCAAATAATATCAGCAAGTTTCCAACTCGTAAGTGTATTTTTTTAACAAGGTTTATGATTTTTAACACGGTTTACTATTATAAACGCGGTTTACGATTTATTAACATAGTTTGTGTGACTATTAACACAGTTTATGAATATTAACATGGTTTACGACTTTTGAAATGGTTTACAATAATTACACAATTATTTATTAATACTATGGCAAATGGTTTACGATTACTAACACAGTTTATGATTATTAACATGGTTTGGGATGATTATCATGGTTAAAAACGATTAGCATTGCTTATGATTATTAACACAGGGAGGCCTATCTACATGCTGAATAATGGTATTGATATTATCAATTATTGTTCTTCATAAATTAGACATTGTTCCAATCTTGACATCCACTGTGATTGAATGTCATCGTGCCTCATTAAGAAACTCGTCATTCAGTTATGCAGCCATGTTAATGAGACCAGAGTATAGAAAAGAAGTTGACTTGAAATATAAGAAAAAAATTGAACAAATTGTCAGGTAGGAATATGTTTGTTACTTAGTGCTGTACATAATTTTACACATCCTGGCATGTAAAATGTGTTGTTAGTTAGTTCATTTGACTGTCATAGAACTTAAACAGTTTGCAAGACGTAACTTTATAAGCATGAAGTACAATATTATGTGAATTTTTGATGATACAATTCTATAAAGTGGGGTTTTTGTTGTACTTTTAAATAGCAAATTTTGGCATGTCTCTGATGAAGAGATTTTATATTTATTAAGAAAACCTGACAAAACAGAAGAGGAAGAGGAAAGGGATGCTTGTCCATATTGTGAATACCTACTTCCACAAACTAAACTTGATTGTCCAGAATGTAAAAACAACATTCCATACTGTATAATTACGGTAATCACTTGTTCATCAACATTTATAACTTTACTTTTGCCTTGTCCAGACCATGACTAAACCTACGTAGTTTTTTGTTGTTAGTTCAAAACAAATTGAACTTGTTACATTCCTGATTATGACAAATGATAATTGTTATGATAATGGTAAAATGGAATATGCAGGCTTTACAAAAATAGATGCAAGCCTGCAGTATGGTGTGGCAAAATGATTTACATAAGTTTATTGTCACTTTGAATAGTTTAGCAAAAGTGAATTAATTTGTTGTGTATTTTACCTAACGATGTGATTAATTTAGGGGAGACATATGTTGAAAGATGATTGGTCTGTATGTCCAAAATGCAACTTTCCTGCATTATATTCTGAGTTAAAAAGGTTGGATAGTATACATTTGCATTTGAAGTAATTTGATTACAATACCATGTTTGTTTGTCTTTTTCAGTTTTCTAGAAGGTGGCGAAGGAATGTGTCCTATGTGCACTGAGAAAATATCCTTTAATGATATAAAATTGATCAAAAATATTAACTCCTTTTTGAGATCTGAGGATTCTGAGGCTTGAAACAAAGCTTCACAACTAACTTTAGATATTAATTTCAAATTTATTTATTTTATAAATAACACATGCTTATTTCATTGCTCGATGTTTGTACATATGTTAAATGTAAATAGTGTCGACATTATGATAACATGATATAAAGTATTATTATGTTAAAAGACCAAAGGATAAAAATAAAGATACAATAAAAGTGGCAGTGCATATTTGCTTTATCACATTCTAGCCTTTTCAGTATTTACTTAGAAATATTTTGAAATTAACAAATTTAATGAGATGAGCAATAGAATTATTTCAGGCCAAGTTAAAAGTCAAAACCTTAATGGTATACTTGGCCAGAGAACAGGATGTCTCATGTCTACATTCATATGAAAGTTTAACTGTAATGATGTTTCTAAGCTTTCAATTTTATGAGCATATGGTCCATATAAAATGTTCATTTCTTGTGTTCGCAATACACCCTGCTGTTGATCTGGAGCTAAAGTTGTTGCCTCAATTACTACTTCATTTACTGTTAATGTAATAAATAAACATTAGTATTTAGACTTAGGCATAATAAAAACATGTGTAATATAGTGTTTTTGTCAGATTACCTTCAATATAATCATTATTCTCTGCCTTCATCAGTTCCTTTTGCTTTTCTGAAAATAAATGCAAACCATTCCAATAATCATTTAAAATATGCCTTTGTTGCATTATTAGTCTTATGAATAACTCTTTTCATATGACTTCGAGATTCTAACTTACTCCTTTCTTCTTTATGTTTTGCTGACTGTTCAAGAAAATTTATAAAATCACTGTTGAGTTCCATTTCATATACATCATCATCGCTGTCCTCGTAGTCTGATTCTTCATCTTTTGTTCTTGTGATGTTAGAACTCTATCGTATTCATTTCTACAAGTATTAATAGTCACGGTTTGGTTTGTGTTAAAGTTGTAGGATTCATGTGCTTGACTAGATTTTGTTGACAACAAGAATCTTTCTTCTCTAAATCTTTGCTCTTCGAAACAAGTTTGACACCATTCAGCTTCAGAAAGGTCACTGTGTTTTCCATTCATTTTAAAACTACAACAGTAATTTAACTAATTCTCCAAAAACTCGTGACAGTAACTCGTGTTTGATGATGAGTAGCGATCGTTGGACATTGATTAATAATTTTTTATTCCGGCTACAATGAAAATTGAAAATATTATCTAGAATAATGTATAAAATATACTTTCAAAGTTATTTACAGATGCCAGATCATATTTTATTTTGAATCATTGAACCTGATTGAACCAGGGAACACAAGTACAACCGCGTGTATCTCGCGTGGACTGTTTTATTTACGTGTCGGAATGCGGTGCACGGTCTGTTACGATGAAATTGGGAGATTTACCGTTTGTTTAAACTATTTAGCTAGCTAAGTGATTTTTTTTTTGCCTATGGTACAACCGATCATACTATGGACTTTGCTCTCATAGAGTATTATTTATAATCTCTGGGCATGCCCCTGGATTGCCTTGATGCCCTCGATTGCCTAACCGCTGGATCTTGTACGTGGGCTCATAATTGAAATAGTAGATTTTGGAAGGACTTCGGAACTTCACATGCCAATGATATGAAAAGCTCACCTATTTACGTTTTAGCCAAGGAAAAGATTTTGTTCCAGTAGACAGTTTTAATGCGAAATGGCTCCTCAATCCTTAACTTGCGCTATTTGTGGTAAATTGTTTAAAAAGTATTCGTATCTTCAGGATCACATGCGCATACACTCTGGTGTGGTGAGTGTATTTCTCTATTTGTTATTAAAGAGTTAAAGTCATAAATATAGTAACAAGCAGCCGCTATAGCGTAGCTTGATCTATTAAAAGTTATTTTCAAAGAGTAAAGTTTTCGTTGCTGTAATATCACTGCGTTTATAATTTTATCATAAATGAGAATTCAGTGAACAAGTCTTGCTTGCAAACGTCACACGGACGTCCCTTCCAGCGTTCCACGTGGACGTCTGTGTTAGACTTACAGTGCTTCACTACATGGACCTAAGTCTGTGTCAGTGCTCCATGTGGGACATTCATGTCAATGTTGTTCAATGTGAACACCCATGGTTTTAAATTGTGCATACAGCTCGTCTATATCTTCTCTTATCCAAATTATTTTTCATAATGTTTTGATCAACAGTAGCCTTCCCAAATTTAGTTTTGTGATTTGAACATTTTAAGTACAATCTTGTAGGTTAACTTATCATCATCAAGATCAACACTGACGTAATATATATTATTTTTTGTTTTGTATTTCAATTTTATATATTTTTTACAAGACATGTTTTGTTATTTCAGCGTCCATACAAATGCTTGCTTTGTGATAAGGATTTTCTACTAAAATATCAAGCCAAAAGACATATGATGTCTCACACTCAAAATACAGTCGCCCATATCAAGTAAGTATGTTTGTCATATATGAGGATGCTTAATTTCAATAAATATCTAATGCAGTATTTTAACATTGGATAGATGTGCAGATGAAAACTGTCCACGGAGGTTTAAACTTGAAAGAACTATGAGAAGACATTATGAAAGTGCTCATGCCCTTCATAAGGTAGTGTAAAATTGTTATATGTAATTAAATAGAAGGTTATTTATGATATATTTGTGTACCAATAATCACATGTACTTGGTAAACATTTCAACAAGCAAACAAACACTATTTGTTGTAATTATTGATGCCTATTTATTTGTTGTAAGTATTGAGAACCAAAGAAAATTTTTGTGTACCTTTCTAGTGCACATATGATGGATGTGAATTGGCATTTAGAAAGAAACAACAACTGAAAGCTCATTTAGAAATGCACAACCCAATTACACTAAAGTATGTCATCATAACATAAAATGCATGTTATGTTGGATATTGCTTTTGTTTAATCCTTATCATTCATTTGAAAGATGTCCATATGAAGGATGTTCATCGGTGTTTTGCAACAAAAGAAATCTTGAGCGTCATATGGAATGCCATGAAAAAGGTATGCCGGCTTATTGATGATTTTTTAACATAAATGTTTATAGGAATGATTTCACAATTGTGAAGCTACGTATGTCCAATTTTTGCAGTTTTTCTTTTTTCCTTTTTTAGTTTTCAAGTGTAAGATTTTGGGTTGTGGTGTATCAGTAAAATCATGGTTGGAATATAGGAAACATGTAAAATCACATAAAAGTATTTGAAAATATTTTATTTTACTTTGTTGCTTTTTTGAGTGATAATTTTTCCTGAGTTTCTATTTTCATTTTTGATTTAGTTGTAAGTTGCAAGGAATGTGACGTTGTATGCCCTGATGTTGCTGCGGTAAGATTTTTCAAACAATAAAAGCATGTATTTTGTATTTTAAATCTAAACAAAAATTTACTTAATTTTGTTGCAGCATGATTGAAATATGACATTTAATGTACACAAAGACTTTTTAATTTTTCAATGAATACATGATTCGGCATACTTATGCCATCTTCATTGTTCGTAAAAATATTTCATTCATTATTCTGGACGGAAGATGGCATAGGTATGCAGAAACATGTATGCATTGAAAAAAAAAAAGTTCTCGTTTACATTAAACGTCTTAAACAAAAATTATTGTTGTACTTGCTAATTTGCAAAAAAAATTTTATTGCTCTAAGCAAATTCCAAGTTAAAGGCTTATCATTTTGGTTAATGTCTTTTATATGTTATAATTTATTTTAGTTCAAGAAACATTTTAAACAAATGCATACTAAACCAAAAGAACCCAAACCACCTAAAAAACCTAAAGAACCAAAAGTACCTGTGCAAGTTGTTTGTCATTATGAAGGATGTGGTAAAACATATAGCAAGGTACGTATGTGTACTTTGTATCAATTACAATCCCATGATGTAGTGCAATTGATGTGTAGCCATGGTCATCATTAGCCTTATTGTAGCAGTTTTCTATTAACTATTGCATAACATATGTCTAATTCTAGGGATCAAATCTGAACAAGCACATCAGAGTGGTTCATAATGGTGTGAAGTTTCATTGTCCAGTTGAAGGATGTGATAAAAAGTATTCTTACAGGGTATGTTCAATTTTCATTTTTGTTCTTTTTATTTTCACAGACTCTCTCAGACTGCCATATGTTGAGCATTTTGGTAGAACATTAAACAATTTACTTTTGGTTATTATAAAATACTTTTTGAAATGTTTATAACAAAATGTTTAAAAGTTACGGAAATATGGTATCAAATTTTTCATATGATTATTTCAATCATCATCGCTGTCTCCACTTAATGCACACTTTCATTTAATTCTTCAAAGATTACATAATTTTATAATTTATTCAATAATTGGTTAGTAATCTACATGATAACTAAATTTCAAAATATTTTTAATGTATTCTTGTTTTTTTTCCAGTCTTGTTTGAAAGAACATTTGGCATCTCATGAGGTACGTAAAAAAAAAGACTTCTTTATTGTCAACTCATGATTTATTGTTGTCATTTTTAATGGAGATTATGTAGTTGTCACTTTCAAAGAATTATGCTTGGATTTTACATTACTATCGGGAGACTATTTAATTTTTACCCTGTGTTGCTCCTTCTGTTTTATCTCTTACAACATTTTTAACCAGAGCAAGGAGAAGAAAAGAATATTTAAAACAGACATATTTGACACTAAAGCAACTCTAACTTGTATCTTTTATATGTGATGAAGCATTAAACATGCAGTAAAGCAGATTTCTATTGTCTATAAGCTTGGGGTGATGAGGGGTGTTATATAGTACTGGTGTTGGCTATTTGCTGTGTTTGTAGTTGATTGGATTGGCATGTTTATTATTTCCTTAGTTGTAATTGTTTTTTGAATCTGTAGGTCAAAAGACAAAAAAGAAGTAAAATCACTAGCTGCTAAACTTTCAAGATATAATGGTGAACTTTGTGATCTTCCGGTGACTTACGTTGATCCAAACGAAGAAGATTCAAGTGAGTCAGTAAAAGAACCTGACGAAAGTGCCTCTAGTCCCACTTATATGACGTCTCTCACAAAAGGAACACCAGACACCACTTTGGATACAAGTGAAGAAAAGATTTTAAATTTAAGTTATCTTTCCGACTCTTCAACAAACTTTTTCCCTCTGACAGTTGACGATTCCCAATCAAATGTGTTGTGTTCAAGTGGAATGACTTCCTTTGGCGTTTCATTAAATGAACATACTCAGTTGTTAGATTGTCCATCGTGATTGTGTTCTACGATGTTTTTGTAATTAACCATGTTTGCTTTCATCAGTTATTATTTAGGATTTTGATGAAGTAATTTTTGGTTATAATAAAGTATTTATAGTGCTGTTATGATGGAGATGTTTGTTATGTTGAAGTACTTCAAATGTTTTACAATAGTAATGAGAAACTTCTCCATTTTTTTTAAATAACGTTAAAAAAGTCGTAAAAGGGAAAACTAAGGTCTTTTCTTGTACATTATCGATTTCGATCGTGTTGTAGATGATACACTCACAGTTGCTGAGAGATTTTTATGGACTTTTGGGTTTCCTTTTGCTTGCCGATTGGAAGAGTTGTGTTTCGGGGACTTGTTTCCTTTGTTTGCTGCCGCACGATTCTGAGATGCGATTTTAGCTAAAATTGCAAAGAGGGTCTTACACCATTTTTTGCTGAAAATAGCTGAAAAGCTGTGTTTGTGACATGATATCGTCATAAATAATTATATTTTAGCGAATTTTACCCTGTCTTAACACATACCAATAAAATCTGGATTAGATTCATCCAATCCATTCAGTAGAGGTTTGTATGATTTAAACAAATGTCCAGAGGCACCCTCAAGACGTCCTTCGTTTGAGATTATATTTAAATGAAAATAAAACTTTGTTTTACTATAAAAGCAACTTCGTTTTAACTGAATTAGCAATCTAAAATTACGTTTTACTTCGACCAAAACATAAGTTTTTCGGCATTCCAAATACTCGCTTGCTAACTGTTCGCTAGGTCTTTCATTCATACTTTTGACCAAACCACTTTCGTCAGCTAAATCAATCATATCTAGTGGAAATTTTTTTTAACCGGCAATTTTTACTAAACAACTAAAGAACGAAACACAAAAATGACAGGTACCCTTATCACGACATTTGCATCTTTTCTTTATATTTTCAATCAGGTTGATATTTCTACAGTCTGGATTGAAAAGCTCTTGTTGTGAATCTAAAAACAGAATTTTGGATACATAGGTATTTAAAATTCCTAAGGAAGAAGCAGTTTAATATCAAGATTACAAAATGAGACTGCACATACCTCCAAAAAGAACGACAATAAACATTACTATGGCTTTAAGTGTAACTTCCTTAATTGAAGACTTGCTCTTGAAACTTCATATTTCGCGTTTGTTGAAAGCAAAAAAGTGTATGTAACTAATGAAAAATAACGAAAATATTCTTCCCGAAATTCTTTGCGAAATAGAATTAACCAATAAAAATCAGCAAGCGATTGCTTCTTCGCCAACCATTTTTAGTTTCTAGATTTCTGTAACAAGTATCTCTCACACTAAACGTTATTTCAACATGTCGTAGTGTACAGGTTTTGTCCAAGTAACGAAAAGTTCGTAAAGATTAAGCAGTGATATAAATATTATCGTGCACATGTTTATTGATGCAAACGATTGAGGACTAGACAACGTCAAGATTTAAAAACATCTCCCAAAATGTCAAGATTGGCCTTGCTTCTTTTCACATCTATCCGAATACCATAAAGAAAAATTTTAAATAGTTAAATACATAAAAGTTTTATGATTGGCAATGTTGTAAAGGCATTCTTTCAGACAAGCATATAAATAAACATAGAATTTAGAAACACAATTACACAAAATGCATTATTTTATACAACTTGACTAAGCCATATATAACATCAATCAAACATAAAGTGATTATTTCCAAGATAACTGCAGAAAGATATTGTTTTTGCCAACACTAAAATCCATAATACCGTGAAAAGATTGTCTCTGTCTTCAACATTAAAAATTAAAAGTACAAAATCATCTTATTAATTTTAAGGTTGTGCTAATTTACTCGTCGTTTTGAAACTCTTTGGGATCTTTTCTGCTCAATCGATGATTTTCATTCTTTGCCCAGTTGATGAAAAGAAACACTGACACAAAGCCGGGTAAAATATATCCAACTGACGACATGAAACGACGGACAACATTAGGACCACTTTTGGAGAAAAATCCAGCGAATGCGCGTTGTTCAAACGGAGACAATGAATACGTGATAATGTTTTTGGCTTTTACGAGATTTCCAAACTCTTGTCCACCCATTCCCAATCAATATTTCAACAAAAACTTTGTCTGTTATAGTCTGTAAGACTTTTAATATTATGTTGAACAAATATCAAATATGGAGGAGACCAGAGAAATGAACACTGATGAGAAAGAGTAGGACTACATAGGATAGAACTTGACAAATATATCTCCCTATCACACGAGCACCACGTCATGTTCATATGTGTACTGTAGAGTACAGGGTCAAGTGAAGTTGTCAAGCAAATCAAAGAATTTTTGTTTTCACGACTTTGTTCCTACACAAGAATGTCGCTGTTTTGCATAAAAAAGATCTTTCTGAGTTGTGGAGGACGAGAATGTATATAATTACAATAAATAAAGGTGACGTTGCATATCTAACAAAGCCTTTATGCCTTTCGCGTGGAGTACACTTCATAACTCTGACGACATGGAGGGAGAAACAACACAGGCGACTGGGTTTTCTTCATATGGCTCAACTCATACTGTTAAAAATACCGACTATAGACTCGTCATACCCAGTCAAGTGTTTACAAAACAACTAGAGATTAAACATGCTAATCTTATTAAATTTAACCTGCGCAACAAAGTAAAGACGACCAAATATACAATTTGGAATTTTTTGCCAAAGAACCTATTCGAGCAGTTTCATCGTTTTGCGAACATATATTTTTTGGTAATCGCTATTTTGAACTGGGTTCCTGCCATAAAAGCCTTTGCAAGAGAAATAACAATGATCCCATTGCTATTTGTGCTTTGTGTAACTTTGGTAAAAGACTTATTTGAAGATGGCAGAAGAAGAAGATCAGATAAAAAGGTTAATAACAGAGAAAGTTTGGTATATAATAGGTAAGTTTTTGTACTGGGAGTTATCTTGTTGAAATGTATATAAATTTTTAATTTCCAAGTAGTTTGTTTGAAACACAGGTGCATGATCTTCTGATAACAATGATTGTATAAAATCTTTGATATTAATAAATAATACTTTCTGATCACATAAGAACATTGAAGTTTGAAAAAACTTACGATCACTTCTTGTCACTGTTTGAAAATCAGGATCGCACATTAGGGGAGATGGGACAAAAGTCTGTCTGGCCAATATTTGTTGGCTTTTCTCTCAAATAAAGACATTATAAAAGTTGATCATTTTGGGGGAAAGTGCATCCCTGTTGACCATATAATCTTTAGTGAAATGTGTGGTCACACAATGAAATTTTCATATTGTAGAAAACATTTTGATTTTACGAATGTGATTGTGAACCTCTTTTTTGTTTCTTTAATCATTCTTAGCTCCACTAACAGTTATGTTAAGACAAAATGGCGTTATGTTCGACCTGGTGATATTGTCAAAATATCAAATAATGAAATTATTCCTGCTGATATTTTACTGTTGAGTTCAAGTGATCCAAATAATATTTGCCATATTGAAACAGCTAATCTTGATGGTGAAACTAATCTTAAGCAAAGGGAAGTAGCTAGAAATATTAATCAGGTATTTTGAGATATGTTTTTGTCAATTTCTACATTTTAGAGACTAATATCTTGCATCAAGTGAAATTAATTTTTTCAAAATTTATTTAGGGAGATGAAAGCAATAATGCCACAAATTTTAGCTCATTTATTTATTGTGAAAAACCAAACAGTAAAATATATCAATTTAATGGATATATGTAAGTAAAGTTCTACCGAAGTTCATTAATAAAAATATACCATACATTAGAAAACATGTACACTTTATTGAGTCAATGTCTTGAAAATTTATTTTAAGGGATTTAAATGGCAATTGTATTCCAATTGGAACAAACAATCTTCTTTTAAGAGGATGTGTGATTCGTAACACAGATACTGTTGAAGGGATTGTTGTTTATGCAGGTAACTACCTTTAATAATTCGTCACATTGACATTGTAAATTTTGTTTTTTTCTTCTTATTTTACTGCAATTAGTAAAAATAGTTTAAAATTATTTGTTGAATGACTTACGTTTGTAGAGTTATTTTTAAAATCTATTTTTCACACATAAGATATCATTTGCTTTATCTTACAATATGATGTGTAATTTATGTTTAAAATTTAATTTTCCATTTATAGTATGCATTTAAATAATGGCATTTTCATTTAAAAAGTGACCAGTAGGATTATATTTCTTTTCTTAAGGTCATGATACTAAAGCAATGCAAAACAACAGTGGACCAAGAAGCAAACGCAGTAAACTAGAGCGAGACATTAACACAGATGTTTTAGTTTGTGTAGTTATATTAATATCCTTGTGTGTGATTTGTGCCATAGGTTGGTGAAGATTTGATCATATTTTGATTGAAATGTGATTTTTATATGGGTGTACTATCTAATATTTTAGGGGGTTGGGTATGTATTTTGTACATTTTCAATTGCCAGTGAACCAAGGTTCACTTATTTACAAGATTATACTGCTGCTGGCTTTGTTTGCTTAATTATCTGAGGTTTTCCCCACTTGGTACACCCATGTCTAACATCAATTGAACGTACGTCATTTTTTAATGGACGATAGGAAATAAAGGAATTCTGACGTCATTGATGACGTATTTAGAGTAGAACCTTTGACCATTACATCACCTAAACAAGGAATATTGTATAGAGTCAGTGACAGCTATGTTTAATCATACAATGATTAATAGTCACGACATTTTTTGAACACTATTGCTTCGTTATACAAAGAATTCCGTCTGACAGTAAAAAACGAATACAACTTATGAAATTTTGAAACTTTAATAATATCATGCTCTTTTGTGGGATGATTTGTGTTTATGTACATGTTCCTATTTTGTCCGTTGTGAACTGCAACTAAAACAACTTTATATTTTTTTACTTTAAAAATGATTTTGTTCTGAAGAACCATGCATTTGTACAGCGTTAACTGACGTTACTTTGTTAGAAGTATATTCTAAAAATGATTTTGTTCTAAAGAACCATGCATTTGTGCAGCGTTAACTGACGTTACTTTGTTAGAAGTATATTCTAAAAATGATTTTGTTCTGAAGAACCATGCATTTGTGCAGCGTTAACTGACGTTACTTTGTTAGAAGTGTATTCTAAGCGGACTTTTTGTCGATTTGGAAAATATACCAATCTAGGTATACAACTCATTTGAACTGATTTTTTTAGGCAATGGATTTTGGACTGCAAATAATGAAGTTTTTGATCATCAATATACTCCTGAGTTAGACGTTAACAATGAAGATGTGATCCAGCGAGAACCTGCTTTGGAGGCCTTTGTTAGATTTTGGACATATATTATAGTTTTTCAGGTACGACATAACTATTTTTAATAATCAATAAATACAAGCCTAAATATAGTTATTTGTCATAATACCTTATTGACAGTAATGACAAAACGTCACAATAAACTCCGTTTTGAAAACTTTTTAGACTTTTTGGTTTATTTTCATGGCTCCTACTTAAAGCCTGATTGCCCCTAGCCACGTATCGTAACATGTCGTACCAATACGTAACATGGCGCATGCGTGCTAATGAATTTGATGGTCAATAGGCACAAACACGCATGCGCCATGTTACGTTTTGCTACGATACGTTGCGATACGTAACTAGTGGTAAACAGGCTTAAAGCTCTATGTTGGGGGATTAATTTTCATTGTCTGAATTTTATTAGTTGTATTTGTTACGTATTATTATATCCTGTAGTAATTATTACTATTATACAGTAGTAATTGTTACTATTATACACTGGTATTTGTTACTATCGTTTACTAGTATTTGTTACTATCATACTTTAGTAATTTTGAAATAAAGTTCCTAAGCTCCTCTCAAACCTCTTGTGTAGAAGTAAATATGATAAAAATTAATTCTACGCAGGAAAAACATTTCATTTCATTGTGATCTTATTTCTTTATAGGTATTGATTCCAATATCATTATACGTAACCGTTGAAATTGTAAAGCTTGGTCAATGTTATTTCATTAGAAATGATATCGAATTGTATTTCGAAGAAAAAAATCAACCAGCAGTATGTACAGCCTTAAACATTAATGAAGATCTTGGGCAAATCAAATATATCTTCTCTGATAAAACCGGCACATTAACAGAAAATAAAATGGTTTTTCGGCGTTGTACTATCAATGGAAAGGACTACGCTCACGCAACAAGACGCAGCTCTCAAGGTATCTCTTATTGTACACATATATCTCATGGCACACAGGTATCTTCCATGGTACACAGGATCTCTTATGTTACATAAGTGTCTCTCATAGACTCATAGTACATAGTTGTCTCTCATAGTACATAGGTAATACTCGTACAATACGACAGCTATCTCTCATGGTACACAGTATCCTCAACAAGCGACGTTCTAATAATTTTTACTTTCTTCCTGTTTTAGAAGAAGCATCCTCACATTTACCCGTGGACGTGGATGAAATTGTAAGTAATGACAAATATTAACCATCCGTAAAATTTGGTATGATAGTTCTCTAAAGTCTTCACAATTTTATTCAATTAAAAAATTATATTCAACTTGTTTGTGATATTGACTGCAATGTTTAATTTAGGATGCTTCAAAATCTTCCTGGGATGACGAACTTGCAGAAAAAATAAACAATGAGTCAAACGACGAGGTTTTCATTCCAATTAAAGAATTTTTTACATTGCTTGCAATATGCAACACTGTTGTTGTGTCGTCACATGCAAACCACGCCAACGGCGAGTCTAACGGCAATCTTAATGATAGTCAAGATGGACAATTAAACCACGTTGTCGATGGTGTTATAAATGAAATGTATGGACCACGAGAAAACTCTACGAATGTAAAACCTGTCGCAAAGCAAGAAAATCTAGATGTAAAGTCGTTGAAATACGAAGCTGAGTCACCTGATGAAGCTGCACTTGTAAAGTCCGCTAAAATGTACGGTTATAAGTTGTTGTCACGTGGTTCAGAGACTGTTTCTATTGAAGTGCCCGGTGAAGATGTTGTACAATTTGAGCTTCTACATGTACTCGTGTTTGACTCCATTAGAAAGAGAATGTCTGTGATAGTTCGTCGTAAGACTGATGGAAAGATCATCATGTATTGTAAAGGTGCTGACACAGCAGTTATACCTCAATTATCGAGACTGAGTAAATCGCAGAAAATTACTGATACCAGAGATAGACTAGATGGAAAGGATAGTGATACTTTAACTGAAATATCTTTGGTTGAAAGCACCGAAACTCACCTTAATATATACGCTAGAGAAGGACTCAGGACCCTATGTATGGCAAGAAAGGTTGGAATTTATTAATGTCTTTTGTTGAGTTTGTTCACGAAAATACCATGGTAACCTTGTAGCCCAATGACAATTATTATGGAGTGTTCTTTGTTCATCTCTACGACATTATACTTATGCATGTATATATCTTAATGTTGATTTCCAGGAATTGACCGAAAATGAATATGATGATTGGCTATCGGAGCATAAGAAAGCTGAATTATCTATACACAACCGCGATGAATTGTTACAGGAATCCTATTCTCGAATGGAATGTGATATGGAGTTACTTGGTGCTACAGGGATAGAAGATAGGTTACAGGATGGTGTACCTGATGCTATAGCAACATTACGTAATGCTGGAATTAAAGTTTGGGTTCTTACTGGGGATAAACAGGTACAGGCGTGTGTCATGCGTTTCTATGTCCGTGTTTGTAAGAATTGTTCTCTGTTATTTATATAGAGATGAATTATCCAGAACATGTTTTTGTTTGTGTAAATTTTCTTGAGACCATCTTCCCAAATCATAATTCTTCATTCAGATCTTTTTTCTTTAACAACAACTCCTCGTGTGTTGCACTTTCATTCTTGCTTTTAAAATCAAATCACGCATGCAAGAACCGCTGTTATTGTACGTATACTCTCTCGAAAGAATTCTTTCTAGACAACTATTTTAGAAAATATTTTTAGTCATATACTTTATTTATCTGAACCTGAAATTATTTTATATATCATGGCTTAGCGTCATTGAATACGGTTTGATTCTTCATTTTTTTAATTATTAAAATAGGAAACTGCGATAAACATTGCTCATTCTTGTCGTCTTCTTGATGATCATATGGACAAAATTACTTTGAATGCTTCGTCACAGGTAAGTCATGTTTGAATACGTGATCTTTGGACCAGTATAGCAATTATTTGGATGTAAGATCTCGCCTAAATTTTTGTGTAGTTTGTTTCTTCAGTTTATGGAGGCGTCGAGCCCGTTGTGGCAAATGTTGGATGAAAATTCGAATTATTTTTTTGAAAAGTTTTCTATTCTTTTAAAGGAATCGTGTAGTGAGCAAATCTCTGCTTGGTTAGAAAAAGTGGGCAGCTCAGCTGGTCGTGGCAACGAACAAATTGAATCAAGTAAACAAAAAACATTTGGATTAGTCATCGATGGACAGACATTGCAATTTGCTTTGACTGAACCTCTTGATTTGGAATTTCTTCGTTTGGCAAAATCATGTGAAGTTGTAGTTTGTTGTCGTGCTGCCCCAGCTCAAAAGGTTTTTATGAACATGTTGTTATACGTAAAATTTCATTCTGATGATATTTTAATTTAATTCCATGATATCAGTTTTGTCTCAAGATTATGTCTAGTTCTTGCTGAAAAAACAAAGCTGAAATTCTTCTTGAAAAAATACATTTTTCAAAAGTTTCAATGGTGTGGTGTTCTGCGATTATATTTGTTTGCGATTATAAGTTAAAATAGTTGCAATTAAGGATCGATTATATTTGTAAACAGGATTCATCATTAAGTGCGTTATCTACACCGATCTATAACTTAGTTATTCATCTGCACAGTCAAACTGCCTTCTAATGGCAGTAACACAAGTAATGTGATGTTTATATATACTACTACTTTATTCCCAGGCTTCTGTGGTGCGTCTTGTACGAGAAGAACTAGGTGTAATGACATTGGCTATTGGAGATGGTGCTAATGACGTCAGTATGATACAAGTTGCAGACATTGGTGTTGGTATTAGCGGTCAAGAAGGCATGCAAGCTGTTCAAGCGAGCGATTTTGCTATTGGAAGATTTCGGTTTTTAGTACGTTTATTACTTGTTCATGGTCACTGGTGTTATGATCGTATATCCAAACTCATCCTGTATTTCTTTTATAAAAATATGGTGAGATTTCCTTCTTTTTTATATTCCTGCTGTATTAATTACGGTAAAATCGTGTCATCCTATTATAAAACAACTAAATCGCTAGTATCAGCATCTCCCAACAAGGTTATATGTTAGTCAGGAACAGCTATACTATTGCAACCATCCACAGAGTGTATGTAATAATAACTATTATTATATTGGGCAAGCATTACGTCACCGTGTCTGTATGAGGAATAATTATAGTGTATCGTAATGTTTCATTGCTTTTTTTTTGCAGATGTTTGTGATGGTGCTGTTTTGGTTTCAGTTGTACAATGGTTTCTCTGGATCTAATGCGATAAATGATGTGAACTTAATTTTCTTTAATCTCATCTTTACTTCATTACCGCCTATAATATCAGGAATCTGGGACCAAGATGTTTCTTGTGATGTTCTTTTGGCCAAACCATTCCTTTACGCGCAAGGAAGGGAGAGTATGGTAAAAATATTTATTTTCATCTGCTGTCAATGGCAGATGTTGTGTTTCAAAGTTTTATACTTGATTTCTCTTTCTCCCTTACACTCTAGCTATATTCTAGAAAGTGGTTTTGGATAACAATGGCAGATGCTGTGTTTCAAAGTGTTGTAATTTTTTTCTCGGCCTTTTTGGTAGGTTTCAGCTATGCAAGTCTTTCACATCTGTTAGGAAATCCTAACTTTTAAAACAGACAAATATCAATTTGGATGTTTGTCTTTTTGTTGTAATAACGGGAAGAATCATAATTTATTTGTAAATGAAAAAGAATGACGATTTAATTTTACTTAAACTGACCAATATTACGCTAATATATTATTAGTTTGATCATTTTGTTTTTGTTTTTATTCTGTATATCTGTGTGTTTTTGTTTTGCCAGGTTTACTATGGAACAAATACTGGTTTGTTTACTGTTGGTATTACGTTACATCAATGTGCTGTTATTGTTGCCTCACTACAGATAGCTCTTGAAACAAATTATTGGGTAATACATCTGTCCTATTATAACCCAATCCTAACTCAACATTAATCTACCCTAACCTAACTCTAATCCTCGTACAAGCTGTTACCCTAATCTAACATAATTCTAAGCAAAAGCTAATCAAGCCGTAAGCCTAAAGCCAATCCTATTCTACGTTAACCAGTTACGTAAATTAAAGAGTAAATGTATTTTTTTAAACAGACGGTGATTCATGGCGTTGCTCTTGGTCTGAGTGTGCTCATATCTTTCGTATGGTGTATTATCTACAATGTTATTTCTCCTACATTTCCTGATTATTATGTTGCTGTTGTAACAATGGGAACAGCTAATTTTTGGATGTTATGTATTTTAACTGCGTTCGTGTCGATGATTCCACGGTGAGTTTGCTGCGACGAGTTTCTCGTTAATTTTTATTAACGACATTTTTAAAAGAATTTCGCCTTTTTGTGTTTAAAATTCGAATCAATTACTGAGCTACTTAAGGCAGCATTGAAATGCTTACCTACGTTACTGTTTGTAAAGCAAGCGATTTATTGTTCTTTGATAACTGTGCTGTTCATGACTCTTTCTCATATGAACTAAAAACGGTGTTTACACAACAAATTTCTGCGATTTTCAATGAAATATCGTTTACTTACTTTTGCCCAGACTCCTGGCCAGGACTCTTCAACTTTCAATATGGCCGACAGACGTTCAAAAAGCTCGTCTGTCCTACACAGATTCTCCAGTTACTTTAACTTCTAATCAAGCAAGGATGGGACAATTTTCAGCTGAGGAAGGCCGAACGTCAGTTGTAAGAATCTAAAGCGTTCATTGGAAATGACAAACTCGTCGGGAGAGTTGAAAGTTAAAAACTTCCTTGGAGTTAATTAATGGGACGGGGGAGACCACAAGATGACAGATAATAAAGAACAATGCTCTCGCTTTTTCGCAGTAGCGATAGTTTCAAGAACAAGTTTGAAATCCTTTAAACCATCAGTCAACTCAGACTTGTTGTAAATCTCTATCAAGATGAGTCAAATTGACTTTCCCATTGAGAGTTATGTGATCGTTATAACAGCGCTGTCGTCTGATTTCCCTCTCTTACTACATCGTTTGATGTTTGCTTTGAATCGTTTGAGTTGGTCTTTTGATGTGCAAACAAATAAAAAGAAATATTTGTACCCAGTTGTGCTCATCTTAAAAATGCAACTTAGAAATCTGGAGTTCGGGTCTAATATTAAGATTTCGTTCGCATTGAAGTTGCTGTATGTGAAGAAATGGCATGAACTAATTCAAGTTTTGACATTGAAAGCTGTTTTATGAATTGACTTTTTCAACTCAGAATTTATGATTAATGGAAAATTAGCAAAGAAAATTGTTTACACGTTCCTGGAGTATGCATTAACCAGGCACAATTATAAAATTTATTTCACTTGAGCTTTTAAACTGGCCTAAAGTTTACTTACTACTTTCATGAAAATTTTATATTAGAACTTGTGACCATTCTGTTGACCGCTGACCGGGTTTTGTCAGTTTTCCTATCTTTGCTTTTCTCTGTTTAGTAATTCCCAAGTACCATTTCGGGTTGGCATTTGAAACATAATGAAAAAATCCGAATCTTGAGGAACTCATCTCTTCTCTCCAAATGCATTCATCACATTTGCTTGATGATAATGTCTAAAATAAGAGATGAATTAACATAATAAATTGTCTGCTTCTCTTAGTCAAGGTGCTTTACGAAGATATGGAAAAACAATTTAGAACCAAAAAAAAACATTTATTCTTTGATGACAAAGGCTATGATGAAGACAAACTCATATGATCAGGTAAATTTTTTTAAAAAAAGTTTATTTAGCATAATTACCTACCGTCGTACTTAAGTCACCATTACTTTTCATATGCAGGAATAATCCAGTTTTCTTTCCTTCAAGAGTCACTTTACCAAAATCTACTGTACGTATGACGATATCGGCTGTAAATAACAAAAAATTATTATTTGCCAAGCGTCACTTCCGGCAAAATGGCGCGCTTTGATTGGCTCAGAAACAGTTTTGCCGCTCATTATTTTCCCGTAATCGTACACGGTCCAAAACAGATAATTTTACAGTCAAAATGTAAACAAACTTCGTAAAGCAAACAGCAAAACGCAAAATAAACGAAACAAAAGATCATTTAGGAATGTGATTCGAAGGAAAAATACTTGGAAAACAGTTTAACTATCCAGACGATACAATTTGAAACGATTTATTGTTTATGGACGAAAACAAGAAAAGTGAAAGCCAACCAATAAAAAAAGCAAGGACGAGAAAGAAAGCAAACTTCGTTTCAGGTCAAATAATGCCATATAATAAACCTTTTAATAACCTTGCTTTCTCGGTCTTTACTGAGAAATATCGGACCTCTGTCTTTTTTGTACAAACCTCGCCCAACGGGCTTGGTCTGTACAAAAACACCTCGGTCCTTTAGTTCTCCGTAAAGACCTCCCGCTCGGTCATTAAAGGCTTAGTAATTTCGTTTTCATTATTATTATTTATCAAATAACATAAATAACAGAGCATTAAATGTTTAGTAAAAATTTAAATAGTAAGCTAAGAAATATATAGATGATCAAAATTAAAATTTGAGCTAAGATTGAACTAAAATTTAAGAAATATAAAAACATAATACTAATCAACAAAAGACATTAATTAATCTCGGCTTTTGGTTAAAGCCAAATGTTGTAAGGACATCTATTGATTCCATTCACAACATAGGGCTATTTTCAAAGCAGTCAATTCGATAGCTAAAACTGTATAATTTATTTCCACGGGATCTTGTTTGTTTTTGCGCGATCTCACTGTCTCAGACAAGGCCGTAAGAAATGATTTAATGATTTAATCTATCGAAAATATTTATGCACATCACACAAGTAGTTGACATTTTATAACGAGGGGTATTTTTTCATTTGAAAAGTCTGGTACATTTTATCAAAAAAGGTCAGTACTGAAAAGTAAAGTGGAACTGTCAAAGACTGAAAAGGACATCACTCCATATTAGTAAATAGTATGCACCAAATGTTGGTAAATGACGTCAAGAAAAGGGAGTGCTATAGTTGAGTGTAGTTGAGAGAGAGTGAGAGAAGCGAGTCAGCTGTAAGACGTATGTGAGCGAGACGGAGCCTATTGTACAGTGCTGTAACGAACATACTTATTCTTCTGCGAGTTGTCACTCAAGGACTACGAATTTGGAAGCATATAATTCTCCACAGAACTTTAAAAAATTTCCAAGTCCCTGGATCTGAAAAAGCCTGTAATTTTTTCTCAAAATGTCATACAATTTGTGCAAACCTCACGAAAAAAGTCAGTATAGAGGTAAAAAAAATCCCAAAAGCCTTTAAAACCGGCTTAAAAATCTCGGGACTTTTGTCATATGTGATTATGGAGAAACACTAAAAAATGTACGGCGCACGTCATAGGTAAAAAACGATTGTGCGTCAGTATAAGAAGTCAGTGAATGTGTGATCGTTATAGATAGATTCTGGTAATGAATTTGCAATAAATTCGAAATATTACTGGGTAAAAAAAACTGTCTTGTTAGTTTCTCAAATATTGAGTTAAGCATTAACCTTTTATTCGGAGTATGTTTCTTATTAAAGTGATCGTTTGGGCTGCTCAAATTCCTGAAATATTTGATGTTTCAGAAACTTTCAATGAAATACAGCTAGGTTTTCCAATTACAGGTCTTCCAACCTTCTTTCAATACATTGATAGTGAGGAAACGACGAAATTTTTAATAACTTTGATAATCAAATTAAGTGCATTTGCCATAAAACGTTTGGTGTTTGAAATTTCGAACGAGCCAAAGGTTAGATTAATTGATATAATCCTCTCGCTTTAAAGGAAATCTATTTCCACCAAATCACCAATACTCTGCCCAAGTCTAATTTTAAAATTTCACAAGACGTATGATTTAGTTCAATGAATATTCGAAAAACGAAATCAGCAGCTTTTTCTGTCTTGAGAAATGAGTGCAATGGAAACTCCAGAGTTCTAAGAAAATTTTGTTCTACAATTTATTCATTACGTTTAAAAAATTTTGAATCATCCGAAGCTGAGGCCCTCGGCAGCTATACCTGCAAAACTTTGTTTGTGTCATCTAAGGCAAACTTAGTTTACATTTTTGCTTTCCAGCATTCAGATTTGCATTTGACAGCGAGAACGAGATAGAAAAAGAAACACAATCTACTTACTACAAACATTATCTCCAGTTGTAGAACCGACCACTTCACCTGACTTTTCTATCGTCAAATAATATCCATGTCTGTTATGAAGTTTTACAGTGCGAGAAGACATTGTTTTGATAAGTCGACGAGACGCTTCAGCAATATGGCAGATGGCAACAAAACACAATATTATGAAGATTATGCGCGATATAAGATGATCCGTTTTAAACAATATCAATCCAGTGTAGAAATCAATAATTAAGAAAGAATCGTCATCAGGCTCAGTCGTGTGCAGAAAAACCGATTATGTCTGACAAGAGTTGGTGAATGTTCGTGTTTTATGCTGTAGTTAACGATTTACAAATGTCGATTGGCAAGCATTGAAATCTTATGATGCTGCAATAATTTATAACAGGATGTATGGTGCTAATTGTTTTTGGTCAATTCACTGTGAGAGCTTGTTTTGACACTTGACATGTGTTGTAAATCTCGTCTGAATTAATTAATTTATACTGAGGCGTATATCACAAGAGATTATGATTTAGTTGGAGCTTGCGACTATAATTTGCTGCCCTACGAAGCGTTGGAGAACATATTTAAATTTTAAGAACTGCAACGACATGAACAAGTAATAAGACCTACGATGTCTGTATTGGTGGTATTACTAAAAATCCCAAATTTTGAGGTTGAAATAATTAAAATCCACCACAAAGCATTCCCCAAAACACAAAAACGTTTCATATACACCATCGTTTACAGTGTTTGAAGCACTGACTAGAACACTTCGGCAATCATAGTATTACAAAGTAAAACTGTGGTAGTTTGATTATTTAGTGTTTAATTGTACTCCAAAACCTTACTAAATCTCACTCGACTTGAGTACATTCAAATACTAAGTAACCACAGTACATTGGTTTTAATTAAATAATATATATTAACATTAAAAAATGAGCTCCGTGCGCTCGTGACATCTACAGATTATTTAGTTTATGTCGAGGAAAGTTTTATTTTTCTAGAAATATTTGCATGGCTAGTGGTTAGTTGTCTGTATATATTGTTTTTCATAGGTTGCTATGTCAATTGAAATTGTCCACTAATATTTTTAATTTGTATTTTTCAAATTAGCAGGTGATTCATAAACCGCATTCATACGCTCGGAATGTGTACAATTTACAAGCACCAAATTTGGGACGATGATGGTAGCTAATAACATGCAATTGGATCCAGGCGCCGGACGAGATCTCTCTATGAATGGCTTTTTAGGGGGGGCTGCCCGGGTTAAATTTCCTTTTTAGGTCTATAGCATGAAACTGAGCTTCACAGTGTGTTCTCTAAACATACTTAAGTATCATAATATTGCACAAAGTGAAAAAATTGACGTGAAGAAGATATCAAATTATAATCAAGCAATCACTTTATCAATCAATCTATAAACAGGCTACTTGACCAGAAAACATGGAAACAGGGCTGGTTATATAATGCCTTTATTTTGTTTACATGACTTTCTGCATTAGTACAGTACCGCTCGCGTATTTGTTAACATAATTTTGCGTATGATACGCGTATCGTTCTCGTATCATACGCGTATGTTTTTCGTATCATACGCGTTTCATACGCGTAGCGTATGTTAACAAATACGCGAGCGGTACTGTACGATGTGTAGAAAAGCTCAAGCATGCACGCATTTACACCTTCCTAAACATCTTTGCTCTTTGCTGCTGCGCTTTTGCAAATCATGGCGGCTTGGTGAAACTTTACAGATAGCTATCAACAACAGCTGCCTTGCATAATAAATATCCTCTGTCACCCAATGAGAAAGCAAGCATAATTATTTGAACTTTTGCTATCTAAACTTTTGGTTTTTCTTCACTATGAAAATAATAGACTAAAACTTGCGCACCAGTCATGCACTGTCCCCTCCCCCCCTCCCCCATTTACTTAGTGGATGGACTTGGGGAGCTACTTCAATTAATACCTACGTACTTCAGTAAAAATTTGCCTGAAAAACTACGTTCTTGGTGTGTTGTAGTTGAGCATCGGAAAATAGTGTTATAATGGTGAGCCTCAAGCTGATACAATCATAAATGAGCACTGCATGTTGCCTTTCATACCAGGCTGAACTTTGCTAAGCACTGAAATCAAACAAAAAACCAGAAATATGTCGGTCTCATTGTCAATGTAACAATAATCTGCACTACTAGTGCGCAACATAATTTCTAAAAAAGACGTGTATGTTGTCTGCATGGATGGAAGAAAAAGCTCGTCAGACCTGTTACGATGTAATCACGATTCAAACAATGGCGTAGCAGCACAACTGGGGACCTGTGTTAAAATATTATCAGAGCCACCACTTTGATAGCCATATTAAAATCTAATCCACATCCATTGTGATTTCACTTTCTAGCATTTAAATTTAAATTTTTAGTGCATAAGTTCATGATATGCAATTTTTCTTGTTTTAATCCACAGTATAATGATAATCTTTAATCTCTCTGGGGCCCCCTTAGCCCAGGGGGCAGTGGGTTTGCCCACCCTGAGCCCATAGCAGTTACGCCACTGGATTGAGAAGCCCAGCCAACACAAGACTTTTACTTCATGCTAATGAATTGCTGATGCTACAAAGAGTGTGGTCACAAAAAAGCAGCTCCTTTAACCACTGACCACACTGTGCCCAAAGTTTGTTATCGAAAAAACAATTTAACATTTAGTCAAAGGTCTCAAAATATGGACTGTGTTTCACAAGCAATAGAAATTTCAACCAATTTGATGTTCTTTATGAATTCAAACTTCTCTGTAGAATCGCTATTTCAGATCAGTGAATCTCACTCATTCTCACTGATACACTGAATATTCAATTTTGATGTGCAAATTGCAAACGTTCTTACATGACGTATAGATGCATACCAGAATGGCGACAAAATTCAAAAATTTCAGAAGACGACTTCAACCAGTTTAATTTAACGATGAATTTTTTATTTAATTTTTTTCAAAGGAGAAAGACTGTGATTAACGTTCATTGCTTTTTCAATGAATAAAAAGAATAAAATTTATGATTGTCTTCACAATGTTTTTAAGTATGACGAATTTAAGTCAAAAGTTCAAAAAGATACTGTTAGCTCTGTGGTAAAAGGTAAGATCTTACGGAATCCTTAAGAAAAATAAGAGTCTCGAAATTAGCAGAAAGTGTGCCTTGTTCCCTGAAGTATCCATTTTTACGTCTTGTTATTGTGGTTGTCTCACGTCTGTTTAAAGGTTTCCATATTGATATAATACGTAGTTGCTATAAATTGTTTTTATTTGCTCAATTAGTGTTTTGAAAAACCAGATTTTCATTCATCACATTTATTTAGGAAAGAACGACGTATTTGTCTCAATGCCAACTGGATCTGGAAAGTCTTTGGTTTATCAATTGCCTGCAATTATTTCTCATGGTGTGACAGTTGTCATTTCACCATTGCTTGCTCTGATTCAAGATCAAGTTGATGCATTGAAAGCACTTGGTGTTTGTGTTGCAGCATACAATTCCAATGTTGGCTTTGATGAAAGACTGGAGATAAAATGCAATGTTTTAATGAAAAACCCATCCATTAAATTGTTATATGTAACACCAGAACTCCTACAAACCAACGATTTTCGAAACATCTTAAGAAAAATGAATGAATCAGGAAATTTGGCTTACTTTGCAGTTGATGAGGCACATTGTGTTTCACAATGGGGTCATGACTTTAGACCAGCCTATGTTAAACTTGGTGAAATTAGACTAATGTTCCATGATGTACCCTGGATTGCCCTTACTGCTACAGCAACCAAGCATGTTCAACAAGACATTGTTGAATTACTACAGTTTAATCATCCTGTTGCTATGTTTAAGATTGGATGTTATAGATCAAATTTGTTCTATGATGTAAAGTAAGTATATAATCTGTAAAAAATAATCCATTTTTGTCTATATTTTTACCACGTATTCAACAAACCTTTGAATGATTGTTTGGTGTCACAATTTGTAAATACAATAAAAGGAGCATTTGTCACAACACAATATGTATGCACATATTCCTATACTTTATTAGATTCAAAGAACTTCTACATTGTCCTCATGAAGACTTGATCACCTATGTTAAACAAGTGCTGAAGATTGATGGATCTCACACTCCATATACATCAAATGTAATATTCCACATTTCATAAAAACCATCTAAGTTTGAAATTAGAATTCCCAGAGCTTTTGTAATGACATCCTAATGTTATTTGATCGGTATTGAGGTGCAGTAGACGTCATTGATATTTTTACAAAATACTTTAATGTGAGGTATTCCTCCCTGATAAATTCACATATTCGTCTCCTGATTTGATTATATCAGTGTTGCATGGCACAAAATAGCCCAAATAAGCTCACAAAATAGCCCAAAACATATGACGAAATCCTGATTTCCTCACTTTTGTTCCCATGATCCCTGAGAGAGAAACAAGTGAGATTGTGATTTCATTCGTCAAACTTTCAATGCTATCTATGTAAGCCACATCACTCTACCAGTTAAGCTATTGAGCAAAATGGTTTTGAAATTTTGATAGCAAGTTTTATGTACATATTGAGTAGCAAAATCATTTATTTGTCAATTAATATTCACAAAAAGCTATTTTTAAACCCTAACTCTTCAACTCAAAAAACCAAAAGAACCACAAGATGTACTTTTTAAAAAATAAAAATCCCAAAAATCCCAACTGCTTTCATAAATCCCAGGATCTCGACTGAAGTGAACTAAATTAATCAGTGTTTATTTTTTCTTTTGGTGTATGAATCAATTGTATTCATATTATGTTAATTGACTATGGTTTGAGTGCATTTTTGTATAGGACATTACAATCATGGAAATATATTTTTATCTTTGGGTCTTTATTTAGGATTGTGGCATTGTTTACTGTCATACCAAAGAGAACTGTGAAAATATGGCGAGCAAGTTATCAGAAAGAGGCATAAAAACAAAGGCTTATCATGCAGGTGTATTTACATTTTTATCTGCTAGCCATAGTATCTTTTCACAATGCTGTGATAAAATGGAATGAAAACGTTTTTTTCCTTAGTGTTTAGAGGTGTCTATATTTATACAAATACCTACGTGCTTTCTCTAAAAATTTTTGTTTTATCTGTGAATTTTTTCTTTTCCTTTTTATCGAGACCAAGTTTTTAATTCACGACAATCCAATAAACAATTTTTATTCATACATTTTTGTTCTTGTTTTACGGAAATAGGTTTGTCATCAAAACTACGTAATGAGGTTCAACAGCAATGGATGAGCGGAATGGTGACCGTTATTGCAGCCACAATAAGTTTTGGTATGGGTGTAAATAAATCCTCCGTTAGGTAAAAGATATTAATTACTAAAATATTCATTCAATAATATAAAATTTGTGTTGTTTCATACGTTTCTTTTTAGGTTTGTTGTTCATTGGAAAATCCCGCAGTCTGTGGAAAGATACTATCAAGAAAGTGGACGGGCTGGTCGTGATGGCAAGAAATCTTTTTGTAGACTTTACTATTCAAAGTTCGTATTTAACTTATTACATCAGTCCGTGTCATCTGTTTTACTGCATAACTTTTTTCTCAGGCATTTCTTAACGATAACTGCGCTTTCTAAGATGCCTAGAGTAACTGTATTGATTAACATTGTATGACGACAAACTGTTTTACCAATTTTTGGTTTTATTAGATACGAAAAGGAACAGATTCGGTTTTTGTTGAAGAAAGACATCTATAATGTGCGTGAATCGTTGCATTAATAGTTAAAGTATTTACAGAAAATGTAAATCTATAGGAAATTTAGCATTTAGTCTTATTAATCATTGCATGAAACCTATTTAAACACTAACATAGCTACTACCCAAGGATAGCGTTATTTTTACTTATAGCTTCAAACAAAAACAAAAACACTCAACAAAAATATTGATTGAAACAAATCTAATCAATTTTACTACAGAAAAAAAAGAGTGAAAAAGCTACGAACAACACAGCTACAATAAAGAGTTTTCAGGTTTTAGTCGAGTATTGTGAAACAGCAAGGTATATTCTACAATAAATGTTTGACATAATCCTTTAAAATTATTTGCGATATTAGTGAGAATAATCTATAAGCTGTCTTGTCAAGGTATGAAATTATTGTTGAGATCAAATACTTTTTTTTTGTTTCTATAGATGTCGACATGGATATATTTCTGAATATTTTGGAGATGATAAACCACAGGTAGTGTATACTGTTATAACTAAATGTACAATAAAGTAAATGTGAACATAAATGTAAAATTTTTGTTTGTGTATTAACCCAGATTGTGAAGTGGATGTGTGGAATGAGGATGTGAAAATTATACGTACTTGTAAAAGCCTCGAAACCATACACATCAATTAAATCTGCTGCAAAGTCTCTTTTTAAATAATCCCTTGCTGTTGACACTCTCCCCCCCCCTCCTCCGGAGTTTGAGAGTTTGTCAGAGTGCGATTATTGGCGATGTATCAACGTTTTGAGGTTCAAAAATGAAAATCAATCTCTCATAAAGACTTGTTTATTAGCTCACCAAACTTGACTTGTGTCTTTGACCATATTTTTGTCCCTTCATTTAATGACAGTAACTTAACAATAAGCAACACAGTTTATATTATACACAATTATTGAAAGCTTAAACATAAAACCAATTTTAGGAAAATGTCCAATATTTTATAATGTTTCTCTGTTTCTCATCACAGTGTAATGAAATGTGCGACTTTTGTTGTAAACCAACGGAAGTAAAACGTATGATTGAGCATTTTCGTGGTGGAGTGGTTGTAAGTGGGCGATATTCTCGTTACTCAAAAAGATCATCAGAATTTGATGAAGATGATAGCAACCTTTATGGTGATGGAAAATACGGTGCAGATACCAGGTAATATATGGGTATATGTAGGAGCACCTTGTGATAAAAGTTGTTTAAAAAACTCGTTAAAAAAGATTTATAAATATTTTAATAAGTCAGTTATTGAGGTCTATGTTTCAAAACACTTGTCGTTTTGATAATTTAGTTACACAGAAAAATTGTCAAAGTGTTTGAAGTGTCAAACATCAAAAGACTGAGGCCCCATTTACACTATACCGGATTGCTATCTTAACAGGTTGAATGTTCTTTATATGAAAAAGCAGTGAAATTGTTCATCGTCAAAAACACAATCAAATAGACTAAATCTATCACCTTAATAAGTTTTTACTCTGAACAGTTATCCCTTTAAATCAAATGAAGATGTCGTGATCAGCGAATCCGGTATAGTGTAAACGCAGCCTGAATCACAGAGTTTAAATATTCTAACTTTGTAATTTAGTCTTACGATTCTGAAGGAGTGATAATAAACTATATATAATGATTAATTAAATGAAGCTATACTCTCCCCCCCCTAGATATTTCGGCGATGAAGAAACTGATGTAACTTATGAGGCAAAGTGCAAAAAAAATCGCATAGCGATTGTTCAAGAAGAATTCAAAAAGAGAAAGGTTTTCAATAAGATCATAAAAATGATAATGGCTTCAATAAAAAGCGTTCAATTAAAATTGTTTTCTGTTGTATAGGTCAGATCAAAAAGAAATACGAACTCTGGGAATGAAATTGAAAATATTTTAGGTGTTTTATAATATACACAAAACATTTGGATTATTCCTCGATAGATGTTATGAAATTTGTTCTTTTTTCACCTTATTTTTTTCTTTTAGGTCTTTCTGGTCGGGTTAAAGGAATGAATTTATTGCATATTCCCAAATTACCTCTAAAGGTGATGAAGGTTTACATATAGTATCCAAAATACCAAAATATATCATATGGTATTTGCTCTAATGAAAACGCACTTCAAAGTCTCTTCCTCAGGTTATCTAAATACATGTAGACAAGACATTATGTGTCTCACGAATGCATGAAAAACAATAAAATTTCTTTTCGTCAGCCAATCAGGTGGACGGTCGTTAAAACGTTCATTTTCACATGTAGACAAATCACTTTCTTCCTTTAAAGGTTCGCGAATTCTGTTTGGACAGATTTGAACAAGCTTTGAAAACTAACATCGAGAAGTTCGACAGGTACACAACTTTCACGTATATGTGCTTGTGCGTACGTGAAAATATATATTTTGAAATCAAAAACTCTCTACATGATTATATCGTTTAATTCGTTTATTTTGTTGGCGTTTCTTTCGGAGGTTATTATCGTTTTGAATTATTTATATATTGTAGTTTAATCAACAGTTTAAGTTTTTTTTTGTTTTGGAGATAAAACGTTTTATCTTGGGTACGCTCGGGGGACTTGCATTTGATTGTTCTTTCCTATTGAAGTGTATTATCTATTATACGAATTTAGTGACAATTTTTATACATCAGTGAGCTCTGCTGAAGAATTGGCTATAGACCTTGAATATGATATTTTCCTCGCCAATCGAACTTCACAAATGTACAAACTAACCATTCAAAAACAGGTAATGTGTGTCGTTATAACAAACGAAGTTATTCTCATAGGTACGTTAACGATTGTTTGTATACAAATTGCTTAAAAGTATATTACCATGCAAACTAACCACAGAAAAACTGCTTGGTTGTAATTGTTGTCATGATGTAAGAGCTCGTTTTGATTTTTATAATTCATCTATCTATGAACACACATCTATCTTGTGGTATAAGTTCAAGACAGCTGTTTGTTTGCTAGAAAAACGATGTCGATTAAATATATGTTTAGGTTGATAAAATTAATCGATTGACTGATCGTGGAGAGCTATACGCCAAGGAAAATGACCTTGAATCCAAAGTAGAACAGGTATAACTTTTCTAAACTTATATACTCTTTAATATTTTGTTGTAATAATTTTTGGTAAACGTTTTTATTCGTATTTTACAATGTTTAAAACAATTTCTACTATTATTAACTTTTGTTATAATTTTGTAATTTCTGTCGACCATCGTCCTGATGCAGATTGACAAAGAAAGTTCAATCGAGAATAGGTTCAAACGAGGCGAGTTTGTTAAAGTATCAGAATTAATTCCGGTGAGTTTACTATGTTAGTTTTCTTACACTTATTTGTTTTTAAAATTTAGTTTAAATTTTAGTTAACAAAAACAAAACGAATTTAGTTATGCTGAAAGCTGGCACTAATTAACACAGTTCCTAACACTCATCCGACTACTAAACGTTAGGTTTTCATTAATTCTGGGCATGGAATTAATACAAAAAATGTCCCTTCACGTGGAGAAGTCGCCTGCTATATAGGGCTACTATTTTATCGGCAGTTATTTTAAACCATGTATTATGTAGTAATTTGTAGATAATTGTTTCTGTTTTGTGTACAGAAAACAAGTAATTGTGAACACAAAGTACTCGAGCCTAGCGAAATTTGTGAACATTCTTATGTAAGTAACATTTATGTAGTTTAAACCATAAAGGTTTACATCAACGATTTTTATTTATATTTCATTCTCAACTAAACCAAATACTTGATTTTCCATTCAGTTTGATATGGTTTGTCTGTTGTTGTTTTGTCTTAGATAAAAGAAGAATCTAAAGAAATATACAGTACAGAATTTGCTACTGTAACTACGGTATAATCATTGAACTTCTTATTTGTAGGTGCTGTCCTGCAACATTACAACGCTTCATCATTTTATAAGTATGATATTTCTATATTTTTCTAAGGCTAAACGAGAGAAAATTTTCATCGATTTAACTTCAGAAAACGATGTAAGTGACGCAATTAAATCATGTTGAATAGGCGTTTCTATGTTTGAAATTATTACATATGTCTTTCGTTGTTAAGACACTGGAGAATCCTGATCTTAGTGAAGAAGTAGTTGAGGTGAAAAATGTCTTTTAGAACTCAGTTGAAAGTTAATAAAGTTTTGTTGCAAGGAAATAAACATGCTCAATAGCAGAGCATGCAAAAATATGTTGTGAAAAAGATGACCAACTTAACTAAGTATTACCGCATGATTTCACAAAATCGTATTTTACAGATTTACTGTTACACTCAACCCTTTTGTGCTTCTTCCTACAGACTGAAGTTCCAACGGAAATTATGGACATAGACTGTGATGTAAGGATGGAAAATATTAAAAAAATAGAAAAATATTTTATGTGTATTTTCAGTTATATAATGAATATTTAAATTATTATTGATGGAATTCGTGGTTGTTATACAAATCAACAAATCAACTAGTCAGAGTCCATTGCTTGTTAATGTTAAGAAAACAAGTACATTCCACCTCCAAATCCTAACTTTTTTGTGTGTAGATTGAGAGTAGCTCATCTTCCGTCGTTACAATCAGTTCTTCAGCCATAAAGCCTTTAAAAGGGTAACATTTTAGTTTTGCTATTTGACGTTTTCTTTACTTTCGATATACTGATTCGTACAGTCTTATAAATTTCTTGTCACCTGCAGATCACGTGATCGAGAAAGTCCTACGTCATCAGTTTTGGAAACTTTGAAAAGGCCATCTATTAGTAAGGATGTACAGAAGGTAGAAACGCTTATTTATTTATTTATTTATTTATTTATTTATTATTGATTTATTATTTCTTTATTTATTTAACTCTGTATGTTGCTCTTAAAAGTACATAAATAAATTGTGGTAATTACTAAAACAACCGGTTATCAAACAGAGCATTGCCCCAATTGAGCATAAAGAAGATTAAACTATATGAAATACATTAAAAATCTTCTATAACTATAAACTATACGTTTGACATGTAATGTGTACATACGTAAGTATAGAACTCTTTATATGAAGATTCATATGTCTTCAGTGTACTGTAAAATTTCTGATTACGTTTTGCTTTAAAAACACGTCGAAGCTTAAAACTTTCTTCATGTCACTGTCCTATAAATTCCACTTTACAACATGAGGAAAGTAGAAGTCTTTAAATATTCAGTTCCACATTTAAAGCCGACAAAGTCCTTGATACCGTAGTATCTATGATTATATTTGTTAGCTGGTCTTATATGAACTTCAAAAGACAATTGAATACTTAAGTACTAGCGGGCTACCTTAAAATACATTCTGATTTTCTTTAGACTTAAATATTCTACATATTTCTTGTTGTTGTTGTATGTTGAATAGTTTCTCGACGTTTCAATATGTTTGTGTGTCTACTTAAGATACTTGCTAAAAGAAAACACCATTGTAAACAAGAAAATGATGTAATACCCTGTCTTCCACCTTTACCGTCTCTCGCGGACTCATTCAGTAACACTTCGAGTGTAAAAAACGAACTTTCACCGAGAACAAATTTTAAAAAAGAGGAAGAAGATCCAGCTTATTCGATTAACGAACCGCCGAACCAACATCAGGATTCAACATTGTCCATCAATGTAAAACCATGCATAAGAAATACCACTTTCAATGAAGCGCACGTTTCGTTTTCAACCGCAGATCTTACGGTTCCAAAAATTGGATTTCTTGTGAAATCATCACCACCAGATAAACATTCCAACTTGCCATCAGGCCAAACTTGGAATGTCGATGCAAAAGATTCATGCTCTTTGCCGTATGATTGCAATCCAATGTCTTTTGATACATCGTCATCAGAAAGTTTAACTTCGACTTCACGAACTTTCACCAGGAATGTACATGATTGTCCTGATATATCTCCAAGACTTTCCTACTCGGGATCAAAAAAGTCCTCTGGGGATTTTTTCTCTGTGCCTTCGGATCCCAGACTTCATCACAGTAAATCAAAGAATGAAACATCGATGACGTCATCATTATCTAAAGGTTTAGATACTCATACATCCACATCATCCATAAATCCTCGTGAAAATACAAAAAATACTGGACAAGCTAAAGCTCAAAAGATAACGTTCTCTCTCAACAATGTTCGAGCTCCAATCTACAAAATGAGTTGATGTTCCCAAATAATAAGAATGAAACAAATAAAGTAAAGCCTAAATTAAAGAATACCGTAAAAATATGCAATAAAATGGACAAGGATAAAGCAAGCAAGAAAGATTGTGCAGACATCATCGTACGATACCTTACACCTTATTATAAATCTGGCGAGATTGAATCAAAAGTAAGAAAAGTATTGTGTGATAAAATTGTTTCTCCCAAAGAGAGAAATGATCAAAGTGATGCTAATGCTATTGTTTAACGGAAGTATTTTCAAATTTACTTTCAATATGTGAAAGTTGTCGAGTGTAAAGTGCATATTGACAGTTTCTATGAAACATATTGATAGTTTCTAGGAAGCATGTTGCCAATTTCTTTGTAACATGTTGACAGTTTCTATGAAACATGATGATAGTTTCTGTGTAACATATTAATAGTTTCTATTTAACATGTTGATAGTTTCTTTGTAACATGGTAGCAGTTTCTATGTAACATGGTGGCAGTTTCTCTGTAACATGGTGGCAGTTTCTATGTAACATGTTGATAGTTTCTATGAAACATTTTGATAGTTTCTATGTAACATGGTGGCAGTTTCTATGCAACATGGTGGAAGTTTCTCTGTAACATATTAATATGTAGTTTCTATGAAACATGTTGATAGTTTCCATGTAGCATATTGACAGTTTCCATCCAATGTTTGCCAATTGTCAACTCTATATCATTGTTTTTCAATACGAAGAAGTGTTCTCATGTTACACCAATAACCGATACATCCAACTTTTTGTTTAGACTCTTTTCAAGACACTTGCCAAAGAAATGACTGAAAGATTAATTAAAGACATGGGAAATATGTCTAGTGATAAGTGTAAGTGTTTTGTTCTAGAAAATATATCAATGCAACATTGTTGTATTACAAATTGTTACAATTATGTTGTGATGGGGTACTGTTATGTAACAACATGCTACTATTGTTACATCATGGCTGTGTTGTGCAACGGCATGATAGAATTGTGTTCCATGATATTGTTGTGTAACAACATGATAGTTGTTACATTGTGACTGTGTTGTGCAACGGCATGATACAATTGTTACAACATGATATTGTTGTTTAATGACAGTGTATTTGTGATGTTTGTTGAAAGAGTTGAAGTTTTTTAAACAATCTTAGAGTGAGTTCATATTTTATTTTCAGTGAAACAAATTGCCAAGTCTCTGGTGAAATTATATTTTGATGATAGGCGACGATGTTCATCAAATACCAAAAATAAGATGTTTGTGACTGCAGGAGTAATTTTACTGTGTCTAGTGCACCAGAAGGGATTTGAAGTTATGCAAAAAAGTGTGCAAACTTAAATTAGTTGTGTTTGTTAGGGACGTTCATCAGTGGCTTAACTTTCATTGTGGTTGTTGTAGAAATGAATATCTTCTTGATAAAAAATTATCATAATTGAAGTTAATATAAATATTTATTTTTGCTATATTTCATGTTTACTCAGAGATTTTCATTTCATTAAGGTAGATCAGCTATTGTATCCCATTGTTTCTTTGCACCATCCAATCCTTTCCTTCTTTGTCTACATTTCTTCTTCATTCATTGCCATTGATTTAAAATTATTCACTGCCAACTACAGATAAAAAAGGACTAGATTTTAAGCAATCCTTGGGTTCAAGAAAACAGAAGAAACTCCTATATTAGAGAAGCATGTAGATACCTCAAACTTTTTTTGGACATGATCACATACATCAGATAAATCAGAAAATCCTTTCCTTAATGCATCAATGGCATATATACCTTTCAAAAATAAACAAATTCTTTATTTGTTGTACTTATTTATATTCAATAACATTAGGTAAAGTCTGCTTTGTCTGAGTAAAAAATTTTTTTACCATTAGTCTGTATTCTCATGTTGATTTTATGTTCTGATGGATGGGGAATGGTATAACCACAGAAACTGACATCTGAACTGAAATTTTAGAAAAATAAAGAAAACTGCTTATTTATATGCTTTACTGTATTTAAATGCTATAATTTTTGCACACTAACTTACTTTTTTGCAATCATGAATCTAAGTGAGTTTCCTAAGGTATGATCTTCTTCATGCAACACAAATGTTCGACATGTCTCATCGTCAACTGCTCCACTAGTTGGAATCTAATTATAAAAATTTAAAAAATCAAATCTTTTAACGAAGAATGCACGGTATATGTTTGGCCATATGTATATATTTATCTGAAAATACAAATAAAACATATTTACGATATCCAAACGTCTGCACAAGTCTTCTTTGTTGCTCATTTCAAAATTAAAGGAAAAGTCAAAAGATGAATAGACTGCGAAATGTATAGTCGTGGTACATTATGGTACATTATACTATTTCCATACGCAAACACTAAATGTATCGTAAGATCCCCACCCCAACCCTCAATAGTTTAATATTAGACTTTTGAGGTCTTTAGTTTCTGTGAAAACGCCAGCAATGTATTTATTTGATAACAGTTGAAATGGTACTATCTAGAACAATGAATACGTTTTCTGACAACTTTCGTATGATTTCTTAATGATTAGAAATACTTTTGCTCGAAAAAACTCCAAGAGTTTTCTTTGAAGGACGTATTGATTTAATAAACAACTGAACTGCTCAACTGAAGACGGAGATTTGAGGCACGATAAATTCAAGGTATTTATAGAAAGCTCATTTTAAATAGAAGAACAAATTTATTTGCGACATTTTTGCTTGGACTGATTTCTTTTAATTACTTTCGACTTTTTCTGGTGCGTATATTATTATGATAGCACTACAGGAGGTGAAGTTATTGGTGGTATTTAAATATTATATCAGATTTCCTTCTTAAATCATGTGACTTCTCGCTTTTGCTGAATCAAGGAAACCACAATCATGTCATTCCAACTGCATTGTTTGAGGAGAACCAATTCTTGTATTATTTTAAGGTTAAAAAATTTATAACTGCATCCGTGCATTGTGGTGGTGGTACTGCAGTACTGGTACTTTTTTAAAGTTCATTTTAGTAGGTGACAAGAAATGACGTCTATTTTAATGCTAATGTAAACATGAAATAGCCTTTTGAAATTCTCATCAATAATCTGTAGCATGTTGCTTTTGGCAAGAAATAAAAACTAAGCATTAAGTCTTAGCAATCTAATAGCAATTTAGAAGATGGATGCTGCGTACATTATGTTTCCTTTTCATTGAAATAGGGTGAAATCATGCCTTTGTTGTATTCTTTGGTGTCTCGTGGTACAACCATACTAGCAAAATATGCTTCTTGTGCAGGAAACTTTGATGAAGTATCCAAACAGATTCTCGGGCGTATCCCACCAGAAAATGCAAAGTTGACATATACTCAATCAAGGTTTATAATATGAAATTATTTTATTTCCTTATTTTTGATTGTGATATAAATACATTGATGTGCTATTTGTAAACTATGTTTCAAACATATGCTATTTGTAAACTATGTTTCAAACATATTATTTAAACTATTGCTCTGATCGATTTTTGTAATGTTGCATTGTCATGTGTCTGATAACTGGTCAGCTGCCTTCATCTTTCATTAATATTTTTACTTTCTCTGATTAATTTCATTTCACTTTCATGTAAAAAATTTTTGTATTTGTTTCATAGCTATCTGTTTCACTATATTTGTGAAGATCGAATTATATATTTGTGCATCACTGATGATGTAAGTAAAGAAAGTTTTCTATTTTCATTAATAATTTCAATTGATATGGTGACAATGATTTTGTTTAAGCAATTCTCTATACATAAATATCATTGCTCTGGTCTCAAAACAGCAGTCGAAATTTATCCTTGAAGATGGCATTGGTCAACCTCATTTACTTTGGTCAAAGTTTGATTTTGACCATTTGTTCATAAATGTAGTTTTCACCATATTAAAAATAAATTATTTAAGATTGTAAATACTCTTTCGTGTCCCCATGCATTGTTTACTTTGTCTTTGGGAAAATTCAAAATACATGTGACATTTTTATATAAACATTAGAAAATTCAAGTTCTGACAATCCCTAGAATAATTTCTTGACCTTTTATACTATTTCCTTAGAACTTTGAAAGGTCCAAAGCATTCCTATTTCTGACTGAAATTAAGAAAAGGTAATTGCTCTTTTTTTTCCTGGTCATTTTGGTACCTCCTATTTTCTTAAATATTGATCATGAACAAAATACACTAAACTGTTGATAGATTTTTAAATCTCTTTAATCTTAAGATTCCAACGAACATATCAAACTCGTATTGATACTGCTCTACCTTATGCCATGAACAGTGAGTTTTCACGAGTACTTTCTTCAGAAATGGTATGTATCTACGTGCAATGTTTAATTTTTCATTCACAGACTATGCATAAACCATGGTTTCAAATGCTTAAATATTTTAAGGTTGATTTTGTTCAGATGTAAGCAATGAAGCTAATCATGCATTTTTGTAATTTAAGATTAAAGTTTGTTATAGTTGAGCAACCACTGAACAGTAGCATAGCCAGCCCAAAGTTTTACTCTTGCTTAAGCTTTGTAAATATTTTTTTGTTGACTGACCTGATATCTGAATTATGAATAATGCAAATTGTTTAGATTTGCATAGCTGGAGTCAATCTACAGTCTGGCTATGCTAAGTACTGACAGTGAAATCCTGAGAAGGACAATTGGAGGTTGTTATGTGTGGCATTTTGACCTTTAAGGTTGTAATCTTACCCAGTAAAAAAAATGTAGTATTGCCACTGAGAAGTTTAAAACAGTTACATCAGGCACTTCAACAATCATCACCAATGGTTCTTCTTAGGGATTGACTAACCTTGATGATCACAATCAACTTTTAAAAAACTTTAGACAATTAATACTTTCATGTTTAAAACATTTGTAAGTTTATTGCAAGAATCATCTACATCTCGAGCCTTACGTTGTGGATGTTAAGATTTAATACATGTATTAATAGAAACGATACTCTGATTCTGACCAAAGCAATGACAACATCTCTAGAGTGCAAGTTGAGTTAGATGAACTGAAAGACATTATGGTTAAAAACATAGGTATATGCATCGGTTTATTAAATAGGTGGAAATATTGAAATAGGTGTTAAATAGGTGGAAATATTGAAATAGGTGTTAAAATGGTCTTTTTGTAGACACAATATCTCAACGAGGTGAACGTCTTGAACTTCTCATTGATCGCTCTAGAGATCTCAATAATTCTGTAAGTATTACTACTTTAGGACAATATTTGGTATTAAAGGAATGATACATTTGCCATTTAGTGTTAAGAATGAAGCACTACTGAAAATAGTGGAATTAATATAGACTTTTTATACTTTCTGAAGTTAATTTTTCATCAGGACCAATTTCCTCTAAAATTGAAAAGTTGGTTAAATTATTACATTTTAGCTTAGTAAGCTGAGGGCATTAAAAAGCATATTATTCCATTTTCTTATGGAATTTTCCACAAATATCCACCTATTACAAAAATATCTACAATTGCGATGTACATTATATGTTAATGTCAACTGATAAAATGTAAATTTCATAGGCATTCTTTCCAAATACAGATACAAGGCAAAATAATTAATGGTACCCCTTGAAATAATATGTTCTGTTGATTTTCAACATTTTATATTTAGTCAATGACATTCAAGAAATCTAGCAAAACATTAGCACGTGTTATGTGGTGGAAAAATGTCAAAATGTTGATAATTATTGCTGTTGTAGTAATTGTAAGTACAATTTTTTAATAAATGTGTAATTTAACATAGTAGAGAGACATTCTGTTTTACATAATGATATACATATGAAATGAATCAGGTTACATGTACCATTGGTTAAATGTTTTTGTATTTTTTAGCTTATACTTTACTTTCTCATTTCTGCTGGTTGTGGTGGACTTGATTGGAAGAAATGTACTTAATGTATGACCTCAGACAATACTAACACTTCTCCATATTTTCCTTTCATATATGTAACGTCTGTATATAAAAAATATAGCATACATAGTTTTTGGACAGTTTCATTTACTGTGGATCTCTTGTCATATTAATAACAGTAGCATGAACAAAAAAAGTTATAATTATTACACACAGGTAAAATGTTTATTGACTTGTATCACATCTTGTGAAGTACGTAGCACTTTAATATGGTAAAGTTCCACCATTTGCAATAAATATTTTTGAAATTCATTTTAGTGAATTTCATACGAGTTTGTTAGTCTTGTGTAAATACATGATTGATTAGATACAAGTAAAACATAAATAAAGAATTTGACTTTAATGAAGAAGCTATATATACCTACATATATTTTCAGATCCATTTGTGTAAAGTATTATTTATTTGGCAATTATGTTTGAGGCAACTTATGTCAGCTTGAGTGACAAAAAATTCCCACTTTTAATTTGCAAAGTTTATTTATGTTGCAAATAAAATTGCCACATAAAAGTTGCTAAGACTTTCACTTCTGTCCAAAATTATGTTTGGGAAAAGTTCCTTGATATTTCTCATATAAATATTCACCAAAGACAGCCGGTAACTTAATTTTTTGTTTATGTCTCTCTTTTTGAAAGGAATAAGGGGATTTTTTATTTCCAGTGGACTAACAACCGTTTCCAACTTTGGTCCAAAGAAATACGCCACCGAAAAACGATCTCTACAACTCTTTGGTTTTCTCACTTGATGTAAATTAGCTTTGAATGAACCATTAGTCCACACCTCAAGCATATCACCAAGATTGACAACAAATGTTCCAGGTATTGGTGGAGCTGGGATCCATTCGTCATTTTCTCCTTTAATCTCTAAGCCACCAACATCATCTTGCATGAGGATGGTGAGCATTCCATAATCTGTGTGTTCTCCACAAGATATTTCATTTACCTGGTTAGTACTTGGTAGGTAGTGAAACATACCAATAGTTGTGGTAGTGTAAGGGAGAAATTTGGAATCAAAAAAACTTTTGTCTAAACCTTGAAAATATGAACAAAGTATTTGTATTTCATATGATTAGGAAAGCTATCATGAGATAATATCACATTGTTAACTTTGAAAAGTTTATATGTGAAATCAAATTTTAAATTCCTAATAGTTGTTGTGTATGCACACAGTATGATAAAACAAAGTGATGCAGTCTAACTGGTATTGAGCAACCCTATATTCTGGGGATGTCCTGTATTAAAAGCTGACAATTTATAAAGTCCAAAATTTAATTCCATATAGCTAATTCTTAATTCTTAACCTCTATCAAGCAAACACCCCCATTAACCCTACACCCATCCTTCCCTGAGGGTTTCCACTTAATACATGTTTGACTTTATTCTTAAATATTTTGTCAACTGTTTGTCTTTTAACATACCCATTGCTTGAGCTAGAGCACTCATTATCTTCAATCCAAGACCTTTCAATTCTTTATGGTAATCTTGAAGAATGCCTTTGAAATTTCCAGGTGTGTCTGGTAACATATTTCTCTGTGACACAATTGGAAACTTTTCTTTGCTTGGGTGAAAATCAGGAAGCTCATCACCAAAAGCATAAATACCTTCACGCCAGTCTGGATTTTCTTTTACCAAATAACCTGTAATTTCACTTCCATGGGAAAAATAGCCCACCATACCTCCTGTATTGATTGATTGTATTTTGTTCTTCTCTTCTTGAGGTAATGCAAAAATCTTTAAGAGCATTTAGCAAATTATCTTGAACGATTTGACTTACACCATGGTTTTTTACATAAAAGAAACCAAAATCTCTACAAGCTTCTGCAATAGATTTAATTGTTTTTAAATTTTCCTTTTCATTATTGGAGGCCAAGAAATTGCCGAAGTCAATTATTGGTATCCTCACTTGATCACTGCCACCGTTAGACATTTTGAAAACTGCTCAACAAGCTGAATTTAGTTTTCAAAAGAAATAATTTAATCTTCACATTAACGTTGTCAAAATGAGGAGTTCGTAAAGAAGTTTGGATAGTTACGTAACTCACGGTAACTGATGAGTTAGTGACAATATGTATGTAATGATAAAATCGTTGTTTCCCGTAAAATATAAACTTGCAAGTATCAGTCTTGTTTGTATGAGCTTTTTAGTGAGGTGAACAGCGCTAGTTCGTCGATGACAGTTAACAGATCCTCTTACTTTTGCGGTTTGCCACTTTTACTTTCCATTTTAAATTTTGGTATCTTTTATGTATGTTTGAACTCAAAGCAGTTGAAGCGTACTCTTATCCACCTCCCCCCCGGAATTTATAACTAAAAAAGCAACTAAAAAAGGGCATGTTTCAAGTCTATTTTTCCTGGTTTTCTGCATTAAATAGTGCAGGCAGAAAAGTTTCACAATATTTTCCAAAAAGCATATTTCCTTTAAGGTTTAAAGTCTTCATATCATCCAGAACTTTTTAGCTGTTTTTCAACTTTCTCTAAATTTTGCACTTTCTATGCAGAAATGTATTGGATTCATTTGTGCTACTTCAGATATTTTTATAAATAATATTGGGTATTTAATTGCTTTTGTATAGAAAAGTGCTGTGTCATTTTTAACTTCGGTCTTTTGGAGTAACCGGTAACCCACAAAATTGTATTATTATAATCCAATCCCCGTCCCTCATAAACCAATCAGCTAGTGGTATTAGATTAAAGATTAAGGCAGTCTTCTCATTCCCTTCGTGGACCTCTCGCGCTTACTTTTCTTCATAGCTCTGACTTCATGTTTTATCAGCCATTAATCGAAAGTGTGGCATTAAAGTTTTCAGCTTCAGCGGAATTTTTCGTTGGAAACCTGAGTACACCATCACAAAATAAAGCCTTCAAGATTCAGCAATTGAATAGATGAACTCTTCTCATATATTATTGAATATATCTCTGGTAGATGTCTTCAAATTCTGAGGAATTAAGCTCTCCGCCTACAAAAAAAGCTAGAGTAAGCAGAGACAACAATTTTGAAGAAACCACGACAACAACGAATAATAATAATTGTAGTAATCATACGGTTTGTATTTTAACTCTACATAAACGTTCAACTCGCGTTAACTGTTTATAACCTATCCACTTAAAACTGACTCATGAATCATTTTCTGTTAGTATACCCACATGGAAACGTCGAAGAACCATTCCCAAATAGATGAAAGTCTGTACTCAAGACAGCTGTAAGTATCTTTTTACACATTATTACCCACACTTCAGACGCTGCAATTTAATTTAAAATGAGACTCCATAACTATTAAATTATTATATTTGGGAAGGATAATGCTGGTTTGAAGAAAACTGACATTAGCTTTCATTTTCACTTTGAATAACTGAATGGTTGAACATTTTTGCTCTTTTTATTAAATATGTTAGATATGTGCTGGGTCATGAAGCCATGCATAAAATGGCTAAATCAAATGTTTTCATTTCTGGGATGAAAGGTCTTGGAGTTGAAATAGGTACCATCTAATTTGTGATTACATAACCTTCAAAAATTGTGTAATAATTAATATCATAGTTATGCTCCTCATCATAGTGATTTTTGCTAATTTAAGACTTTGGATGTTATTTTCAGCTAAGAATGTTGTTCTTAGTGGAGTGAAGTCTGTTACACTTCATGATACTGAAATGTAGCTATTGAAGATCTTTCTTCACAGGTTAAAATTTCTATTAATATAATTATTTGATAATGGAAAATTACAAATTGCTTGTTGGGTATATATAAATGTGCATATGAATTGCATGTTATAAAAAGCATCCTACAGTACCTAAGAATTAAAGGCCTTACTTTCCATGATAAGAGTTATTATTTCAAATAAGTGCTATTTTTCTGCAAAATAGCCAACATGATGATGATGTAAGATGACAATGTTATTGTAATATGTTTATGATATCATTGCTTCTTGTTAATAATGATGTAATTATTACATGTTGATAATGTCATTACAATATGTTTATGAGGCCATGTTAATAATGATCCATTATAAGATGATTATTGCTTCATGTTAATAATGATGCTACATTTGATAATCATGTCAAAATAATGCCATACATGTTGTTTATGATGATGTTAAGATGTACAATGTTTGATAATATTACATATGTTTATGATGTCATTGCTTCATGTTAATAATGATGTAATTACTGTTGATAATGTCATTACAATATGTTTATGATGTCATTGCTTCATGTTAATAATGATGTAATTACTACATGTTGATAATGTCATTACAATATGTTTATGATATCATTGCTTCATGTTAATAATGATGTAATTACTACGTGTTGATAATGTCATTACAATATGTTTATGATGTCATTGCTTCATGTTAATAATGATGTAATTACTGCATGTTGATAATGTCATTACAATATGTTTATGATGTTATTGCTGCATGTTAATAATGATATAAATACTCCATACTCATGATATAGAACACTTATTCTGTTTTCATGATATAGTATTTCCTTCGTCATGAAGATATTGGCAAAAACAGGGCATTGATTACTCAATCCCATGTTTCTGAACTAAACAGTTATGTTCCTGTGTCAACATGTACTCAGCCAATTACAAAGGAAATGATATTAGATTTTCAGGTATATACAAAAATCATGAAAAATGACTGTATAGTGTATATAAATTACTATCATTTGTTGATTAAATGTCATGTTTTTAATTCAGTCATAATTCTGGTCATATATTACTGTACCATAGCAGCCCCGAATATTTCTCTCCTTTAACAATCCATTTTATTGTGCAAACATTGAGTTGTTTTTTTTATGAAAGGTTGTTGTGTTGACAGCATCATTTGCTGATGAACAAAAATGGATTGGTGATTTTTGCCATAGTAAAGGAATTAAATTCATTGTTGCTGACACAAAAGGCCTTTTGGGTTCGTAAGATTATGACTTTCTTGCTGATTTTTTAATTCATCGTAATGTGATATTTTGTATTGTGTTTCAAAATTTTTATGTTTATAGACAAATATTCTGTGATTTTGGGGAATCATTTGTTGTGAATGACACAAATGGTGAACAAGCCATCACTGTAATGGTTTCTGCAATAACAAAGGTTTGCCTATAACTATGTATAATTGGTGAACTTTTGCAAGTACGTATTTATGATAATGTTTAATCAATTTGGTGCATTTGTCTCATACCCTGGATGAAATTCATGTGTATGGTCCTTTGATGATCATGATCATGTAGGAATCTTCAAATTTCTGTCAGATTTTGGATTTAGATAAATTTCAAAACTTTGCAGGATCCTATTTAGGATATTACAAGGGGTGCTATTATAAGCATTTTCAATAATGTGTTCACTTTTCAAGATATAGAATGTAATGTTACATGATTGTGTTTCATAGGCTGAAGAAAGTGTTGTTACATGCTTGGATGAGCAGAGGCATGGGTTTGAAACTGGAGATCATGTTACATTTAAGGAAATTCAGGCATGTAGAATGTCAACAATTTTGTAGCTATAATGTCTTTGAAATTTTGGCAAAAGACATCTCTAAAGCTGTGTTATAACAATAATGTTTAAGTTATTTGTTGTTGTGTATCTGTTGCAAAGATTTGCATTGAAAAAATGGTTGTCTTTGTGCAACAACTTTTAATTGTTAGCTATGAATATTTTCAGGGTATGAAAGAGTTAAATAACTGTGAGCCAAGAAAGATTAAAGTTTTAGGTATGTTGTTTATTGTGATAATAACTTTGCTGATTTTTGCCAGACGTACGTAACTGCATACTACTTATATCATGTATATGAAAAATGGGAGTCTGTTTTACATTTTACGTAGGTCCTTACACATTCAGTGTTGGTGATACATCTCAGTTATCTGATTATATTTCTGGAGGATATGCTGTACAATGTAAAATGCCAAAGACATTGAACTTTGTATGGAAACATTGTGTTATGATAAATTTCTCTCTGTTAACTGAAAACAAAAGGATTTGTGTTTTTTTTCAAATTTAGAAATCGATATCTAAAGCGCTTTTCGAGCCAGAATTTTTGATAACAGATTTCGCTAAGTTCGATCGTCCTGCACAACTTCATTTAGGTTTTCAGGTACAAATAATACATGTATGTAATTATATATTTTGATTAGTTTTATAATGAAAAAAAATGTTTTTATTTAGGCTTTAGATGAGTACGTCAAACGAAATTCCTCTCTTCCAAGACCAAGGAATAAGGTACATCTAATGATGATGCATCGATTACATCATTTTTATTATTGCATGAAACAAATAATATATAGCGATCAGTTTTGCTTGTGTTATTTAGGATGATGGAAATAAACTGATTGACATAGCAAAGGAAATAAACGGAAAGACATGTAGCAAGGTACATGTATGAAGAACACAATACTTCATGTTGTCTTCAGTGAAGACATTGCAAGTTGTTTAAAAATATTGTTTTGAGACAAGGCAATTTCTTAACAAGTATGAATAGTTTCAAGAACAAGAGGTTACTCTTTATTCCAACGTAAAGTTTTAAATATTACAGTTGTGTGAAGTTTTCAACTGCGTTATGATTTTCTAAACAAGATTATGCAATTCTTTCTCATGTGTATCATATTTTATCATTTTCAACGCTGAGTTACATCGTTCGATAAAATTACTGCAGGTTGGTGAAATTGACGAAAAAATACTACTTGAATTATCGTATCAAGCTAGGGGAGATCTTTGTCCTATGCAAGGAGTGATTGGGGGCATTGCAGCTCAGGAAGTTATGAAGGTACTGTTTTCTATTGTTTTATCTTTTCAGTTTGTATGAGGAAACTTGTTTGAGGGAAATCATGGCTTATTTTATGAAACGTTCCGTTAAAGTACGAGTGTTATATAAGCATTTTGAGAGAGAGTACGCTGTAAAGTACGAGTGTTATATAAGCATTTGAGAGATACGCTGTAATGTTATATAATTTGAGAGTACTAAATTGTGTTATATAAATTTTGAGAGAGTACGCTGTAAAGTAATGAGTGTTATATAAGCATTTTGTGAGAGTTACGTAAAGTAATGTTTATTTTAAGAGTAAAAATAATGAGTGTTATATAAGAGAGATAATTATGTTATACATTTTGAGAGAGTACACAAAGAATGAGTTTATATAAGCATTTTGAGAGAATACTGTAAAGAATGAGTGTTATATAAGCATTTTGAGAGTACATGTAAAGTAATGAGTGTTATATAAAATTTTGAGAGAGTACACAAAGTACGATGTTATATACATTTTGAGAGAGTACACTGTAAAGCAAAGTGTTATATACATTTTGAGAGTACAAAAACAAGTGTTATATAAGTTTTGAGAGAAGACAAAAGTATGTGTTATATACATTTTGAGAGTACAGTAATGATGTTATATAAGATTTTGAGAGAGTTTCCTGTAAAGTGTTATATAAGCATTTTGAGAGTGCTGTATGAGTGTTATATAAGATTAGAGAGTATTGTAAAGTACGAGTGTTATATAAGCATTTTGAGAGAGAGTACACTGTAAAGTACGAGTGTTATATAAGCATTTTGAGAGAGAGTACGCTGTAAAGTACGAGTGTTATATAAGCATTTTGAGAGAGTACTGTGTACGAGTGTTATATAAGCATTTTGAGAGAGAGTACGCTTGTTTGAGGTTATAGCATTTTGAGAACGTTCGTTGTACGAGTGTTATATAAGCATTTTAGAGAGAGTACGCTGTATGTTTTGTGAAATGTTTATAGAAAATGCATAATGTTTTTGTGTGGACAAATGAAAGTTTATCTTGCAGGCATGCAGTGGAAAATTTCATCCTATTGTACAATGGTTTTACTTTGATGCTTTGGAATGTCTTCCTGAGGAACAGGAAATAACAGAAGAATCATGTAAAGCGGTTAGGAAAATTATTGGTCAAAATTTCAATTGTTGTGACACTTTAATAATTCTAAATTTGATGTTTTACAGCTCGGTTCAAGATATGATAATCAAATTACGGTTTTTGGAAAGCAGTTTCAAGAGAAAATTAGTACACAGAAATACTTTGTTGTAAGTCAAGAAACATTTCTTTATATGACCTATGTACCTCATATTGTTGTCGTTTTCACGAGGGCACTCCGCTAATGTTTTGAATCGTTTTGATGACTTGTTTGGAATCCAACGAAGCCTTTTGAGAATTTGTTTTGGTTGTACACGTTTCGTTAGGTTGGCTCTGGAGCGATTGGATGTGAGCTCTTAAAGAATTTTGCTATGATTGGTCTCGCATCAGATCGTCGTGGAGCAATATACGTCACTGATATGGATAGCATTGAACGATCAAATCTCAATCGTCAGTTCTTGTTTCGTTCTGCTGATGTGCAAAAGTTAAAGTCAGATGTTGCTGCACAAGCCGTGAAAGCGATGAATCCTGACGTTCATATTATCTCACATCAAAATAGAGTGGGACTGGAGACAGAAAATATCCTTTATTACGTAATATATTTCTATTGGCTATGATGTCATTACAATGATGACGACATACGTATGCAACTGCGTCAATTTGAAATAGCAAAGAATTGATAAAAGCTATTATCAATGTTTTCAAATGACATGACATCAAGAAATAATTTGTTTCTGCCAACTTTGATCTCGATAAACGATTATTCATGTCTTTTTTCTTATTAACTTTCTGTTAAGTATGTCGACAATCGGAAATTCAAAGTTATTTCAGTTAGAAGATTTCGAAATGATTTTAAAGTGAAATATCTTGAAAATTTGACGATCTTTTCCTTAACATATCTTAAAAATATATGATGATGAGTTCTTTGAAAGTCTGGATGGTGTTGCAAATGCTTTAGATAATATCGATGCAAGTAAGTTCTATGTTTTGTTTTTCAATTTTATGTTTTTCATTATAACTTCACATCAGTTAAGATTTATAAATATTTGTGATTTAGGGTTATATATGGATCGAAGATGTGTATATTATAGAAAACCTTTATTGGAATCTGGAACATTAGGCACTAAAGGAAACGTCCAGGTTAGGCTCAGTATTAACGTTTCTTTTTCTTTCAAAACCTAACATTAAAGCGCTAACATGAAGTTATTTTGTAATGTTTATTTTTAACGACCGTTGCACGCAAATCGTAAATCTTCAATGTCTTTGAATTTATCATCTTTTCAATGATCATTTCTTTATCGTTTTCTTTCAAAACCTAACATTAAAGCGCTAACATGAAGTTATTTTGTAATGTTTTTTTAACGACCGTTGCACGCAAATCGTAAATCTTCAATGTCTTTGAATTTATCATCTTTTCAATGATCATTTCTTTATCTTTAGGTTGTTTATCCTTTTTTGACTGAGTCATACAGCTCAAGTCAAGATCCCCCAGAGAAATCTATTCCTATATGCACATTAAAAAACTTTCCAAATGCTATAGAACACACGTTGCAGGTATAAATTTTTATTTTTTATTGTTTAGTTTTACTTAAATATTTAAACTCAATCATTTGTTTGCAATTTAATGTTGGAGTTTAATTATTTAGTGGGCAAGAGATGCCTTCGAAGGACTATTCACTCAAGCTGCAGAAAACGCGATTCAATACCTAAGGCAAGTATTTAATAAATATGAACGATATGAATAATGTTGAGTTTCTTAATTCAGTGTTGGTGTTCAACCCAATTCACTCATTTAAGTAAAATTAAGTAAAACTTGACATCCAGCATTCATTTACGTATTTTTCTTTCATGTTATCTTGCTATAGTGATGGAAAGTTTATGGAACGTTTGACTAAATTGCCTGGTGTGCAACAGGTAAATAAAATAACATTTTTTAGTCTGTTCAAATTATGAAGGAACTGGGAAATGTTGAAAGATAAAGAGGGATGTGTTTGCTAAGATACGCATGTCTGTTAGCAACTTGCAATTTTCAAGATTATGTACAATTTTTAATTTTAGCGAGATTTAGAGTTTCAGAACTTAAACTTAATTGTGTGGTGATTGTGTCTTTATGATTTTTCACAAAAGGAAATCTCTCTCTTATGAAATATATTTCGAAAATATACGTATCAAAACCTGTTATGATGATGATTTTTATCAGTTGTATCCACAATTGTTCATTTTGACTCTTATTGATCTTTTTTACAGGTTGAAACTTTGGAAAGCATTCATAAAACTCTTGTTGATGATCTCCCGAAAGATTTTGCCGATTGTGTTAAGTGGGCGAGGATTTTATTTCAGGAATATTATCACAATCAAATTGCCCAACTTCTTCATAACTTTCCACCCGATCAGGTAAGATACTTATTATTATTCTCATGTAAAATGAATAAGAAAATTTATAATTCCATATTGTCTTGTTCAAATGTATGTTTCTCTTTTTGATAGAAAACCAGTTCAGGCCAACCTTTTTGGTCAGGACCAAAACGTTGCCCCCATCCATTAGTGTTTGATCCTTGTAATGTAAGTTTGTCATTATCCTTGTATAAGTATATTTATTATATCTTATAAAATATTTGTATGTATTAATAATGTTTTGTTCGTAGGAAACTCACATGAATTTTGTTATATCATCAGCAAATCTTCGGGCTTTTGTTTTCAATATCAAAGGTGGGTTTTGTTGAAGCAACTTTCATTAATTACTTGCAATGTTCCCTGGCAAATTTGTTGTATTCTTATATGAAGTGCGATTATAAATTTCTCTACATTTATAGGTTCTGTGGATAGAAAGTTTATTCTTGAGATATTAGAACAAGTCAGTGTACCGTCGTTCGAACCGAAAACAGGTACGAAGTTTATTTTAAAGTATGAATATCATGTCCCGAAACTATTTACAGGTAAACAGACGTATATTTTGTCGTAGTAATCTAAACAGACGTATATTTTGTCGTAGTAATCTAATATAATCTAAGTCAATACATAACCCTGTTATGTACATCAATCTTCGACCTGTGGAAGTTCACAGTCAAGTGGTCGAAAGCTCGTCAAAATAAATAAATTTTTTTATTTTGCAAGGTGTCAAAATCCACGTTAGTGATCAAGAAGCTGAAGCAGCTAGCCAAGCCTCTGTTGGTGAGATGTTAATACATGAATGAGAACCTACAGTATTTAGCTTACATACATTTATTTATGACGACTTCACCTACCTTATATTGCTTCTTGAAATGTCATGTAGAACAAACTGAAGTGGACAAGATTCTTGCTAAAATACCATCTCCTACTGTATTGAGCGGAATGAAAGTCTCTAATATTGAATTTGAAAAGGTGATACTAAACAACCATTGTTGGATCTGTTATTTTTAGAAATTATTTATACATACGTAGACGAGTGGATATGTGAATTATGAAAGCAGAAGTTAGGTCTGTTGAGAATGTTTCCCCAGTGAAGAGTTTAAAGTTGTTCTTTAAACACTTTAGGATGATGATAACAACTTTCATATGGATTTCATTGTTGCATGTTCAAATCTCCGTGCTGAGAATTACGATATTGCACCAGCTGATAGACACAAGGTTAGAGCAATCTAAAGTTAACCATATCATACTGCTTCTTCGCTATGGAGACATTGATTTTTTTGCTCTTTTTTCGTCTGTGAAACAATGACCTTTATGCATGCTTCTCGTTTTCTCTCGTTTAGTTAGTGTCTTTTCTTGATGGTATTTTGTTGTTTGCAGTCCGTTTTTATTCAACAATATTACGTATTTCTAGAGCAAATTAATTGCGGGTAAGATTATTCCTGCTATTGCCACAACAACTGCTGTTGTGTCTGGACTTGTATGTTTGGAACTTTATAAGGTACGGTGAATTTTAAACATATAAAATAACAGCTCTTTGGATATGATGTTGCATTGTTTGAATTATCAACTTTTAGATTATACAAGGAAGCAAAAAGATTGAAACGTTCAAAAATGGATTCATCAATTTAGCTCTACCTTTTTTCGCTTTCTCGGAGCCTATTCCTGCTCCTAAGAATAAAGTAAGTCATTTCTAATGTAGGCATGGGTGGAACTCGGACTGATCAGATATGACGATTAAAGTAAACACTTCTACACAACTTCAGTATATATTTGTTGCTTAATTTTCTTTCTTTGTTGTGTATTCTATGCACTTTAGTATTACGAGACAGAATTTAGTTTGTGGGATAGATTTGAGCTGACTTTAAATGATAAAGGTGAAGAACTTACTCTACAGGAATTCTTAGACTACTTCAAGGTATGCATATATTCTGCTGTTAATCATCTTTTTCTTGGTTTGCACCAACCACGAAATTATCAAATTGCTCCGCAATAACATCGACAATATATTCTTTTGTATTTAACCACCAACATGGCGGCTGTGCCATCTTTATGAACACTGACTTTCCGTGTCTGAATTTGTTTAGAATGAACATAAACTTGAAGTATCTATGTTGTCACAAGGAGTTTGTATGTTGTACTCTTTTTTCACTCCTCAAACTAAACTCAAGGAACGCCTTCCATTAAAGTAAGTTAACTTCAAGAAATTATGTGTAGGTTTCTTTTGCCATTGTTAGGCCTGTTTCAAATGTCAAACTTTACATGCACCGAATGCATTAAAGGCGAATAAAAATGAGATGAACTTCCCAACGCTTAAGGTTATAATATTAAGACAAACTTTAATCTACTTCGTGTTACTTTTCTTTAGGATGAGTGAACTTGTTGCTAAAGTATCTAAGAAGAAAATCAAACCACATGTCAAAGCACTAGTTTTTGAATTGTGTTGTAATGATGCAGATGGAGAAGATGTTGAGGTGCCATATGTACGATACAAGTTCCGTTGATTTTCAAAGCTCATATAACGAAGATTCAATCGAAAATTATGATTCTGAACTCATCTGACAATACCTTAGTAGAATAATTTAGTTGGATTTTAGTTCTTGATTTTATGTTTTATTCTGACTCAAATAAATTGTTTCATTGAATTTTACTGCATTAGATAGAAACAGTGTATTGATCTTGTGTGGGTCAACACCCGAAGTTTAAACAATCAGTTTTGTTGTGCAAGAAAATGAAATTTAGGGGCATTTAATTTTTTTGAAATTTCAACGTAAAACATCATTACTTTCAGGGCAAATGAAAAGTTCCACCCTTCCTCAACAATAACACATTTTTATGAGACACTTTGGATAACTTTACAAATTGTAAATTACAATTATATAGTAATTACAATTAAATAAAATCGCAGTATATAATCTGCGATGCATGCTATTTATCAGGCTCTCCTGAAGCAAATTGCAATTGAAAAATGGGGCGTGTTAAATTTTCTTAGCAATTTTGAAGAATTATCGAAGGGGGCTGGTTTATGCGCAAATTGAAAGCCTCGGTTGGAAGAAACGAAACAAAAGAAACGTTCTTTTGTGATTACGCATATGTCGATGCTTGTGGCTGTTGCTTCGTTCCATTTTGATTACGAATGGCTGAGCGCATGGCTTAAATCCCCGTAGCATAATTAGCTGCACAGTGCAACTCTAATGTATACTCTACTGAATCTGATTACGAATGGCTGAGCGCATGGCTTAAATCCCCGTAGCGTAATTAGTTGCACAGTAATGTATACTCTGGTGAATAGAATACAATTATGGTATTTACATTTATTTTTTTGATACACCATGTAGTTTAAGTTTTTGTTCTCTTGAGACTTAAAAAGAAAAAGAAACGGACTTTTTTGGGGTTCATGTTTAGCTTATGTTTGTTCTTGTTTATTCTTGCTTTTATACATGCTTGTGTCGATGCAAATATTTTATGCTTCGTTTATTGTCTTTGTTCAATTCTTTCTCATCACTTGCTGGTTCATATTTTACTTTGTAAGTGTGGTATATTACCATGAGTGATTGCAAGACGTGTGACGGCACCATCTCCTTGTGTAACTCTGGCATGTTTGGAAGCTCCTCTTTAAGATTACAAAATCATCTTTCGATTACAACTATCGGCTGAGAAATTGAGTTTAAAACCAAGTAATTCAAGAAGTGAATACAAAATGAAATGATTGAGATCTGCAGAACGTATTAAGTACCAAGAAATATACGTTAGTTAATGATTCAAGCAGGACGTATTTAGTCGTTAATACAATGATATTTTGCTCTTAAACAGTCCATTTTACGCCCATATTCTATATTTTTGTTTCTAGACAACAAAACGTCGTCAAGATGTTGCAAATGGAAGAAAAAGATAATCCTTTGACCTAACAAAAATCCTTCATTCTCGATATCAATTTATCGATCGACCAACGGAGAACTATACTTATAAAAGTTGCTTTCATTTTTAATTCTTAGTTATCTGTTTATCCTGCTATCATTTGCATGTTAACTGGCTGACCCTCGTATACCATTGAGTAATTTTATAGAATTTTGCACAGATCAGTCTGCTTGGATTATGGAAATGCTTCTTGCGTTCGGAGCTTACAAGTTACATTATAAACATGAAATTTAATTTACAAAAGATCTTTTATATATAGTAGGTTCCAAAAAGAAATTGCAACTACACTGGCAGAGTATTGCAAAATCTTTAAATTCAACTTCTATTTAAAGTGATTATACCGTCAGCATACCATCAGTCAAATAAGCTGACGACTATTCGTTTGCTCTATTGAAATTAATAATTGGCAAGCGCAGTTATAACATTGAGGGATGTTATAACAGTGTTTACAATCATTGTAGTTAAAATATTCAGCTTTAAGTAAATATTCCAAAGCATTCGATAAATGTTTCAAGTAGAATGCGTGAGTATAGTGATGTTGTGAATATGGACAAATATGAACATACGTATGGAGGTAGAACTATTGCGATTGTTTGCAGTTTAAAGTAGTAACCTGTAAATCATTTTTGAAGACGATTTTGGACTGAAATTTTAACTGATCTTCTGCAAACACTGGATTAACAAACTACATGAACTCCAGCAGCTTGTTTTGATTGTATTTTAACAATTATTCTTACAGTTGTACATGGAAACTGATGAAAATTGGAACAGCGGTATGTGTTTGTTGTATGTTTGCTTGTTTGTTGATAGTGTGTTTACTTGTTTGATTGCTTTTTTGTCATACCATTAACTTTTTCTTAAGTAGTTTTCAGATGCGGAGGACGACAGTATCGAGAAGAAGACATAGGTATATGTTTGTTTGTTTTTTTGTCCTGGCCTTAGCTTGTTCATTAGGCTTTTCTTTCAGGCGCGGAAGACAAGAAAATCAAGAGGGAAAAGTCAGGGCTGTAAGTGTGTTAGTTGCTATCATGCATCAAATCTATCAAGTTTGTGTCTCTTTTAGAACAACGATCCCTACCATGGTCAGTCAACGTTTTTTACGGTAATTTAAACCAATTTTTTTTACTCGTTTTCGGACTAAGTATTAACATTAAGAAAGCAACGAGGAAAAAGAGAAAATCTTTGACTTCAATTCTTCGAGCCCCAACAGTGTTTGCAGATGATCAATTAAAAATTTTGACTATGCCAAAAGTATAAATATCTAGAGCAAAATTATATCTAAGTACACTAACACAAAAAACATACACGTAAATGAGGATTTGAGATCTTCTGACTAAATTAGAGAGTTCCCTCCCTCTCTAATTTAGATAAGAAGTTCTACAAAAAGTCGATGTATTCCAAAATAGACTTCTGCCACCTATTTTGGAATACTTTTAATTAAAATTTTACGCAGCGTACACTTGACAATCTTGACATGTAGTATAAAAATGTGTTTAAGTCAATACTGAATTAGAAGGAGAGTCGAGTGTTCGAAATATTCACTACGTGTCTCAAATTAATGAAAAAATATTTTTTATTCTTAAAAGTTGATTGGGTAGTTGTAGAGAGTATTAAATTTTATGGAAACGACTGTTTGAAACAGTAATGATTTTCTTTCGTTATAAGTCGGTTATTTTCGTTGATTGACCGTTTTCAGTCAATAACTCAGTGTGTTGTACCGTATGTCAGGAAGCATCATCTATGAAATCATTACTAAGATCATCTTACGTTAATATAAGTTAATGATATTCAACAGATAAAGATCATAAGTTAATGATATTCAACAGATAAAGAAATTCCAAGCAGGGTCTTTCAAATCAATGTAGTACTGTGCTATAACAACTATTGTCAAGTTTCAACGAAGAGAAATTTCCATGAAATATGTAACTGTGAACAAACTAGCAAAATCAAGTTGAAATACTTTCCGTTTTTGTTGGCTGTGTTGTTGGCCTACTGCTTGCTTGTAAAATTTAGAAAGGAAATCAAAGAAATTTTAATTAAGATTGGAATAAATACATGATTTTTACTTTTTGCTTTGCACAAAATTCTGTCCTAACAGCCCCACTCCCTTGAAAATATATTTAGAGTTTGCAGTTGATTTGTAGTTTGAAAATTTAAAATTTGCGCCTTTGGATATAGAATCCACACTCTACAGAGTTAATCTGTCATTGTCATTGTGTTAGCTTTACGAAACAGCGTGTTCCATTGTTGAACAAGTTACGTCATGGTCTTTAGAAAAAATGTATTGATGATTTGAATACCTATCACTATGCTTAGCTCTGCGTGTAAATATTACAAATCTTTGTTACTATGGAACAAAGTTGTTTCTGCTCCAAGGAATTTATCAACTCTACAGTAATTCACCAGTTGAATCATCTCTAAGTTTTAAATTCGAGAAAGAACTCATGTGTAAACTTTTAGTTGTTTTTTTTTGTTGTAAGATCATGGTTCACTTTTATGTAATGCAATTTGCAAAAGTAGAATCATTACAGTAGAATATTGTTCATACAATAATGGTTTGGTTAAAAATCACAGTTAATACTAAATAATTTATTTGTAAATTGCCTTTATACATGCATTGTATTGTACAAGTCCATAAGTAAAATATTCCTCATTTTGATGAAGTATTCATGATATAACATTTTGTTCATCAAGTCAACTTTATCAACTATATAGTATGTATACACCACACCAGCAAAGGATTTTTAAGCAAATGTCTGCGAGACAAAGTATTTATATATAAAATCATGCTTCACACAATATGATTGGAATGTTAGGATTTATCTTTGGAAATGTCAAATCAACTTGTCCCTAGAAAAAAATGAAATTTATGTCAGAGAATAAGTGTTGTAATACATCTTTGTCTATTTAGGACAGTTGTTATACATATACGTAAGACCAACTTACATTTTCAACTTTACTTTTGAAACATTGAAAAAAATTATTTTTTTATATTACTTCTCATCATTGTTTGTGACACATAAAATTTTGTGGAGATGTCTCTCCTTGTGGGAATAAAACACCCTCAAACCCGTTCCAATCACTATGTTCTTAAATATCACCTGAGGTTTTAAAGCACTAGGATCAATCTTTTTCATCTTCGATCTTTTCCGCTTTTTTGACTTCACTTCTTCATAAAATTCATGTGCCAGATCACCATCTTCATTGAAGAACATTGAACTAAACAAGAATTTCGTGTGAAAAAGCAAAGTGAACAAAATTGTTTTTTTGATTGTGTACAAATTAATTCACATTTACAAACTGTTGCAATACCACATAAAAATCAGAGGTCAATTCATCAGCATACAACTTTGAAATCAACACAACATGATTGTAATAAATAGCACTTTAACGTTAGGTACAAAGCACGCTGACTGTAACTGACATTATTAGTGACATATGTTGTACAGTTCACAGTTAAAAAATCTTTCTATCATTCCGCACCTCACTCTCTTCAAGATAAATATAGATCCTCCACAGTTCTTCAAAAGTCTATTGATTTTATTGTCTGGTGAACTACTATCGTTTTCTTCAAAATCTTCCACATCCCATACTTTGCGAAACAGACCAGATACCTTAGATCCCATTCATAGAAAAGCAATTCTTAGGTATGGAAATTGATAAATTTTAAATAAGACCGACAGAAATTAAAGTGCCGCGAAGATGAAAAAACTTGCCTCTGCTGTCATAATCTTGTATTTCTGTGAATGGTTTTGTGGAGAGACTGGAAACGAAAATTTACTTTGCGTGGACACCACGCGTGCATATCACGCTCTAAAAGTCATCAAACAAATTTTTAAAATAATATTTATTTTTAGAAAATCTATGTATAGGTTAAATAGACTGTTCAACTACGTCATTTCAAGGAAAAAAAGTCATCATGTTGAAGACATAGTTGATGGAATTATCCACAGGGACCGTGGTAAACTGGCAGAAGCAATCACTCTTGTGGAATCATCTCATCCCAAAAAAAAGATTTTAGCTCAAGAACTGTTAACAAAAATCTTGAATTTGAGTAGAAAAAATGAGAATCAACTTTCATATAGAATAGGTATTTCTGGTGCACCAGGTGCTGGTAAATCATCTTTTATTGAAGCCCTAGGTACAATGTTGACTGATGAAAGATATCGAGTTGCAGTTCTAGCAGTTGATCCATCATCTGTTAATACTGGAGGCTCGTTGCTAGGAGATAAAACCAGAATGACAGAACTTAGTAGATGTGCTAATGCATATATACGCCCTTCACCATCTAGTGGAGCCTTGGGTTAGTATAATGCCATAGTCAAAGGAGAATTAATAATTTGTAAGTTAAGAAACATATTGGAACCTCAGTAATTGAATTTCCAAATGCAATCAATATGTCAAATGTTTAATCAAAACAGTTTTACATTTAAAGCTTTCCAGTTTGGTGAATTCAAGCATGGTGCTAATACATTTTGATCTGAAAAACTCAGTTCATAATTTTTTATTTTATGTTATATGATTTGATGTTAGATAATAATTGTTTAAGTTCTATTTGAAATGTTGGTTAAGAAATTAATTTCTAAATATGGTCATACCGATTTATTGTTGTAATGCCATTGACTTCACTTGGTTGTTAAAGCAGAGGATGATATGCAAGCATCAAATCTGCAATATATTTCATGGAGGTTTGGTGGATATTAAAAAATGTTTTGCTTCAATGTTATCAAAAACGCTAGTTCCTACGTTTTTCTGAAAGCCACATAGATTTTTTACAAGGGCCACATTCTGTTCATCCTAATGGCTATAAAGTGTGTGAGAAATGGTATTCAGCTCAGATTTATCTTTCTTTGTTTGCTAATATGATACCAAATTTCCAAGATGCAAATTATATTCACTTTACTACTGTAAACCTCCACCTATAAGCGCCCCATTCATAACCCCCCCTGCCATCCATGAGCACCCCTCCATCCATAAGCCCCCCCTCCATACTTAAGCCCCCCTCCATAAGCCCTCTCGAAAAAAGCCCACCACGATCCCGACACTAAACTTATTCCACAGAAAAATCCACCAGCTTATAAACTTGCAAAAAGCTTGTCTTTTAATAAGTTTAATGTTCACAGATCACTGCTGAGAGCTTCCAAACGAATGTGAGCCCAAGACTTATAGGCTTGTGCTTAGGAGCAATACAAGTTCCCTTTCTTATGATGCCACTCATTAACGTTCTCTACAATCATTCATTTCTTTACTCACTTTTAGGTGGAGTAACAAGATGTACAAATGATGCTATAGTTCTTTGTGAATCAGCTGGTTATGATGTTATAATGGTTGAAACAGTAGGTGTTGGTCAGTCAGAACTTTCGGTTTATGAAATGGTGGATATTTTTGTATTGCTGGTAAGTCCTCTTTCGGGCGATGAGTTACAAGGGATAAAGCGTGGTATAATGGAGGTTGCTGACTTAATTATCATCACGAAAGACGATGGAGATCTGAAGGCAGTTGCAAGGAAAATGAAAACAGAATTTATTAGTGCCAGTAAATTTTTACAAAGTAAAAGATCTTCATTGTGGAGACCTAAGGTTTGTTTGTTTCACTTAAAAAACTAGTGTTCTAGCTGCAAACGAGCAACTTAAATTCATAACTCAAAATAATTTGAAAGATATTGATAAAAAAAAACTATAGACTTCCTATTTATTTCTGTTCTAAATATTTTTTAATTATTTTAACTTGCATACAAATATCACACAGTGGTGAATCTAGCAATGCTGCCTTTTCAACAATTCCTAGATGACTACATTTAGCGTTTTTTTTGGATCTCATACAGACAGTTTGAACAGTTTATTAAATTTCAGAAAACGCTAAAGTATGCAGACAATATAATATATAAAAAAACAATGTTTCTATAGATTATCACAGCGTCCGCGACCAAACGTGAAGGGATTGTCGAGGCCTGGAAAGAAATTGAAGAATTTTTTCGTGTCATGATCGATTCAAGGGAACTGGAAATGAACAGGAAAGATCAGCGAGCATTATGGATGTGGAACTATATCAAATATGAAGTTCTTGAAATGTTTAAAAAACACCCTTCTGTGATAGCAAATGTGCCTGCCTTTGAAAAACGTGTCAAGGAAGGTGGTATAACTCCCGGAGTGGCAGCTGACCAACTTCTTCGTTTATATTCAGAATTAAAATAAAGCAATGATTAATATGATTTTTCGTCAACAAATGTTTTTTATATCAGTAAAAACAAGAATCCCAAATTCTTTTTCTAGCTCTTGGGAGTGCGGTTAAGGACCAAGGGAGGGGGTCCTCTATCCATTTCGTAGGTTCCCTTTCGGCTGGGGTACTAGCGTTGCTTTGCTTGTGTTTCATCTTTCAAAGGTTTGTTTTAGTCAGTTTTGTGTAGTATATTTCGTAGGTAGATGTTGAAATTGGTAATTTCATGCCCTGATCAACAGGGTTGGCTACATAAAATATGGTAAATATACACATAGGCAAAAAATGGTGCAGCTGACAGCTGCCTATGGCGTATGTGAAGGCTTTTTTACAAGGATGCATATCGCCTAGGTCACCTCTTTTACACAACAACCTTGTAAAGATAAAGGCCCTCTGGGGGGGTTTCTCCAGCGATGCAACGATTCCACCATCTCTAGAGAATCGTTCTAAAGAATTATTGTGTGGCCATGTCCTGTACCTGCAGTTGGGGATTATAGAGAGTATTGAAAAACATCGGATTGAGTTCTGATCCTCTCGAATAAACAAGAGTAGCCAGTAGAGATTTTTAATAAAGAAATAAAAGATGTTTATTGTGTTTGCACATGCTTCTGCAAACCGAGGAAACCTTTGAGAGAACTCGAGAGCAGATCAGTCATCAGTGCAAGCCTGAGACCGAAAGTCGAGGGTTGCACACTTGCTCGAGTTCTTATGCAAATACAGCTGTAGACCAATCAGCGCACGTGTTTCATTTTGTTATTTTATAATGACACATCAAAAATTCGAATGCACAGATTTTTAGTGACTTTGTCAATTGTCATGTTCAACTTCAACGTTTTCAACCAGTGAACTGTGTTCAACAGAATAATGACCAAATGCTGACAAGGTGGCAGCACATCTCTTACGACAGTAACTTCTAGTGATCTATATCTTCGCGGCAGATCTGAAAAGGGAAAATATTTTAGTCTGTGCACCATTGTCTTCGAAATTCCTTTTTTATGGCAGAGAAAATAAAGTAAGTTTAATCCTTCGGAGTTATTGGAGGTATTTGTTTTGAAAGGATTTTATTTACAACCACGAAGTAGAAAATAGCTCAGTTGTCTTGTATTTTTTCATAGTTTTGATCTATACAAGGATCTCCAACCAAGTCAGATACCACTGGTATACAGTCATCGATACAATATTAAATTTTTCGGTTTGCAAAAACTTCATCCATTTGACTCTGAAAAATGGGGGAAAGTTGTTGGATATTTGTCAGGTATTTGATGGTTAAGAGTTAATACTATATTCATGTAAAGATGATTACTTTTTTCTGCTCAACTATTGAGGGAATTAAAACATTGTTCACCAAGTTTATTTTTAATCAACTTTCAGCAATATCTGCACCCAGTAGTGAAGCCAGCATGGTTGTTTATTCACTGGAAAAACAATGAACGAATTCATTTTCCATATAGACAACAAATAGTAATTTTTCTGAAAAATTATGTTGATTGTTATGTTTAGAGAGTGATGTTTTAAAAAATAAAACATTTGTTGAACCTCTTGAAGCAAGTGAAGAATATCTTTTGAAAGTGCATACTCAACGATATTTGGATAATTTGAAGGTACGTATATCATATTTTTAAACTACTAACTAGGTAATCGTTTGCTTTTGTTAACATTTCATTGTTTTTATGTATTGTTTTATAATTTAGTGGTCCTGGAGAGTTGCTAGTATCACAGAAGTTCCTCCAGTTGCATTCCTTCCAAATTTCATTGTTCAACGTATACTGTTGAGACCTTTACGATTACAAACAGGGGGAACCATTTTGGTTTGTATGTGTGTCTTGCTGTTGTTTGCAAACTGAAATGTTGGTTTACGATATTAGTTTTTTAATATTATTTTCCATAGGCAGGAAAACTTGCTGTAGACAATGGATGGGCAATAAATGTTGGTACTGTATATATGCATAATACATACAACAATTTTAAATGTAATTAAATGCAGCCATTTCAGTAGAAAAGTTTCATTTGTGTAAAAAGTGACAAAAACTTTCGTCCAAATGAATTTAAGTTTTAATGAGGACATATTCTGGTGCTATATAAAATTACCTCAGTTTATGAAGCCATAAAGTTACTGCATTTAAAGAATGTTGTTGTTTTTGTGCATTAGGAGGTGGGTTTCATCATTGCTCAAGTGATAAAGGAGGAGGATTTTGTGCATATGCAGACATTACATTGGCACTTAATGTAAGGGGATTTTTCACAGTTTTATAGAGATGCTTATGTAATGTGTGGTATGTGGTTGAAAGACAACCGTAGGTATTTTAATATATGTGCAATATATAATAGTATGCTCTATTCCTTTGCAATTCATGTGCTTTCATATTGTTGAAGATTTTCTTCTCAATTATCATTTCTTACATAGTTTCTGTTTGAAAAGGCCTCGACAGTTTCCAAAGCAATGATTGTAGATCTTGATGCTCATCAAGTATGTATTTTACCTCAGGCAATATTTTATTTCATTACCATTGACATACTTCCAGCTTAAGATTGTCTACAAGGCGAAATTAATGACTGATAACATAGTTCAAGGTAGTTGATATGTTCAGAATTTAATATTTTATATAAAATTTCACATTTAATAACATGTTGCTTAGTTACTAAAATAAATGGTTATATTTTTAGTGTAGCTGTAGCAAGTTTATTTAGTTTTTTTAAATGGTGCATTTTTGTTATTTCAGGGTAATGGCCATGAACGTGATTTTTTAAGCAATCCACAAGTCTACATTATGGATGTTTATAATTCAAAAATTTACCCTTTTGACAAATTTGCAAAACGTATGTTGAAGAGTTTAGATTGCATTACTGTTATATGATTTTGAAGCAATGTAGTTTTTTCCTACCAGAATCATTTTTGTCAATTAGGTGCAATAAACAAAATGGTTGAATTGGATCATGAAACTGATGATGATAAATATCTTAGTCTAGTTGAACGGTAAAAACTCTTAGAAACACAAGAAAAGACTTGATTCAGGAATTAGTACATGACTATTTAGGCTTGGGATACTTCAGATTGTGTAAACAAATCTATTTATTAATTTAAGACTTGATGTGATTTTTCTACATTATTTAATTCAACTATGTTGCAGTAATCTAAATGAAGCATTAGATGAATTTGAACCGCACATCATAGCTTACAATGCAGGTATTATATATCTATTATGATGTTTATAGTCGCAAATCAGTTTTCAATTTGCATGAATAAGTATGGAAAAGTTGTAGTTAATGAATTAATTTGTTCTTCAATGCATTGCTTATAGCCTGCTTGCAGCCTCAATCTCCTTGTTTATGCATATTAAAAACTTCAACACTAATCAGCATCCAAGTGATAACTCCAATTTTTTCATTTTATTTTAATTAGGGACTGACATTCTTAAAGGTGACCCTCTAGGAAACCTTGCTATCACTGAACAGGTGCATATACAGATATTCATAATTTTGATGAGCTTGTATTGTGTCATTCAAAACAACACCTACGTATATGTCAAACATGTTAGAACAAATGTAATATGATGTCTTTACCTATATAATCAATGTGCACCCCTACATTTCATTGTTTGAGCTCCAGATGCATGTGAAAGGATTAAACAAAAATTATTTACAAACATGTGAAAATCATAATTTATTTTATGTGATTAAAAAAAACAAGTCCATCTTTTCCATTCTAGGGTATTATATTAAGAGATGAATTGGTATTTGAAGCTGCAAGAAAACGAAAAATACCTATATTCATGGTTACATCAGGTGGCTATCAGGTAGGCATACTTCATGTAATTAAATTTTCAATATAAAAATACACAGCTATACTTGATCTTAATTTTTAAATGCAAACTTTTAAAAAGAAATATATAATTTACATAGAAACATACTGCAAAAGTTATTGCTGACTCTATTATAAATTTGCATAAGAAAGGATTGATAAGCTGAAACTATGAAAGACTGGGTAAGTGTTTTTGTTTAAAACATAACTGAATTATGTAAATCTGTTGCTTTATATATTCTTTTCAAACTGGAAGCCACAGTTTGTGTGTATTTAGATTATTATACATAAGAATACTTATCTAAATCCTAATTCAAACTATAGCTCCAACTCTTACTCCTAAGCAATTGCAATTAGGTTTACCCAGCTATATGCAGTACAAATATTTTTGGTTTAATTGAATAATAATTCAATTATTTCTGCTATATATAGAGGCCATATTTAAAATTAAAGACTATCATTTATTGAAAAAATGGACTCTATTTATTGCAAACATAATTGCATAATACCAGATACAATTTCACAAATGCACAAGATATAATTGAACAATTGCACAATTCAAAATTTTTGGTCAAGTCAAAATTATAGGTATTTTAATTTTGCAGATGTGACTTAAACAGTAGACATGCTTTATTTAAAGTACATAACCAAAGAGAATCTTCATCTGCTAGTTGTGTTGAACTGCATAAAGAACTCGGCAGTTGGTGGATTTGTGTAAACTTCTTTATTGAGGTGATTTTGGCTGAAATAGAAAATGTATAGTATTTATGAATTTAGCAAAACATATATATATTTGTTAGAGAATTGTGCTTAAAATGAATGTAATGTCATCCAGTTATTGTTATGTTGAAGGATAGAGATATGAACAATCGTATTCAACAGTACATTGCTCATTTTGCATAATACATGCATGTCATATTTCTTAATGAGTTAAGAAGCAAAACTTACTGGGCCTTTTGTTCAGACGCAAGTCTTGCATTTTCTTCAACAAATTGTTTATTCAATTGTTTACGCACTCGTTCCAGTTCTCGCTCTGCCATTAAGGTGGCTTTTTCTTGAGCTAGTTGTAATCTTTCCCATTCTTCTTTTTTCAATCTTTCTTCTGCCTCAAGACGCTAGGAAACGGATAGATTCATTTACGCTAAGAAGAATTCAAGCTTCCGAAATATATGTTCAATGCGCACAGTGTATTTTAATTTAATTGTTTAATACTTTATTCACACAAAGCAGAATTGTATCATTTATAAGTTGTATGTTATATCTCTGCCTGCCACGTTCTGAGGCCTCGGAAGTTATACCTTCTGGTAATGCCTTAAACATTTTTATACAAATTTACAACTATGCAGTTTACGGTTTATGCATACCTAATGCACTACAATGAAAAGACTGAAACTACACATTGGATAAATCAATATTATTCATGGTCTTACTTTTTTCTCAAGCATCTGATCGTGTTGAATCTTTCTTATTTCATTCAGTTGAGCTGAACTCATTCCTTTCCATCTGTCAGTGATCACTCGATGTGGACCAAATGCGCTTTCAGCGACATCGGGATTTTCCGTTACAACATCACCACAGACAAAATTAGATATTTCCGTAAAATTATCATCCTGTTCTTTCATTTTCTCCAACTCATTTCTGGATTTGTTTTCTCTAGCAAGAGCAGCGTTGTATTTTGCTGTTGCAAGGTTGATTGCTTCACGACATTGACGCTCAGACTCAGACAATTCCACGGCTCGTTCGTCTAATTCTTTCGCTTTTAAATCGTACAATCTGTTTGCCTGCAACAAATTTGCTTTCTCCTGGCTCCTTTCATTAATTTGTTGTTTACACCATTCTCTAGTAATTAATGAGAAGCAACTATCATTATCAATAAAATTTTACAACCTTATGAAATAGCCACCTCATCCTAGAGCACAACTGTGAAAATCACTGAAACAAACAAATCTACTGCAAATTTTACAGGGCATACATTTTTTGATACGGCATAAAGACTGGAAAATAGATTCATACCTGACCTGCTCTTGTTGTAACTTCTTTCTTTCTTTACCGTTGAGATCCTCTCCTGAAAACTTCTGTAGGCTAGAAATTCCCAATCTTGGATCGTCATCTGATACACGAGCTGGCTTGTCATTTTTTAATAAGTCAGGATCGTTTAAATCATATTCTCTTCCATCCTCCTTTCTTTGAAAAGTCTTTCTGTACTCATTTAGCGACTTGTTCAGTTCTCGCACATCATTTTCTTCTCGTTTTTGCAGCAGTACACAAGTCATGTCATGTCGTTTTGATTGGTCCGCTGTTTGTAAAAATATGGACAAAATTATCCAATTCAATTCAATTTAGATTTGATTTTTAAAAACAGGAAACCTAAATCACAAAATGTTTATGGGACTTGTTGACAATTTTCGTGTCTATATTGACGGCTCAGTGACGGATTCAATAACCTGCAATCCTGCATAATACAAACCCTAGCTGACACATTGTCTATGTTTTATAACACACTGTCTGAGTTGACAACAACCGTGTATAACTTGATATGTAACTTATTGTTGGTATTTTCACTTGTTTCAATTTATTTCATAAAGATAAAAACTCGAATGCTTGCATTATTTATATGTAATACTTGTAATTCATACCAAATGCGTCCTCTCTTTGTTTTTCTATTTCGTCTTTTTCCTTTTTCTGTGCTATTTGGTGTTTTAGGGCATCTAGATCGACCTGAATTTCGAGAGGTGTTTATGACAAGAAAAACTCGATTAGTTTGCGATTGATTGATCTACATTGCACCAAATATCGTTATTTATTCTTTTGAATGGTACACAGTGACACTTACTGGATCAATAATACCTATAGTGTAACTGCAAACTTGAAAACATTGTACAGAGAATGTTAAGATTACACAAGAACAGCATGTCCCTCAGCTCTGAATGCCCTAATCGTCTTTATTTAGCATGTATGAAATCTTTATTTAAAGAGTAGCTCTGTCAGGTGCTAAATGCACTTGTTATTAACAGTTTAGTTATATCCTTTATTTCTATTTTATAATATTTAACTTTGGGCACGATTATATTAAAATTACAAGAATAAAATAACCTAGTTTACGAACAACGGTGAATGTTTTGACATGAATTTTACTTTCATAAACAATTCACTTACTCCTATCGTGCGAACTCTTGCATTAAATATTCGGCTTTGTCGTTGTAATTCAGCATTTCGTCTTCTTTGAGTAGCCGCAGTTTCTTTTAAGTCTACGGGTAAATCAAGTTTATACATTTTAAGCGCTCTAACAATGTATGAAAAATAATGTGAATTCAATTCGTTTTGATCACGGTCAGTCTCTTTTGTTGCTATGCAATTTCGCTCGTGCGATGTCTGTTGCTATGGATTGTGTTTCATGCCGTTGTTATGACAACATTCGCTATTATCCTCATTATCAGTCTAGTTTCAGGAACTTTTTCTAAATTCTAAGAAGTTGCATAGTCGTTTTTTTCCTATCCAAATCTCAAATAAAAAATTGTTTCAACTATTTCTACAGTTTTTCTTAATTCAAAGCGTTCTCACTAGGTTATCAGAAAAGGAGCACGAATCGTACGCTTTAATGAGTGGCTTCCAGTCGTTAGTCCCGGATTCACCATCATGAGCCAAAAGTGAACACCTACTTATAATGAGCCATGTATTAAGTTTGATGACTTAGAATGATTTCACTCATTTAACTACAGGGTATAGGAACGGTGATCCAAAACTATAGCACTACAGCCCAGCTGGATGCTTGACAAGTTAAAGCTAATATAAGCACCACATAAAAAAGATTTTGATCGTCAAATACAAGACAACTTTTCAGTATTTGCCTTGGAACTGATGCACAGTGCAATTTTGTAACATTTTCAAAATCTAAAACTTTTTGCAGCAACGCCATAAATTAACCAAATTTTTAATGATAACCCATATTACGAATGCAATTTTTTAAGTCATTTGCTTTATCCAGAAACATCTAGGTATTTTTATTGCCAAATCATGTGACTTCCACATATGGCACCCTGGTAAATCTGGAAAATAAAGCTATTTACAATGCTTTGGTCTAGATATTCTTAAGGCTTTCAAAGGAGCTGCTTCTTTAACTGTAACAGCTGTCAAGCAATTTTTGTTATTATGTTACTCTAATGCAAAGTACTATTCGTCTTGCGTTTTGTTAGCTGGGAAATATGGGATCGTTTTATTTTGCCAAAGTCATGAAACGCCTCATTGCACCGTTGCATCGTTGCTAGCTACGCTCACGCAAACAACACCAAAGTGTTTTACTTTTCTCTCTGTCGACATTACTTCTGGTAAAGTTTTTTCAACTCCTCAAAATTAAGGATTACTGTCAACAGGGCAAACATTGTATCACACAACCATATGTAATTTCTTGCTTGTAAACAAGATAATGATATAAGAAGCACAGCCACACATAGTCCTGCCTGTATTTAATATTTGCTTTGCTCTAAAAATATGAATCTCAGCGAATCAGAGTCGAAGATTGTTCTAGAAGTCATTTTTAAGGGATAAGAGTTGCAAGACACACAGTTTATCACACAGACAACGCACACCATTCAGTCTTTAATAATTTATTTCATGATATTTACATCTGATGATAAATATTGTTGTATTTTCAAAGCTTGGTAGAAGTTTCTAGAAGTACATTATTACTTCTGTTTGTCTTACATTCATCACGCAGGTTTTTCCTGTCGGCCATGTCTTATCTTAATATGGCAATTAATACCTTATAAGGATAACTTCTCGTCGTTTCGATTTAGAAGAAACAAAAGGATGTAGACTGTAAAATCAGTCATAAATTGTCATTTACAATCGAAGAACTTACCAAAGTCCACCCGATTTCGTATGATTGTATTATTCACAAGCTATGGCCATTGATTATTACAAAGTGCTTGATATTCCTCGACAAGCCTCTTTTGAAGAAATCCGAACAGTTTATCGTAAATTGGCGCTGAAATATCATCCTGATAGAAATAATGAACCCGGAGCATCACAGAAATTTAACGAGATAACTGAAGCTTATTTTGTACTAAGCAAACAAAGCAGCAGAGACGATTATGACCGCAATGGAAAAAGTGAGGGATCCACTACGTCGACATTTTCATCAACTTTCTCTAATGAAAGCAGAGCTAGAAGCGTCTTCACGGCAATATTTCCTGGTATATTCCCTAATAGAAAAACAGATCTTATAGATGATCTCATAGACTTGCGAATGAACGTTGTCAAAAGACGAGGAAGTACAGGACAGGTAACTGTTGGCAAGTCAGGTATTAAGAAACAGAGATCCTTGAGTCAAGATAGTCCAATTTATAAAGATTTGTACGTTACTTTGGAAGAAATCATGACAGGTTGTACAAAAAAGATGAAGATTACAAAAAATGTTTTGAGCACAGATCGATCTTCATTAAGAAAAGTAGAAAAAATTCTCAGGATTGATGTTAAAGCCGGCGCAAAACCAGGCACGACGATTACATTTCCTAAAGAAGGAGATGAAAAACTTGGATTTATACCAGCGGATATTGTATTCGTATTAAGAGATATCACACATCCTTTGTATCGACGGGACTCGAATAATAACCTAATTCATACTGTAAAGATAAATTTACGCGAGGCGCTTATTGGCGGTAATTGTTATACTGTACCAACTTTATTGGGTGAAAGAAAACTTTGTTTCGATCCATCAGGAAAAGTTATCCAACCAACTTTTACAAAGATCTTTTCTGGCGAGGGCTTGCCCCATCCCGACAATAACGAAAGATTCGGTGATCTTGTGATGACCTTTGATATTATATTTCCCACTGTTTGCAGCATTGAACAAAAATATCTCCTGAAATCTATTCTTCCCTGAAGCTATAATTGTACGTATTTCCTTGTCAAAGGAATTATGATTTCGTTTGTCTAGACAATAATTTCCTGACAATATTTTAAGGAAGGATTCTTTATTCAGTGTTGTCATAGTTTTTATCATATTATCAAGAACATTCTTTAATTAATGAAATGTATAAATATATGTCTTAGTTATCTAGAAAGAATTTTCTGTAAAATAAGATTCGCTTTTGCATGAAGTGCTTATTTTCACTCTTTCCTACTTTTCTTAACCACAGTCAATTTTGGTCTATTTGAAAACTTTAAATAGAAGATATCTTTAAGCAAAGCGTTCTGTTCCTACCAAAAATGATGCTTTAATAATTTGTATAATAATACGAGAAAGGTCTATTTGTTTTGATGTGTAATTAAGTGCGTACCCAAGAGATTCCTGCCGTCAGTTTTTGTTGATAAATTGTAGAGTTTTTATAGTAAGTATTTCATCGCATGTGTCTACAGTCTTAATTTCTCAATTTCTTCTGTAATATTTTTGAATAATAAATTAAGTTCATGCTTTAGGCATCTGATCAAAATGAGAAATGGCATATATACTTGCTGACAGTAATGTTGTCAATTATTGTAGAACTTCCCAATATGAACACATTAGACGAGCTTGGTTGTTATTAAATAACAAAATTTTTATGAGATTCAAACACGAATTATTTATTTCTCATCGATGTGTGACGTCATGGTAGCTTTCATTAAACAATATTGATATCACCAGTATTGACCACAAACAACTCAATTGGTTCCATCAAAAATAGATTTATTCGATTTTCACGTAATTTTCTTCATGATAAGCTTGCAAGGCGCTTTGCAATTGAAATGAAGCAGCTATTTGAAAAATAATGTAGAAATACCTAAAATAACTAAAATAATAATATATATTATATAAAATTGAACACCAATTATGCATGTCCTTGATCGATCATACGACACATATTTTTACAAATTTTCTTTTTTGGTTTCTCAAACTTCTATGAGTACGATAGCACGTACGATTCTTTTCATTGAACACCTGCCATTCGGTAGGCTGTTAGCTAAGGCACAAAACATTTGAAAATATGTACTTCTTTTTGACTTAGCTATTCACTGGTAAGCCAACTAGCGTCTTCATAGCATTGCAAGCCTAGATAAATAATAAACTAAGTTCTGCCTTTTCCACAATTCTTCTCAAAATAATTTTTTGTACCCGTGTTAAACTCAAATAAAAGAAAAGCTTTTCGTCATAACCCTATTCAAATGAAAATAAGCTCCAGTATTTGTTGCATTACCAAGAATGGATTATAGACGAAACTTAAGCTTGGGGCTATCTAAAATAAAATTTTTGTGAATATAGATCTATTGACTCCATCGATCAAGCTATTTTGTTTTTTGCATGGCAGCTTATGTTACTTAAAAACCTGCTATTCATACACATTATTTACTTCTTGACCAATTGTATGATCGCTTCTCTTCAATTTATGCGTCTTACGTATATCGCAGGTGCAAACATTTTACAGGAACAATTGCATATTCTTCTTTAAATCGACGGGCAGTAAACCTGTTCTCAAACAATTAAACGAAAACGTTTTCTTTCGTCACAAAGAATGGCAAAACCTTTAGCGGTCTTGTTGGTTCTTATTATTTTTCTGTCCCAAGGAATGACCTTGGTTTGTAAGTATTTTTTTGCATGAGCATACTTTTCCAGTTGCTATGGCATCAATTGCTTTTAGATATACACGGAACATTGTTGGATAAGTAGAAAACATTACATCTTATTGAATCATGACTTTCATAACGTGTTTTGCTCAATGTTCTTCATTCTATCAATGATGAAATACATGTAAAGCAAAACACTTTCATGGCGCGTTTTGATCAATGCTCTTCATTCAATAAATAATAAAAATGCATGTACAGCAATTTGTTGATCGTTCAGTACTTTGAGAAAGTTTGCATTGGTCATATGCAAAGAATTGTATCTGCAAGCTCAGCGGTTCTTTTTATGGTTAAACACCAAATATGTTCCATGTAAAATTGTCAAACATAATTTAAAAACATGGTTTATCATTAAGAAGCATTTCTTCAGTTTTATGTTGTGTTATTCTAAAATTTTCTAACGTCATGTTTGCATAACTGATAAATCCTTAGTAACGTGTATATTTTCATCTTCTTGTTCCATTCTGTTGCTTGAAAATATAAAATAATCAAGCTCTTTTATTGAAAAGTTCATTTTACCAGTATATACTTCAGTTTTAATGTCTTTGATAATTTGGCACATATTCTAGTGCATAAACTTATGTCGATGTATTTTTCGTTCTATCTTTAACATCCATAAGGACCATAACACTTTTATAAATGGTCATCGTTTCATTGCTGCTACAATATTTGTTTTCAACGAACTGTATGTGTTCGTGCGATATTTTCTTTGAAGTTATATCTGCATATACATTTTGTCTTTTACGAAAATTTTGTGTAAAACTTGGATCTATATTATATACATTTTTATTTTTATATGCCTTACTAGCAGATTATATTTAAGAAAATGCTTGAAAGAACTCCAAATCTTATCGGCTTATATGCCCTTGTTTTTTTTAATTATAGCATGAATTATGAATAAGATTACTTAATTTAAACATGCGAGGTATTGTGTCTACTGCACTTATGGCTAAATTTCTCCTTATATTACATTTAATATTATTGTTTCAAAACGAACAAGTTAACTTTCTTTCACGATAAGATTGTGGCAATATGCGAAGCATCATTTTAATCCGATTTTTGTCTGTTTTGAAATTTAACTTTCAGTTGGGAAAAATTGTAAATTCAACAAAAGATACGCTTGCGGCATTGAAGATTGTAACTGTCGCTATGTGAATCAGAATGGTGGAAGTATTTCTGGTCTGTTGAAAAGATTCAATGCTCTATTTACACATGTCAGTCCCGTTGAGGATCAAGTTTGTGACAAGTGTCAAATATTTTGTACGGAGTAAGTTGTCTTCGGCATCGAACTTAAATAAGCATCAATTGATTTCAGACATGTTGTTGAGTATATCATTCAAACTTTTAGAGAGAAACACATCAATTGTCAGCATGGTTCATGTGACAAGGAGAAAGGATGCATTTGTCAAGATTGTTGGAGTGGTGAAACATGTTCTAAATACCGCAAGTATTTTAATGAGAGCGAAAGCTGTTCGGAAAAATTATTCATTTTCCAGAAGAAGCAAAAGAGTGCTTGAACTTTTTGTTTGAATTTTAAGTAAAATTCTGGTTGCGCAAACTGTTGTTCAAAATCGCATGCTTTGATTATAGATAACAGCCAGCCATTGTTGAAACAGACTCTTTATTTTGGTCATGTGAAGAAAGATGTCGATATTGGATATGAAATTGTCACAGTTTCTGCAGTTGATGATGATTTGGAAACTTGTGTTGATAAATCCAACTGTCCTTGTGGTCGGATCAAGTATTCTATCATTAAAGGAAACGAGCTTGGGTTGTTTCATATCCATCCAGATAGTGGAGTTGTCAGTCTTGTTAAAAAACCATATGATCATCATGAAGTAATCTCTATCACCATACTTGCAAAAAATGATGAGTATTCATTGAATAAAGAAGAAGAAATTGATAAAAATAAAGCAACTGTTGTTATAACTTTTCAAAGTGATGAGTTTCGTGCAAATGTTTCAAGAGAGCGAAGATCACTTCATCATCGTACACGAAGGAGTGTTACGGTAAGAAATTTAACAGTTGTGTCGTTTTAAAGTGTTATGTCATGTTGTGAGCTGTTAAGGTACATTGTAGAGTATCAATGTTTGTATAAGGGGCTAAGGTAGATTGTAAAATGTTATGCCAGGTTATAAGGTGTAAAGGTAGAGTTGTATAATATTGAGGTACTTTAAAGTGTTGTGGTAGGTTGTAGAGTGTTACGTTAGATTGTAGAGTGTTGCTGTAGGTTGCAGAGTGTTACGATAGGTTGTAAAGGGTTACGTTAGGCTACAGAGTGGTACGGTAGGTTGTAGTGTGTAACAATAGTATATGTTGTACAGTACTAATATAGACTGTTGAGTTTGTCAAAAGCTTATACGGTGTTAAGGAATAGATTACGTTACGTTTTAAAACTTTACAGAAGATTGTAAAGTGTTATAGTATATGCTGCAGGTTCTAGCTTTTGATTGTATAATTCAAATTTTTTTTCTTAGTCATACAGTGCTCTCGAAATAACCTTTGAAGCAACGACCAATCAAACATTTTTTCCTTCTGATTCTTCGATTGACTACCGTTTGTATGTGAAACAGAACAGTTCTGCCTCTCCTGAACAACTGAACAACATCAGGATCCTGTTGAAATCTGACAATCTCAAACTTCCTTCAGAGAAATCTGGATATTCAGTAAATATTTCCAATTCTATTCAAACAATTGGATCGTTTGAACATTCAGAAAATAAAAACGTAAAATTCACAGTTCCAAACCATATTTCTGCTTCGGGTTCACAAGCTTATATGGAAATAAAGTTCAACACAATAGTTCGAGCAACATTAAATCCTTTGGCTTTACTTCAAGTTACGTTCATTATGAATGCAACAACGTCAAATGTTCCAGTGACGTTTGGTCCTAAGTATTCTAATGAAATTTTTACAACTTATCCTGAAATCACATTACGACGAACAACGTTTGGAGGTAGGATGCTTTTTTATATTGTTTATCTCATGTTACATATGTGTTGTTGGAAGTTTTGCTTTCATCACATTCTTTTGTAATCTCGTAGACTTATCTGATGATCACCAAAAAGACTCGCGAAACCATTACAGCAGTTTTTTAACATGATAATTGCCTCATACTTACAATGAATTAGTGTTAAAATCTCTAAACGTATAACGTCATGTCTAACGTTTGAATAGATATGACAAACATGTAACATGTTCTTTGCTAATTTTAGACGTTAAAGTTGAAAGTGCGCTGGATTACAAAATCAACATATCAATGCCTTTCTTCAATTTTACTTTTCTCCTTGAAATGTCGACAGTCGTGAACGCATTTCGTTTCTTGAGCATAGAAAATGTAACTTTAGGGGAAGTTAGTGACTCAATCAAAGCTCAACATTCTTCACCGACACCAAAAATATACACTGGAGTAAATGACAACATCAATGGTCGTGTTATCTTGGACTTCGGAAGCATTAAGGTTTCTAAAAAAATCATTATTCGTTTTTTTAAATTAATAAAATGCAATCAAGTAGTGAGCGCATGCTTTTTTTGTGAAAAAAAAAACAGTCGCAAAATTTATTATGATTTGTTATATCAAGCAATATGCCTTTCGGGCACCTTTTACAGTTTAATGATTCTTTAACTAAACACAGTTTGTTTTAGGTGTTAAATACTGATAAAAACCACAACACAATGAAACTTTCCTTCTCAGTCAAAGTTAATGATCACCATTTACTTGCCAATAACTCCATACACTGGGTAGGACTTGGTGCCCAATCTGGCGATGAAATGCTTTGGGTGGGACAAGATGCGATTACAATTTCAAAGGTAATAAATAAACCATTGGTTTAGAATAGTAGTGAGAACTTTTTACTTTCACTGCTTACAATTATCCGAGAAAATTATTTTGTTTACTTCTCATACATATAAAATACATTCATCTTTACTCGTGCATGTATTTTCAAACTTTTAAGAACTTACTCTAAATAAGAACTTGAAAATATACTTTATCTCAAATTGTTTTAAGACATGAGAAATCAACATGTTTCTCTTTCCCCATTCAGAACGAGCCATATTTACTTGCTGAAATCAAAGCAGTGAACAACACAGATTCAAGTCGCAATTATATAAATGATGTCCTTGTATTTTCTTGGACCGTTAAACATTCAGTAAATGGTTCTTATGGTAGTGCAAATGATGTGAAAGTCATCTTTACACTTTCGCCTTATCTTGAATGGCTCACAGACAGTGGATTTAGAAATCGCGGCAGTACAAAAGATGATACTAACGCTAAAGGCTCAAAGGTTATAACTTTTACATTCACAGAGAATGGCGGGGTTCTCAATCCGGGTATGTTATTATCTGCAGGCTGACATTTATTTGTTTTAAAAATTTTTCATTCACGGTTGATCTTGCTTTTTTTTTATTGTTAACTTTTAAATGACCATACTAACTTTAAATCGAGGTTTTATATATAGTTTTATAACAGTTTCTTCTTGTTCGCTGTACTCCTCGTCATAAATAAGTGTAAAATCATCAAAACCTATGTTTATCATCTGCTCTTATAAAATTACGTACTTTTATAGTTTTTTCTTTGATATATTTAGTGAGTTGGATTTTTTTTGAGGTAGATCAGTGAGGTAGATTTTTTTCTTTATATAGGTGCTAGTATAGCAGGTACTACTGTCACCAAGGTAAAATCAAATGTTAAGCCACTATCTGATTTGAATATCGCTATCAAAATTGATTACAAATCAAGTGCAAATGAAATTCGTCCTGTACGAACGTACAAGCCTGACCCAGGATACCTGTCAGGAGTACCTAAGTTTAATTTGTCATCAAATGTTCAAGACAATTTAATCAGAATTGGACAACTGGTGATTATTACCGTGAAAGTTATTGTAAACAAAATGACTCTGAATGGGAAGTTTCATGTGAGTTTTATAAAACCTTAATTTAGATTCTTACCATTACTTATCAATGATTTTCATACATTGTAAATTATATTACTACTATCTATGTTTACCACACATTTTTAGATTGTGTTGCCTGCTGTTTCTAACAATTCTGTGATGCAATTTGTGCGTCACGAATCGTTCCAACGACAGTCCAGACACATCGGTTCCAACGTTCGAGTTACTCAAAAATTCATGAATGCAGTAGCGATGTTTAATTCATCTGTGAACAACACATTTTATCATGATACAGCTGAAATTGACTTTGGTGCTGTTGAGATCAATGATCTAAAAGAGTCAGCCTTGTCTTCTGTTGAAAACAACACAATGAGTTTCAATTTCGTTGTTGTTTTAAAAGACAATGATTTTGTGACTAATCGGTCCAACTATAAGATTGCAATTGGTGCAAGAGGTAGTGACAGCATGGTTTGGATCGGTCAGCTCATATTCATTGCAGATGTACCTCTCAATCGCAGACCTATGCTGCAGATTGTTGCCAATATTAATGATACTGATCGCTTGACTCAAGGGTATAGTATAGTATCACACATTATTTGTCTAGAAATCATGTGTTTCCACGATTAATTGTATTTATTTACTGCATTGTTTTAGGTCAACTGTAACATACAACTTCACAATTTCTCACAAAGAGATGTCTACTGCTCTTGCTTTCGATGTTGAAGTTGTGTGGCTTATACCTCCTTACACTAAGTTTTTGGGTGTTGATGAGACGTCACATGAAAAGATCACATTCACGGTAGAAAAAAATGTTATATTTAAGGTAAGTATTGCTCTTTTATCATGCAAAATGAATTTAAATGCAAACTGAGGAAAGTATCAAATGTAGCTCACATACTGAAGAAAGAATATGCTGTTAACTAGTTTGATACTTTGGAGATATTACTTTTGAAAAGAACAGTAAATGCACAAGAATTTATTCTATTTACTTATAAAGTGTGAAGACATTTTCAAATAAATTTAGGTGAGTCATTTGGATTTTGGCGAAATCATGAAAATCTCATTCTCGATTTTATTGGACCCATATAAAACATTAAAAAAAAGTGGTGAGAGTTATGCTGTTACTCCTGTTGCTCTAAGTTACAAAAACAAGCAGAAAAACATTTACTATGAACCTTTGCTGTCTGTGGCAATCAAATTCAGCGTTCCAGGTAAGACAATAAATCTTATTGAAAATCCTGTTGACTAAAAATATATCATTTCATCATGATGCTCATTTCATAATGCAAATTTACGAGACAAGAAAACTATTGTTTACTTCACTGGGCACTGTGTAATTAGATAGTAACTATATTTTTTATTGATGGGTGAGCTACAGTACGGATGTTAACTTATTATAATTTTTTTCACATTGCGATTTGTTTCTTTACGAAATTTTAGAAAAACCCATTAAAAAACCCAAGAATGCTGTTGCAGGTATAAGATATTTTCCTTTCTTTTTCTTAGCTCTTGTTTACACTTTTTTATTCAAACTTTCTTTAGAATTTTATTCTCAAGGCTTCATCATAGACTATTCAAGTTCTGCTATTTCTATTTATTTTCTTTAGAATTTTATTCCCAAGGCTTCATCATAGACAATTCAAGTTCTGCTATTTATATTTGTTCGGTTTCCTCCAAGAGGTAAGGAATATTAACTAAATATCAGTATTTTTGACTTGTTATTTGTGTCTTGTGCATGAATAAAGATATTTAGTTATTCATTTTACGATTGCATGTTCTAATTGGGCAGTCTATTCTATGTTCAGAAACAACATTTAAAATCACAAGTTCTAAATTGCTTTCTGTTCTTTATTTAGAAACAAACCAAGTTGTTTTTGGACGAACACCAAGGGTGCGACTTGGAAAGGTACTGAATTACGTAAATCATTAAATTTTCCATTTTAAAAGGGAGCTTAAAACATCTGAGATATAGTATAAGTTAGACATTGGACATTCTATTTATTCAAAAAACAATACGCATGCAATAGTCTACATTTATTTTCATCAAGAAAATTAGTGTTGATTCATGTTTATAGCTGTTGACGTCATGGTGATCAGCATTATTGGTATCGATAGTACCAATAATATACTGTACGGCGTAGGCAATAACATGTTGAGTTACATGAAGTATACATCAAATAAAAAACGATGGTATGCTGTATCACATAAGGAATGGGAAAATGCAAAAGATAACTTGTACAAGGATGTTGTAAGTGTCACAGGAAATGATGTAGATAGCGATCAGCCAGAAATCGAAAAGCAGAGAAATGTTGAAAATGGAGAAAAGTGGGGTGGTAAGTACTTCATGCAGTCATTTTATATAGACTCCTACTTTATGTCATGTGCCTATTCATATTGAGATTTGGTTCAAAGGCCCATTTTTTGACAAGAAGCAAAATGATTCCTATTTTCTTGGGTAAAATTAGAAGAAATATACACGATTGATTACTTACTGTAATGAAACCGACTTTATGAAGTTTGTTAAAAATTTCCATCATCATTCATCTTGAAAACATAAAGTTGCACAACACAACAGGCGTATATTTTTTAATTGAAAATGACAATGTGAAATGGACAAAAACAATGTAAATTTTGTGACTATAAAATAGCTTTAAATAACTGATAATTTTAGTGCTGTTGTTAATATGGCTTATTATAACAACTAAACTTCACCATTTCTTAACTTCAAATTGCTTCATTTCTCATTTCTATAGCAACTAAATCTGGCGTCTTTTATTATTCATCACAAAATCCCGGTTGGAGGCGCAAAGCATTTTGGAACTGCTGCAACTAGTTCATGCTCTTATACATAAAGATGAAATGTTCACTAAAATGGGTCATGCTCTTCATGTGACAAAAATTTTGTATATGTTCGTATTGTACACTCTTTGCAATGATAAAGAAGACCAAAATTTTTATCAGTGCCTGCACCTGTCACTTATGAATTGTTGTATTTATTCGAAGTAGTTTTTGTTAGTAAGAAATAGTTTGTTCATACTTTGCATGAAAGCAGTTTGTATAAAATATTTGTAGTTATTTAAACAAGCGTAAGAATAAAGTATTTACTTCGTCTTACGTTTTTTTTGGGTTATTTCTTCATTATTTGATCGACGTTAATGAACGACATCAGTAAAGCCTTAGGAAAAATGCATTCGCACTCGCAGTCTTTGACAGATTTTGTCCTATAAAAGTTTTGCTATTTCTACGGTTTTTGAAATGGCTATTTTAAAAAATACAGAAACACATCTTATGAAGAAAATCTAGTCCACCTGTCTTTTAGTCTGTACAAACACTCTTAATTTTCCAAGGTTTTAGAATGTTTAACAGAAACTGTTTAATCAAATGGACGTGAAGTCTTATTCCTAAATAAAAAGCACCTGCCAATGCATAAATGGCTTTTAGAATCAACATTTGAAAAAATAAAGTTTTTGCTTTCTTTTTTTCGATGTTTATTTTTACTAATTTATTCAGAAGAATTAGAGAAATTACATTTTACTTGCTTCACAATACGTTTTATTCCATCATGCGTCCTTTTTTTGCACATTTAAGCCACTTAAGGGTCTTTAATATTTAATACATTTTATTAAACAGGATCTTTAAAATGCTATAAATTACATAGTTACGCACGCATTGTCCTCATATTCACGCAAACTATTGTTTATTCTTTTGGCTTCGGCTTGAACGATGTAAAATACCGTTGAAGAATGGAAAGAGTAAAGTTCATTGTGTTGTTACTGCCAGTTTGTTTAACTATCATTGGTAAGATTAAACGTAGTGTTCGAACTTAATAATACAACTATACTAGAAATATAAACTTTTGCACACGCACACACGAATGATTTTCTTAATTAGTAATGTTTTGAAAACGAAACTGCTAGAAATATGTTTGCGCTTTACACGAAGCGAATAAAACTCTATTGGCGTCTTTTAAATTTTAATAGAGGACTATGTTTAACGAGTATATTAAGCCATATCCCAGTAAATATTGTATGGACTGCTATACCAATAGCATATATGTGTACATAAGTTGTGTATATTTGTGTTAAATAAAGTTGAGCTTATTGTCGGCCAAAATGTTCAATTCATGGTTATTTCTAAAGTTTGTTCAAACAAGTTTCTTACTCACATAGAAAATATTGTTTTATTAAATAGCCTAAGTAATTTTTCTGAAAATTTGACTTGCTTAACATAATGTATTTTTGTTACTATGTGACACAGCAGCTGGCAAGCTATGTAAATTTGAATACGAGTATGTGTGTGGCAATGAAGACTGCAAATGTCGTTTCATTCATCAAAATGGACTCAAAGTTTCAAGAATATTCAAAAGAATTATTGCCAGGCTGCCAGGTGTAAGCCAACTATGCGACACATGTCCAACGTTTTGCAGCAAGTATGTTTTTGATATACATCAATTATCAATAACACACACACATACACACATTGCTTTTTTCTTTAAAGTTTACTTGGTAACAAAATTTATTTTAGAGAGAAACGCATCATTTGTCAGTATGGTTCTTGTGATAAGAACAAAGGATGTATTTGTCAAGATTGTTGGAGTGGTGAAACATGTTCTAAATACCGTAAGTTTGTCTGTGTGAGAATACTCGCAATCGTTATTTCCGTTACAGTAGTTTTACTTTCTTATAACCTTCATTTTATTGGCTATACTGGCAAATGATTCATTTTACAACTTTTCTAATCAATTAAATAAAAGTACAGGCTCTATTTTACTTCAAATCGCTGAGATGCTGAAAAAAATTTTTGCAGGTAATAAACAGCCGATGATTGAACAGACTCTTTATTTTGGTCATGTGAAGAAAGATGTCGATATTGGACATGAAATTGTCACAGTTTCTGCAGTTGATGATGATCTGGAAACTTGTGTTGATAAATCCAACTGTCCTTGTGGTCGGATCAAGTATGCTATCATTAAAGGAAACGACCTTGGGTTGTTTCATATCCATCCAGATAGTGGAGTTGTCAGTCTTGTTAAAAAACCATATGATCATCATGAATTAATCTCTATTACCATACTTGCAAAAAATGATGAGTATTCATTGAATAAAGAAGAAGAAACTGATAAAAATAAAGCAACTGTTTTTATAACTTTTCAAAGTGATGAGCTTCGTACAAATGTTTCAAGAGAACGAAGATCACTTCATCATCGTACACGAAGGAGTGTTACGGTAAGAAATTTAACAGTTGTGTCGTTTTAAAGTGTTATGTCATGTTGTGAGCTGTTAAGGTACATTGTAGAGTATTAATGTTTGTGATAGGTTGTGTAAGGTGTTAAAGTAGATTGTAAAATTTTACGTCAGATAAAAAGGAGATAAGGTACATTGTTGAGTATTGAGGTATGTTACGGCAGGCTTTAGAGTGTAATGTTAGGTTGTAAATAATAGAAACTTACGTTGGGCTATATAGTGTAGAATACTAAGTTATGTTTAAATGTTATAGTATGTTGTAACGCATTAGCTAAGCTATAAAGTGTTACATCTTGCAGTGCTAATGTAAATTATAGATTTGTAGATTTTGTCAGGATTTGCTGTGTCAATGTAGATTGTAAAATGATACTGAAGTGGAGGTTGCTTTGTCAATTTAGATTGCTAGATATTACAAAATACATTGTACTGTTTAACTTGTACATAGATTACGTAATCCAAAATTATTTTCTTAGTCATACAGTGCTCTGGAAATAAATTTTGAAGCAACGACCAATCAAACATTTTTTCCTTCTGATTCTTCGATTGACTACCGTTTGTATGTGAAACAGAACAGTTCTGCCTCTCCTGAACAACTGAACAACGTCAGCATCCTGTTGAAATCTGACAATCTCAAACTTCCTTCAGATAAATCTGGATATTCAGTAAATATTTCCAATTCTATTCAAACAATTGGATCGTTTGAACATTCAGAAAGTAATAATATAAAATTCACAGTTCCAAACACTATCCCTGCTTCGGGTTCACAAGCTTATATGGAAATACATTTCAACACAACTGTTCCGACAACATTAAGTCCTTTGGCTTTACTTCAAGTTACGTTCATTATGAATGCAACAACGTCTTCAAATGTTCCAGTGACGTTTGGTCCTAAGTATTCCAATGAAATTTTTACAACTTATCCTGAAATCACATTACGACGAACCACATCTGGAGGTAGGATGTATAGTAATGACAATGAACCAAGCTAAATGTCTTGATAGGCAAAAATTCTCCTTACACAATACCAGCCACTGTTCATTCGTCCATACATCACACACTCCATTCTTCCATTCCACTCACTAATCATTCCTCCATTGTACTCACTAATCATTCCTCCATTGCACTCACTCTTCATTCCTCCATTCTACTCAATCTTCATTCCTCCATTGCACTCACTCTTCATTCCTCCATTCCCCATTCTCCTCCATTCCATTCTTCCATTCCTCCATTCATCCCTTCCATTCATTCTTTATTCCTTCTCCATACTCAATCTCCATTCCTCTATTCCACTCAATCTCCATTCCTCCATTCCACTCACTCTCCATTCCTCCATTCCACATACTCTTCATTCCTCCATTCCACATACTCTTCATTCCACCATATCACATAATCTCCATTTTTTTGTCCAACCTTCCCTCTTCCAACAAACATGCGTTGTCATTCTTGAATTATAAATTTAATTTGTTTACAAATATTTTATATCTTTGTATTTCTTATGAATTATTTTTCATAGTTGTCAAAATTGGTGATATCTTAAGCTTTGATATAAACATTACATTTCCAAACTTCAACTTTCACTTCATATTGTCGCTAACGACAATGATCAACCAACTTCAAGTTTTGAGTATTGAAAATTGGCAAATTATCAACAAAAGTGATTCGGTCAGAGCTCAGAGCCTGACACAACAAATTTACACGGGAAAAGATGATAATACTACACGTCGTGTCATCTTGGACTTTGGACGCGTTGAGGTTTGTAAACAAACAGAAAAATTATGAAGGGGGATTTATGGCATTTTTGGGTAGTGGTAAATTAAGTTGCACAAAAGTAAGAGGACTGGAACTGACTATCTAGGCATTTTGGGGATAGTAGTAAATTGAGTGGTGCAAAATTTTCTAAATGGGAGTGGGAAAATTTTTACAACAGAAAAGAGTCTAACCATTTGATGGTAGCTTAATCCTATTGATTCACAATTTTTTTGGAAGTTCAAATGTTTCATTTCTTCTTATATCAGATTTCAAAAAACGACTCAGAGATCAACACAATGAGAGTTTCGTTCTCTGTGAAAGTCAATGATCATTACAATCTAAAAAACGAAACTATCCTTTACGTTGGTGTTGGAGCTTTTGCTGGTAGCACAATGGTTGGAGTCACACAAAATGATTTTATGTTGTTTAAGGTTTACATTTTCTTTCACAATTCATTGCATCGCTCATGATTCTCTCTTCATTAATGTATGAATGGCTCCTTTTTACTACCTAATTTTAGAATGAACCATATTTATTTGCGAAAATCGATGCACTAAACAGTACCACTCGAAGGTATTTTTTCAATGACATCATTCACTACTCGTGGACTGTGGAACATGCCAATGGTTCATATGAAAATGCTGAGAACGTAACAGTCACTTTCCTTATTCCTAAATGGCTCAACTTGTCAAAGAACGAATTTTTGACACCATCAAATTATAATCAGACAAGCAAATCTCTGATGTCAGTACATATGACCACTCTCCCAATGAGTACGTTATTAAATTGAATTTTACATGTAAACATATAAACAAGGTGCACTTTATTTTCCATGTGTTTTTTCAGACGAAACATTGAGTGGTATTCTCACCTTAACGGTCAATGAATTCGTGATGTCATTGGATGACTTGAATATAAAAATACAGTTAGCATACCAAACAAGCAAAGGAGTAAAACGTCCAGTAGAAACATATAAAGCCAGTACAAGCTATATTGCTGGACTGCCCTTATTTAAATTTGCAACAGATTGTGCCCAAAATACCACCATCGATATTGGGCAAGTTATAGATATCACACTGGATATTACAGTAAATATTCAATTTTGTGGACATTTGTCGGTAAGTTCAACTTTTGTAGCTTCTTTCCAAAAATATTTATTCATCTCATATATATATATATATAGAAACATAATAGAAAATGCTCATATTATAAAAACACATTAACACCATAACATTATTACATCACTCATTTCATGAGTTCATTACTTCATTATGCAATATTAACTAATCGTTATAAGAAATCATTCGTAACTTTTTCTTTTCTTTTGCAATTATAAGTCATTTTTTATTTGAATAGATTTTTACTCGTGGTCAGAATAGTTCAGTCATACTAAAACTTATTTTGGCGGAACAACCTGTAGATGTTAGCAAAGCTGAGAACATTTTAATTCAAAACAAAAATGCAATGTTTTACCGTAACCACCAACTTGATCTGGGCTGCATTCGAAAGAAAGATATTTCTTCTACTGCGGACGAGAGCAACACAGTAAAAGTACATGCGAAAGTTATTTTAGAAGACACTGAATTTGTTAAAAATCTCACTACCTACTTCGTCGGTTTTTCCTTTGTAAGCAATGGAAAATTTATTTGGGTTTCTGAGCTGTCTTTTTTCACCAATATATCACCTGAACGTCGACCAAGAATTGAAGTCACTCCCTCATCAAATGGAAGTGGAAGTTTATTTCAAGGGTAAGCAAAATGTCACCATTTTATGTAAAATTTCAAACTAACATAGCTACAAGGAAGTCACTACGCATAATTCAAAGCATTTTTCTCTGCTAAATCATTATTTATAAATGAGATTATACATGAAAACAAGGAACAAATTATATTTTTCAGCTCTGTTGTCGAGTATAATTTCACTATTTCTCACAAAAACAATTCACGGGCGCAAGCTTTTGACATTGAAGTTCTGTGGATGTTACCTTCCTATACTAAATTTTTGCAAGTCAATAGAAAGCATTTCAACTTTTCGCGGAAGGAAGACAACGTCATGTTTAAGGTAAGCCATACTACACGCGTGTAACATTTTAGTATATTTTAAAAAATTGCAAATTTATTATGCGAGTTTTGAATTAACTCATGATACAATTGCATATGGAACATAAATAATGTAGTCACTGGTTATTTTTTATTATTCTCTCTTGTTTTGATTTATTACTCGCCTCGATCGTTGAATAACAATCCTATTTTCAATAAATCATAGTTTTCTCTATAATATTTTTTATAGTTAGATAAATTGGCGTTTGGTGAGACAGTGTATGAATCATTTTCAGTAGCAATTGATCCTAACAAGATAAGAAAGAAACCTGGAAAGAATTATGTTGTCACACCATTAGCAGTGACTTATAAAAACTCTAGCATAAACGTGCAAAAGTATTTTGAGCCTTTGCTAGCAATTTCGGTTGCATTTGAAATACCAGGTATTGTTTCTTTCATAATCATCTTTACTCTATGATTCCATGAGATTATTTTCATTAGTAAAAGGTTTAGCTAAATACTGTCTTCATTAATACATTAAAATTTCTTTCAGATTTACAGACATCGAACGAATCCTCCTTAAAAGGTGCAAAAATATGCCTGTAACAGTGCTCCTGTAATAAGAAAAAATACATTTGAATTATTTTCAAATGATGGTTTTTGCTCAACATGAGAAAATACAGAATTTTCATAACTACAGTTGTACAGTCTATAACAATGAACTTTTTCTTTAATAATTGTCAACATTGGAATAATTTTTATAGAATTTTACAGTCGTGGCTATTTGGTAGATAGAAGAAAATCAATTGTTTACATCTGCTCTGTTTCATCAAGCAGGTATTATGATCCAGTTGTTGCAACTGCAGCTAAAATTTTCATTTTTTATAAAACTTTTTCCCGAATGCTTAGCACGTCTGCAATTTCAAAGGAATTTTTATAAAAAATACCAACACGGGACAATAATGCTTTTACGATGCATTATTTTTCAAAATGCTTCCATATACTTCTTAATAAAATTAAGAAAACATAACTGTATTCCATTTAGTAAAGTTTAAAGGAAATTATTTTTTAGAGACAAACCAAGCTGCTTCTGGTCAAACTCTAACGGTGCAACATGGCAAGGTATATGTTGTTATAAGTTTAGATCATGGATTGAAGTATTTAGAATTATTCGCAATTCTTTATTCTGCCATGATTATATGAAACTTAAATTAACGTATAATATTTACATTAACTAGCTCTTCATGTTTCTGTTATCAACATTATTAAAGTGGACAGCGATAATCAATTGGTGTACGGAATTGGTAGCAACAAAAATGCCTACATGAAGTATTCTCTAGACAAAGATAGGTGGTATATCATAACCAACAATGTGTGGGCCAGTGTTGCGTCAAGTTTGTCCAGTCCAGACCCTGTTCATATTGATACTAATTATAACCACAACGCAGATCCTGAACCTGAAAAACAGACGAATATGACCTCAGGAGACAGCTGGGGAGGTCAGTTTTTCTTAACTTGCTTCTCTATTTAAAGAAGGACAACTTGGCAAGTAGTAAATGAGTATAAAGAACTAAAAATAAGTAAATTCTTGAAAATAAACTTACTCTACCTTTTCATCATCACAATAATAAATAATCTTAGATGATAACAAATAGCATGATTTTGCAAAAAGCAGCCATTATATCAGTCATTTACTATCTACTGCGTATTGTGGATGCATTTGCTTGTGGAATTGAGATCTAAGTAAGTATACGAAAATCTTTTCTTTAATCATTTCTTTCGAAAAAAAAAGAAAAAGATCTGTTTCCAATTCACAACATATTGATTTTTGAGTAGATTTCAAAGTTGTGCATTTTCAAAACACTGTAATTTCAAACTTTAAAGACAATTGTATGTGTTTTACAACTAAGCGATTATTTCAAAGCACAGTTATGTCAGACAATATCCGTACAAAAGATCTAAGAACAATTTACAGCATTTCGGTAGTTAACAATTATTGGACTCTAGCAGCACGTTTATAACACTTTATACTGACTCTAGTACTTAACATTTTATATTGAATGTGATATATAATAGTTTATAGCATTTAGGTACTTAAAAGGATTATGGTACAGTAGTACTTAACAGTTTGTAAAGCATTTCAACAGATCGTGAGCTATTTTTAATCAATGATATTTTACGTTTCAGCCAACAAACTTGGTATCTTTTATCGTGCAGCTGGGAGTAATCAATGGTCTCAAAAAGCATGCTGGGATTGTTTTCCTTGATTTTGACATTTTAGACTGCTTTTGTTGAAACAAAAGTTTATAATTTTATTAGCGATGAAATGATTGACGCAAATAATCAAGCGAATGAAAAAGGACTTAAAATCAAGTAAATTAAGAAAGTAGATTTGTCGTAGTGGAACTGAAAATAATTGTAAAATCATTAACTAAATTTGGATATTTAAAGTATAGATTCGAACAGGTTAGAATTAAAAAGGCTTGGTATCTACCTATTTGCACGATGTACTATCGTACCATCCTCCCTGACATTAGTCATTTATTGCAACTGGGACCACTATACAAACAATAACATGTCATTTGAATAGAAATTAGTTCGAACAAACAAGAAAGCATAGTTACAAAAAACAATCTTATTTACTGAAGCATACAAGAAAATATGCAAATTTGCAACTAACCAATTGACCTATGTTTGCCGTGATAAGAAAGTTCATGTCATGAAAGTGTTCTAATGGTGTAGTAGCTGAGCTCTTTCCTTCGATCTTTTCATTATGATAAACATTTCATTGAAATGAAAAGTATTCTGGTTTTGTAGAATACTTGTCTCTAATATTGGATCATGCAGAAAGGAACAGGTACGTTTTGTAATTTGCTATGTAAAAGTGTAAAGTGCGCGCAAGAATTATTCTGTTTTTCGTATAATCTTAGTTAACTGGTGTCCTTAGACTTTCTCAAAAAGATCTTTTCATATATATATATGTATATATACGTATGTGTGAGGTTGCGGTTTATGCTTTTTTCGCGATAATCTATTTTCTCAGGGGTTCTTCTTGTAATAAACATATATAAGATATGAATGCCTACCAAGCCAAGCTTCTCGAACGACGACAATTTGATTTGTGTATATGGAATTTTTAACGTCATGTTAGTCAATCAAATACATCCGACTTTTCGTCGTTTTCACCATTGGAAGCAAAAGAAGATGTCTGCTAGATGTCTATTATAGAGGCACGAATCATAATTTGTTTGAAATTTCTAAAGACTTTAGAGTCCTAAAAGATATAAGACTATAAGTATTTTGGATCTCATAATGTCATGACGTTAATGTAAGTAATATATAACATAATTTATGCTTTAAATACTCATCTATTAATAGTAATCTTTTGTCAAAATTTTTTTGTAGGTAAAATGACAAATACAAATACGCAAAGCAGTGAGAAAGAATGGCCTGACCGTACAGGCGGATATGCATTGATTCAATATCTCCACACACTTGTAAACAACAGAAATTCTATTGGAAAATTTAACTTTGTTTATGTAAAGTATTTACTTGAAAATGGCGTAAATGTGAACAAATGTGATGATGTTGGTCAATCTCCATTTCATATTGTTGCTAAACATTGGAACATTGACGTTGCAAGATTCTTACTTGACCATGGTGAGTATAAGCTATACCTTTAACGTTAATTGCCGAGGGGGGAGGGGGTAGAATGTTCATATTTACAGTTGTGACGGAGTTCGTTCGTTAGAAAGTGAATTGCCTTTGTGTAGTTGTAACTCATAAACCATCAAATATAGTAAAAGGATGCAAATGACAAATTTAAACGATATTAGGAAATAGTATGAATAGTTGAAGAAGTTTAAACCAGGTTTGATCTGAGTCGTGGTGTCACGTGCCATAATTACGTCACAGATTTCTTGCGTTTGTATCGATACACAAATTTCAAAAACATTTGGTCTCAAAGATATTTTAAATTTGTAAGGACTTCTTGCCTCTTGCGCATTTGTCATTCTGCCACATATTAGAAAAGCGAAATTAAAGTGATTCGAGCATGTTGAAACGTCATGTAAACACATATCAAAAGTGTACAAATGGTAGAATGTAAGTAGGAAATTTAAATACTGTGCCAACAGGTGCTGACATCAACTCCCAAGATTATTTTGGTCGAACACCTTTACACGAAGCGTGCTCATTAAACTATGTGGAAATGGTGGAATTTCTTCTCCAGAATGGCGCAGAAATAGGCATGCAGACGTTTAATCTGAAGCAACGACCAATTCATTTCGCAGCTAAAAATGATTCCCGAGAATGTTTAACAACTCTTCTAGCATATGGCGCTGACATCAATTCTCTTGATAGTAAAAATAGGACTCCATTACAGGTAATCTTGTTGATTTATATGAATAGACCTTAGTCTGCTGTTTTATTGCATTGTGAGTCTGTGAGATGTGCAACTGAAATGAACTTTTTGGGAAAACTTTGTGGTAAACGGTGACTTGGAATGATGAGTAAAATGCGATTTACAAAGTCTTCTTGTTGATATTATCAAACAAGATCTAATTTGATAAACAATTCAAAAGTTTGTCTTTACACAATGTCTTCAAGATTTAATTCCTTTCAACTTTCACGATTCCTATGTTGAGCTCAAGTTCATACAATACTCATGACTTGATGTATATACGAGAAATCTACTATTGACGAAGTAAAATACAAATAAAACAATTTTTCAAAAACAATTTGTTCACATTTTATGGTTTTAGTTTGCAGCAGAGACGAACCGAGAAAATGTTGCTGTTTATCTTATCAATGAAGGTGCTAGTTCTGCCATTTACGATAAGAATGGCAATTCAGCATTAACCATACTCATTGAAAAAATGCCACAAGTTGCAGTGAAAGCTCTTGATCAATTTCATTACACAGACACTGTGAATCGCCGCGAGTTCTTCTCACTTCATTCTTTGGAAGGGAACAAAATAAAGGCAAGCGAGGGAATGGTTGCTTCACGAACGCCTTTTGAAGTCGCTGTTCAAAAACGTTGTTTCACCATCGTTATGCATCCAGTGTTTTTAAGGTCAATTGATTTGAAATGGGCACAATTTGGCAGGTCTGCTGCGATATTTGATCTCATTTTGAGTCTCATTTACACATCACTATGGACTGTGGTTTGTTTCACAATGCGCTACAAGCCAGGTGATATGTACTTCCCTTTGAAATCACGGGGTTGGCTTTTTGCTGTAGTGACAATGATTGTCATTATGACTGCATATAAGATTCGAAAGCATTTTAAAGGTAGAAAAATTTTATTTATTGACTTTTTTATTTCGTCCAAAAGAGAATAAAATTATTCATAGATTTTATAAGTTTTTTGTTAAAGTGAAATATCTTATATGAAATACTTTTGAATGATTTTATCTGCATGTAATTCTACTGCTTCTTTTTAGACATACTTCATGTTCGTCAACAAGAGAGAAGCCGTATGATTTATCGAGCACAAAGTGTTGAGAAAGATCTCGATTATTGCCAGCTGGAAGGAACAGAAGAATGGGAATATTCAAAAAAAGAAATGACTTCAGTGCATAATCAGCCGTCATGTTTTAAGAACTATGAAGCTTGGATATACTTTGAATGGTTGGCCTTGTTCTTAGTCATCTCTACGATTATAACACATGTGATATTTTTAACACGTGATTCAGTCTTGTGTTATAAAATACACAGATTTGTGTTGATTGTCCTCATAATCATGTTGTGGATCCGAATTGCAAAATATGCACGACCTTTTCATATGACGGGGCCCATTGTTGTTATCTTTTCTCATATAATAAAGGACATTGTTAAATGTTCTTTCCTCTTTGTCATATTATTTATACCTTATACATGTGCATTTTGGTTATGCTTTGGTTTTTATTCACCAAATCCCGTAACTGGTTACAGTCACTTAGGTGATTTATTATATTCAATGATTGCTATGGTTGTTGGAGTGGATTTTCCCATGGATAAACTACTTTCAGCTGATGCATTTATGGCTCAACTTCTGTGCAGTACTTTCATCATCAGTACTGCAATAATTGTTGTGAATATCCTTATTGCCATTCTGTCGCATACATTTACACGTCTGTATAGCAACGCCGTGGAAAATGCTGTAATGCAAAGAGCGAGAGGAATTTTAAAACTGGAGAAAACGATGGGGAAAAATTCTCAGCAAAAATTTTACAACTATATGAGAGAACACTGTAGTCCACAAGTTACAGAAATGGACGCTGAATTTCAATCAGGGAATTATAAAAAGGATGACAGGTTGTTTTTTTTCATAAAATGTTTTTCCAATGACGAAATTTCCACGTAAAGACTTTACTGACTAAATTCCATTTATTTTAGTTCATCTGCGGTTATGGAAAGAACTGACAGAGCTTTGATGAAAGAAGTACTTAGACAAAATCTTGAGAACACTGTGAAAATTGATCGCATCCTAAAAACACTGATTGAAACGCATGTAGATGGAAGGAAGTTTAACGACTGTTTATCCGAAAGCGAATATACATCAGAGTTTGTGGAGATTTGTAAAAAACTTTCTGATTCTCAAAATCCGTTGATTCATAATGAAGACTTCGTTAGACCTGGCGATCTGAGTATGATGAAAATGATTAAAAATAGGATAAATCGCTCCAATAAAAAGTCCAGCAAAAAAAGTCAACAATCTGATTCATCTCTCCGAAGTGTTATTAATTCTGATAGAAAACAAATGCGCATAAGCTCTAGAAGAATCCACCACTTTAGAAGAACACAGACTCCAATACAACGAACAAATCAAATTGGCTCATTCAGTAGCAACGGTAGTGTCACTATTTGACGCGTGTTTATTTTGTACTTTTCGTTAATCCTCTTTAAAGGTTAGAAAACATTTTATTATCCCGTGAGAGACATTAATTAATCTACAATTATTAATTATGAAGTATAAGGGTAACTATAGCAACTGTTTCACACCTTGTATAAATGGCCAATGGCCCAATACGGTTAAAATTTGCTTTTAAAACTATAGAAATGTGTTGTGTAACATTTTGACAAAACCGAATGCATTTTCCAATTCTAGCTGAGTCTTAAACCAATTAAAATTTTTTCATACTTTGAAATTTGATTTCTAAATTAGGCAATGTGCTCTGACAGACATTACGTCGGGACTTTCGTCTCATTAATGTAATGCATTAACTGTGAAAAAAAATAAATATTTCTAGCTTTCCGTATTATAACCCACGTAGCATGAACAAAATTCAAGAGTAATTCATACATTTATATTTCTAATCCTCACCTGACTAACATTGGTATTATAAAGAAAAAACTAACTTTTAGTAAATTCTTCATGATCAGTGTAAATATGCGAACAATTCATCTTTCATGGTGGTACTCATGATTTTATCAAGATTTGTTAATGAAACATGAGTAAATCATACATTAGGAAGAGTTCAAGACACCTGATAAACGGAAATGAATTATAACCACTTGCTGTTAAGTCAGTTATAATTTGAGACGTTATAAGCAAAACCGCGCATAAACCGAAATGACAGTCAATTAGGTATCTGCTAAACGATCTGAATGTCTGTTTTATAATTCACAACTTGAGCAAGTATCTTTCGAGAGTGCCATATCAAATCAAGATTCACAATGTTTCTTCATATTCTTGTCTTTGTCTTTTGTGCGTTCAGTCAATTTTTATGTGGAGAAAGTTTCTCTAGCGGTAAGAAATGTTAACCATATTCAGTAATAAACATGCGCAAAGATGTGCAAGATTATACTGTTCAACCGTTTTTTCTTTGTGTGTTTTGTTATTGAGAAGTGTTTCAAAATTTGAATGCAGTAAAAGTTTTTTAAACATTCCGACATGGGTTGGTGTCTTAATTTTCATTTATAAAGTTTATGAAATATCAATGAAATGATTGAATGTACGAGTTTTTAATACAACGCACCAAAAATACTGTCTGTACACATTTCAAAGCAATCATTGGGCTTTTGCTACATTTTGTGCTAAAGAAATCGAAAGAAATCTGGGCAAGGCGTTCCTTTCATTTATTGATCATGTATTATGTATATCATATTATATATATTTATATGCATTACATGGTAAACTAGCGTGCTCTGGTAAATGAATTAATGTTTGCCAAATAATGGTACTAAGTTTGTCATCTGTTCATAAATTAATTTGCGTTTTACAAACAGTTTCAGTGTTTACTTTTATAGTCAGTTAACGAAATGTTTCTGTAACCATTCCATCCCTATGAATTGTTTTCATTACAAACTGTTTACTTCATCCACAAGTTAGCAGATTGAGACCCTTAATTTGAAAAATCTAATTAAGAAGATCGTCTATAAACATGATATCAATACTTTGACAGAGCAAATTGAAATGGACTATGATTTCGAAACAAATTTTACTATGAAATCGATAAAATTTTCAAAAAAACTTTGCTTGGCTTGGTGATATTAAGCCGTAAGACCTAACTAAGAGTTTTCTGTATTCCGAAATTCCACATTAAACTATGTAATCCATATTTTTTATACGCCACAAAAATGTACTTGGCAAGTATAAGTCACTGTAATTAACAAGTAAGTTTGATAACATGAATATTGTAGGGAGGAAAATACAAATCATTGATTATGTATTTGAGATTTAGAAGTGACTGCCAACATACAAAATCCTTAAAATTCATTCAACTTAAAACGATTGAGGACAAAATATTATCTCAGTGGGACATCTAACAGTTCAAATGAAAGGTTATACGTGTTTGTTTACTTAAAGCTACTCTTAAGTTTAATGAACGTCATATAAGCTGCGATTCTTTTTACCGAACTTTTTCTCGAAAAATATTCCCGTTCTTGGCGTGATCACAAATCTTTTAGAAAGTTAATTATCCAGAAACAAGTACAAGTTGTCGTCTCTTTTTAGCTATCGCAAGTCAGGACCACAAATGAGAATTTTCCACTTGTTTGTGTTTTGGCTTGATTCAATTGATTTTTCATCAACTGAAAAAGTTCACACTCTGATAACTGAGGAGATGGCTGTACTTACTAGTCAGAACCTTTTTGATTGATTCATTGATTTTTATATCATTCTATATCTCCTAATATCCAACAGAGTTCTCTTTTATAAATCTACAAACCATATTGTACATAATACACCGAAAATTAGGAAAGTTCTAATAAATATTTCTCCGTTAATTGTAAATTGTCAACTTTATTGAACTGTTTCTTTTTGATGATCTATCGTAAGTAAACAAATGATGGCTCTTGTAACCACAGAGGTGATCACAAATTGCTGTCAGTTTGGAATGAAGGAGGTGAAAATAATCCAAGCAAAAGTTGTATGGAAATTGGTCGCCAAGGTCAAGCAAAATACCCTAATTTGCCAGCGATGGTTTGCCGGATGTATGCTGAAATGTGCTGTACTAAGCAATTGCAAAAAGATTATTGTAAAATGGGGAAAGAAATGGCTGAGTATGTTCCTCATTTCTTCAAATGAAAAAACAAAATTGACATACGAGCTTGCTAATAAAATTGAAATATTTGGCCTATGACTTTGATATGTCAGCATAAGAAAGGATGAGAAGCAGCTATAGCTAAGGCATATTTGATCAAAATCAAATTTTCGTCGAATTAATATCCCATCAACATGAAGCCCCTTTCACTTTATTTTTATCTCAAACCTGTATGCATTGATAATGCTTTTCACCTCCAGGAAAGGAGGCACATGCAGTGGAAACAATATCAAAACTTGTGGAAAACAGCATTATAAAGAATGCTGTTACTGCTGCTATCTGGGAATGAAAGCAAGAAAGGAAAAATTACAATGTACCAATTCGTACCTTGGTATTCCTTGTCAACAAGCATTTTCCAGCTGCTGTGTTTCTTCAGGTATGAAACATGATAAATAAACAAGACAACATGAAAAAGTAGAAAAAACAGCTAAACAGGGATAAAATAAAGAGTGCAAATGGCATTAAACCAGGACAATGCAGTCTACCATGGATAGCCGATTTTGACAATTGCTGATTTTTTAATTTTTTAATCAAGGTTTTTCTTTTAAAGAGAAGAAAAACTTGAAATGGACAGTAAGAAAATAAAACGTTTAGCTGTTGCAGTAAAATGGATAATATTATCTCTAATTTGTGCAACCAGCTGTAAAATCAGAGCACTTAGAGTAAATGATTTAAGTCCGCTCAAGGATTTAATTAAAAAAACCTGTCAATGAACTACTTCTTGAAAAATAACATTGTTTGAAATAGGAGATGAATTCATTTTCAGAGCCCCATCCTACAGGAACACCAAAGGTTTTTGGAGTTTCTTTGCAAGAGGACGGACCAACATCCCCACAATCATGTTCTACTCTAAGGTGCTCTCAAAGCTGTCAAGTTTTGCGCGGTATTGCAACATGTGTTTGCAGGAATGGATTCAGACTTGGTGAAGATGGTCGCACTTGTGTAGGTAAGTCAGTATTTACCTGAAAGAAACTGATGCATTTTTAATGGCTAACAAACTGAGCATGAATAACTTGTAGGCGTTGAAATCTTAAGGCTTTGTAGAAAGATCTTTGCGAACAAAGCACCTTTCTTGTCTTATCTTTTTTTTTGTTGATATTTCGTTATCAGACATAAGTTAACGTTAAATGTTAGGCGTTTGATGTTTTCCAAGAGCATGCGTATTTATTTATGGTTTGTATATGTGCATTGTAGTAAACATCACATGCCCTCGTGGACTAGAAATGGATCCTTCTGGAATACAATGTAGAGGTTTGTATCGTGTGGAGTCTTCAGATAGAAACTTAGCAGTTGCTATATGCAACAAATGGACTGCGTGGCTTGTTTAAAATCGTATTTATTTCAATATATTTCATCGAATGGAAGAGAGGAGTACATTGCCCATTTTTACACAAATTATATTAATTTCATATGTTTAATTTAGCGTATTGATTGGTACGGTTTGTGTGTAGAAATAAAGGGAATAGAAATGGAACATAGAAAGACAATTTATTAAACTCAGACATTTCTTTCTGATGATGGTTATGAAATAAAAACAAAATATTACAGATTAAATTGTCTTGGTTATAACATAAATTGGAGTTTATATACAAGATTTCTTTTGTCGAATTTTGTTTTATTTTATATCTAATGAAACTGTCATCTTGTCAAGGACAATGGAGATTGTTTTATTCTTTTCCAAATTTTTCACTTGCATGGCAGCTAGAGAACTTGATAAATCAACATTTTAGATATCGACGAGTGCCTTAAGTTACCATGTCGACCTGATCAGGAATGTTTAAATAACAGAGGAAGTTTTGAATGTAAATCAAGGTGTCCTAGTACTTATGTTTACAGAAATGGACGATGTGAAAGTATGTCATATCATAACGTTCTTCAGTTTAAACAATTGTGTTCGACATGTTTCATTTCTAACTTATAAAATTACAGGAGAATGCAGAACTGGACGGTTGTGGAATGGAAGACAATGTGTTGGTGAGAGAAAATTGTGCTATTTTTATCATTTATTTTTGTGGGAATGTACGATGACGATGAATTTGTAATAAATTGGAAATATAACCAAATATTACCAAATGAAGAAACTGTCTTTTTGTTTCTCTAATACTGAGTTGAACATTAGACCTTTTAATCGGAGTATGTTTCGTAATTATTACAATTCATTGCTTGCCTTTATACTTCATTGTCTTTTAGATGAAAATGAATGCCTTAGAGCCGATAGCTGTCGTTCAAACCAAAGATGTGTTAACACTGTTGGATCATATAGATGTGATTGTTATGCTGGTTATCAAAATGTTGGTGGATCTTGTGTCGGTTTGTGTTTGTTATTTATTTTACCTTTTTAAAATGATGCAAACACTCCCCAATGATTTTGCATAGCTGTCTGTGGTCATTATATTTTATGATGAAAGGAAAAAAAACACTTAAAGGCTTTTTGTTAGTTTATAAATTTAGTAGCTATGTAGAAGTCAAAAGTATAGAACACTTTTTCCTAAACCATAAATTCAAGGGCGCAGCAAAGTCGATGTATTTTTTTTTTGGGAGGATCTAAGCATTAAAATTGTCGACAAAGAGAGTATCCGAAAACTTTTTGCCGACAGAGCGATACTATTTGGGTCTGGCTCTTCTCTCAGACTCCCCTTCGCGACGCCCTGCATATACTAAAGAAACAGTTAAAATAGTCAATGTTGTAATTACATCTCATTTTTCAAATACACACACAGATTTTGATGAATAAAATCTTTCATGAACACTGAATAGCTTGTGAAGTTAGAATCTTCCATCTATCTTATACTTCATTGTCTTTTAGATGTAAATGAATGCCTTAGACCCGATAGATGTCGTTCAAACCAAAGATGTGTTAACACTGTTGGATCACATAGATGTGATTGTAATGCTGGTTATCAAAATGTTGGTGGATCTTGTGTCGGTTTGTGTTTGTTATTATTGAGTCATTATTTGTCAACATAATCACTCTATCATATTTGCATCATTTGCTAGTAAACACTACTACGCAAATATATATTTTTGTGTGAGTTTATGACGAAACGAAAACATTAGCTCGTAGATATTTTTTACCAGTTAAAAACAATCAAATGTAGAAGTCTGACGTATCAAAAATTTTTAAACCATACTAAGGTGAAAACAAGTGGTGTAATCATTACAGTTACATCTCTTTTTCCATACGCTCTAACAGATGTTGATGAATGTAATCGTTTTCCTTGTTTAAAGCACTGAAATATGTATAAATAGCTTGGCAAGTTACAATTGCATTTATCGATAAGGATGTGAGAAAACTAGTTTTTATAGTCGTGTACATTACTTTTAAAAGAATTCATCCGAGAGAAAAGAGAAACCATATCCTATGTTTCAATTTTATTTAGATATAAACGATTGCGATAGGTCTCCTTGTGGACAAGGCGCTGTATGTGAAAATCTTCCAGGTGGATTTCGATGTGATTGCCTAGATGGATATGAACGGTCGGGATCAAACTGCACAGGTATATAATTCACAGTAATTTATGCGCGGTCTTGTTCACGGGCTTCTTCTAAAGACGTTTTTTGATATATTTTGTTCTTTTTCTTTTCAGATATCGATGAATGTAAAAGAAACTATTGTCGAGACAACGAGATTTGTATAAACAAACCCGGAACATATCGATGTGAACAACGCAAATGTCCCAGAGGATATCGTTGGAAAGGGACATCTTGTGTTGGCAAGTTTTTCTGTGTTCACACGGACACACGACTTTAACCACACGGACACACGACTTTAACCACACGGACACACGACTTTAACCACACGGACACACGACTTTAACCACGGACACGACTTTAACCACACGGACACACGACTTTAACCACGGACACGACTTTAACCACACGGACACACGGCTTTAACCACACGGACACACGACTTTAACCACACGGACACGACTTTAACCACACGGACACACTTTAACCACACGGAGTCACCACTTTATCCACACGGAGTCACGGACACACGACTTTATCCACACGGACACACAAATAGAGTTTTTATTTTGCGTTCTAATTTAAAACAGTTTTACACGCTTCGATACAGAACACATTTTGAAAAATCATTAACAATTTCAACAGTCTAAGATTTTTTTCTTTTAGACATAAATGAATGTGAAAGCAAACCATGTAGATCAAATGAAGTTTGTGTAAATCTTCCTGGCAGACACCGCTGTATCAGAGTAATACAGTGTGAGGAAGGATATGAAAGATACAGAGGTCGATGTCGAGGTAAATTGTATGTGATGAAGACCTTCATTTTTATACGTCATGTCACTATTTGATCAGCATGACTTTGAACATAAGCATTTTGGTATTACTTTCACAGAATATTTTAAATGTCAGTTTAGTTCATCTGTGTTTACATATTGCGTTATTTTAGTCATCCGAAGTTCTTTTGTCTTAAGATAAAAATGAATGTTTGAATCAAGATATTTGTCGACCACCACGACCTGTGTGTAAAAATACTCCTGGGAGTTACAGATGTGAGTATAAACCATGTCCTCGAGGTTTCAAAAGAGGAAGAAATGGCCGATGTCAAGGTATAAATGCAAAAATTGACCATTGAAATGACTATGAATTAACGCTTGTTCGTAGAGCCTTGAAAATACTTCATTCTCATTTGAGCAGATGTAAATGAATGCACAACTGGAAGACATACATGCAATTTAAGAGCGGAGGAATGCATCAATACCAGTGGATCTTTTACTTGTCGTTGTCGCCGTGGATACAGAAGACTCCGTCTTGATGATCGTTGTAGAGGTCAAAATAAACATATATACATTTACGTAATTTTTTTCTCTTATTTTCTTGTAATGTTCACGTGAACATGAACACTGTTACAATGCCTAACAGGTAGGTCCATACCTTGTGAAAATACAGAAAATTATAATATGCCTTTAATATTTTAAGGGTTTTTCCTTTGAATACTGATTGCGTTTATGATATTAATATTTTAGATATTGATGAATGTCGCAGTTCTAACAAGTATTGTGCCCACAAGTGTATAAACACTCAAGGTTCATTCAGATGTACATGTCGAAAAGGATATACTCTTGTCGGTCGAAGAAATTGTTATGGTCAGTTTTTATTTTCAATTATAGAGCATCGTGAAATGTATATTTTGTATAAAGTCATTATTCTCATACAGATATTAACGAATGCAACCAACAAGGGGGATCAAGATGTCAACATAACTGTATAAACACTCAAGGATCATACTTGTGTCGATGCAATCGTGGTTTTCAATTGCAAATCAATGGAGTTCATTGCTCAGGTACATAAAGTAACGTTTTTGCAGATTTCCGTACCATATGTGTGGCAACCTAAGCCGAAGCTTTATTGTGATGCTTTACGAAGTTGTCCCCCACCTTTTCAAAATTCAATATAATTTAACATTAAGAATACTACTACTACACCCTGAAGGGATGTTAGAAAAACATAAAACGGGGGGAAGCATATTTTAGAATTTATTGATACCAATCTACAACACGTTGCTAAGTAAACGACATTTTTAATTTTAGCTACGCCATTGCCCAATCATACGTGTAATAAACTATTGAAATAGAAGAATTACAAAGGTTTCTTTGCAGTCTACTTAGCTGCATTTTAGACAGATATGTTTTATAGTCCAAATAGATTGTTAGTAAATATTCTCGTTTAGGGTAATTGAACTATTTTAATGCAAAGTGTGTGTGTGAGGGGGGGGGTGGGTTGGACAACGCCCTTTTAAGCGCCAACCGCACTTTTGAAACAGATTTGCCGTTTTTGCCTGCCTTTGATGATACATCAAGCGGACAATACAAATGAAACTGAGCTACCTACATCTGAGTAGTATTCATCCAAGTTAACATTTTGTTCCCCGACGCTTACGAGAAATCAATTTCTCGTTACATTGTCGAACATTCGCATAGAGTTGGGAAGTCTTTGCCAAGTCGAAGCTCACGTCATGTTGTTGCATGTCATTTAGTAATAGTATTTTTGCAGATATCAACGAATGCTCGTCACCCAGGCGTTATGGTGCATGTGCATATCAGTGTAAAAATAGTCCAGGAAGTTTTAAATGTTCTTGTCCCAATGGTTATGAATCGTTGTACAGCGGAAGATATTGTAGAGGTGAGTTTACGTTGACTTGTAGTTATTCTAAAAAGAATGTTTTTGAGGTAAATGTTTGTGCTAAAAGTCATACAGTCGAGGTAACTCATCATATATAAATCTTAAATGCCATTTCTTCAGATATTGATGAGTGCTCATTGAGAAATCCTTGTAGAAGTGATGGAGCTTGTATCAATACAAAGGGAGGATACGAATGTCTTTATACAACTTGTCCTAACGGTTTCTTCATTAAACGATCAACAACGTAAGATGAATATAAATACAAGTTAATTAATGTTTCATATATTTCTTCATCATTTCATTTCTATCTTTGTTTTTAGACAATGCACGCGTAGGTATTGTCGATATAACGAAAGAAATTGTTGGGCGGAGAAACGTAAATCTATTCGCTGGCATGGACGGGCATTTCCGTTGAATGCAAAACGTGGCGCCTTTACATACTTTTATAACATCACCACCACAGGTAGCCATCTTGATAATTCAATTCTATGTTAACAATGGTGAGGTTTTGTCAAACTAAAACATGACAAACATCTTCGGAAATATTAGCCCATATGACTAGGAAATATGCTGTGGATTGCTTTATGGTATTAAATGAAGGACTAAAGTTTTCTTGCATTTTTTCTTCTCATCATTATTGACTTTAAAATGACACATATAATGCAGCTGTACTATTTTTTCTTTTTTTTAGGTTACGCTCGGAGACCAAGTATTGAATTCAATCTTAAGAAAGGAAATGATCATGGCACTTTTCAAATCCTCTCTCTTGGTTATGGTAAAGCTAAAGTGATAAACAGAAAGGTTTTTGACAGTCCAAGAGCTTACAAACTTAAATTTGTGGGTGAGGTGATTAGCGGTCGGTCAGTAACAGCAAAATTTATAACTTATCTTCATATTTATGTTTCACAGTACGATTTTTAGAGTAACATATGAGTACATAATCCAAAGGCTTGACGCACTCATATTTGTGCATTGTCCACTAGATTTATCCTAAAATTATTGAAATATATTATATCAAAGTCGAGTTTTACAGACTATGTAACTAAAAAAACTGAAATTTAAGATGTTGTATAATTATTTGTAAAGCTATAATTGAACAAGGGTTATTTTACGTCTATTGAAATTGTACATTTTATAGCATTCAACAAACTTTCCTGACTTTATCGTCTTTACAATCGCGATAGAAAATATACGACTGGCTGTGATTAAGGGGTGCTGAAACTTCAAAAAGAACAGCAAATGGAAAGCATTTAAAGGGCCTCAATGATAAACTTATAGTATGCAGCTCTTCATTACAAATTTCTTTGATGAACTGTTGTGTATTGAATATTTTTTTATAAGAATAGGAAAATCGATAATCTGGGAGAGGGAGCTCATATTCATTTATACATGATATGTTGTGTCGAATTCCTTTGAAATCCATTGTTTTCAACGAATTACAGCATCATTATATTATGAACATAAACACACACCCCCCTGTTTATCGATCATCCTACTCCAACGTTAATAGCCAGAGGAACACAAGAAGTTCTTTTGTCGTCTCGTTCCTGGCCAGCACGTTCTTGTCGTGGTTCAGAATTTAATCATTGCTTGCACTAGTAATTTAGTAAATGTACTGCTCTTTTTGGCATGATTTAACAGAGATGGGAAAGAATGATTTGAGTTATTTTCACAGCTTTCATATGTTAAGGTAGCAAGATCCTTTTCGATTTACTTTGATAAGTAAGCGTAAGACAAGTAAGCGTAGGTATTATTTATAAAATATATACAGTTATTTACATTTAAACCAAAAAATTCCTAGAATTATGCTAATTAGGTACAAAAATGACCGCCATATTGTCAAGATATGATAAAGTGCAAAATCATTGGTAAAAACTAGGTTCAGAATGGGAGGCATTTATTTGCACAGCATTGAGCTAGATTTTATTTTGGTTATTTAGTAAATAAAAAAAAAACATTTACGAACATATTTGTCGAACCGAATGCGGCGTAACAAGAAATTTATAGCTACAATAAAAGTAGTAGGTTGTAATAAAAAAAGAAGCGCAAACGAGCCTTGAGTAGAAAAGATAAAAATACTTTTATCTACAAATTCTGTGGTTGTATCGTGTTACAGTGGTCTAACCATTCTAACGCCTACGGACCGCCCACGGTGGCACGATTTGTTCTAGATCAGTTGCTCGTTCATTACATTTGTAATAATAACCTTTTGCATATTTCTCTTCATTTACTGATAGAAAAATGGCGTATTTTTGGAATTCATGGAAGGTCGCTGCTCGTGTGGCTAGAGTCAGAACAAACCTTAGTTTATATAATATTATTATTAAAGCAAGCTATTCACAAACTCAGGTATTTTCAAACATTTTTACATGTGCCTGAGACTTCCATCGATAGAATGTTTTGCGACATTTTATGTTTTATCTTTTACAAAATCAATAGCTTAAAGTGGATGCCAACCCGGAAATTAAGTACAATCAGGTAAGTGAATAGAAAATTTCTAGATAGTAGTGTTGTGTTAGCGATTGATTTTTCCTCAACATATTTACAAGCAATTCTTATTCTTCTACGACGAAAATTGCCTTGTCTTGGCGCTTACAAAGACCAAGCATGCATGACACTCAGGCTCAAAGAACGACTTATTGTACAGCGAGAGCGAATTCAAAACAAACATTTGATGATAATTTTTAACTTTGTAAATACAGTAGATTGTATGGGTTCTGAGTGAAGAATGTTTTTCATGTGCATATAAAAACTGTGTTAGGATTTATACCTGTAAAGTACATAATTCTGGATTCAAGAAAAACCAAATCTGTAAATTTAGAAAATGCTCAAAATTCTCTTTTATAGTGATATTGTTATTTTTATTAGTGATACTTTTAATGCTATTTTTAAGCTCTACTTTAAAACTTAATGTTTGTTACACATATACCAGTAAGTCAATCTTACAATTAGACTTTTCATCCATTGACTAAATAGTGTACAACTTTATGATTAAAATGTAATTATGTCTTTGACTTGACCAGTTGTAATGCATGATAATGTTTTTGACATTACCCATGTTGCTCTTATATTTATTGTAGGTATTCATCAATAATCAATTTCAAGATCGGTTAGTGGAGATACCTTCCCAACAATTAACCCAGCAACTGAACAAAAGATATGTGATGTTTAGGAAGGAGATAAGGTTTGACTTCAACATGGTTGGAGATTGTAAAAATAAATTGTCAATGCTACTGAAATTCAGAATTTAATTGTAGGCAGACATTGATCTTGCTGTGAAAGCAGCCCATCAGGCTTTCAAGCTTGGTAGTCCATGGAGAACTATGAATGCATCTGACAGAGGCCAAATATTATATAAACAGCAGACTTGATTGAGAGAGATCGTGAATACTTAGCAGTGAGTTGTATTAATTATTAAATTTAAGTTTGTGAGGTTAATGTTAATGTAATTGTTGCTTGTAATGTTGAATATAAAAGACAACCCTCTTAAGCAGTCATGAAGAAAGCCTGGGGACTTACTACTGCTATGTAAATTCTGAAGGATTAAAATTGTTCATTTCTTTAAACCTCTAATGTTATCACATGCATTCAGTCAGCAAAAAAATATTTGCACAGCTGGAGTTAAAGGTTGGGCTGACTGTGCTATGTAGCTGTCTTGAGATAAATACAAACATCTTGTTTAGTTTGATAAATTATTTGTTTATATTAAAGGCATGGCCAGGTTTTCTTGAGCCTTTCTTTTATGTAAATTGTTCACCCCTCTAAGTAACATTACAATCCCCAGTCAGTAGTACAGCTGAAGTGAGTTTTTCTGAGCAATGCTTCAACACTCATGAATCTTTTGTGCTGTACTACCTGAGCATCCCTAAAATCCTTAAAATTCTTTGTCTTGCTTATGTCACTTCTTTACAAGCTCACCTTCCCCTCCTTAAAAAATATGAAAATCCGTCATGATTTGAAGAGATTTCTAGAATGAGTGCAATGATGAAGTAAATAACCAACAGATTGAAACTTTTACTACACATTTAGCAGCAGAATAGTGTCTTATGAATGACACTTATATATCCATGACATATATATCAAGACATTTGTAAGTATTTTATGTATGAAGATATTTTTTGTACTTTTAAGAGTATTGAAAGTTTGGATAATGGAAAACCTTGGAAAGATTCTTATGCAATTGATCTTCATCTAGCATTAAGATGTTATCGATATTTTGCTGGTTGGGCTGATAAAATTCATGGTAAAACTATACCATGTGGTAAGTTCATGCAGTTATAACTTTTCCATCGTTAGCACATATCCAAAATGACATTTTCCCGAATTTAAGATGGTGATTTCTTTGCATATACTCGTCTTGAACCAATTGGTGTTGTTGGTCAGATAATTCCTTGGAACTTTCCGTTGCTGATGCAAGCTTGGAAACTTGCACCTGCCCTTGCTGCAGGAACATGTATAGTTCTCAAACCTGCTGAACAAACGCCATTATCTGCCCTCTATGTAGGAGCTCTTGCTGCCGAGGTGCGTTTTAATCTACTATTTGTTTTTTTTTCCAATTTTTATTCGACTGAAAAGCAACGAAAGGGAAAATTTCGGTTAGGAATTAACATTTCGCGCTAATTGTTATGCAGTTCTTAAAAAATAATTACGTCATACAAAAACCTTCAGAATGATGTAAAATCGCTGTGTAGAATGACAGTTATAAAAGGTTTTATAAAAAAGTAAAAATAAAGGTTTAAATAGAGGAATGTTATCCAATGGATAACGCTATCCAGGCTTCGTGCAACCGGCTCCAGAATATTCCAATAATGATGTATACAGACAGAATATTTTTAAAGATTGAAATGCGTTCTCTTACAAGTAAACTTGTATTTTCTATAGAAGAAGTATGGATACATTTTTTATTGAATTTGTACATTACGCATAATTTCTTACGTACTACAACGTTTTCCATTACATTGACTGAGAACTATTGTACGTATGGAATGTATGAATATTTTGCCGAACGACTGTCTTATGTAGTTTGAGCTGATAAACATTTCTTTAGGCTGGTTTACCACCCGGAGTCCTAAATATAGTTCCAGGTTATGGTCCAACCGCAGGAGCTGCCATTTCGGAACATTTGATGATCGATAAAGTTGCGTTTACAGGATCTACAGAGGTAGCTAAGTGCGCAGTATACATAGTGATTAGACTCCAGAAGCAAGTTGTTTAGAAATTTTTTATCATTTACACTTTTGCATGCTTTTCGTGATGTTTTGAAAACCATAGCAGATGAAATCCTCTTAAGAACGAGCAAATTGTTTCAAAATCTACCTTTTTTTAATGCAAGAATGGCGGTGCCCATCTTTTATAAACTAACTACCTGAATATGAATAACAGTAGCGTGGTCATTTGGGGCATGTATACTCGCTGACATTTGACAAAAGTATTGTATGTTATATTTTCATAGTACACTTGGTTTTGATAACTTTGAAGGTTGGTAAGATCGTCCAAGAGGCTGCTGGCAGGAGTAATTTGAAAAATGTTACTCTTGAACTTGGTGGGAAAAGTCCAAGCATTGTGTTTGCTGATTGTGACATTGATAATGCTGTTGAAATGAACCATGTTGGTCTCTTCTTAAACCAAGGACAATGTTGTATTGCTGGAAGTAGAATATTTGTTGAAGAATCGATTTATGATGAGTTCGTAGAGAAGAGTGTTGCTAAAGCCAAGGCAAGGGTTGTTGGAGATCCTTTTGATGCTAAAACTGATCAAGGTCCACAGGTTGGTGATATTTCAATGTAGCTGAACTGTTTCTTCATGTTATTGTGAAACAAAAGAAACTGTGTGTGAATGTTAAGTTTAATTTTGACGGCCTCATATTGTGCCGCGATTCTTAAAGCTTGGTAAATCAGCGTTGATGATGATTTAATGCCTAAAACTAAAGACTAAAGCCAAGAGATCACACCCATTGGCAAGTTATACTTTTAAGTCCCTCGTTGTTAGGTTGACAAAGAACAATTCAATAAAATATTGGACTTGATTGAGAGTGGTAAAAATGAAGGTGCTAAATTGGAATGTGGGGGTGATCGATCAACTGACAAAGGATATTTTATTCAGCCAACTGTGTTTACCAATGTCTCTGATGACATGCGCATTGCTCGAGAAGAGGTAAGATTTACTGATACAAGTTAGAAAAGCTTGTTTTGTTGACCTTATCTTCAACAATTGAATATATTTGAAAAGATTCCGATTTAAAATTTAAACGTCTGTGGCTTCATTTCATTCTTATTTTATATTAGTTTTATAAACTTAAATTCTCACGAAGTGAAGTGTTTTCTGTTCATAAATGTTTTCCTTTAGATTTTTGGACCAGTTATGCAAATATTGAAATTTAAAAATATCGATGAAGCAATTGAAAGAGCCAACAACACAATGTACGGTCTTGGCGCTGGTGTATTTACTTCCAACTTGGAAAACGCAATTATGGCGTCTCATGGAATCCGAGCTGGTTTAGTTTGGTAGGGCGAACGATAAACTCTTACCATAATGTTGAGTTTATTAAACAGTTTAGTTTGTGAGCAGTTCATTAACTGTTTAATCTGTTAACTGTTTAATCTGTGAACTATTTAATCTGTGAACTGTTTGATCTGCGAATTGTTAAATCTATGAACTGGTTAGTCTGTGAACTGGTTAATCTGTGAACTGTTTGATCTATGAACTGTTAAATCTATGAACTGTTAAATCTGTGAACTGTTAAATCTGTAACTGGTTAATCTGTGAACTGTTTAATCTATGAACTGTTAAATCTGTGAACTGTTAAATCTGTAACTGGTTAATCTGTGAAGTATTTAATCTGTAAAGTGTGAACTGTTTGATCTATGAACTGTTAAAACAGTGAACCATTAAATCTTGTATGATATCTAAAATGTCTAAAATTCACTTGTTTTTCACCACTAACTGTTGAATGTTTTTTTATTCCAAGGGTGAATTGCTATGATATATTTGACTGCACTTGTCCTTTTGGTGGATACAAGATGTCAGGATCTGGACGAGAACTGTAAACTTAACATTTATATATTTGTAGCTACGTAACATCTATCTACAGCAAGCGGTTGAATTCATTTTCCATTATCCTCGTATATAGTATTACACAAATTTCTTTTTCGTTAATTTTTTGTTGTTGTTGAGAAGATAAGACAAATAAGGCTTTGGTTTGGTACCTCACTGGGATAGGAACACAAGCTTTATATTGCATCATTATAGAGTGGGGATATTTTATTGTGTTGTAGTTGGTTTTACCACAAAGATAAACACTCTAGCTCTATAAAACCTAATCTTTCTGTGCTAGTATGGACATCTTTTTGAAGTTTCCAGTTGTCTACTTGTGTTGAATTAACATGCTTACTTTATTTCTTTTTAAGGGGTGAATATGGATTGGCTCAGTATTCTGAAGTTAAAGCGGTAAGTTGTCTTTCATGTAAATCACGAAAAATAGAAATGGAGATGCTAATCTTAGTGAATGTTCAACTCGAATAGTTAAACAAAATATATTTTTATTTTTTCTCTTTAGGTAATGACCAAAATCCCCAAGAAGAATTCGTAATTTAGAGTTAAAATTGTAATTTCAATAATCTACTAAATAGATGGACTAATGTTGTAGCTCTTGCAACTACACTTGCTTGTAAACTTCTCCGAATAAAGAACTTTCATTTTTAGAAGTTTCATTCGCAAACCACTGTGCTTTTAAAAAGTGTCTGAGTCATTCATCTTTAATTATGAACTCGAACAACCTTATTATTCACTAACTGGTTGCTATTGAATTGAAATCTGTGTTGTGAAATCATTTCCAGTAATTCTTCCAACGATAGATTTGCGATCATCGTTTAGTGAAAGCTAAGCAAACTATTACAATGTTTTGTCTTGACCTTGCGAGAAAAATTATATGAGTCACTTCTAAAAGCTTTAAGATATAACAGAAACGTAGAATGCGCAGGCGATCAAAAATATTAATTGTAACCCCCCCCCCCCACAATTTTTTCCTAATCTCTTGTTTTGCAAAGTGTAAAAATATAAAAATTTTACAAGTTGACAAATGCTGAAAGAGTTTGGATCATTTGACTGAGCAGTGAGCAAAAAGAAATCTATTTTATGGCTACGTAGATTACCTAGGTGTACGCATGGCGTACCTATTTTTCAATTGTCAACTCTCGTAACCTTTGAGTGTACATTTGTTTTTGTTTCGCGTCGAGGCGAGAGCCCAGTTTGAGGTCGCTACTCGTTAGGAAAGAGGGGCAATTTACTTAAGATAATCAATTTAACAAAACATCAATTCAAAAAGGACATTTCTACTCAAACAAACATTGCCATCCTTAATTCTGTAAGTACCATAGTACATGGTCATTTGGCAATTGTATAGTCAAAAGTTTGTTCAACTTGGTTCAACTCCAACGGTTGACAAGATAGATAGATGATAGATGTGCAATTCTCTTTAAGTGGAAGCTAAACAAACTATTACAATGTTTTCCCTCTGACCTTTCAACAAAAGTTTTCAAAATGAAACTGGTAAGTTTCCATTTAAAATTTGTAAAGTTTTAGAACTTTCAGTGCCAAATTATGATCAATTAGTTGCATGATATACATTTTTTCTTTTTACAGTATGCGCTTGGTAGGAACTGCAAAGCACCTTGTTATGTGCTTAAGTTTAAACAAACAACAATTATGTTGGATTGTTCTCTAGATATGTTGCCTTCTCTTAATTTTACTCCACTTCATTTGGTTGAAAAGTAAGTTTAAAAAAAACTCTAAGCATTTACCACCAATAACCTCCCTCTTCTCCTGTGTCTCTACTTATAATATAATAAAAGAGTCACCCATGTTTTTTTAGCATTGTATCATACTGTTTTTAGATGATTTAAGTAAACATGTAAACAAATTATAATTAATAGATTTAATATATTTGTAGGAAACAGGGTCAAAGTTTCAGTAAACCTTGGTTTGCGAGAGAGCTCCATGATTTTGATGGTTTTGTTGATGAAAATGTAATTACTACTACACACGTTCAACAATTTCCTTTTATAACATCAAATGATTATAGCTTTCATTTTTCAGAACATCAGAGAAATTGCTGGAAATGTATTTGTAGACAGTGAACCAGAGGTTTTACCTCCTGAGGTTTGGTTGAGTTTTACTACATAAATGTAACCTGGTGGCAAATAATTTATTCACATGCCATACCATTAATATTGGTATTCTATATTTTCAGCTTGATTTGTTGGATTTATCAACTGTTGATGTGATATTAATATCCAATTGTTTTTTTATGTTTGCCCTTCCATATATTACTGAGGTAAAGAAAACTTGTGCTTCTTATGCAATTAAAGTTTTTTTCTTTGCTGGTCTTCCATTTTCGTTTAATCTGTTTGACTGTACATAATTTGACTGACAATAACAAAATCACAATACTCTATGTATATATGGTTTTTGTATGGTTGCCTTAAACAAATTTTTGCTTTGTTATCATCAAGGTTGTCTTTACCTGTTAATACAAGTTTGTTGATGTTTTTTTTCTTACATGCCCATTCTGTTAGCATACCAATTTCTCAGGTACAGTCTATGCCACAGAACCCACAAGTCAAATGGGAAGGTTGGTTGAAATTGTTTGTTTTATCCAGAGTGCCAAAATTGGTCAATGGCACTTCTTGGAAAAAACCTGAAATAAAAAGGTAAGTTCTGTGCTATGAAAAACTCAATGTTTTTGCACTAGACATAGAGAATGAAGAACTCTTTCGTATTTTAAGGCTTCTTCCTGCTCCATTAAAGGATGCATTAAATGTGGAATCATGGTGTACACTCTACAGTGTTCATGAAATACAATCCTGTGTATCAAAGATACAGACTGTTGGGTTCTCTGAAAAACTAGTAGGTGGAGTGCTCTTTGATCAAGGGAACATGTATTGTTATTTCTTGATTTTCTTTACTATGATACATTTTATCTTATCCAATAGGATTTGTTTGGTGTAGTCCAGTTAACTCCTGTTAGTTCAGGTTTTTCTGTTGGAAGCTGCAACTGGATAATCCAAACGGAGTATGAGAAGGTTCAATTTTTTTAACTTCATTTTAAAGGCTAAATCATTCTTCAATCTAGTTAGTATTATATTGGAAAAGATTTTTAAATCATTATTGCCAGACAGGGACAATATTTTAGCAGATCAAGGGGTAAGTTAAAATACATTAAAAAAATTATAATTCAAAACACTATAAACAAACCTATTAGTAAAATTTTGGCATTGATCAAAATGTTCTTTAAAAATTTTCAAACAACAGAGTTTTCACTATGGTATTTTAAATTTATAATGAGGCAATATAATGTATTCTGACTTACCCCAGGGGTAATTGTATACATTACAAACAGAGATATTGGTGTACATGACAGACATGGGTTGTGGTATACACGACAGACAGGGGTTGTGATGTACATGACAGACAGGGGTTGTGGTGTACATGGCAGACAGGGGTTGTGATGTACATGACAGACAGGGGTTGTGGTGTACATGACAGACAGGGGTTGTGGTGTACATGACAGACAGGGGTTGTGGTCTACATGACAGACAGGGGTTGTGGTGTACATGACAGCACGTTCTTGTCGTGGTTCAGAATTTAATCATTGCTTGCACTAGTAATTTAGTAAATGTACTGCTCTTTTTGGTATGATTTAACAGACATGGGAAAGAATGATTTGGGTTATTTTCACAGCTTTCATATGTTAAGGTAGCAGGATCCTTTTCGATTTACTTTGATAAGTAAGTGTAAGACAAGTAAGGGTAGGTATTATTTATAATATATATACAGTTATTTACATTTAAACCAAAAAATTCCTAGAATTATGCTAATTAGGTACAAAAATGACTGCCATATTGTCAAGATATGATAAAGTGCAAAATCATTGGTAAAAACAAGGTTCAGAATGGGAGGCATTTATTTGCACTGCATTGAGCTAGATTTTATTTTGGTTATTTAGTAAATAAAAAAAAACATTTACGAACATATTTGTCGAACCGAATGAGGCGTAACAAGAAATTTATAGCTACAATAAAAGTAGTAGGTTGTAATAAAAAAAGAAGCGCAAACGAGCCTTGGTAGAAAAGATATAAATACTTTTATCTACAAATTCTGTGGTTGTATCGTGTTACAGTGGTCTAACCATTCTTACGCCTGCGGACCGCCCACTGTGGCACGATTTGTTCTAGATCAGTTGCTCGTTCATTACGGTTGTAATAATAACCTTTGCATATTTCTCTTCATTTACTGATAGAAAAATGGCGTATTTTTGGAATGCGGGAAAATCGCTGGTCGTGTGGCTAGAGTTAGAACAACCCCTAGTTTATGTAATATTATTATTAAAAGCAAGCTATTCACAAACTCAGGTATTTTCAAACATTTTTACATGTGCCTGAGACTTCCATCGATAGAATGTTTTGCGACATTTTATGTTTTATCTTTTACAAAATCAATAGCTTAAAGTGGATGCCAACCCGGAAATTAAGTACAATCAGGTAAGTGAATGGAAAATTTCTAGATTATATTGCTGTGTTAGCGATTGATTTTTCACTACCGTGAAATTGGCACCACATTGGCACCACATTCAACACAACATTCATCACAACATTCATCACAACACTCATCACCACATTCAACTAAAATTTATCATTCAAAATGATAAGTCGAAAATCGTCTTTAAAACACGTTTTCCATCAAATACAACAGTAAAAAACAATTCTTAACTGTTTATTACTATTTTACAGTCCTTAACCATCACAAAAATGTATAAAAGTCAAGAAATTGAAGAAAACACTAAGATTTATATTACAGTGTACTTTCCATTTCTCTTAATTAGCCTATAATTTAAAAACTACACGGTAGAATTTTTTTAAACTTGGCCAGAATATAGATAATTATATTGTCTAAAATATATCCAAAATCTGGAGTGGCACAAAAAATAAGTTATAGAAAATCATCGACAAAGTGGGATGACACGGATGCGCGTAATATAATCTTATATAATTAACTTCCTATATCCATGTAATTTTTCAAACAAAGGCCTATAAATAAAAACTACATGGTAGAACTTTTCAAACTTGGCCATATTGTAGACATTCTTATTGTCGATAACATATCAAAATCTGGAGTGGCACAAAAAATAAGTTGTAGAAAATCATCGACATAGTTAGATGACACGAATTCGCGTAATATGATCTTATATAATTAGGTTGAGAATTTCAAGTCATTGAAAACAAAGGCCTGTAAATAAAAACTATACGGTAAAATTTTTAAACTTGGCAAGAATATAGATAATTATATTTTCTATAACATATCCAAAATCTGGAGGTGGCACAAAAAATAAATTGTAGAAAATCATCGACAAAGTCGGATGACACGAATGCGCGTAATATAATCTTCCATATTTAAGTTAAAATTCCGGTTTTTAACAAACAAAGCCTTGTAAATAAAAACTACATGGTAGAATTTTTTTAAACTTGGCCAGAATATAGATAATTATATTGTCTAAAATATATCCAAAATCTGGAGGTGGCACAAAAAAATAAATTGTAGAAAATCATCGACATAGTTAGATGACATGAATTCGCGTAATATAATCTTATATAATTAGGTTGAGAAATTCAAGTCATTGCTAAACAAAGGCCTGTAAATAAAAAACTACACCGTAGAATCTTTTTAAACTTCGCCATATTGTAGATATTCCTATTGTCTATAACATATCCAAAATCTGGAGGTGGCACAAAAAATAAAAGGAATAATATTCCTTGAGAATGTACTGGTATGAACCGTGAAGTTGGCACCATTCGACAAACAGCTCTTTAGCTAAAAAACTACACGGTAGAATTTTTTTAAACCTGGCCATAATGTAGATATTCTTATTGTCTATAACATATCCAAAATCTGGAGGTGGCACAAAAAAATAGGTTGTAGAAAATTATCGACAAAGTCCGATGACACGAATGCGCGTAATATAATCTTATATAATTAACTTCCTATATCCATGTAATTTTTCAAACAAAGGCCTATAAATGAAAAACTACACAGTAGAATTTTTTTAAACTTGGCCAGAATATAGATAATTATGTTGTCTAAAATATATCCAAAATATGGGTGGCACAAAAATAAGTTGTAGAAAATCATCGACAATTTCGGATGACACGGATGCGCGTAATATAATCTTATATAATTAAGTTGAGATTTTCAAGTCATTTCTAAACAAAGGCTTGTAAATAAAAAACTACACGGTAGAATTTTTTTAAACTTGGCCATATTGTAGATATTCTTATTGTCTATAACATATCCAAAATCTGTAGGTGGCACAAAAAAATAAATTGTAGAAAATCATTGACATAGTTAGATGACACGAATTCGCGTAATATAATCTTATATAATTAGGTTGAGAAATTCAAGTCATTGCTAAACAAAGGCATGTAAATAAAAACTACGGTAGAGTCTTTTTAAACTTGGCCATATTGTAGATATTCCTATTGTCTATAACATATCCAAAATCTGGAGGTGGCACAAAAATAAAGGAATAATATTCCTTGAGAATGTACTTGGTATTAACCGTGAAGTTGGCACCACATTCGACAAACAGCTCTTTAGCTAAAAACTGCACAGTAGAATTTTTTTAAACTTGGCCATAATGTAGATGGCACAAAAATAAATTGTAGAAAATCATCGACAAAGTCGGATGACACGAATGCGCGTATAATCTTGCATATTTCCGGTTCTTAAATATTACATATATACCAGTAAGTCAATCTTACAATTAGACTTATCATCCATTGACTAAATAGTGTACAACTTTATGATTAAAATGTAATTATGTCTTTGACTTGACCAGTTGTAACATGCATGATAATGTTTTTTGACATTACCCATGTTGCTCTTATATTTATTGTAGGTATTCATCAATAATCAATTTCAAGATGCGGTTAGTGGAGATACCTTCCCAACAATTAACAAGCAACTGAACAAAAGATATGTGATGTTTCGAAGGAGATAAGGTTTGACTTCAACATGGTTGGAGACTGTAAGAAATAAATTGTCAATGCTACTGAAATTCATGAATTTAATTGTAGGCAGACATTGATCTTGCTGTGAAAGCAGCCCATCAGGCTTTCAAGCTTGGTAGTCCATGGAGAACTATGAATGCATCTGACAGAGGCCAAATATTATATCGCTTAGCAGACTTGATTGAGAGAGATCGTGAATACTTAGCAGTGAGTTGTATTAATTATTAAATTTAAGTTTGTGAGGTTAATGTTAATGTAATTGTTGCTTGTAATGTTGAATATAAAAGACAACCCTCTTGAGCAGTCGTGAAGGAAGCCTGGGGTTTTACTACTGCTATGTAAATTCTGAAGGATTAAAATTATTCATTTCTTTAAACATCTAATGTTATCACATGGATTCAGTCAGCAAAAGAATATTTGCATAGCTGGAGTTAAAGGTTTGTCTTGCTTATGTCACTTCTTTACGAGCTCACCTTCCCCTCCTTAAAAAAATATGAAAATCCGTCATGATTTGGGGAGATTTCTAGGATGGGTGTAATAATGAAGTAAATAACCAACAGATTGAAACTTTTATTAAAACTTTTACTACACATTTAGCAGCAGAATAGTGTCTTATGAATGACACTTATATATCCATGACATTTATATCAACGACATTTGTAAGTATTTTATGTATGAAGATATTTTTTGTACTTTTAAGAGTATTGAAAGTTTGGATAATGGAAAACCTTGGAAAGATTCTTATGCAATTGATCTTCATGTAGCATTAAGATGTTATCGATATTTTGCTGGTTGGGCTGATAAAATTCATGGTAAAACTATACCATGTGGTAAGTTCATGCAGTTATAACATTTCCATCGTTAGCACATATCCAAAATGACATTTTCCCGAATTTAAGATGGTGATTTCTTTGCATATACTCGTCTTGAACCAATTGGTGTTGTTGGTCAGATAATTCCTTGGAACTTTCCGTTACTGATGCAAGCTTTCAAACTTGCACCTGCCCTTGCTGCAGGAACATGTATTGTTCTCAAACCTGCTGAACAAACGCCATTATCTGCACTCTATGTAGGAGCTCTTGCTGCCGAGGTGCGTTTTAATCAACTATTTTGTTTTTTTTTTCAATTTTTATTCAACTGAAAAGCAACGAAAGTGAAAATTTCGGTTAGGAATTAACATTTCGCGCTAATTGTTATGCTGCTCTTGAAAAATAACTACGTCATACAAAAACCTTCAGAATGATGGAAAATCGCTGTGTAGAATGACAGTTATGTTCATCAACTCATCTTCTCGTGTCTTTCAATGTCACATAGCATTTTAGGGACGGCTGGATAGCATTATCCATTGGATAGCACAAATTTTTAAATTTGTAAAAAAGATGTTTGTATTTGTCTTACGACAAAGAAATTTCGTAATCTTCGAAACAATATTTTATTTCAGTGATTGCTCAGCTCGAATCTTATATTTTTATCTTTTTGAAAGGTTTTATAAAAGTATAAAAAACTTGCTATCCAATGGATAACGCTATCCAGGCTTCGTGCAACCGGCTCCAGAATATTCCAATAATGATGTATACAGACAAAATATATTTAAAAATTGAAATGCGGTGCCGCACTCTTACAAGTACACTTGTATTTTCTATAGAAGAAGTATGGATACATTTTTTATTGAATTTGTACATTACGCATAATTTCTTACGTACTACAACGTTTTCCATTACATTGACTGAGAACTATTGTACGTATGGAATGTATGAATATTTTGCCGAACGACTGTCTTATGTAGTTTGAGCTGATAAACATTTCTTTAGGCTGGTTTACCACCCGGAGTCCTGAATATAGTTCCAGGTTATGGTCCAACCGCAGGAGCTGCCATTTCGGAACATTTGATGATTGATAAAGTTGCATTTACAGGATCTACAGAGGTAGCTAAGTGCGCAGTATACATAGTGATTACACTCCAGAAGCAAGTTGTTTAGAAATTTTTATCATTTACACTTTTGCATGCTTTCATGAAAACCATAGCAGATGAAATCCTGTTAAAAAAGAGCAAATTGTTTCAAAATCTACCTTTTTTTTAATGCAAGAATGGCGGGGCCCATCTTTATCAACTACGTACCTATCTTTTAGCTATATAATATTTTTTCTGCTTTCTCAAATAAATAACAGTAGCGTGGTCTTGAGCGGCATGTATACTCGCTGACATTTGACAAAACTATTGTATGTTATATTTTTATAGTACACTTGGTTTTGATAACTTTAAAGGTTGGTAAGATCGTCCAAGAGGCTGCTGGCAGGAGTAATTTGAAAAATGTTACTCTTGAACTTGGTGGGAAAAGTCCAAGCATTGTGTTTGCTGATTGTGACATTGATAATGCTGTTGAAATGAACCATGTTGGTCTCTTCTTAAACCAAGGACAATGTTGTATTGCTGCAAGTAGAATCTTTGTTGAGGAATCGATTTATGATGAGTTCGTAGAGAAGAGTGTTGCTAAAGCCAAGGCAAGGGTTGTTGGAGATCCCTTTGATGCTAAAACTGATCAAGGTCCACAGGTTGGTTATATTTCAATGTAGCTGAACTGTTTCTTCGTGTTATTGTGAAACAAAAGAAACTGTGTGTGAATGTTAAGTTTAATTTTGAGGGCCTTATATTGTGCCGCGATTCGTAAAGCTTAGTAATCAGCATTGATGATGATTTAATGCCTAAAACTAAAGACTAAAGCCGAAAGATCACACCCATTGACTACTTATACTTTTAAGTCCCTCGTTGTTAGGTTGACAAAGAACAATTCAATAAAATATTGGACTTGATTGAGAGTGGTAAAAATGAAGGTGCTAAATTGGAATGTGGGGGTGATCGATCAACTGACAAAGGATATTTTATTCAGCCAACTGTGTTTACCAATGTCTCTGATGACATGCGCATTGCTCGAGAAGAGGTAAGATTTACTGATACAAGTTAGAAAAGCTTGTTTTGTTGACCTTATCTTCAACAATTGAATATATTTGAAAAGATTCCGATTTAAAAATTAAACGTCTGTGGCTTCATTTCATTCTTATTTCTATATTAGTTTTATAAACTTAAATTCTCACGAAGTGAAGTGTTTTCTGTCCATAAATGTTTTCCTTTAGATTTTGGACCAGTTATGCAAATATTGAAATTTAAAAATATCGATGAAGCAATTGAAAGAGCCAACAACACAATGTACGGTCTTGGCGCTGGTGTATTTACTTCCAACTTGGAAAACGCAATTATGGCGTCTCATGGAATCCGAGCTGGTTTAGTTTGGTAGGGCGAACGATAAACTCTTACCATAATGTTGAGTTTATTAAACAGTTTAGTTTGTGAGCAGTTCATTAACTGTTTAATCTGTTAACTGGTTGTCTGTGAACTATTTGATCTGTGAACTATTTGATCTGAACTATTTGATCTGTGAACTGTTTGATCTGTGAACTGTTTGATCTGAACTGTTTAATCTGTGAACTATTTGATCTATGAACTGTTTAATTTGTGAAGTGTGAACTGTTTAATCTGTGAACTGTTTAATCTGTGAACTGTTTGATCTGAACTGTTTAATTTGTGAACTGTTTAATCTGTGAACTGTTTGATCTGTGAACTGTTTGATCTGTGAACTGTTTAATCTGTGAACTGTTTGATCTGTGAACTGTTTGATCTGTGAACTGTTTAATCTGTGAACTGTTTGATCTGTGAACTGTTTGATCTGTGAACTGGTTAATCTGTGAAGTGTGAACTGTTTGATCTGTGAATTATTAAATCTGTGAACTGGTTAGTCTGTGAACTGGTTAATCTGTGAACTATTTAATCTGTGAACTGGTTAATCTGTGAAGTGTGAACTGTTTGATCTGTAAATCTGTGAACTATTTAATCTGTGAACTGGTTAATCTGTGAACTTTTATCTGTGAACTGGTTAATCTGTGAACTGTTTGATCTATGAACTGTTAAAACAGTGAACCATTAAAATTTGTATGATATCTAAAATGTCTAAAACTCACTTGTTTTCACCACTAACTGTTGAATGTTTTTATTCCAGGGTGAATTGTTATGATATAATTGACTGCACTTGTCCTTTTGGTGGATACAAGATGTCAGGATCTGGACGAGAACTGTAAACTTAACATTTATATATTTGTAGCTACGTAACATCTATCTTCAGCAAGCGGTTGAATTCATTTTCCATTATCGTCGTATATAGTATTACACAAATTTCTTTTTCGTTAATTTTTTGTTGTTGTTGAGAAGATAAGACAAATAAGGCTTTGGTTTGGTACCTCACTGGGAAAGGAACGCAAGCTTTATATTGCATCATTATAGAGTGGGGATATTTTATTGTGTTGTAGTTGGTTTTACCACAAAGATAAACACTCTAGCTCTATAAAACCTAATCTTTCTGTCCTAATATGGACATCTTTTTGAAATTTGTCAGTTGTCTACTTGTGTTGAATTAACATGCTTACTTTATTTCTTTTTAAGGGGTGAATATGGATTGGCTCAGTATTCTGAAGTTAAAGCGGTAAGTTGTCTTTCATGTAAATCACGAGAAATAGAAATGGAGATGCTAATCTTAGTGATTGTTCAACTCGAATAGTTAAAAAAAATATACTTTTATTTTTCCTCTTTAGGTAATGACCAAAATCCCCAAGAAGAATTCGTAATTTAGAGTTAAAATTGTAATTTCAATAATCTACTAAATAGATGGGCTAATGTAGCTCTTGCAATTAAACTTGCTTGTAAACTTCTCCAAATAAAGAACTTTCATTTTTAGAAGTTTCATTCGCAAACCACTGTGCTTTTAAAAAGTGTCTGAGTCATTCATCTTTAATTATGAACTCGAACAACCTTATTATTCACTAACTGGTTGCTATTGAATTGAAATCTGTGTTGTGAAATTATTTCCAGTAATTCTTCGAACGATAGATTTGCAATCATCGTTTAGTGAAAGCTAAGCAAACTACTACAATGTTTTGGCCTTGACCTTGCGAGAAAAATTATATGAGTCACTTCTAAAAGCTTCAAGATATAACAGAAACGTAGAATGCGCAGGCGATCAAAAATATTAATTGTACAGGGGCCGCGGAGAAGGGGGGCATTTGCCCCCTCCCCACTCTTTTCCTAATCTCTTGTTTTGCAAAGTGTAAAAATATAAAAATTTTACATGTTGATAAATGCTGAAAGAGTTTGGATCATTTAACTGAGCAGTGAGCAAAAAAAATCTATTTTATGGCTACGTCGTTACCTAGTTGTACGCATGGCGTACCTATATTTCAGTTGTCAACTCTTGTGTAACCATCTAGTGTAACTTTGTTTTCGTTTCTCGTCGAGGCGAGAGTCCAGTTTGAGATCGCTACTCGTTAGGAAGAGCGGTAATTTACTTAAGATAATCAATTTAACAAAACATCAATTCAAAAAGGACATTTCTACTCAAACAAACATAGCCATCCTTAATTCTATAAGTACCATAGTACATGGTCATTTGGCAAGTGCATAGTCAAAAAATCGTTCAACTTGGTTCAACTCCAACGGTTGACACGATATACAGATGATAGATGTGCAATTCTCTTTAAGTGGAAGCTAAACAAACTATTACAATGTTTTCCCTCTGACCTTTCAACAAAAGTTTTCAACATGAAACTGGTAAGTTTCAATTTAAAACTTTGTAAAGTTTTAGAACTTTCAGTGCCGAATTATGATCAATTATTTGCATAATATACTGTTTTTCTTTTTACAGTACGCGCTTGGTAGGAACTGCAAAGCACCTTGTTACGTGCTTAAGTTTAAACAAACAACAATTATGCTGGATTGCTCTCTAGATATGTTGCCTTCTCTTAATTTTACTCCACTTCATTTGGTTGAAAAGTAAGTTAAAAAAAACTCTAAGCATTTACCACCAATAACCTCCATCTTCTCCTGTGTCTCTACTTATAATATAGTAAAAGAGTCACTCATGTTTTTTTAGCATTGTATCATACTGTTTTTAGATGATTTAAGTAAACATGTAAACAAATTATAATTAATAGATTTAATATATTTGTAGGAAACAGGGTCAAAGTTTTAGTAAACCTTGGTTTGCGAGAGAGCTCCATGATTTTGATGGTTTTGTTGATGAAAATGTAATTACTACTACACCGTTCAACAATTTCCTTTTATAACATCAAATGATTATAGCTTTCATTTTCAGAACATCAGAGAAATTGCTGGAAATGTATTTGTAGACAGTGAACCAGAGGTTTTACCTCCTGAGGTTTGGTTGAGTTTTACTACATAAATGTAACCTGGTGGCAAATAATTTATTCACATGCCATACCATTAATATTGGTATTCTATATTTTCAGCTTGATTTGTTGGATTTATCAACTGTTGATGTGATATTAATATCCAATTGTTTTTTTATGTTTGCCCTTCCATATATTACTGAGGTAAAGAAAACTTGTGCTTCTTATGCAATTAAAGTTTTTTTCTTTGCTGGTCTTCCATTTTCGTTTAATCTGTTTTACTGTACATAATTTGACTGACAATAACAAAATCACAATACTCTATGTATATATGGTTTTTGTATGGTTGCCTTAAACAAATTTTTGCTTTGTTATCATCAAGGTTGTCTTTACCTGTTAATACAAGTTTGTTGATGTTTTTTTTCTTACATGCCCATTCTGTTAGCATACCAATTTCTCAGGTACAGTCTATGCCACAGAACCCACACGTCAAATGGGAAGGTTGGTTGAAATTGTTTGTTTTATCCAAATGGAAGTTTAAGGTGAAACTGCTAATAATATTGTTGTTTTTAGTGAATTAATGCACGAGATTGTTTCGTTTGTTGAGCGAGTGCCAAAATTGGTCAATGGCACTTCTTGGAAAAACCTGAAATAAAAGGTAGGTTCTGTGCTATGAAAACTCAATGTTTTGCACTAGACATAGAGAATGAAGAACTCTTTCGTATTTTAAGGCTTCTTCCTGCTCCATTAAAGGATGCATTAAATGTGGAATCATGGTGTACACTCTACAGTGTTCATGAAATACAATCCTGTGTATCAAAGATACAGACTGTTGGGTTCTCTGAAAAACTAGTAGGTGGAGTGCTCTTTGATCAAGGGAACATGTATTGTTATTTCTTGATTTTCTTTACTATGATACATTTTATCTTATCCAATAGGATTTGTTTGGTGTAGTCCAGTTAACTCCTGTTAGTTCAGGTTTTTCTGTTGGAAGCTGCAACTGGATAATCCAAACGGAGTATGAGAAGGTTCAATTTTTTTAACTTCATTTTAAAGGCTAAATCATTCTTCAATCTAGTTAGTATTATATTGGAAAAGATTTTTAAATCATTATTGCCAGACAGGGACAATATTTTAGCAGATCAAGGGTAAGTTAAAATACATTAAAAAATTATAATTCAAAACACTATAAACAAACCTATTAGTAAAATTTTGGCATTGATCAAAATATTCTTTAAAATTTTCAAACAACAGAGTTTTCACTATGGTATTTTAAATTTATAATGAGGCAATATAATGTATTCTGACTTACCCCAGGGGTAATTGTATACATTACAAACAGAGATATTGGTGTACATGACAGACATGGGTTGTGGTATACACGACAGACAGGGGTTGTGATGTACATGACAGACAGGGGTTGTGGTGTACATGGCAGACAGGGGTTGTGATGTACATGACAGACAGGGGTTGTGGTGTACATGACAGACAGGGGTTGTGGTGTACATGGCAGACAGGGGTTGTGGTGTACATGACAGACAGGGGTTTAGTGTACATGACAGACAGGGGTTGTGGTGTACATGACAGACAGGGGTTGTGGTGTACATGACAGACAGGGGCTGCGGTGTGCATGACAAACAGGGGTTGTGGTATACATGACAGACAGAGGTTGTGGTGTACAGGAAATTTTAATATGAGAGCAAAATTTTCATCATTTTAGAATATACTTAGTACATGTATATTTATCCTTGAATTAACAGTTATGCAGTTGTATTTCCTTATTTAGATAAGCTATCTATCAAGTTCATCTTTATTTACCACGCATCCTCTACCATTTGAACCAACCTCGTTAAGAGGCACTGATGTGTTGATATTATCTGGATTAAATGAATCACCCACCTCAAATCCTGACGCCATGTTGGGCGAATTCTGTACAAATTTAGGTTTGTTTAATTGCATATTTGTCTATGGTGCATCAACTATAATGAAAAAATCGTAATTTTTAGCCGGTACGATAAAAGGTGGTGGAAATGTTCTCATACCTTGTTATCCTTCTGTAAGTATAAAATCACAATGATGATCAAAATTTGACAAATCAGTTTTTAGTGTAAAGTTGCTGGATCAGACAGCATTTACTTTTTTCGGATTGGGTTTCCGATATTTTGACATATCTGAAAATTTGTACTAGTTCCTCCATCTTTCAATGCAACTTTGTACCATCATTGGATGTCCCCCCTCCACCATTCAATTCAACTTTGTATGGTGTACCATCGCTAGGATTGTGTCTCCCCCCCTCCATCTTTCAATGCAACTTTGTACCATCATTCCCCCCCCTCCACCATTCAATTCAACTTTGTACAGTGTACCATAACTGGGATTGTTTCCCATCCTCCATCTTTCAATGCAACTTTGTACCATCATTCCCCTCCACCATTCAATTCAACTTTGTACAGTGTACCATAACTGGGATTGTTTCCCATCCTCCATCTTTCAATGCAACTTTGTACCATCATTGCCTCCCCTCCACCATTCAATTCAACTTTGTATGGTGTACAATCACTAGGATTGTGTCCCCCCCTCCATCTTTCTTTTGCAACTTTGTACCATCATTCCCCCCCCCTCCACCATTCAATTCAACTTTATACAGTGTACCATAACTGGGATTGTTTCCCATCCTCCATCTTTCAATGAAACTTTGTACCATCATTGGGATCGTTTGTCTCTGTCATGAATTACATTGCGAGTTTGTCTAAAAACTTTAGTGCTGGCGAATTATTGTGTTGATAATTCATCTTGCTCAAATCTTTACAGGGTGTAATTTATGATTTATTTGAATGTCTACAATCATACATGGATAGTGCTGGACTTACCTTTACGCCAATCTATTTCATATCACCCGTTGCTAACAGTTCTTTGGCTTATTCCAATATTTACGCTGAATGGTTAGTGGACGTTTATGTTCTTTGTTATATTTGATTCGCCATGACTAAAGACGCTAGGAATAAATTGGCAATTTAAGCAACGTTACATATATTATGTGTAGCAATGATTTAGGATGATGCAAAACAAATATGTAATGTATATTTTTTTGAAAGGTTGTGCCAAAGTAAACAATGTAAAGTGTATCTTCCCGAACCTCCATTTCCTCATGCAGAGGTAAGAGTGAGTTTTAACTGCTTCACAAGCTTATGGATCATTTCAAAGCAGGCTAAGAGTGAGTTTTAACTGCTTCACAAGCTTATGGATCATTTCAAAGCAGGCTAATGTAACTCTTTATATTCACTGCAAAAATGTTGTAGAGTTTGAAAGCTTTTATCCGTCTGTAGAATTCGGGATTTTCTAAAAGACAGAAATAAGTTCAACCTCAGCTTCCTCTACATTTCTTAATGCATCGTTATTCTGTTTTTTTCGGAACTATCCAATGGATTCATGTTTGTGTTTCTTATACATCTGGTGTCTTATTTATTTAGCTTGTTAAAAATGGTAAACTTAAACACTTCCCAAATCTTCATGGTAAGTATGTAGCTTCGGACATCACGCATACAGTAATATAATGAACATCTTAATTTTTTACCTTTGGTAGATGGTTTCAGTGCTGTATTTAAAACGCCATGTGTAGTTTTTGCTGGTCATCCATCTTTAAGATATGGTGATGTTGTTCATTTTGTTGAAATGTGGGGAAATTCAAGTGCAAATACAATCATATTTACTGGTATTTTAAGACTTGTTACATACCTCAATGTAGAGTTGTTTTATACGTAATAGTAATTTGTATGTGAAACAGAACCTGGTTTTCCGTTTATGGATGCTCTTGCTCCGTATCAACCGCTTGCTATGAAGGTACGTACATACATAAGTTTTTATAGTGGTTTATGTATCGTGCAATGATTTTAACATTTTTCACGAATTGAGTGTATATAGCTACGGACTTGCAAGTAAAGGTTGAAAGAAAAAATTTATAGTAGTAACATGTTTCTATTTTTTATGTTTACATATAGTCTTGCTACTGTCCAATTGATCCCAGGTTGAATTTTGGTCAAGTGAACAAAACGTTAAGAGATGTGAAGGTACGCTTTTTTTCGAACGTCTTTATCGTGTTTTGTTTTTGGTATCGTCTTTTTTTAACCCCTCTGGTAGCTCTTTCTTGGTGTTTCTTTACTCCGTGTTGTTCTGTGTTAAATATATGTAAACTTGTTTATCACCCGTCGGCTTTATCATTATAAATTACAGACCAAATAATAAACCTAATATTTTCATTGCCAGGACTAAATTGCAAGAATCATGATATATTTCTTTTCAAACATCAAAATGACACATGTTTGAAATGTTTCAGCCTCGTTATGTTGTCATCCCAGAAGAATATACAGTTCCACCGCCATTTTTACCTCACAGAGCAGATCTCATTGTTCAAACTGAAAATGTGAGTGATTAAACGTTATGAGGAATCATTAACGATTGAGACTGCGAAATTTGATGGAAAATCCTTTGTTACATCATTATTGAACAAATATGCTTCATTACATGAAATTATTTCGTGAAATTCGTTTTCCAAATTTCCCAGCTATACGAGAGTAATATATGCCGGACAAAACATCTCTTTAGAGTAAAGTCGTACAGCTGAATGCTAAATGCAGTTGCAGTCAATAGCTTTATCTTAATATACTTCATGTGTTATAGGACATTCAAATTCTACCAATTAGTTATCCTCAGGTTATTGACATTCCTGTTACTCGAACTTATGAGAAAGTTTGTTTATCAAACAAGGTATTCAGAAAGTCTTTTTATTTATATCTGTAGCAATGATTTTGCAATTGATGTTTTTTAGTGATGCAATGGCGTTTAGCTTGATAAGTGAGGGGATAATGTTGATATATATTCATGTTTTTCCGTGTTAAATTCTTTTGAAATTAATTGTATCTTTGGGATTAAGACATGCATAAATGAATGTTGAAGTGATATTTCAACCATCACATCTTTGTCCACCGTATTTGCACTGAAAAGTATCTTACATCACTCTCCTTCTAAAGTCTCGGTATAATTTTTGCATACTTTATCTATTAGCTCAGAAAACACTTTACATATTTTCATATTTAACTTTAAAGAAAAATCATTTTTACACCATCATAGCTTTGTGACCATGTAACCTTGTTAACCGTATAGCCTATGTATATTACAGAGCTGTCTACAATAGTCAAGTTTTAGATGTGTTAGTTATGAGTTTTTTCTCTTAGCTAGCGGGCTCTTTATGTCCACAAGAAGTGAGAGCTGGCACTGCTGTTGTCATGGTTACTGGTTCTTTACTTAATAAGAACAACAAGTACTCACTACAAGCGCTCGAAAGGTATAATTATTGACTAGAACGTCACTTGTATTCATTTCATTGTAACTGGCATACAGCAAACTTATTCTTTATAAATCTCACGTGACAACAACATAAGATAATGTTTGGAGCTCTTGTGAAGAAAAATGTCTTACAATCATGAGACTAAAAATACCAATTAATATAGCCAACATTAAATCGAGTCAATTCTTTGTTTACATACTTGTCAGAAAGCACTCTTAATCATACAGCAAATGGTACCATTACATCCCTTGTCGTACAACGATACCCCTCTTCCATATCTATATTGTACGTATATATGTAATCTTCTCAATCAAGAAGACTTGCGTAACTATCATTTTTATCATACTGTACTAAGCATGACAATATTTGTCTTCGTCTTTTCCATAGGCCATTTGAAAGTTCTCTGGCAAATAAGTGTTTATGTGGTGATTTAGTTATTGATGAACTGGTTTCATCACTAGCAAAGGTACGTATTTATGTAATGATGATAAAGAAAAAGATGGAAAACTGTACAGTGTCAACTTATTGTTGTGTTTTGTTGTTTGAAGAGGGGAATTACTGATGTACAAGTAGAAAAAACTCCTAATGGCCATACAGTGCATCTGGTAAGAAAATCATCACAGAAATTATTAATAATGTAAATTTATGAATATTAGTTGCGAAAATCAAAGTCTGGTGTGCCATCCACGTTTTTATTTAATCACATTACGTCGTCTGTTGCCTAAGATCTCGGACGATATTGTTCGTGTGGACGTTTTCATTAGTTTGTCAACCCAGACGTGAGAAGATTTCGTTTCTTTGCAATTGTTTTATAACTCAAAAAATTACGCCAGAGTTTGCAGACTGTTTACTATTTTAAGACAGTTATATCATTTTGACATCATACTGGTGTGGCATAATGTATTATAATTTATATTGTGCTAGAATGATGATGACGCAATGGTTACATTAGAGAAGGGAAGTACACATATCATCACGCATGGCAATGATCAACTAAGGAAATATATTAGAGATGCATTGTTGGAATGTTTATCAACAATGTGATTGGCTGTTTAAATAGTACCAGACAATGTGATTGGCTGTTTAAATAGAACCAGACAATGTGATTGGCTGTTTAAATTTACAAACAAAGATGTGCATTTACTGTTTATAGTACTAAGCCTGAAATGGCATTTCGTGCTTAATTTGTCGGTTTCTTTTATATGTTTCTTGAAACAACTAGTTAAAATGAGCTTTACAAAGGTTTATGTGTAGTCGATTTAGAAACAAACTACACATATGTTACATGGTGATAAACTTTCGTAAATTAGATTATTTAATTATGAGAAACTTTGACATTGAAAAGAAAACATTGAAAAATTCATCGTTTTTTTATAAGTTGAGTTTCTATAATACTAGTAAACGACAATTGTATTAAAAGTACAAATGTTATTGTATAGGGAAAATTAAGTTGTTTTTAACTCATAATTTTTCGTGATGTCGTGGAAGTTTAAGATTTAGGATGATGTTCAATAAAATGATTGTTGAGTTTTAAAGCGTTTTGGTTTGTTAACGCTAGTGAAACATTGCTCGTAATTGATGGTAATTTGATGGTTGTACTTTTTTCTTATTTAATTCAAAACTCAACGTATTATTTAAAAACAGGTGAATAACAATTTTATCAAGAGTTATTTTAACGAATACTTGCTTGAATGATTATGATTACTATACATCTTTTTATACTCAAGATTTCCATGCAAGGCTGAAGGCCCTACAATACTACACAATAACGTCTGTCATTACAAAGACATTTTCATCAATAAACTCTTTGTTCTTAGGAGAGGATGCAATAATCGTTAACGGAATCGCTTCTTCACAATGTCAGTTTGTACATTTTGTACATTGGTAGCATTAATCTTAAGGTCAACAACAATATTATAAACCGTTTTTGAATTCTTGTCTGTTCCACTCCCCCCCCCTCACCAATGCTTCCTTACCCACCTTCACCTCCTACTTCCCACTACTTCATGTTACCTTCATGTCACGATAGCTGAGTCGTTTCAATGTAAACAAAATGGCAGACGGTGAACAAAGAAAGGTAGAAAATATTATGGATGAAAAAGGTTAGGTTTGGTCGCTTAAATTTAGACTTATGTTTATTTGCTTTTGGAATTTTTTTTTCAAACTTGAATATTTTCGGCTCTTTTTATTACCCGACATGGGACTGATGAGATAGAATTATAGAACTCGGAATTACGAATTAACTCATTTAAATGAAATAATCATAAAATGAATTTGTTTATGCAACTGAAAATCAATTGTTAGAAATGAATAGGAAATTTTTAATGTTCGTCTGATTAATATATTATTCAATGAAAGTGATTTTTACGTAACGATCTGTTATATAATAAAATGTAATGAATGAAAGTCTAGTGTCTAGCTCCGTCTCCCCCTGTCCAGCACATTCAAGTGCCTTTGTGCAGAATAATGCATTTAATGATTAGTGCATGGATGAGGTTATGCATGATATCCACCATTACTGTCCAAATATTTGTGTTTTTAAGCTTTAACAATGTTTAGACAATAATGTGCTAGCAGATGTTTTATGATGTAACTGATGTTTGCTATTTTGCTTGAACTGGAATTACATGAAAGTTTCATCATGAGTGAAGACGTATTTTGTTTTTTAAGTTAAATCAATTACTTCATCAATATTTAATGCTATGTTGGGATGAGATCCTGGAGAAAGTTTTCTTCAATTTGAAGAATATATTTCAAAGTGATTGGTTGACTTGAGCGTACTTTAATTTGCAAATTTAGAATGCATTTCCAAACTGAATAAAGTTTATTTTGTAAGTTTTAAAAATAAATAAAAGAATTTTTTTAGAAATCGTTGACGAAAAAACAAAAGAAAACAATCAAAACAAATATGATGAAGATAGTAATGGCGGTGAAACAAGTGACTGTCCAAGTGGTGAATCTATTGAATGGATAGAACCAGAGGATGATGAATTGATTGTTATTGAAACTGGAGATGGAGCACCTTTAGTTGGAACTGTTGAAACAGCTGAATCATATTATGTTGTTAATTCACACCAACATCATGCATCAACTTCAGGTTTGTTGTGTATGCTTGCTGTACTTTATCATATAATTCTTATGTTTGCTGACTAGTATTTGTGTAGTTGTTCAACATGTGATAATGTTTTAACTGTCATATATATATATGACAGTATACACATACAGTATACACATTACATAAATAAAATGTGTATACTGTATGTGTATACATAAATGTCTTTGCTGTCATATATATATGACAGTATAGACATTTCTTTTTATGTATGTTCTAAACCAGGCATGGTTTTTTTTTGCTCTGGTTGGAGCCTTAACTCAATAAATATACTCTTGTGAGAATCTGGTTCCACTTTACCGTCTATTATTTAGATGGTTTAATAAGGGGCAAATTTATATCCAGCACCATGTTTTTTACATTAGACAGAAAGTATATGAAAAACTGAAGTACGTAGATGTGGACTTTCAACTTTTGCCAAATAAAGCAAAAGTGGCTTTTCCCTTTTCCATAACATCTTTACCCTCCTGTAGTGTGATCAATTTACTTTGAATTCCAGACCGCCAATCATTCTCTGTACATGTTTTACAATGCTTTATACCGTTTTAGTAGACATTAGGAACAGTCACTTTGTTACCAATAATTTTTTACTTTTGCATCTGAATTTTTTACATTGTTTATATAGACTCTGACTATTGCTAAGCTTGTCAAAACGTCAATTGACATCAAGAGTTTTTTTCTAGATTTCACTTACCTGTATACTCAAAATATACGAAAATGTATTTGTTGCATTGTGGTATTCTGTGTTAAAGAATACAAATTTCATTCATTGATAATGAATAAATCTTGTGATTTCAGAAATGCAAATGGATGAATCAATGTTACGTTCATTGACTGACAGTAGATCTGGAGAGAAAAATAATAGTTACGACCTTCCAGATACCGTTACAAAACTTATGACTCCCTATCGTTCAACTGTTTACGTTGTTGGTACAGCACATTTCAGTAAAAGCAGTCAAGAAGATGTGCGAAAGGTACAGATTTAATTTTAGCTATGTAGAGTTGCTTACGTAGTTGCCAAACTCGTATTGATGGAGTCATTGTTCTATTTTTAATTTCATTAGTACTTATAAGCCTGTCATTCCAGGGGCATTTTGTCTGTAGAAGATGCGATGACGTTTTGACCCGGGGGACGTTTTGACCCGTGGACTTTTTGACTGGACACCCCATATTCATATGAATGTTTTATGCAGTGCGGTGTTTGAAATTAAATGAAGATATGATTTTCGCACTTTTTCAGGTTTTATGAGACAATTGCTTAAATTGTCCAACAAAGTGCGAAGATCATATCTTCATTTAATTTAACCCCATATTCATCTCGACTACTCTTGTTTGGACTAAATTTTTTTTGTTTTCAGACAATTAATCTTTTACAACCGAACGTCGTGATGGTTGAGTTATGTCGGAATAGAGTGGACATATTAAAATATGATGAAGAATTTTTAATGCGAGAAGTTGCAAACATTAGTTTTCAAAAGTTGCGAACGTTGATACAACAGGTAAATAGTCTTGTGGATGTATTTCGAATTTGATTGAATTTTGCCATATTGCGTACTGTATTGTAATTTGGTAATATTTCAAGAGTTGTTGTGGCAGTTGAGTATTTGTTTTTACGTATTTACTGAATTTAGATATTTTGAAAGGAAGACACTGTTTGTTCATATCCTTTGTGTTACATTAAAGATGTTTATTTCTAGACAGGTGTTATATCTGGTATAATGCAAGTGTTACTACTGAGTATGTCAGCTCACATTACAAAAGAGTTGGGTATGGCTCCAGGAGGGGAGTTTAGAGCCGCTTATCAAGAGGTAAAGAAGGTCTTTTCCTTGTGTGTTTTGTTCCCTAAGGGACGAGCTTTGTTGACAAGTTTTTAATGAATTTTTTTTGTGTTTGGTTTAGGTAAAGAAAGTTCCATTTTGTCAATTTCGTCTCGCTGATCGTCCAATACAGGTAAATAAATTATTATGGAAACTAGAATTCGTCTACAATTGAACATTTGATTTATTTCGTAAAATTTTTTGAAGCGTCGTTCTTTGTAACCCGTTTCCCTTAAATGCATTTGTCTCTCACGTCGCACATTTGTTCATTGCTAGTTCCTGTTATTTGCATGACATTTTATACATATGTTTTAGATAACATTAGCGAGAGCCATGGGAGCTTTATCTGTATGGCAAAAAATAAAACTCGCATGGCATCTTATTACATCGAAAGAACCAATTAGGTAAAACGGAAATCTTTATTGTAAAATCTTTAGTTTGAAATTTTTTGTGTTTCCAGCTGACCATACGATTATGGACACACGCATTGTGGAATAAATTTGTGTCTCTTTTTGTGCAGCAAAGAAGATGTCGAGCGCTGTAAGCAAAAAGATTTACTGGCTGAAATGTTAGCTGAAATGACTGGAGATTTTCCTAAATTGTATGAGATTATTGTTAAAGAAAGAGATGCATATTTAGCAAGATCATTACGACTTGCTGCGATACCTCGTGAAGTTACTGATCCAGATGGAGGTTTGTTATATATATGTATATTCTTGATACTTATTTTATGTAAAAAAATTCCACGTAAAATTACGTTTTAAAATTTCCCCGTAAAATTTTACAAAAGATCTTGCTTGTAATTTCTTCTTTGTCTGTTTATAAATTTTGATTTTCTAACATTACATGCTCGTTCTAGCTCGTTTTGTGTCTCGTTTAGGTTTTCACTTTGAGCCCACAGTCATTGTTGGTGTGGTTGGAATTGGTCATGTTCAAGGAATCATTGATCATTGGGAGAAAGATATTGATGTTCAAGAAATTATGAGGTATGTTTAAGCGTGTCAACAAATTTTTACTTACTAGTAATTTCTTCGTGTCATTAAATCTATTGCTGCTAGCAATTCACAATTCATACGCTTATCGACATAAAGTTTTCGTGAGAAAGTTTTCAGTCATCTTTTCAATTGCAATGTTCTTTAACAAATGCAGAAAAAGATCTTTACAATGTCAACCACTTGTCAACTACAATGTAGCTAGTCAATTTTCTGTTTACTTGCAATGCGTCTTATTTGAAATGCCGAATATATAAATAAACTTTATTTGTACGAAATAAAGATGTTTTTGACTGGTTGCCATGTCAAGCAATTGACATTATGATGAGAAATGAATGTATATATGTTGTTGATGATCTGGGAGAAAGTGTTAAAACGAGCTTGAGTTCTGTCAGATTTATCAATGATGACAAAGAAATTTGTTCATTCATTTTACTTTAGAAAACTGAAAATTGATTTAAATTAAATTATCATAATTAAAATTGGCTTCTAACTTACTTTTCAAAGCAACACAACTTTTTGCTTAAGTATTCAGTTGTAGGATTCCAAACTGCTGCTCCAAATAGTCAGATTGCAGGAAAAGTTAAGATTACGTCCGCTGCTGACTTTTAAAAAAATAGAATATAGCTCTTTTGAGTGAATCTTGAACACAACGTGGAAAACTCAATAACGAATGAATAAAAAAGTACATATAAGTGTTTTGTTTCAGCTTCTCTCCTTGAGGAACATATTGAGAGTTTTCCTTTTGAAAAATTCCACTGAAAAGTCTTTTAAAGCGGAAGGGCACATAAATTATCAATGTTTTTTTGAAACAACAGGATTCCACCAAGAAGTAAAACATGGAGTTATGTAACGAAAATATTAAAGGCGACAACGGGCATGTTTATGTTATGGAGTTGTTACAAGATAATAAGATGGACAGGAATTCTGAAATACTTGCCTACACTACCTTTAACAATATAACAATTATTATTTAAGCATTTAAACGTATTATCTATTGTTAGTTTTGATTCGCACCAATGAATAGTTGAGATTATTTACAATGGCTAACATAGTCAAACATTTTTGACAAAAAAATGCATGTATAACTCAACAAATGAGAATAGCAATCTGCAAGCAATGGTGTTTATTGTAAGCTAAAACTGGCAAACTATATAGTAACTAAATATCTGTATAGTAAGATTTTACATCAGGAGATATTAGGAAGTTGTTCAAGAAATATACAAGCTTCAGATTTATGTTCTTTTTAGCCTGCATCATTGTTTATTGTTACATAATCAAGTGAAACGCTATGAATGATGGTTGAAATTATGGACAAAAATGTCGATTTAAAACGTTTTTCATTTTATTCGCGAACTTGCTGGCCCTCGGTGATGATTCTTTGGGCCAGATCTCTGTTGTTCGTGTCAGCAATAATAGCATTTGCCAGTTCCTCGTACCACAGCATATTTTTATGACGGGACTCCCACCAATACTTCAACATAGTATATCCTTGCCAGACGACACCACGTTCGTCTATTTCGATTTGTTTAACTTTCCCACCACTAACATTAAGGTACAAAGCCAAATTTTTCCAATCATTGGGAATTTCCTTCGCCAAATTTATGAAAAATTGGTCAATAGCTACAACAATACAAAAACTTCATGTTATTGTTAGCAATCTGTCTCCCAAATCCCCACGATAACACATTATAAAAATTTCAGAGCGTGCATAACTTTTTCTTTTACAAAGGTATAACTTTACTCCCAAAATATCTCTCTACTTGACTCTAACAAACAAAATAATGTCACACCACCTTTTCACCTTTTCTGTATGCATGTATGGTGACTTTATTTCAATGTGATCATAATGTTTTTAAACAGCAACATATGCTGTGATTTAAGCTGTATTAACCTTGTGGAGATAATCTTTTCATTCAAATGAAAACAACGAATTGCTCAAGTTAAACTACTTAAATAGACATAAGAAAATTCTTAACGTTCGTCTAAGAAGGTAACAGTCTGCGCCACCTCCTTGATAGAGGTCGAAATGGCAATTTTTACGGATTTCAATCTTGTCTAAAATATCAAGAAGAAATGTTGAATCGTTGATAAATGCGGATAAATGATTCAACCATTAATATAATACCATAAAAACTTCTGCCGACATCACCATTTTTAGAAACTTTCTCGAGCGATTTTTACTGTAATTGCAGGTAATTCTTGTCAATGAACTCGCCCTCCCCGATTTCATTAAGATAAATTGTAATTTCGAGGTATGTTATATTTGTTAATCCGCAAACACGAAAAATTTTCATAAGGTCACAGACATTTTTCACGAAACAAGCGATTTCAATGGATAAAGAGGTTAGGTCAGTAAAATATATTTATAATTTACTTAGTCTTGGTTGATTTTCGCGTATTTTTGGTTGATTTTCGGGTATTCTTGGTTGATTTTCGCGTATTCTTTGTTGGTTTTCTTCTCCAATCTCTTGATATGGAAAATGTGGTCGTAGTTGTCCATTCATGTTCTCATCAACGTCCATAGATCGCTAGGTGCGTATTATAAAAACGTACAATGAACTTATTGTTGTTACAGTATGACAAACTGAAAGTAATTGACGAAAGAGACCTAGTGTTCATTAAGCAATTTAAGTTGAGATTGCATAAAAAGAAATCCTTATAAAATACAATCTTTCCCTAAAATATGTTAGCCATTGCTCATTCTTTTTTACATTTCCCGCCTGGTAAATCATTGACTAGAGAAATGAATTTATACTATAAATTGAAAAATAAGCTGAAAGTTTTGGTTATCACGAGTTGGCATTATCAAAAGTATTTTCAATTTAATAAAAGCTGACAATTAATAAAACACAAGACAATGGGCCCTCCTTGTAAAGTAAACATTTAATCTAAATGTTTGACAAGTTTTACATGTCATCATCAATAGAAAAATGTCAACTATTTAAAAATTAGAGATTATAGAATATAATTTGTAATTTTTTTAAAGTTAACATTTTTCTACTGATGATGACATGTAACACTTGTTGAAATGTTTCAATTAAATAATTTTTACTTTACAAGGAGGGCCTATTGTCTTGTGTTTTACAAAAATACTCTTTTGCAATGGTAATAGCTGACAATTCATTTCTTATAGCTTTATCTTCATTACTTACAAAAAATGCAAATCAATTCAACAAAACAAAATCATTGTAATCTAAAAGATTTCATGTTATCAAAAGGATTAAAAGGTATAACTAGTCTTTTTGTACATTGTAATTCAAGATAAAACAAATCAGAAAATATGCATTTTGGAAAAACTTGCAGAAAAGTTATTTTTATTGTTGGAACATATAATGAAATTTAAGACAGATAAACTGCACATCTTAAGTATTTGGTTTAAATAGATAACTATGATAATGGTTTATATTTTTATAACTTTGTACGTAGTATTATGTTATCCAGTTCCTAACACTACAAAGTTTTGAGTGTATTACTATTCTATTATTTTGTATGTATGTATCTCAACAATTCTTAGTTTAGCATTTCTTTAGTTCATTCATTTTAACAAAAGTGGTAGTTTTATTGTTTTATGGTTGTACATTCCATTGTGCTGTAGTTTTATTCTTTTCATTTGTCTTTATATTTGCTATATTTGCTCAAAATGGCCCGAACCTTTGCTATTTTGTTTAAAATTTTTTGACTTTCCCACAACTTCTAAGAAAATGTATGCATATGTGAGTGTGTGCATGAGGGGGTGGATGGTGTTGCAGTTGCTCTTCTGCTCACCTACATACACCTATGTTTTTTAGTTGTGTAATTTTGTAACTATAGTATGGTCTTAGGAAAACTAGTTTCTACAGTTTTAAAGATTTAGATTTCTATGTTCTGTAGCAGTATGTTTTAAGTTTCGTTGTTCTATTGTTCTCAATTTATGCTGTTCTACATTCTTTAGTTTATGGCTCCAGATTCCATAATTCAACTTTCTAAGTTTTATTGTTCTATACGTAGTTCTGAGGTTCTATAACCTGGATTCTATACGTAGTTTTTAACTATATTTTTGCCTTTTAAATTGTTTTGTCAACATGTAAATAAATCATAACATCATAAACTTATGCAAACATAACGTTGTTAATCAATATCGTAAATACATAACGTTAACTTATTACCGTACCAATATTATGTACGTTACATGAATTAATTACATCATAAATCTAACATTTAATACACTATATTCTATTTAATAATTTACTAATTAGTTGAACAGCTTACCTTAATCAAAGATACGTTTATCACAATTTGTATTTGCAATGTACAAGAATTTTAAGATACTTCCGCAACAACTATTGAGCCCCCCATCTTTGTTATGCACTTATGGTTATCACGTGATCGCCGGGACGTTGTTGTGGTTACATAAAAGCAAGTTGTTAGTTTAAGACGGGACAACTACGTACTAGAACGTCCAAGTCCACGAGTTTAATACGTCTCTTTCCTTACCGGCAAAAGGTAAGCCGCAACTCTCACTAAAATGAACTGTTGTCATATATCCATGCGTCTATGTAGATAAATGAAACATTTTCTCTTTCTATGTTTCATAGTCAGTACGTGCACGAATGAAGCTGACGCTTCAAATCAGTATGCAATGAAAAGCATAAATATGAACTTGTCACCAAATCTTTCAACGCAATCGAAACAACCTTCGTCTCCTTCCAAAAGTGACGGAAGAGGTTTGGGAAAAGGAAGGCCGGGAGTTGCAAGGAAATATAAAGTCACCAAACAAAAACAGCGCAGACGAATGGAAAGAGGTATTTCTTCAACGAGCATAATGCCCCATAAGTGGCAGGCGCAAGCAGCGTAAAGGCGATTAGCGCCAAGTCCATGGCCCTGATTTAATTAAAGGAGTAGTCAGACCTTTACACAACTTTCACTTATATGAAAGTGTATATTGTTCTTACCTCTCACACGGTTTCCAATCTTAGGTTTCCAATTCAAATTTAACTCGAGAAATAATGCCTTAAATGTGTGTATTTTTGCCTCTTGTTCAATCGCCATTGTGTACATGCAAGCGAAGCCGCAGTCCAGCAGCGGTTTTTCGTCGTTACGTCACTGCGCGGTTTGGCGGGTATATTTAAATACAAATCACAATACAAACACAGATTTAAAGACGCAATTGTCTCACTTAATTTTGTTACAGTTATAAAAATGCCCTACTGTATGGTACCAGGATGTAACAATTGTTTGAAGAAAACCAAAGGTAGCGAAATATCATTTCACCGATTGCCAAACGACAAAAATCTTCGTCGAATGTGGCTAAGTCGTGTCAGACGCGAAAAACTACCGAAAGCAAATTCATGTTACGTTTGCAGCGCGCATTTTACGCCTGATTGTTTTCAAAATTCCTTCAAAGAGCTATTTAACATGAAAGCAAAGAAGACGCTAAAACCTGGTAGTTTACCGTCCATATTTCCATTCATAAAACGGAAACCGGAACGTTAGTTGTCAAGCAATAGAGCCCAAACAAGAGAAAAAATTGCACGACGACAGGTACTGTACTTTGTAATTCACAAAATTTAAACACCGTTGTCCTTGCATTATATACTTAGATGTTTTAATATTTATTCTATGTAGGAAGTGTGGAGCTTGTTAGAACAGTGTAATAACGAGCCTAGAGAGTCCACCAATATTGAGCATATGCAGGATACGACTGATGTTGATGTCACAATTTTCCGAAGTGTTGAAACACAATGTGACCAAAAAATTTTCGTCGATGCGGAATTCCAATGTGATATGATATCAAAACGAAGCATTGCTGTTCAAACCCTTGCCCCACGGAAAAGAAAAAGAAAGGGCACAAAACGTTCCAAAATTCATAAAGGCCCTCCCTCTTTGAAATCAAAAAATGTAAACATTTTGGGAGACTCAAAAATCGGCAATGCCAAATTAAGAATAAAAAGATTGTATTGTGGTTTGACAAAAATATGAATTTATGAAAGTGTTCTATATTCTTCGTGAAATTTTCGGCCTTTAGTGATGATCATTTGAACCAAAGCTTTTTTACCTATACTTTCAAAAGCATCTGCCAGTTCCTTGTACCAGGACTGCTTACTAATATCTTGTAAGTCAAACCACTCCCGCAGCATAGTATGTCCTTGTTGGACAACACCTTGTTGGTCTAATTTAATCTGTTTTATTATTTTACTACCAATATTCAGGTGTACGGCCAAAAATTGCCATTTGTCTGGAACTTCCTCTGCCAATTCCAGCAAGAATTTGTCAATATCTACAACAATACAGAAAAATCTTGTGTTATTTTTGATATTTTTTCTTTCGAGTATCACACGATCGCATGTTTTAAATATGTTTTAAAATTTTCAGACAGTGCATTCTTTTTTCCTTCTACAAAGATGTGACTCACATGTACTAGTATCACACCACATCACCTCCACTCATTGATCAATCAGTAAGCTCATCACTCAACTCATTCAACTCCTCTCCAATCTCATTCATTCAGCGGTAATGACAACATCACTTTTTGATTAAACATAGAGAACCGTACTATATATGAGGATTACATAATTTATGTTCTAAAAAGTAAAGTCACTTCTTTATGAGGTTTTCAAACACTAAATCATGTGGTGATGAAGGTGTCATGAGCCTGTGGGAGAGTAACCCCACAGTATTTTTCTATCTTTGGTCAAAATGACGGCAACAAATGGCAGTTTCTAGCTGTTTTGATCTCGATTTCAACGACAGACACAACTGACTTTGCAGACACGGGGATACACCTTAATTAGCAAGAGGAAATAAACGAAGCCTTTACCCATTGATTAAAATACTATTATTAATGAACTCGCTCGCCCCCACTCCCTCCTGATTTAAAATCAAGACCAGTGATCAAGAGAAGTGGGGCACTGTAACTACACGCAAAATAACTCATTTCAATGAGAAAAATGGCTAGGTTAGTATAACCTTCAATATTGTGTATTACTTCGTTTTATTTGGTTTTCGTGTTTTTTTCGTCGGTTTTCGTCTGTTCCTTCCTGGTTTTCGCGGTTTTCGTTTATACCTGCTTGCGTTTCTTCACGGGATGGCTCTGCAGTCTCTTGAGAAGGATATGGTGAACACCTCATGTACTCACCCATTATGTCTTTAGACTTTACGACGTGAAAAGTGGATTGAATTTTATTGTTGTTAAAGCTTGATAAATAAACATTGAAGTGTAGATTGTATTTAAACATCTATCAGTGGCTTTGCCAGCCTGCAAATTTGGTGCTGCTATGTTAATTTTTCTGTGTTCACTTACTGTGTAAACAACAGATTTCTAAGCAAATGAATAATGTATTCTAAAATTTACACAGCAGGACCAAAACTTGCAGGCTGGCTATGCTACTAACATCTATTCCACATAATAGTTTATTTAACATGGCCATTAAATTGTTTTAACATTGATCCATAGGCGTATGGGACAGAGGGCAGCTGCCCCCCCATGAATGTTTCAAGAATAAAACGTTGGAAAGAAAATATGTGAGAACCTTCATTGTGAGTTGGAGATAATATTTACTGCCTCCCCCCAGAAATAATAGCTCTTGTACGCATATGCATTCAGCATTATTTACAACATGAACATGCTTCTAATGACATTATATTGAACTGAAATTAATATCTTGTGAATGATTTTATTTTAAAGAATGATTTGCAGGTATGGGAATGATTTTGACTTCCGTGCATTCAGATAAATTGGTTTGAGGATAAAAACAGGTCCAAAAACATATATTTACTATTTTTCACTTAGGAAAAAAACACCATAAATTTTTACTTAAGTTATTTTTTATATTTGTTAGTCACAATATTCAAAAGTAATAATTTAGTCCTAGTAAAGTGTGGTAAAATGTATAGGATTATGGTTTATGGCTCTAGAACTCTATAGTTCTATATCGTCTAGTTCTAAGTTGTGAAGTCTTATAGTTTTACCCCTATTTAAGGCTTAGATTCATTACTTGCTTTAGAAATTAATTCATACTTATAGTTCTAACATTTTATAGTTTATAGTAGTAGCCTCATGTCCCTAAACAATTTTTAGTTTACTAGTTCTATAGTTCTAGGAAATGGTGTAACCTGTTAAGATAAAGTAAATTATATATCATTTAAAACATTTTTGTTTCTTTAGAGACATATTGTTTTATAACAAGTAAACCCAAAATATTTACATATTGTAACTAAAATATACAAGCTGCCTGGACCACTATCTCTAGATTCTTTCAACAGCTTTAAAGTTCTACAGACAAAATTTCATAATTGTTGGTTCATTAATTCTTAGTTTGGTAGACTCTAAGTGCTAAAAACCATGACCAGCCAACAATTTAAAGAAATATAGTATGAAGCAAATTCCGAAGAAGCAAGACATCTTGAGATTGCAAAATATGCATCAAAACAAGACGAGAAGTGAACTGTAAATTTTCGACTTTATTTCAAAGTCATCCTCAGACAGAATGATATTTAAAACCATACATACTCATATATATTTACAACGCATGAAATAAGTAAACGGAAGTAAGCAATAGAAATTAAATAGTGTGATATTTGCAAAGGCAGAGTTGGAAGAGGTGTAGTATTTCAAAAGGATGAATTGAAAGTGCCGACCTGACTGGTAGAATGAGTGTATTGTAATTTAAGAGAAGAGTTGTAATTCTTTGCTAGCCTTAAGTCCTGTTTTAAGAAAAGGTTTGTTATGTTTGATGAGAAGTGCTTCAAGAAAAGCAACAATGTGGTAGTTGTTAAATTTGGTTGAGTGAAGTATTTTATAGTTGTTGAATACAAGGTTTTCTTTAGGAGAGGGAGTTCTGGGAGGTGAAGGGAGATCATTGAGTTGTGAGAACTGGTTTTGTAAAGTAGCCGGGAATTGAGAGTTTTCGCACTCAAAGAAATGCTGGCCAACTGCACTAGAAGAGAGACTGGTTGCATGTTCTCTGAGCCGTACAGACAGGCATCTTTGTATCATGCCAATATAGGTTTTACCACAGCCAGGGCAAGTTATTTCGTTTATAAGATTACTGCGAGAAAGTGAAGGATGTTTGTCCTTGTTAGAGACAAAATAGGAGAGTCATAAATAATAACAAATTTTAGTGTCATAAATAATAACAACTTTCACCGGTTGAGAAAGATGTCTTCGTATTTTCTTAAAACAGGACTTTAAGAGGAAATCGCCACGCATGCCAAGATAAGGAATACGAACCCTGATTTTGGGTAGATTATCATCTATTGAAGAGCGGTTGTCAATGGGAATAGAATCATTGTATTTGGATTTTAGTTTTTTAAACAAAAAGTTTTAACGCTGTTAGGATAACCGTTCCAAGACATGTAAGATTTGATTATTTCAATTTGATTGTTGAAAAGTGTTTTATTGGTACAAATTTTGAAGGCACGGTGGTAAAGAGATTTTACCCATGCAATTTTTCGATGAAAAGGTTCGAAGCTAGAGAAATGTGAGTACTGACCAGTGTGGGTGTCTTTTCGGTAAATGTCAGTTCCGTCAACCGAAATTTTTATATCTAGAAAATGAATTATGCCATCGTGAAATGTATCAACTGTGAATGTGAGATTGGCATCAAAACTATTAAATTTCGATAAGACGGCGGAAATATTGGATGGTTTGATCAAAACAAGCGTGTCATCAACTTAACGGTTGTAGAATTTTATTGTGCCATCACATTTCCCATCTCATTAATCATTTGCCTTCAAAATTTGTACCAATAAAACACTTTTCAACAATCAAATTGAAATAATCAAATCTTACATGTCTTGGAATGGTTATCCTAACAGCGTTAAAAACTTTTTCTTTAAAAAACTAAAATCCAAATACAATGATTATATTCCCATTGACAACCGCTCTTCAATAGATGATAATCTACCTAAAATCTGGGTTTGTATTCCTTATCTTGGCATGCGTGGCAATTATCTCTTAAAGTCCTATTTTAAGAAATTACAAAGACATCTTTCTCAACCGGTGAAATTTGTTACTATTTATGACACTAAAAAACTCTCCTATTTTGTCTCTAACAAGGACAAACTTCCTTCACTTTCTCGCAGTAATCTTATATACGAAATAACTTGCCCTGGCTGTGGTAAAACCTATATTGGCATGATACAAAGATGCCTGTCTGTACGGCTCAGAGAACATGCAACCAGTCTCTCTTCTAGTGCAGTTGGCCAGCATTTCTTTGAGTGCGAAAACTCTCAATTCCCGGCTACTTTACAAAACCAGTTCTCACAACTCAATGATCTCCCTTCACTTCCCAGAACTCCCTCTCCTAAAGAAAACCTTGTATTCAACAACTATAAAATACTTCACTCAACCAAATCTAATAACTACCACATTGTTGCTTTTCTTGAAGCACTTCTCATCAAACATAACAAACCTTTTCTCAACACGGGACTTAAGGCTAGCAAAGAATTACAACTCTTCTCTTAAATTACAATACACTCATTCTACCAGTCAGGTCGGCACTTTCAATTCATCCTTTTGAAATACTACACCTCTTCCAACTCTGCCTTTGTAAATATCACACTATTTAATTTCTATTGCTTACTTCCGTTTACTTATTTCATGCGTTGTAAATATACATGAGTATGTTTGGTTTTAAATATCATTCTGTCTGAGGATGACTTTGAAATAAAGTCGAAAATTTACAGTTCACTTCTCGTCTTGTTTTGATGCATATTTTGTAATCTCAAGATGTCTTCCTTCTTCGAAATTTGCTTCATACTAAGTGCTAAAATTATTATACAGCTTTATCATTTTATGCTTATCTACAACTTGACATTTTTATTTTTCTATTTTCTACCCAGTCCTGGGCTCTGTGTGTGAACAACATTACTTCCTTTCTCAGCATATAAACGAAACATAATATCATAAAAGTTAGCAAACATTAGGTTGTTATTCAATATCATAATTACATAACGTTAACATATTACCAATATTTTGTACGTTACTTGAATGAATTACATCATAAATCGAACATTTAATACACTATATTGTTTTTTAATAATTTACTTATTACTTGAGCAGCTTACCTTAACAAGAGAAAACTTGATAAATACGTGTTTCAACTACAAAATTCGGCAATCTAGCAAGAATGTTAGAATAGCTATACCGCAATGGGGAACCCCCATTGTGTATTGTAAATGTTCACTGACAGGTGGTTATCACGTGTTACAACAACGGGAGTCACGTGTTTATAATAGTTGTGTTTAGACTTGGACTTGGTTCACTGATAATAAAATATTTCAAAAAATGATAATCCAGAAAAAATAATGTTGATGTGAAAACCGTACGGTTTTAATTTCTCCTTTGCGAAATTTCTAAGGACAATGTTATTCTATGCAAAAGATTTTATTTTTATTCGCTCTATAATATTTTCCATTTGATTCAATCAACTTACCTAATGAAAATTACTGTAGGTGTTTTTATCAGCTTCATGATAGCATGAATATTTTAGAAATTTTAAATAAAAACTTAACTTCAACTGTTAACAATAATCGAACGAGCAGCGATGTGTTTGTAAAATAATTTTTGAATTTCATTCGCATTTGAAACAAATAAGAAACATTTTATGCATTTGTTCGATAATTGTTTGATTTCGAATATTTTTAAAATCATCTCTTAATTAACCCCTTAAATTTGTCTTTACGACTTAAAATGTTTTAATTATTCGGGGTGCATAAAAAGACCTTTAGAAAAGTTAACACTTTATAAAATTTCAATGTTGGATCAATATGTTATTCTATTCGTGCATTACTGTGCATGTGTTGTTGTTAGAAGTTATGTCAAATTCTCAGGAGTAGAAAAAATTTTGTGCAAGAAAACATAAATATTTTGTAAGTTAAACTAAAGCGACGGACATCAAAGAAAAATCTTATTTGCAGAAATTTGGGCCTTTTTTGATAATCGTTTTGGCCAATTCTTGTTTGCCTAGATTCTTAATAGCATTTGCCAGTTCACAGAACCAGAAAAGCTCATTATCTTCACGTGACTCCCACCAATACTTTAGCATATTATATCCTTGCCAGACAACACCACGTTGATCTGCTTCAATTTCTCTTATTTTGGGATTATCAACCTTCAGGTCGGTTGCCAACATTGTCCATTGATCGGAAACTTGACGCGCCAACTCCAAAAAGAATTGGTCAATAGCTACAACAGTTAATAAAAAAATGCCTCGTGAGTCGTGATATCATTATTTTGTAAATAAATGTGGCATTCTCTCGTCAATAGAGGTCGCGCAAGATCGAAATGAATAGTGCGGCAATTAATGACAAGAAGCGTTATTTTGATGGGAGACAATCTATTTGGGTAATCCTTTATGACTTGGCGTTCGTCAGGTAAGGCTTTTATAGTTTCTTACTGGACACGTAATATCTGGGGGGGACTGGGGCAAACAATAAAGTTGGGGGAGCAATTGGCCTTTTTGCGCCCTCTCCTCTCGCACATACTCGCAGAGCTGCCACTGCTCATTGAGATTCTATAATTTTTCATATTTTAATTTACTTTGTTGTGTTTGGTTTTGGCTTGTTGGGTTTTTTCTTGCTGTTTGATTTTTGCTTTGTGAATTGCCAACCATGTTCTCATCAGTCATCAACTTTCTTAGATTACTAGGATATTATGAAAACATGGAATAAATTTATTGTTGTAACAGCTTGACAAATTCACATTAGTCGTCAACAGACCTCATATTCATAATAATCTAAATTAAGAATGTAACCTTTCCTTCAAAGGATATGTTGATCACAAATGTCGTTGAGCTCTTTCTCGTACATGCAAATTAATTGTTTCAGACATTTCTCTAATGCTTGATCATTTGTAAATTTGTTATGGATTTGTCAAGTTCCTGTAGTTCTAACTTTTATAGTTTTCGTGGCTCGGTAATTCTTAGTTTAGAAATTCTGAAGTTATTTAGAACTGTAGTTTTAAGTTCTATAGTTCTGATGTAACTACACTTCTAAAGTTCTATGTTTCTGAAGTGTTGTAGTCCTGGGCTCAGTAATTCTAAGTTTAGAAGTTGTTGATGTCTATAGTTCTAAAGTTCTATAGTTTTAACGGTCGATACTTCTATAGTTTTATTGTTTTTTGAGGTTCAATAGGGTATATTAGAAAAACTATACAGTTATATGAAAAGGTTGCTAAATTCATTAGAGCGAAAGGTGTGCATTAAACTTTGTTAGAGATAGGTACTTTAACTTACGATGCTTCATCTAACAGTAAATTTGTCGCACATAAGTTTGAGCTTTCGTTTTTCCAATGCCATTTTTTACTAGTCTAACAATTTATGCAAAAGTTGACCTTGCAAAAACTTAATTCATGCAAACACGCATAATTAATGAGCTTTTTAAAAAAGGTATTTAAAACAAAATATTAATAGACGACACAATCAGCGATTTGGAAGTTCGTTTTTTAAAGTGTTCAGTTTTTTGTACACCTTTAATTTATTTTAGCTGTATACAGCTCTAGGTGTTGTATTAATGTGTTTTACGTTCTATTGTCAGCATACAAACAAATTTTAATCATTGATTATGATATGATAAAACTTGAGCAAGTTCGTTGTTATTCAATATCATCACTACATAACGTTCACATATTACCAATATTTGTACGTTACATGAATGAATTACATCATAAATCTAATGTTTAATACACTATATTGTTTTTAATAATTTACTTATTACTTGAGCAGCTTACCTTAACCAAAGATAACTTGATAAATACTTTTATGATAAGAACGTTCGTTAATGTAGAAAAATATTTCAGGAATGGGGAAGCCCCATCGTTTTTTTGTATTTATGTTTTATGTTCTCCTGAAGGGAGTTATCACGTGTCATGTTACCCAGTAATCACGTGTTAAAATGTTTTGTTTTATCAATACTTTGGATTTTGGATCATTCTGTGACGCGAAGTGATAAGATGTTGCAACAACAATTATTTACTTTATCGAGAGAAATTACTTCAGCAGAAAAAGCCTAATGATTTGATTTTAACTTTTTAAAGGATAAATACCAATAAAAGCTTTGTTAAAGTGTGAGCGGCGCAAAAATTTGTTTCTGGAAAAATATTCTATTTTATTTGCTTACGTCTTTTTGTTGAGTAATGCTTTGTTGTGGTCTTTCAACTTTTTAAAAACTTAAAAAAAACTCAAAACTTTTTATATAAAATAGCGAAATTAAGAAAGGTGATTAAGAATAAATACATCACTGAAAAAAATTCACTTTACTTCGTTTTAAGTTGTTTTGAACAATTATCACAGTTTAGTGTAACCAGTTCGCATTATGTAGAATAATAAATTGAAAAACAGAAACTGTTCCTCTCATGTTTTTCCAACCATTTATGACTAGAAATGTTGTACAAAAAAACATAACTTTCCTTAAGTATCAGTTTATGGTGCAGTTACACTCTAATTATTTTCACGGGCACCCAAAGTTTTGGGTGTCAGTTGCGCGACGATTGCAAAGGTAAAATCCAACGAACAGTTATTGTTTCTTTTTTTGTTGAAAAATAAAGGAACTAAAACAATAAAACAACATCCGTAAGTAAGATACAATATAATTTGTAAAAAAGTGGAGTTTAGTATATTGGTATGTTAAATTTAGAAACACTAAAGTTTTAGTTAAAATCTTTGTATAATAAAGTAGGAAGGATACGAGTATATTATGCGATAAAACATTGGTATTGTAAAGCAAAAAAAACATTGAAGTTCAGCTTGGCTGTAAAAAATTTGTACAACTAAACAGCTAGGGAGCAAAACTTGCATTTGAAGTCATAAAACGAAATGTTTTACGTAAGGAAACTGCAACAATTTGCAATTTACAGGCGTATTACTTTCGTTAAAATGTCAATTGTGAAAACGAAATGTCGATATCGTTGACAAGAAATCTAACGATAACGCACATTGATAGCAGGGCCTTCGTTTTTTATCTTTTCGGCCAGATCTCTGTTGTCCGTGCTAGCAATAATAGCATTTGCCAGTTCCTCGTACCACAGTATCTTCTTATGACGGGACTCCCACCAATACTTCAGCATGGTATATCCTTGCCAGACGACACCACGTTCGTCTATTTCGATTTCTTTTATTTTCTCATGACTAATATTAAGGAAGATAGCAAAATTTTTCCAATCACTGGGAATTTTCCTCGCCAAATTTATTAGATATTTGTCCATAGCTGCAACAGTCAATACAGGGTTTTAAGAAGCTTAAACAGATGTGTTAGAAATATCATACAGCAACTATGTTTACAAAGATGGAATTTCTTTACAAGAATAAATATGAAAATTTATGAGTGATTGCCCAATTCATTAATAAATAACAACAAAATATTCATAATCACATTAGTGCAGTTTGTTTTTCTTTTACACTTGCTAGAAACAGTTACTTCAACTATCTTATTATTTTCCTTTTCCAAGAGTAAACTGTATTTGTGTCAAGAAAAAGAGGTTTTTCTATCCTTTTAGTTGGGGGAGAAAAAATTCAAGTTGACAGGTATTACTTATTTGTAACGTTTCTTGTAGGTGGGTTTCACTGAAGAAATAAAAGATATTTATTGTGTTTGCACAGGCTTATGCAAACCGAGGAGACCGTTAAGAGAACTCGAGAGCAGATCAGTGTAAGCCCGAGATCGAAGGTTGCACATGCTCCAGAGTTCTCACAAACGTCTCCGAGGTTTGCATTAGGAAGTGCAAATACGAAAAATATCTTTATTTCTTTTATAAAATAAAAATGATGTATACTCACTGGTGTCAGGTGTACACTCACTGGTGTCAGGTGTACACTCACTGGTGTCAGGTGTACACTCACTGGTCTCAGGTGTACACTCACTGGTGTCAACTGTACACTCACTGGTCTCAGGTGTACACTCACTGGTCTCAGGTGTACACTCCATTGTCTCAGGTATCCTTTGTTGTTCATCAAGGAACCGGGGCATCCCCGCTACAAAAATGGTTTAAGATGTTCGCTTAAAGTAGTATTGATTCATAGTATTGATTCAATATGTGACAGATGAAAAGGATGTAAAACTGTGAAAAGTTGGATAACTTGCTTGGTTGTTTTTCTTTAAATTGATAGTTTCTCTTCAGTTTCCTTCAATTATTATTTTCAAAATATGCATTTTTTTCTTATTTCTTACATTGAGGTTTCTTAGAGGATTTCCAATATTCAGGAGAGACATGACTTGGGCGATCAACAAAGACAAACAGCTTTCACACAAAAAAATTGATAATAGACATTTAAACTGTACTTTTAATTTTATTTTCCAAAGAGTGAATAATAAGCGTGATGTGTTTCAAACTTAAATTTTGCTCTGAAAAGAGTATTTTGTCATGCGCTGAATGATAATTGAGTGGTTTTGAAAACCAAAGTAAAGATAGCTATAAAATTTAATGACCCGATACGTTTCGACAGATTTCTGTCTCGTACAACGTGCCATTAAATTTTATAGCTACAATTATCATTTGGTTTTCAACAGTCCTTTTTTAAGTTCTATCACAGACTCGAAAAACACGAGATGAAAAATTTTATTAGCTCTAAACATTTCTGTTCTTATTCAAAATCAAACTTTCCTTACAACAATTTGTAACCATACAACCAGGAGCCTAGATTGCTTTGTTTGAGTATTGAGTAAAAGCGTTAATGCCAAAATCTCATTTTTTAATGTTTACCCACCTTGAGATTCTTTATCCTCACTGGTTGTTGAAGGGCCATCGACAGTCGATGACGCACCATATGTCTTGCTGGTCTCAGGTGTATACTCACTTGTGTCAGGTAAACACTCACTGGTGTCAGGTGTAGACTCACTGGTGTCAGGTGTAAACTCACTGGTGTCAGGTGTAGACTCACTAGTGTCAGGTGTATACTCCTTGGTCTCAGGTATCCTTTGTTGTTCATCAAGGATCCGGGGCATCCGCGCTACAAAAATGGTTTAAGATGTTCGCTTAAATGAATTAACAACAGTCCATAGTATTGAGTCAATATGTGACAGATGAAAATAAAGGTAAAACTGTGAAAAGTTGGATAACTTGCTGGGTTGTTTTTCTTTAAATTGATAGTTTCTTTTTAGCTTCCTTCAATTATTATTTTCAAAATATGTATTTATTTCTTATATCTTACATTAAAATTTATTAGAGAATTTCCAATATTCAGGAGGGACACGACTTGGGCGATCAACAAAGACAAACAGCTTTCACACAAAAAGCAATTTGTTTTATGTATTGTGAATGAGAACGTAGAAAATAAATCCTTGCCAAAAAAAATGAAAAAAAGATTTTTTTGCTTTACAGACCACTTCTGAAACTGTTAAATCTATGAGAAAATCAATCATTTAATATAGCAATATAATTCTGATGTTGCTCATCAAATTTTTACCTTGTTTCTTCAGTCGTAAATGGGCGATTGCTCGCACAATGTTTACTGCATGGATTTTACGAATACGTTCGATGACTTCAGGTTTTTGTTGCAGCATTTTTCGAAGGTTTTCATTACTTTTGCATTGTTTAAGATGACGGAAAGAAATCATCAAAGCCGTAAACCTTTTACGTCCAATTCTACTGTAAAAATCTGCTAAACCAACCAGAGCTTCAAGTTGATACAAATGCTGACTATCTTCCCTTGCGTTTTCTGCTGAAATGGCAAACATCTTTATCGCTTGCTTGTCTCCTACTTGCATGTAGAAATGAGCTACATCGTTCATATACCTGGACAATCCAACAAGACTACTTTTTTGGTTATCTTGACTTTCATACAACTGCAACACTTTTGTTATTTCAACGCAAGTACGGATCCCATCTTCAGAGATTAATTTCACATAATCAACAGCATTTGATGGCATTGCAAGTAAATTTTTACAGCATTTCAAGATTTGATTGTAGCAAATCAACTTGCTGTACATATCTCCGTTTCTCTTCTTTAAGATTCCCATTTCAAAGAACAGTTGTTTATTATTAATCAGTTGCTTGTAACATTCGATGGCAGTTTCCAAATCTTTCTTTTGAACTTCTGCAGTTTTTGCCACTAACTTGTCGTTCTCGACACAGTCATCATTGACAAGGAGATAAAGAAGAGCATTTGTTTGAACAAGATATCCATGAAAGACATCAATCCCAGGTCCCAGTTCTTTGTTGATTTCATTTGCCAGACAGTACGCCAGTTTCATAAGATTGATGTAAAATTTTGGATTCGTGAGTTTTCTTCTATCGTGATAAAAATAGTTTCTACCATAGCTATATATTAATGAGACATAAAGCTCAGCGAGGAACAGATGACTATACCTTTCAATATGAATAGCTGCTTTATGTTTTACCAATTTATCCACGATGTCTGGTGATAGTGGTTGTGAAAGTTCGATAATTTCCTTCAAGTTTTCATCATTTTTGAGTTCATCCGGGAACGCGTCAAGATCTTGTTTGTTCAGAGATCGACAATATACAAGATCGTAAACAATACTTGGCATTTGGGAACTCTTTTTTTTCATTTTTTTCATTAATTGTTCTGCTACGCAAGATGTAGAGTGAGTTATGTCGTACATTTTTTTCTTGTCATCAGACTCCTCCAGGAAATTTCTTTTTAACGATTCAACAGGCTGCAAGTCATCCTCAGTCACCCCACACAACTCGTGAAGAAGATCTCTCGACGCTTCGAAGAAAGTGTCCAGTTTTTGTAGCACACAAGGTTTCTCTTGGGTATACGTAAATCCAATGAGCTCTGCTAGTCTAGCTAATGTGATCTTGGTTCTATCATCTTTCTTTTCATTCTTCCATTTATTCAGGAATATCTCTGCATGCTCACGAACGATATGCAACCGAAAATTATCTTTTGAGAAACGATTATCTTTGTTGATGTACTTCATAAAAACTCCTGATAACTTATAAAGTACTTCTGACTTAAGGGTTTCTTTTTCATCAACCATGTTTTTTATCACATGTTGGGTAAAAGAATGGAATGAAAAAAGGCGGATATCACCTTCTCTTGTTATTTTAATCAGCGACTTAACACCATTACAAAGCTCACTCATTTCTAGTATATTGATGTGGGGTCACTTGAAGGTAATTGACTGCTTAAAAGGAATTCTGGTATGCCATTATTACTAAGAAAAGCCACAGCTGCAATGACAGGAAAGAACTTATCTTCAACCTTTTCTAAACAGGTTTGCACTGCAATGTAAAGGTGTGTTTCGTGATTTTGCTCTTTGTCACGAACTTTCTTTGCTGCGACTTTGTGTTTTAACATGCCTAGATAATCATTAATGGATATCATATTTTGAATAATATAGTCTTTGGAAGCTGTTAAGCCAAGAATATTCCAGCCAAAATAGTCACAGAGCTTTCTTTTCATTTCTTTGTCGTCATTAATATCTTTAAGAAATTCTATTCCTTCATCAAATCGATCAACTTCAATTTTCTCGGATATATTCCAAAGAGGATGGTTGAGGATACGATCGTTCGTTGTGATGAGGATGTTGATTGAATGACGAACATTCCATAAATCTTTAAACCATTCTTCTTTAAGATTCTTAAACACCAAGTTGTCAAGCAAAAAAATTACATTCAATTCTTCTGCTCGTATCTCAATAGATGTCAGCATTTCTTTATAACTGGTTGAAAACTTCTTCGCTAACTTTGTCAAAGATTCAGCGACTCGTTCGTTGTTAAAGGTCTTAAGATCTATCAACCAACTGATGTCATATTTGTCTGTGTTGACAACAAGATAATTTAAAGCAGCAGATGATTTTCCCACTCCAATTGATCCATGCAAAATTATTGGAACTCCTTTTTTCAATCGCTGAAGTTGATCATCTAATTCCCTTCTTTGAAAATACTGATAATCTGGTTTGCGCCAATTGGAAGCTCTGATTTTTCTATCTAGGATAAAAGATTCTCACCAAAAATTTTTAAAAAATTGACAAATGAGTGACATTATTGCATTTAATTATTTCATGCATTTCTTGATTGGATTAACCGTTGTTGGTATCCTATGGATAGTTTATGGAAACATGCAGAAGGAAAAGATAAAAATTAATTACCTTCAGTTGAAACAGCTCCATTATTTACTTCACTGGAAGAGCCAGCATGAATAATATGTAGAGGAGCATTATTTACTTCACTTGAAGTACCAGTTTGAGTAACATTAGCTGTCATGTGATCACCAATTATAGTATTGCCACCAGTTATATATATATTCCTGTTAGACTCGTCCTTCACAACTAGATGAAAAATGATCTTTTTCACTTCATCGTTTGCTATACCTCAAATTCATACTTAGAAGGAAAATTTTGCCTTCTGTATCATATGTGCAAACATCAGACAATAATATTGACATACGCGAGCCATTTATCTCAATGGCCATTATGAATTACAATTTAACATATGCACTCGCTTATTCGCGTTCATATGGTCTTTTTCAGAGCATCTAAAAAACTTTCACTTTAAAAAGTTTACATGTACATCGTATGACGAAACATCACGTGATTTCTAAATATATTAACAATACTAATATTTTTAATAAATGCACCCCCTCCCTAACTTAAATTCATTCCTACAAATTCCTACGCCTACGACGTCAAGTATTTCATCACATAAAGAAATACACGACACTTTAACTCGTTCAGATTCGCCGGTAGGTTTTTATTGAAATAGCGTCAATGCTAGTTTTCTTTCTAGAAATGTGTAACTTTCAACTCTTCGGTTTTAAAATGAACACGACACAGCGCTCTCTAAAATATTCTACATTATGACTAAAAATTAAAAATAGTTCTTAAATTTGTTCATCAATTTATGATCATAAGTGAGTATACAATTAAAAGACAGCTAACAGCGTCGTTCGTGACTGTTGTCAGTTGACAATATGAAACATAAATGAAACGATTACATTACCCAATAAACATTATACGTAAACTGTTATCAAATATCAATATTGTCCACATACCACTGATCCAATGCTACCGGCTAATAACATACACTATACCATTTCTATGATTTGTACATTTGTTTTCTGCAATCTGTTTTTATATGCATAAACATTATGATTTTTGGTATTTATTAGTGTACATTTACGTAAATAGTTTTCTGTGTTATTTTATACAAGAAAGAGTGTTCATCAAAACGAATTGACCATTGATTGAACTCTGATCGAGATGTGATCAGGCGAATGTTACAAGAATACAATGTTCGATATCGATATGTTCGCGTTAATTAGGAAGGAAACGCTTTACACTCAAAATAAAAAATTCTTTGAATTTCATGCGAGACGTTTTAATTATCAATGCTATAAGCTACGTGGTGCTGTGTTGATAACATTGTATTTTGAGAGCGTTTCATAAATCAAAATTTATTACATTACTCGTAAATCAATCAAGAAGCTATAATAAATTAATCTGTTTCTTTAAGATGCTTACCTTGCCTTGAAACATAAAAAAAACTCACTTTAAAATGTCTTGACTTGCGATAAAACTCTTGACAGGTGGACTTCCGGAAATAAACGACAACAGGAAAAGTAAATTAAATAAGACACTTGCTTCTGGATGTATCCTCCCCCCCGGTTCCTTAGTCTGCTCCAGGGCAAGGCACAGTGTGCAAATGATTGTCTGTCTTGTGCTTGTAAGAACTAGGAAACTGAAATGTACGTTACTGAAAATTTAAGATCAGATCAGCATTGATGGAGCTGAGACCCATTTAGGTAACTTCTCACTGAAACTTTTAGGAAATAAACAAATGTTCAAATTTTAAACATTGTTAACATGTAAATGAACAACATAACTTTCTACAAAGTAAATTTGCAACAGAACATAAGATGTTTCTGAAATTTAGACTCTTCTTTTATGTAACAATTAAAATATTAATATTCCTATTTTAGAGAAATTTCCTAATGTTACGTATTTCCGGAAACAAAAAATTTTCAACAGTAAATTATGCAAAATTATTCATACAATCGTGGATGATGAATGTGTAGTTGCATACTCAAAACTTTTTATATAAAATAGCGAAATTAAGAATCGTGATTTAGAATAAATACATCACTGAAAAAAATTCACTTTACTTCGTTTTAAGTTGTTTTGAACAATTATCACAGTTTAGAGTAAACAGTTCGCATTATGTAGAATAATAAATTGAAAAACAGAAACTGTTCCTCTCATGCTGTTCCAACCATTTATGACTCGAAATGTTGTACAAAAAAACATAACTTTCCTTAAGTATCAGTTTATGATGCAGTTACACTCTAATTATTTTCACGGACACCCAGTGTTTTGGGTGTCAGTTGCGCGACGATTGCAAAGGTAAAATCCAACGAACAGTTATTGTTTCCTTTTTTGTTGAAAAATAAAGGAACTGAAACAATAAAACAATATCCGTAAGTAAGATACAATATAATTTGTAAAAAAGTGCAGTTTAGTATATTGGTATGTTAAATTTAGAAACACTAAAGTTATATTTAAAATATTTGTATAATAAAGTAGGAGAGATACGAGTATATTATGCGATAAAACATTGGTATTGTAAAGCAAAAAAAAACAACAATGAAGTTCAGCTTGGTTGTAAAAAATTTATACCACAAAACAGCTAGGGAGCAAAACTTGCATTTGAAGTCATACAACGAAATGTTTTACGTAAGGAAACTGCAACAATTTGCAATTTACAGGCGTATTACTTTCGTTAAAATGTCAATTGTGAAAACGAAATGTCGATATCGTTGACAAGAAATCTAACGATAACGCACATTGATAGCAGGGCCTTCCTTTTTTATCGTTTCGGCCAGATCTCTGTTGTCCGTGCCATCAATAATAGCAGTTGCCAGTTCCTCGTACCACAGTATCTTCTTATGACGGGATTTCCACCAATACTTCAACATGGTATATCCTTGCCTGACGACACCACTTTCGTCTATTTCGATTTCTTTTATTTTCTCATGACTAATATTAAGGAAGATAGCCAAATTTTTCCAATCACGGGGAATTTCCTTCGCCAAATTTATTAGATATTTGTCCATAGCTGCAACAGTCAATACAGGGTTTTAAGAATCTTAAACAGATGTGTTAAAAATATCTTAAAGCAACTATGTTTACAAAGATGGAATTTCTTTACAAGAATAAATATGAAAATTTATGAGTGATTGCCAAATTCATTAATAATATAACAACAAAATATTCATAATCACATTAGTGCAGTTTGTTTTTATTTACACTTGCTAGAAATAGTTACTTCAACTATCTTTTTATTTTCCTTTTCCAAGAGTAAACTGTATTTATGTCAAGAAAATGAGGTTTTTCTATCCTTTTAGTTGGGGGAGAAAAAATTCAAGTTGACAGGTATTACTTATTTGTAACGTTTCTTGTAGGTGGGTTTCACTGAAGAAATAAAATATATTTATTATGTTTGCACAGGCTTATGCAAACCGAGGAGACCGTTAAGAGAACTCGAGAGCAGATCAATGTAAGCCCGAGATCGAAGGTTGCACATGCTTGAAAGTTCTCACAAACGTCTCCGAGGTTTGCATTAGGAAGTGCAAATATGAAAAATATCTTTATTTCTTTTATAAAATAAAAATGATCTATACTCACTGGTGTCAGGTGTACACTCCATTGTCTCAGGTGTACACTCACTGGTGTCTGGTGTACACTCACTGGTCTCAGGTGTACACTCCTTGGTCTCAGGTGTAGACTCACTGGTGTCTGGTGTACACTCACTGGTCTCAGGTGTACACTCCATTGTCTCAGGTGTACACTCACTGGTGTCTGGTGTACACTCACTGGTCTCAGGTGTACACTCCATTGTCTCAGGTATCCTTTGTTGTTCATCAAGGATCCGGGGCATCCGCGCTACAAAAATGGATTAAGATGTTCGCTTAAATGAATTCACAACAGTCCATAGTATTGACTCAATATGTGGCAGATGAAAAGGACGTAAAACAGAGAAAAGTTGGATAACTTGCTGGGTTGTTTTTCTTTAAATTGATAGTTTCTATTCAGCTTCCTTCAATTATTATTTTCAAAATATGCATTTTTTTCTTATATCTTACATTAAGATTTATTAGAGGATTTCCAATAGTCAGGAGAGACACGACTTGGGTGATCAACAAAGACAAACAGCTTTCACACAAAAAGCAATTCGTTTTATGTATTGTGAATTAGAACGTAGAAAATAAATCCTTGCCGAAAAAAATGAAAAAAAAAATTTTTTGCTTTACAGAGCACTTCTGAAACCGTTAAATCTATGAGAAAATCAATCATTAAATATAGCAATATACTTCTGATGTTGCTCATCAAATTTTTACCTTGTTTGTTCAGTCGTAAATGGGCGATTGCTCGCACAATGTTTACTGCGTGGATTTTACGAATACGTTCGATGACTTCAGGCTTTTGTTGCAGCATTTTTCGAAGGTTTTCATTACTTTTGCATTGTTTAAGATGACGGAAAGAAATCATCAAAGCCGTAAACCTTTTACGTCCAATTCTACTGTAAACATCTGCTAAACCAACCAGTGCTTCAAGATGATACAAAGACATTTTAAATTTCCTTGCGTTTTCTGCTGAAATGGCAAACATCTTTATCGCTTGCTTATCTCCTACTTGCATGTAGAAATGAGCTACTGCGTTCATATGCCTGGACAATCGAACAAGACTACTTTTTTGGTTATCTTGACTTTCATACAACTGCAACAATTTTGTTATTTCAACGCAAGTACGGATCCCATCTTCAGACATTAATTTCACATAATCAACAGCATTTGATGGCATTGCAAGTAAATTTTTACAGCATTTCAAAATTTGATTGTAGCAAATCAACTTGCTGTACACATCTCCGCTTCTCTTCTTTAAGATTCCCATTTCAAAAAATGATTGTTGATCATCTTTAAGCTGCTTGTAACATTCCATGGCATTTTCAAAATCTTTTTTTAGTACTTCATCAGTTTTAGAAACTACCTTCTCGTTCTCGACACAGTCCTCATTGACAAGGAGATAAAGAAGAGCATTTGTTTGAACAAGATATCCATGAAAGACAGCAATCCCAGATTCCAGTTCTTTGTTGATTTCATTTGCCAGACAGTACGCAAGCTTCATAAGATCGACATAAAAACTTGGTTTCTTGAGTGTTTTTCTATCGTGATAGAAGTAGTTTCTACCATAGCTATATATTAATGAAACATAAAGCTCAGCGAGGAACAAATGGCTATACTTTTCAACACCTATTGCCACTTTATGTTCTACCAATTCATGCACGATGGCTGGTGTCAGCGGTTGAGAAAGTTCGATAATTTCTTTCAATTTTTCATCATTTTTGAGTTCATCCGGGAACACGTCAAGATCTTGTTTGTTCAGAGATCGACAATATACAAGATCGTAAACAATACTTGTCATACATGGTATTTGGGAACTCTTTTTTTTCATCTTTTTCATTAAGTTTTCAGCTACATGATATGTGGAGTGAAGTATGTCGTAGATTTCTTGCTTGTTAACAGATCCCCACGAAAAAGCGCTTATGAATGAATAAAACGATCCAACAGGCTGCAAGTCATCCTCAGTCACCCCACACAACTTATGAAGAAGATTTCTCGATGTTTCGAAGAAAGTGTCCAGTTTTTGTAGCAAAGGAGGTTGTTCTTGAGTATACGTAAATCCAATGAGCTCTGCGAGTCTAGCTAATGCGATCATGGTTCTATCATCTTTCGTTTCATTCTTCCATTTATTCAGGAATATCTCTGCATGCTCACGAACGATATGCAACCGAGAATCATCTTTTGAGAAACGATTATCTTTGTTTATGTACTTCATAAAAACTCCTGATAACTTATTAAGTACTTCTGACTTAATGGTTTCTTTTTCATCAACCATATCTTTGATCACTTGTTGGGTAAAAGAATGAAATGAAAAAAGGCGGATATCACCTTCTCTTGTTATTTTAATCAGCGACTTAACACCATTACAAAGCTCATTCATTTCTAGTATATTGATGTGGGGATCACTTGAAGGTAATTGACTGCTCAAAAGGAATTCTGGTATGCCATTATTACTGAGAAAAGCCACAGCTGCAATGACAGGAATGAACTTGTCTTCAACCTTTTCTAAGCAGGTTTGTACTGCAATGTAAAGGTGTATTTTGTGCTTTTGCTCTTCGTCACGAACTTTCTTTGAGACTTTGTGTTTTAACATGCCCAGATATTCATTAATGGATATCATATTTTGAACAATATAGTCTTTGGAAGCTGTTAAGCCAAGAATATTCCAGCCAAAATAGTCACAGAGCTTTCTTTTCATTTCTTTGTCGTCATTAAGATCTTTAAGAAATTCTATTCCTTCATCAAATCGATCAACTTCAATTTTCTCGGATATATTCCAAAGAGGATGGTTAAGGATACGATCGTTTGTTGTCATGAGGATGTTGATTGAATGATGAACATTCCATAAATCTTTAAACCATTCTTCTTTAAGATTCTTAGACTCCAAGTTGTCAAGCAAAAAAATTACGTTTAATTCTTCTGCTCTTTTCTCAATAGATGTCAGCATTTCTTTATAACTCATATTGGTTGAAAACGTTTTCGCCAACTTTGTCAATGGTTCAACGACTTGTTCGCTGTCAAAGTTCTTAAGATCTATCAACCAACTGATGTCATATTTGTCTTTGTTGACAACAAGATGATTTAAAGCTGCAGAAGATTTTCCCACTCCAATTGATCCATGCAAAATTATTGGAACTCCTTTTCGCAATCGCTGAAGTTGTTCATCTAATTCCCTTCTTTGAAAATAATGATAATCTGGTTCGTGCCAGTTGGAAGCCCCGATTTTATTATCTAGGATAAAAGTTTGATACCAAATATTTGTAAAAAATTGATAAATCCGTGACATTGTTACTTTTAAACATTACATGCATTTCCTTTATTGGAATGACCGTTGTTGAATAGTTTATGGACACAGATGGAAAAGATACAAATTACCTTCAATTGAAACAGCTCCATTATTTACTTCACTGGAAGAGCCAGCATGAGTAATATGTAGAGGAGCATTATTTACTTCACTTGAAGTACCAGTTTGAGTAATATTAACTGTCACGTGATCACCAATTATAGTATTGCCGCCAGTTATATATATATTCATTTTAGACTCGGCCATCACAACTAGATGAAAGACAAGACGGTTAGGGCATTTAAAATGATCATTTTTCTTCATTGTTTATTATACTTGAAATTCATACTTAGAAAGAAAATCTGGCCTTCAGTGTCATATGTGCAAACATAAATTTGACATCTCTTTGGCCATCATGAATTACAATTCAAAATATGCACTCCGCCGTTTATTCATGTTAATATGGATCTTTTTTAGAACATCTTTCTCAAACTTTTACCTTGAAACGTTGACAAGCACATCGTGTGACTTTTGCCTTTTGAAATTTATTAACAGTTGATATTAAAGTATTTTCATGTGTATCAAGTATCAAACGTACCATATTTTGTCAACCATCTGTATATATGCTATCTAAAGATAATTTTTCAACGAAGGCCCCCTCCCCTCCCCCCTTTAATTTTAAATGAGTTGCTACGCCTGTGACGTCAAGTATTTGTCATCACTGACATCACACGTTCACTTCTTCAGATTCATAGCTAGGTTTCCATTTTCCATTGGAATAGCGTCAAAAGCCGTCGATATTAGTTTTTTTCCCAAATATGTACAGTATGTTTCAAGAATCGCTTAAAATTTACACAATTAGGGTCTGCACGCAGGCTAAGCGCTTTATAAATACGCTACATCTAAAATCTAAAATAGTCATTTTTTAGTACATCCAACAATTTATGTTCATGAGTGTACAATTCAAAAACAGCGTTGTTTGAGACTGTTGACATGATGAAGCATAAATGAAACCAAGTTTATTCTTGTTGTTCAGATCTTGTTCGTACATCAACCGTAAACAAACGCCAACAATATTGTTTACATACCACAATAATAATACAGGACAACATTTCTACAGCTTGTACACTTGTACTTTACAGTACAATCTGTTATTAAGTTACCTCCATACAGATTATGACATTTATTGCTGTACAACGTCAATAGTTTTAATTAGTATAGTTTACTGTGTTATCTGCCACAAGAGAAAGCTAGCTTCATAGAATTATCAAATTGAACTCACGATGGAGAAACTACGATCAGGCGAATGTAACAAAAATACACTTTGACAATATGTCTACGTTAATTAGGAAGAAAAAAAATTAAGCCCTTACCGTGATAAAATATTCTTTGATTCTTATGAAAGACGTGTTGATGATCAATATTATAAGCTAAGTATACGTCGTCGGTTTACGCAATGATATTGTAATTTTGAGCGTTTCACAAACTAAAATTTTCAATAGTACTCATTTAAAACACTCAAAATTTAATCCAAATGCAGTATAATACTTTAAAATGCTCATTTTAGACCTTTACCCTGACTTGAAAGATAAAAATTCACTATATCTCTTTGTACACCTTGTGATAAAATAATGACAGGTGGACTTCAGGGAAATAACACAGGAAAAGTTCGGAGGAAGGCACTTGTTTGTCGACCCCTCCTGGTTCTAAGGTCTCTAAAGCCCGCCGCACACTGGTAAACTTGCCGCGCGTACTTCTTATTCGTGACAAGTGTGATCGACAAAAGTTCCTAGTGTGCGCGGAAGTTTTGAACAACATTTGTTATTCGTGACAGATGAGTCAAATATCAAACGCGTTTGATATTTGACTCATCTGACACGAATGACAAATGTTGTTCAAAACTTCCGCGCACACTAGGAAATTTTGTCGATCGCACTTGTCA